TATTATTGAATAAAAATACTATACATTTATATTTTTAATAATTAATACTAATTCTCTATAATGGCCAGATTTTTGTTTAAAATTTTAGCAATTGATATACATACATATTTTATTTGTATTTTTCATGTTCCCTATTATTTTATTAACTATGCTTGCAAGTTAGTAATGTAGGACTATTTTTGTATTTTATTTTGGCTAAATGAGTTCAAGTAAATGAGTTCAAGTACGTACCGTAGGGTTATTAATTATTTTCATTTCACTCCTTTCTTTGCAGAAGGAATCCACATGGCAGTACCTTCTGCGCTATCCAGTAGGGCATTGAAGACCAGACAAGTTTCTTGGCAGGGATTTTCTGCAAACAGAGAATTAATGCAGTCCTGCATCTTTTCATTAAAATATTAAACATGTCAATTATTATTAATTAACTACATCATTTACTTGTCCTTAGCGATGCTGAATCCTCAACTGTTCCATTGTCATTTTGTGGATTTAATACATATAAACTTTTTTTTAATCTAAATTCAAAATAAAATTATTAGTGTTCTTGTCAAAGTGATGTTACTGAATTCAAAATAAAATCTTCGAACCCGTATCGTAATGCAAGGAAGGGTGATAGGAAAGTGAGAAGAAGACGAACCATGCAAGTGAGGAAGAAAGGAGAGACAATTTCGAAAATAGTTTATAATTGCCGACGTGGTCAGTTAAAAAAAAGGCATTGAACTTGTAGACGAATGGTCTCAAATTTGAATTTCCATAACACCTTAGTAGCATGTGTGTATTAGAAAACTTCCAAACTACTAAGAGCATTTCCAAAGGGCAAAGGGCGGAGGGGGGGGGGGGGGGGGGGGGGGGGGGGGGGGGGGGGTTGGGTTCCAGCAACAAAGATCTGCCAGGGCAAGGAGTGGGGCCCAGCTACCTGGGCTGGCCCGAGGGGGAGGCTGGCTCGAGCGCCAGCTCGGGCAATCTGACGTCAGCGCGCTATAGTGCTCCATTTGCCCAATAAAAAAATCAAAAAAATCAAAAAAATGTAAAAAATACCCAAAAAATACTGAATTTTTTTTTATAAATACCAACCAATACTCTTCACTTGTAACACCAGCAGCCAATATTTTTGTAATAAAAAATTGAAAAAAATTACTTCTTTTTTTTTCTCTCTATACCTTATTTCCATTTTCAACTTTTAAGTAAATGTCTTTGTCCTTTTACTTTTATTTATTTTTATATTACTCCATTTACTTAAGTTTACAATGTAAATAAGGAAGTATCCCCCATTTGGATTCAAATAAAAATACTAGAAAATCAAATTCCCACCAAATCAAAATATGAAAAATCGGTTTTAGTGCAAAATACAATTTAGGCTAAAAATGATGGCTCATTAAGTGAATATATACTTCATATTAAAATCCCATAAAATCAAGTTTTCTTATTTGATGCGTAAGGAATAAAAGCCGCCAAAAATTATCTTGAGAAAATGATTATTCCGAAAAAACCATTTTTCATACTTAGTCAATATTGCACCTCCGCTAAAAATCTTGAGAAAATGATTTTTCATATGTAGGAACCCAAAAATCTTATCCGAAAATATTATCCAAATTAATTGTTTAAGTAAACAAAGTTGTGAAAAAAAAACAAAAAAATGAATAGTATTTGCTATGGCAAGCCTAAACTGCTGGAAACACACTTTGCTAAGGGGGGTAGGGCAGCCACTATTCACATGAATAGTAGCTGCCCTAGGGCTCCCCTTGCCATGGCAAGGGGCTAACTGGTGAAAGTGCTCTAACAAAATTGAAATTCTCATAAAAATAAAGAGTTTCCAACTTTGAAGACAACACCACCCCATCACTATGTGTTGGATGACAATGCTAAGTATCAAACTTCAAAGTAGACATTCCATACATCATACCACCAATAATTGATAAGGGCAAATGAAATGCCAGCACATAAAGTATATAAACAAAATAAAATACAATATAATGTAATCAAATGGGGCAAAGAAAGAGATAGGCCTCATCAGTCGGAGAAATACTTGTATGTAATAGGAATGACACTATTTTGCAATCTCCAACTAATCACGTTATATTACACGTGATAATTTTTCCACATCGCATAACATAATTAATCAAAACAACAAAATAGTACTCTTCCCGTTTCATTTAAGTTCTTCTCCATCAGTTGCCCCCCCTAACAACTTTTCACACAGAAATACACATTTCCGATGAGTACAATTTAATGATGTTCGAGTTTTATAATATAATAAGTCTAAAAGAGTCCCATGCGTCGGTCCAGCCAGTCGTACAAAGACGACCTTTACCCTCTGTTTTTAAATCAACATTCATTGTCCTCACATGATCCAAGCCTAGTGACCTATAAACAAATCCAACAAACAACAAGTAACCTACAATTTCTCATTCACTTTTATTAGTGTTCATAGTATAATAATCAATCATCATCAGCTTATTATTTTCTACTTTATCAATACTATTGATAATAATATTAATCCAATAAAAAATCTTTTCGCATTAGGTATACCAAAATGGATGACATGGTTATATTTTTCTTTACAAACAATTTGGATGACATAACACGGTTCCTGGTTATATTTCTCATTCACTTAATTATTTGAGCTACAAACAATTTATTATATCTCTATATATTTTTAATGAATTTAGAAGTTCAAAAGTACCAAATTAATTATTATCTAAAAGTCAAAAGTAGCAAATCAAAGTTCAGGGCAATCCAATTAACACTCTATTGGTCCTTTGAGGGAACCTTGAGGATAAGAGATTTTTCCTAAATTCAAAGGTAAGGTTACTTCACTCCATTTTTGCCTCTAGTGATTAAAAAAGTTGAGTCTTATTTTTTAAATGGATAATATAATAAAAATGAGGAATTTTTGGATAAGCAAATTGAGGATTCTGTAGGGGACTCATTTTGCATTGTAATTTAAAATTTCAACAATCTATTTTTCATGCTCTCAATTGATTTTCATTCTTACATAAAATTTCGTCAAATTAAAAATATTATTAAGATAATCAAATGATCAAATAAATAGACGAACATAGTGTTTCCGGTAGACAATTGACACAATCAAATGTTTACATAAAATTTGGTAAGAAAGATCCAATTCAATTACCCAAAAAAGACAATTCAGATTACTGAACTACAATCTAAAATTAATCATAATTTTTGGAAAAAATGGAAATGACTCTCTAAAGTTGGCCCACTTCAAAAAAAAAGAAGAAGATTCCGTCTCTAAAAGGGTCCACTTTATTAGTTTGTTTTTTGGGTATAATTATTATTTCATCTCCGTTTTTAAATTTGGCTTTTCATCATCCGCGGGTAAGCTCTGCTCTGCAGCCAAGTATTAACACAAACGTACAGACCAGTTTATCTCTCTCTCTCTCTCTCTCCCCCTTTATTCTATTCTTTCCCTGTCACATTTCTTTCAATTTTTAGTGTATGATTAGGTATTGATTCTCAACAATACATTACAAGCTCTCTGTCTTTCTTTCTGTGACTTCTGGAGCTCTCATTTGCTTCTCTTTCCAAGCTCCGAGCCGAGTCGGTTTCTGGGTCGGCCTCATATCCAAGCTTCTCTCTCTTCGTCTTTCAGGGTCAGTGTTTCTTTAACTCAACACTGCATCTTTCTTCTTCTTCTTCTTCTTCTTTTCTTCCTGAATTTGATTTATCTGAAAGAAAGCTGAGCATGGATTTGTGGGTTGACTTGTACCTTCTTGCTGCGACTTCTTCTAATATGTGAAATCTAATTTCATCAGTTAATGCGTTCTTTTAGATTTCTTGACGGTTGTTGCTTTAATAAAGATTCAGAATTTAGTATTTTTGGTTTTCTAGGTATGATTTCATAACATTCTAATGTGGGCTAAAATGGGTTTTGATTTTATGAGATTGTTGCTAGTTTTAAAATTGTAGGTAAAAATGAATAATTTGATGTAACCCATTTAAGCAGAGTCTTTTTCTGTGGGCATTTGAACAAAAAGAAAAGGACTAGTCACTTTCACAGGGTACAATACCTTTCTGTTTGGTTGCTAAGAAAATGAAGGGAAGGAAAGGAAGTAAAATTCAAACCTGTTGTTCATTATAATTCGTCCTACTTATTAAATTATGTGAATCTCACCTTATTTAAATCACAGAATTGTGTTGGTTGCTGTTGCATTGACTTTCTATTTCATTGGTAAATAGTGAAAATTCAAGTTCAATTGCTTTATGCTTTTTGGGTTCTCTGGGCTGTCAAATGAGTGTTACGCCACATTGATAACTATTATTCGGCTTGATGAAATTGTGGATCTCAAACAGTATGTGAATTTAACTTGAGTTTGTTAAATGTTTAGTAGGTTAGCACATTTGCATCACTTGAGGGAATTTTTATTTTCAAACACTAGTTGGTAGTTTGGGAGGAAAAGGTAAAACAATCCCCAAGTTGCCAGTACATTAAAATAGATATGGTTTTTCTTGTAGAACCTAAACTTCTAATTTTTGTTTGTCTAAATTTTCTTTTTGATGCAAAAAATGCAAAAGAATCGTTTACATGTAACGAAACAGTGGATTCATCTCAAATCCTATGAAAACTGAATGATTTCTGTTATCCTGAAGGGTTGAAATGTTTAGCACTCATAGAAAGTTTGATACCAAAACGAAAAATTTAGGAAAGTTTATTAGAAATCTCAATAGCTTGGATGCTCAAAAAGAGGGTCCGAAGTTTCCAAGTCAGGATGTTTTGTTATACTTGAATCAATTTTCAGTTGGAATTTACACTCTTGATTTGGCCAGAACTGGACGGTTTATTTATCAGTTGTAGGTTCTTAGTAATTTTTGTTTTAGTATAGTTAGTTTTTTAGTTGCCTTCATATTGCACAACGTCACAGACAAGATTACTTTATATGAGAATCTCTCATGTGTTGCGAGTCTGGTTCCTTGCTTTTTCTTCTTTGGACTGCAATTTGATTACAAAGACGTACTTTGCAGGAAAGTAAAGAAAATACATGATGCTAAAGAATCTGATGGAAGAGAAGCAGTTGAACTTCAATCAGCCACTTCTATCTGTGAGACGATTTTCAGCGACAGTGGTCTCATCAGAAGCTGATGAAAAAAGGAAGACTGAAAAGTCCCTACCCAAACTACCTCCCCTTCCTGTTTACAAATCAGAGTTGAAATCAGGTCCTGTGAGGAACCCAGGAACTGTTCCTTTTGTATGGGAGCAAATCCCAGGAAGACCCAAGGATGAAAGAAAATCACCAAATCAGGCTCTTGAATGGCTTCCCACTGCACCAAAGCTTCCGCCTGGAAGGGTTTCAAAGGTTAAGAAGCAAGCAACGGATAAAGGTTCTAAATGTACAACTGCTGCTCAATCACCAACTGGAAATGTACTTTCCAATTCTCAAAATGTTTCAACCTTGGATACAAAAGAAGTTACTAAATATGACAGCTCCAAAGTGGAGATGGAGGATAAGGGTATTGCTGGTTCGGACGATGGCGATGAGACCTATTTAGATGCACTTTCTAGGAGTGAATCATTCTTTATGAACTGTAGTGTAAGTGGTTTGAGTGGACTGGATGGTCTAGATATCAAACCATCTGGAACCTTCTCAAAAGATCCACAGACTCGGGATTTCATGATGGGCCGGTTCTTGCCTGCAGCAAAAGCTATGGCTTCAGAAACACCTCAATATGCTAGCAGGAAGCAACCAGTTGCCCGAGAGCAACCACTTTTGCAAGAGCAACCAAGTGGGATGAAGAAGGTAGTAAGTGGGGATAAGCAACATCCACTTAATCAACATAGGCCAAAGGATTTGCCACATTATGTTCAAGATATAGCTGGGGACAAAAATGAGGATGAAGGTGATTATAACAAAAATGTATTAGCTAAGTTTGTTGGGTTATTTACTTGATTTATTCTTAAAAATTTCCGTTTGCCTTTTGAATCCTGTTCTAGGTATGAGAGTGCAAGCGCAATTACCCATTTCTTCAGTTAGGAGAGTGCGGGCTAAATCTTCTTATGCCATTTCGTACAGAGAAGCTAAAAAAGAGGTATTTATCCTTCTCCTTTCTTGTTCTCTTTTTTGTTTGTTCCTGGTTTTCCTTTTGTCATCATCATGCCAAGAATCCTTGTTGAACATCTGCTATTTATTTCTCTAGCATTCTGGGGGTGATTCATGTGAAAAAAGATTAATGAGTGGACATCCGGAAGCTAGGGTGCCTGAGGATAAGAACGATTTGATACATGAATCCAATCAGATCACCAACAGAAGTGATTGTCAGAAATTAGATGGGTCACCTATGTACAGGCGTCTACAGGGTAGTGGCATATCACCCTACCGAAATGAATGTTCTCAGCATGAAGAAAAAGGTTTTCTTGGTATTCCTGAAAAAGCTAAGAATTACAGAGAAGCTATTAGCTCTGGCAAATATCGAAAATGCCACAACAATTTTCAGGAATTATTGGCTGCCGAGAATGTTGTCGAGTTGGAAATGGGCCCAGGGAGTCCTGTGGTTGAGAAGACTCTGTATATTGATTCAGTACAAACTGTAAAATCTCCAAATTCAAAATCATGTTCCTCAGATACAAAGGGCCGTATTATTGATTACAGAGGGAATGGTTTTGAAATTTGTGAGAAAAGTGATAAAGTGGAAGAAATAACCCATTCGGTAGAGTCTTCATTCCAAGATACTGAGCACTTGGGTGATGGGAATGAAAAGGCAATAGTGCGGCATAAAAGTTTGGAGTTTCCTGACTCCAGCTTTCCATCTTCTTCTGGCAGATCCAGTGATGATGTGCAAACCGACATTAGAATTGGTTATATACCAAATCAGGATCTTATTCAACATTTTAGCAAAGTGACAAGCTCAAAAGGTGCTGATCAAGAGAAGTTAAATTTAGAAAGCAAACAGTTAGTGAAATCAGGTGATAGGGAAAATTTTGTTGGCCTTACTCCGATTTGTACTACATTGACAAGCACAAAACTGGCTGGTGAGAAAAAGATTGGTTTAGAAAGCCAACAGTCTAGGCAATCAAGTAGAGAAGACAGTTCTCATGGCCATGTTCAGAATTCAGTTGCATTGACCAGCTCGAAAGTGACCAATAAGGGGAAGATTGATTTAGAAAGTCACCGGCTTGTGAAACTAGGTAACCAAGAAAGTCCCCGGGGAAACAAAGTACCACTGCCTCTTGGACCGCCTTTACCAAAATCTCCATCAGAGTCTTGGCTAAAGCGTACCTTACCTAGTATTTCCTCCAGGAGTTCATCTTCACAGTCTTCTCTTGGTTCGCGGAGTTATACTAGCAGTCAGGCTTCCAAGACATCTTCTCTTGATCCCAAGTGGGAGACAATTGTTAAAACTTCTAAACCGCACCATGGACATTTGCGGTTTTCAGAGGTAGTTCTCAACTCTAAACCTTCCTGGCTTTAGTTTTACCTGTTTGTTGAGGGGTTGTTTATGTTACTCAATATTTTATCAGGAGCTTCTGACACCTATACCGGAAGCTTAGACATACGGAAGCTTTGTCTGAAGCTCACCAGTTTATACATTTGCCTTGATGGAATAATGTCCACTCTTTTGATGGGAATATAGGTGCAAAAAAATATACTTTTCACTTTAATACAACCTCTATTCTCCAAGGTATCCCTTACAAGTTACTTTACTCAGAAGTTTGGTATATAATGGATACTGTACATCAACAAGCCCATTTCTTATCCTGTAATTTTCTTGTAAATCTCATCTTTTTTTTTTTTTTTTTTTTTTTTTCTTTTGTTCCTCTATTGGGATTCTTGTGTAAAGGTACTCAATAGCTGTATATCTTTTTCTTATTTAAAGTTTTTTTAATAAAAGGAATCTGATGTACTTAAAGTCATGTGCATTATCTGCCATGCATAACAAGCAGAGCAGTTTTCTCCTATCTTCGTTGACCAAGGAAATTTTCAGATATCTAAAATCCATGGACCATCTCATCAATTTTGTTGAGTTAAGGCCAAGATATGTCTCCAAATCCATACATTTTTCTTGGATAGAAGAATAACTCAGCTTTAGCATTTATTGGTGTTAAGACACGTATATTTAGTTATAGCATTTCCTGTTTTTCATATATCAGATTTTGATAGCCCTACAAATAGGGATTAACCTAGTGGAAAAGGACATTGACTTGCAAATTAGTGGTTTTATGTTTGAACATCCATGACACCTGTGGCGTGAGAAATTCATGTCATCTTTTTAGTTTAGACTATCACTTGTATTTATAAAAAAAAAGAAAAAAAGAAAAAAAGAAAAAAGATTTTAATAGCTTTTTTTTAGGTACTACTCATGGCCAATTTGCAAGATCATATAAGTATTGATTGAGGTTTTTATTTTAACCTAATAAGCCTGTTCAATTTATTAAGCTGCACACAGATCATGTGATGCCATCTAGTGGTGTTCAATTTATTAAGCTGCACACAGATCATGGGATGCCATCTAGTGGTGTTCAATTTATTAAGCTGCACACTGATTGGTGTTCCCTAAGTCAGAAATGAACTTTGTTGCCAGCTCATGTATCTTGACCATTTCTATTTCAATCCATAGAATTTCCAAGTCTTGATCAATTTTCGACTACCAGAATAGTCAACCAAGTAATTTGAATGGTACGACATAAAGAAAAATAGAAGAAAGTTTCAAGTCATCAATTATTTTTAACACGGCATTTGTGCACATGATAATATAAAAAAATTAAAATAGCATATATATATATATGTATATATATATTATATGCTTGAAGGTCATATAGATAGTCTTGTAACACAGTGATTGGAAAAATGGCTAGAAAATTTGTTGTTGTGGCCGGTGTCCGTGCAGAGGAAGTAGGTTTCATGCCAGACAACTCGGGAGGCCTACTTTTGTTGTGCATGATTTTTGTATCCCTCTCACTTATATCAATGGTCATATTTGCTTGTAGTGATAAAGAATCAAACAAGAAAAAGCGCCGAGATGACTGTGGCGACTGCGATTTCACCGGTTGTTGTTGTGGTGATGGAGGCGGAGATGGAGATGGAGATGGAGATGGAGGCGGAGATGGAGGCGGAGGCGGAGATGGAGGCGGAGGTGGAGGAGGAGATGGAGGCGGAGGCGGAGGTTGAGGAGGTGGAGGTGGTGGAGGATGTGGAGGCGGAGGTGGAAGTTGAGATTGTTTAGAAAGAAATGGTAACTAGTCCAAATTTATATGTAAGCTACAATCAAGCACAATAATGTAACGATACTTTTGCTCTGCATGATTCTTTTGTCTCTCTCACTTATATCAATGGCCATATTTGCTTGTGGTGATGATGAAGGATCAAGCAAGAAAAGATACAGAGGCGGCGGCGGTGGTGGTGGTATTGTTGGTCAACTTGTGGTGGCAGTGGAGGTTGTTAGGAAGATATATATAACTATGTTTTCATAAAATTTAAAAAAGTCCGAATTTATGTCCACAAAACCTGTCGTTCTTATAATTGTTCTTGTTGATACTAATTTTGGCTTGTAAGCTATGTTATATTGATGGAGCTTCTTATGTATACGATGGTCAGATTTTGGCTTTTACTAATTTTCATGGTAATGTTTGTTTTTCTCTTTTAAAATTCACTTTAAATTTCTATCAACAAAAATGAAATATTCAGTAAATTCCCATATTGCCATTCTCTTTCAAATCAGTAAATTCCCATATTGGCATTTACAATTTGAGAGAGAGAGAGAGAGAGGTGGGGGCCGTCGGCAGAGGGAGAACGCAGAGGGGGATGGTTGCATGTATTTTTGTTTTTGTTTTTGTTTTAATCTTTTTTATTTATAAAAAGACTTAATTTTTTGGGAGCTTTAGTAATATACCTAAAATAGGATCTGAAATTAAAAAAAACCTTATGTGGAATAGACTTTAGAAACATATTCAAAAACCATTTATTATCTAAAAAAATGAGTGTTGAAGTTCCTATAAATTACATCTCTGCCATTGATTAACTCAAAACAAGCCTAATATAAAAAAACTAAAAAAACACCCAAAATAAGCCTAGCAAGCCCGAAATACATTGTTAATACCATGTCATAGAAGTGTATTGTTAATATCATATCATAGAAATACATTGTTAATATCATGTTCTAGAAGTACAATGTTAATAACATTTCATACAAAAAACTTAAAAAAAACCCAAAAAATTCCAGTAAGACATTTGATATCCTTTGCAAAACCCACCCCCAATTGTCCATAGTTTCACAAGAAGCAATCGCAAATGCCCTCTACAAGAAGAAAAAAAGGTGCACTGTTAATATTATGTCATAGAACTATTTTCCTAGTGAAAATCACATTATGCATATCATAAACTTCAAGTGCACAACTATATGAGCAAAATATAGAGCATGTTTTGTTACTGAAAATCTGTTAATATTATGTCATAGAAGTACACTGTTAATACTATGTCATAGAAACCATCTCAATTGCAGGGTATGAACAGTATAACAACTGTTCATACTACTTACTGGAAGCTAACAACTACATTTCATTTGCATAATAGGTACGATAAAAATGTACAACTGCAAAACCCCATGTTCATAAACCAACAACCTTGAAAAACATAATGGAAAACACAATCCTTTGGAACAAACCTAGGAACCCAGAGCAAAAACCCCATCTTCGTAAACCAGCAACCTTGTAATACAACTGAAATTGAAAGAACAAGTGCTGCAGGTGAATTGGTTTGGCAACAAGTTGCTGCCAAAACTGCCATGACAGAGAGAAACACTATGAGTTGCAACAGCCAATGCCTTGATTTTCTTTTCATTTTTTGCCATTGGTAAAAAATATTAAATGTCTTCTTCCTTGCTAATTAATAGCAACAAACTTTATATTGAGCAAACCCCTTTGCAGTTTCCATCGATATGGTAATTAATTAAGATTAGTAAATTTGATGTGATACAAAAGCAAATGGAGATTACACCACGTGAGGTGTAGCCCCACTAAGTTATGGTGTTCAATAATTGGAAGAAAAAAATGTACATACTGTTATTTGGTTGAAGCTTCGGTTGACAGCAACTTGAACCATTTTTCTCCAAACATCACTGCTAACCATTGCATCAGTTGTTATTACCTGTCCATGTAATCATATTAGTTAATAACTAGTCAAACATCAAGCGAGAAACACTAGAAGACATACTCCAAGCATCTTAGCCATATTGGGGTGGATCATCCTGGAACCTTTTGCCATTCCCCCAATTCTTATATCTGTCCCTCCAACCTGAAAAATTCACCAGGTTTTTTTAAGGACCAGCCTGGTTTCTATTTTACTGCCTACAGGTTTCAAAAATAAAAACATGATATTGCCAAAGTTTTGTACAGCTAATTAGCAGTTAACATAATCCAAAAGTAGCAGATATTGCATTCACTACAGATATAAATACATGAAACTAGATCTTGCACACCTGACACTGAATTGCCACACTCTTGCTAACAAGGTCGGTTGTTGTGATTGCCACTGCTGCATCATTTGCCCTGCATACCAAGGCAAAATGACTTCTCAAGGAGATGATTTAAAAATTTTAAGCCCAAGGTTTCACAGAAAAAGAAAAACACGAATTGAAATTCGATGCTGAAAATAAACACAACCAGTTATATATGAAATTATGTCAGTTATGTAAGTTAAGTTCAAAACCATTAACATTTACCCCTCAGTTGATGCTGATAGTGAATTAACCAGTTTTGGAAGAGATTTTAGAAGTGCTTCCTGCATATGAAAATAAAAAAATGAATCGTTTGTACAACACTTGGAACAGGTCATGTTATAAATCTTCCTAAAAATTATCATGCAACATTTTTCAGTTGATCTGTTAATATTTCAAGAAATCCTGTGCAAATCAGTATGATTAGAATATGATTATAACATGGAAACAGGAATATGATGGTTATATAGTACATTTTTTATCCTTTGGCCAAGCACACGAGTGGATTCAATCAGCACTTCCGCAGGCTTCATTTGAAGTAGCTGCAGCACAAAGTAGCCCAGACTTGACTGTCGGCCCTGGCTGGTCTTAGGGACCATTGTGATAAAAACCCAAAAATTTAAAAGAAAAGACATGTACAAAAATATCATTGGTCAATGTCAATGGGGTGGAGATAGAATCTGGAGTGGACGCAAGTATTTTTCTTGTACACAATTAATGAAGAGAAACAAAGTCTCACATATGATCTTCTTAGCATTTTCACGAAGCAAAACAAAGGCTTGCAGCAATTATTGCATCTCAATCTCGCTAGCTATCTCTTTCTCTTTGAAAATTTTCGCAAGTTTTTGTCTGTCTCTTCAAGCCTTTGAAGTTTTCAACATCAGCTAAAATCGTCAACATAAGAGTTGGAATTGCACACGGCATTTGCCGACATTACATTATAAAGATATATATATATATATATATATATATATATATATACGAACAGCTAGCTAATCTTGTAACTCATCGAAAAAATGGCCAGAGGAACATATGTTGTTCTAGGTGGTGGCCACGCAGAGGAACTAGGCATCATGCAAGACAACTCGGGGGGGATATTTTTGCTCTGCATGATTCTTATGTCTCTCTCACTTATATCAATGGTCATATTTGCCTGTGGTGATGATGAAGGATCAAGCAAGAAAAGATACGGAGGCGGAGGCGGTGGTGCAGCTGCTGCTGCTGGTGGCGGTGGAGGTTGCGGAGGTGGTGGAGGTGGCGGTTGTGGAGGTGGAGGTGGAGGTTGTGGAGGTGGAGGTGGAGGTGGAGGTTGTTAGGAAGATATATATAACTATGTTTTCATAAAATAAAAAAAAGTTGGAATTTATGTCAACAAAACCTGTCGTTCTTTTAATTGTTCTTGTTGATACTAATATTGGCTTGTAAGCTATATGTTATATTGATGGAGTGGAGCTTATGCGAGAGGTAAACAAATTTCTGTCAACATAATCTAATATCTTTTTGGTTTGTATTGTGATTGTGGAATTAAAACTGTGCTGATTTCTCTGGTTTATAACTTTATAGCTACAAGTACGTACTTTTCGTAAACATATTTTTGTAAGTTTCGAGTCCACATCTTTGGCATATGCTAGACCCTCTCATAAACGAAATAGGAAATTCTTATGCTACTAGTAGATAGATTTAGCAGCCCTCCCCACAACATCAAGCGTTTCCCTGGTTGCCCACCCAGCTCTAACCATCAGCTCGTCTAGGGTTCGTTTTTGGGCCACTCAACACACAAGGCACAACTCACCAACTAAATTTTGCCTTTTCAATTTGGGTTGGGCCTAACCAAGATTTCAAATGTCTAAGCCCAAGCTCACCCACTGGGCCAAGCTTAGGTGGGCATGGCCGAACAATGCCTTTTTTTTTCTTCAAAGTGATGGGATTTGGATGTGGAGTTGGTGTTATGTCTTTTAAGTTTGACTTTTTATCTCAAATGGTCCATGAGGTTAGCGAAATTATCACATTTTGTTCTTAATCTTATTTTTTTTTGTGACATTAATAGTCCTTAACGTTACCTAGTACACATCAAAATGGTCCAAGCCGTTAAAAACTCTGTTAATTTGCTGAATGGAATGCAAGTGGGCTCCACATCTCCAATGATATTGTGACATGTGGATAAGATAAAATAAAAAATAAAAACATTTATGAAAAACTATTAAAAATTAAAACAATTTAAGAAAAAGTTGATTTTTTTTTCCATCCCCTATCCACTCTCCCTCTCATCTACTATTTTTCTCGCCCGCCCACCACCCCTCATCCACACCAGCAACCCACGCCACAATCGCATCCCCAACCCCTACTCTTTCCCTCTCTCCATATGACTTCCAATGGCCCTTCCCCACCACCCCTCCTCACCTCTGTTTTGTTTTCTCCCCAACAACCTCCCGACCCCCTTTGTCAAATTCAATACCTCTGCACTCTAAAAAAGCTCATAGTCGATCCAAGCCTTTCAGAAACAATCGAAAGGTGAGATTATTGATCATGATTCATAAATGGTGCCTTACAGCCTCCCATCTCAACCTTTTTCTAAATCACACAAAACCCATCAACCAAAACATCCAAATAATTCAATCTTGGCGTGGGTTGCGGGTGGGGATGGGGTGGTGGGCGAGAAAAATAACGGAGGGAGAGGGAGCTTAGAGAGAGGGCAGAGAGGGATGGGAAAAAAAAATCAGCTTTTTTCTTCATTTTTTAATTTTTTTAATGGTTTTAAAAATATGTTTTATCTTATCCACGTGTCACGACATCATTGGAGATGTAGAGCCCACTTACCTTTCACGTCAGCAATTTAACAGAGTTTCTAACAGCCGGACTATTTTGATGTGTAATAGGTAACGTTAAGGACTATTAATGTCACAAAAAAAGATTAAGGACGAAAGGTGATAATTTCGCTAACCTCAGGGACCATTTGCGATAAAAAAACCTTTAAGTTTTTGTTACAAATTTTTAGACAATATTAAAAAAATTACCCTAATTCATAAATGTGTAAAATAAAATAAAAAGTTTATTAATTAATCTAATATATAACATTATTTCAATTAAGTTTAAAATGAGGTTAGGGAGTGCACTTGGATGTGGGATTGTAGTGCAATGTCTTTTTATAACTTTTTGTTATAAATTTTTAGACAACATTAAAAAATTAACTTAATTCATAACATGTGTAAAACAAAGTAAAAGGTTAATTAATCCATTCTACATATTATATTATTTCAATTAAGTCTAAACTGAGGTTAGCGAGTGCATCAATTAAGTTTTACAAAAAATAGAGCCTAAACAAGCCTAAGTGGGCTGGGCCATGAGTGGACTGAGAATTTCAAGTCCTATGCCCTTGCCCTATCCAATTCAAAAGCGAACTGGACCAAACGAGCCTAAACAACAAACCGTAACGGGCTTTGGATCATCGAGCTACCCACTTCGTCCCATTCGCCACATGCCAAATGTTGATCCCTAGTTTCATATTCATTTATAAATATTGTTCAAAACCATGAGCTATATGGTGGAAGATATGAGTTATCTTTTAGATGGGATTGGGGCCAACATGAGACCATACTCTATATTAACCTTACCTTAGCTATTGAAAATACTATAAAAATTCTTCCTGGTTAATTGACAAAGAGGATTCTCTTAAATATAGTATAGATAAACCTCTATACTTCCATTCTTGAATTAAATTAAGCAAATTCCTTACTAATCACTCAATCAAAAAATGAATGAACTAAAGAAAAGACTCTATCCAATTAGCCCTCTATATGAACTAAAGAAATTAGTGGACTGAGAATGTCAAATCCTAAGCCCATGCCCTATCCAATTTAAGAGCGAATTGGACCGAACGAGCCTAAACAACAAGCCGTAATGGGCTTTGGATCATCGAGCTACCCACTTCGTCCCATTCGCCACATGCCAAATGTTGATCCCTAGTTTCATATTCATTTATAAATATTGTTCAAAACCATGAGCTATATGGTGGAAGATATGAGTTATCTTTTATATGGGATTGGTGCCAACACGAGACCATACTCTATATCAACCTTACTTTAGCTATTGAAAATACTATAAAAATTCTTCCTGGTTAATTGACAAAGAGGATTCTCTTAAATATAGTATAGATAAGCCTCTATACTTCCATTCTTGAATTAAATTAAGCAAATTCCTTACTAATCACTCAAATCAAAAAACGAATGAACTAAAGAAAAGACTCGAGGTACAAGTACAACAAATGTTACACCATCCATTAGGAATTGTTATAATTGGTATCACACAAAGAGTCAAACAACATGGGTAGAATATTTTTTGGGTTGTATTTCATTCTCCAAAATAAGGTATTTATAGTACAAGGATGTAACCCTAGTGGGGTCAAACTAGGAAACAAGATAAAAATTTAATTTCACAATATATGTACAAAAAGGAAAGAAATATAATCATAATAAACTAGGAAATAAATATCCTAATTAAGCTAGGATCTCGCTAACACTCCCCCTCAAGTTGGAGCAAAGATGTCACGCATGCCCAACTTGTCAAGCGAGTTGAGAAAGACCATAGTAGACATAGCTTTCATAAAAACATCTGCCAGTTGATACTCGGATGATATAAACGGATAAGAACATCTGCCAGTTGAACATCTACCAGTTGATTCTCTTTAACAAAATGTCAATCAATCTCTACGTGCTTTGTACGATCATGTTGCACAGGGTTATGTGCAATTGTAATTGCAGCTTTATTATCATAATACAAATCCATGGGTTTCTGGGGTCCAAACCCAAGATCTCTCAACAATCTTCTCAACTATAGTAACTTGCACACACCTTGAGCCATCCCACGATACTCGGCCTCGGCACTAGACCTAGACACCACTTTTTGCTTTTTACTCCTTCAAGTAATAAGATTACCATTGTTGAGACCCAAAAAATCCACAGTTGAGCCCAAATAAACTCCTGGCCCAAAACGACACATTATTCAGAGAAGGCCCAATTTGGAGCACACAAAGATCGGCCATGCACGAGTCACACTCCGCATGCCATGCCAAATAAATAATCTGTCATGCTAGGAATCGAGATTACAATTATAAAATGTGTTAGCTCTACAAATCCATGCTAATTATCCCATCAAGCATTATAATTTTTTTTTAAAAAACATGCCAAGCAACATGTCATGCCAAGCGGGGAATCATTATGTCACACCCAACCATGCTATACAAGCTTAAGTGGGCTCAAGCCACTCAAATGCCCGGGGCTTGCTTGAGTGGGTTGTGGTATGGATGATAATAAGTTGTCATGAGGCCCATTGATGGGCCGAGAAATGAAAGTTCCGGGTTGCTTGGGAGCCTCGGAACTCAAGCCCATTTCTTAGGCCAAAACATATGGGTGGGCACAAGAGAGAAAATATCCCAACCAAAAACCAAAATGGTCCATTAAATTAACCCATATAGCCCAATACTTGATGAGATTAGCCCATTTGTTTGGTAAGTTGACTTACTATCTTAGAGGGCCCATATAATAGAAATGAGAAGCAGCAAAAAGCCTCAGCATTTGGTTGAGAGAGAAAGCCACGAAAGGAGCTTGGAAGACCACGTGCACAGGGTTGCTGGGAGGGAAGGAACAAGTTTTCAAACAAAATATCCAAGAGACCAAAAGATATTGGCGCGCAGGGAGCCACCCTTCGAACCAGCATGTATACCAATTTCTTTCCTTCATTAGATCTGACCATGAAAGAGGGAAGGAAAGAGAGGAAAGGGGATGGCTGAGAATAGGGGTTCTTCACTTGAGCAGCTGCGGGACAGGGACATTGAGCTCCCAAAATCCCTGATTTTGTGCAAATAGGCAAATTAAGTTTCACCAAGATGGAAAAGTCAAGGGTAGAGGAGAGAAAGAAAGGAAAAGATTTGGCCAAATTGGATAGAAATCATTAGGGTTTCTTGGAAATGGATAGCTTCCAGCGGCTATAAAAGAGGCCTCTTCTACCCAACAATCAACCACAACCAGAGAGCAAGCTTCCTCTCTTACTTTCAAAACAAGCAATTTTCGTGCTTAGTTAATCTCCTTCCTCATTAGTTTTCCTTCTTGGCAAGCTGTTCTAACACTTGACAGAACCTCTGTCAAGTTGCTGGAAAAGCACTCAAGCCACCCTTCTCTCTCTCTCTCTCTCTCTTTCTCCCTCATTCTCAACCAAACCTTTCTGCAAAACCCTTTTCTCTCCTACCTTAATACCCCATTTTCCCCCTAGGAACACTTAATTTTCTCTTTAGTGCTAAACTCATGGCAACTTTGCTCCCATGCCACATGCCTCTCATGCCAAGCTAAGGTTCTACCTGTAAGCACTAATAATTTATCTGTAAGCAGTCTTTATTTTTTGTCGGTGAAGGTAATCAAGGTGTTTCCTAAGACTTTATTATCCTTTCGAAACATTTTGGGGTATGATCTTTGAACTTAGACACATGAGATATTTTCTTTAGTTTTCTCCTTACAGCGGCCCAGCCCATTTGTAACTGCTAGAAGAAAAATGCCCCTACATAAATTGGCGACTTCACTGGGGATTAGGCCATTATGTTCATCAGTGCCTCTAAAAAAGAAGGCCAGAAGGAACAACATGACCTCCCAAGACGGGCCAAACCATGGTGACTCGGAATCAAGGCAAAATGCCTCATATAGAGAAGAAGAACGTGCAAGTGAGGGAGCTTTCACCCTCACAGACCTTGTTGCAGCCATCCATGCTATGAGAGACACTCAAAGGGAAATGGCAGAAACGATTAAGGAGCTAAAAAGCTCAGTTGCTAAGCCAAGCGAAGAAAACAAGAGACTTCCACAAGAGGAGTCTGCTGCTGCCAGAAAGGGGTCTGAACAAAAGGGACCATCTTTTGTCACCCAAGAAGATGTCATTGCAATGCTGGAAAAAGAACTAAGTTGAAGCCAGGAGGATTGGAAGTACCTTCCTCAGCCGCCATATCCATCAAGCTTACTCCAACAACCATATCCTAAAGGCTACGAAGTGCCAAGCTTTGTCCTCTTCGACGAAAGGAAAGAGAGCCCAAAAGAGCATGTCAACCGCTTCATCGATGGCTTGGGACCACATGCTGATGATTATAATCTCCGACTCAGAGAATTTTGAAAAGCCTTACCGATCATGCTTACACATGGTATACGACATTGGCACTAGGCTCTATTTGCTCTTGGGAAAATTTGGCAAGCAGGTTCTGTAAGAAGTATTTTTAGCATGAAGAAAGAGTTACCACTCAACTCAACAACAATCTTCAAAAACATGGCGAGGATCCCGTGGACTTTGTGCGCAGGTTCTGGGTCCTGGCGTTGGATTGCTACGATGAGAAAGATGAGGAGGCGCTTGTCGAAATTTGCATTAGTAATATTATGGCAGATTATAGAGTTTATTTGGAGAATATTGGCATCAGTCAATTTTCTCGGCTGCTGGAAGCAGTGAGGAGGATGAGCATGTCTATCAAGCCAACGGGACAGAGGACTTGAGGAGCGAGAAGAAGGAGATGCACCAAGCGTTAGCTATAGATGACAAGCCATCCAATGACTACAACTCACGCAAACGGAAGCATAAGGAGACATACCCGCCACTACCATGCAAAGATGAAGAATTCCATGCCATCCTTGACACGATGATTGCTGACGACGCAATCAAGCCCCTCAGGCCCTACAAAGTCCCTACTAGAGAGGAGAAAAATGATCCTAGATACTGCCGTTATCATCAATTTGTAGGGCATCCAACCACTACTTGTTAGAGCTTAAGGAGGATTTTACATGCTAAAATACATGAAGGAGTCCTTGAGCTTCCCTCTAGGAAGCAAACCATTAATGAAGACCCCTTGCCAAATGAAGGGGAAAGGAAGTAGCTGTTGTCATTACATGTTCCGACGATTTGCTCGACGATAATGAACTGTGCCACTCGTGGAGGAATGACCCAAAGCTGCCGGAAGCCATGTGGGAACCTTGCGAAAACATGGAAAATGCATATTGGTGTAAATATTCGAAGCCTTCAAGTTACAACACGTCATGGCCGCTCGCTGATGGATGAGGTGATGATTTAGGCAACGAAGATTTTGTTTTAGACATGCCAGAAGAATGCTACTCGGGGGCTTCATCGGGATATCAGGAAACAGCTGCTATAACGTTTCATAATCTTACAAAGGCTAAAGCGAGCACAATGGAACATTACCTAAGTTTGAAACAAGGGCCCACAACTTCATAAGTCCTCCAAAGGAACCTGAAGTTCAAGTCACTCTTTGACCAACTTGGCTTTGGACCTCAAGTAAGAGAAGCAGCTGATGTAGCTCTCATGAACATCTCTGTGGAGTCTAATCCTCATTGCTTCACTGCTTAACCACAAAGGTCATTCTTGGAAAATGACAATGCTATTGTTTTCATGGACGAAGACATGGAAGTTCCATATCCGTAACATAGAAGGCCATTTTACTTGGAAGGACAAATCAACGATGTGTTTATAAGAAGAGCTTTGGTAGACACGGGTTCCTCTGTCAACATATTGCCTCTATCTGTGTTTACGGCAGCTGGTATTCCATTATCCAAAATCGTGCAATCTCAAACAAGCATCAGCAGTTTCGGGAATAAGAGTGAAGTCACCGTCGGGCACATGCAAGTAAACTTGAAGGTAGGGCTAATTCAATCACTTACCAAGTTCTATGTGGTAGATGTAGATGTGGCTTACCATGCTTTACTTGGAAGGCCATGGCTCAACGAGCATAAACTTGTGGTCTCTACTTACCATCAATGCGTGAAGGGAAGGATTGGGCTAAGGCCACTTCGCATACTTGGGAATCAAGCATCGTTCAACAAAACGAAGCTCACTACTCCGAGGCAGAATTTTACACCAAATGCACAAGTGTTGGAAGCAGCCCATTCAAGGATTTCGGGACCTACCTACCTAAGCAACGAGGAACTCATAACCATCGTTGATCGGTAAAGAAAGAGACACTCGGAAGTCAACAACCATGCTTACGATCATCCCCAATGCTCAAAAGTGATGCTGCCAGACGGACGTACCATGTATCTCTTATGATGGGATTGGGGGCTCAACCGTGTTCTACGGGAAAACCCTGAGTATGGAGGACAAGCGATGCAAGAAAATAGCTGTAAGGGCCCAGATGACAAGGCACCCGTGCCTTGTGCTTTTTAGGAGCCAATGACGGCACCCAAGCATATGCAAGATGGTTCAACAGCGGTGGCTGAGTAGCTGGAAACAATCGATTTGAGTGAGGATCCCCTCTGCCCCAAGGCCTATCTCCATCAGCATTCATTTGACAAGAAAATAGAAGGAGGCCTTGGTGTCTCTGTTAAAGGAATTCCGAGATGTGTTCGCTTTGAGCTATGACGAAATGCCCGGCTTAAATCCAAACTTAGTGAGTCATACTTTGAATATCAAGCTTGGTACGAAACCTGAAATCAAGCTAATAAAAAAGCAATGAGTGTGTTTACTCCAAAGAAGTGTTAGCTGCTGGATTCATCCTGAAATCAAAAAGCAAATCAAGGCGGAAATTGAAAACCTATTAGCTGTTGGATTCATCAAGCTAATCAAGCACCCAAAGTGGTTAGCAAATATTGTTCATATGAAAAAGAAGACCGGTGTGATTAGGATATGCACGAATTATCAGGACCTCAATTGAGCTTGCCCAAAGGATGAATTCCCGTTGCCCAACATGGATATCTTGATCGATTCAACCTCGGGTCAAGGCTTGCTGTCATTCATGGATGGATTTAGTGGCTACAATCATATCAAGATGTCACCCAAAGATGCCGAGAAGACAGCCTTTCGAACACCATATGAGAATTTTTATTACACGGTCATGCCGTTTGGTCTTAAGAATGCTGGCACCACCTACCAAAGGGTTATGACGGCGGTGTTTCATGACATGATGGGAAAAGAGGTGGAAGACTATGTGGATGACCTTGTGGTGAAGTCCAAAACTACAAAAAGCCATGAAGAAGTTTTGAGGAGGGTGCTGGAAAGGTGCTGACTGTACGGGTTGAAGATGAATCCCAAGAAGTGTGCATTCGGGGTTTCATCCGGTAAATTCTTGGGGTTTCAAGTACACCAGTGTGGCATAGATGTGGATCTTGAAAAAACTAAGGCCATAAATTCTCTTGCGCCACCTAGAAACCCAAAGGAATTGAAAAGTTTCATGGGAAGATTATCATACATTCGGCGCTTCATCCCAGGCCTTGTTGCCACTATGAGTGTGTTTACTCCCTTACTTAAGAAGGGCAATCCATATGAATGGAGTAAGGAATGCCAAGAAGCCCATTAGCAAGTGCAACAAATAATCACCAAGCTGCCCACTATGAGAGCACCAATTCCGGGACTTCCTGTTAAGCTTTATCTAGCTGCAACAAATGCAGTGGTTGGGGCTTTACTCGCTCAAGATGACCACGGTAGAGAGGAAAGTCCTATTTATTATGTAAGTAGACAATTAAGGGGAGCTAAAACGAGATACCTGAAGACCGAGCTCTTGTGTCTTGCTCTTGTCTATGCTGCAAAATGCTTACGGCATTACTTCCTTGCTCGCAAGCTATAGCTCATAGTGAAGTTGGACCTCGTAAGATACTTGCTCACAAGGCCGGTGCTATTTGGACATCTTGCATGTTAGCTGCTACAACTGTCCGAATTTGATATCACATGCACAACTCCTAGGGCCATCAAAGGACAGGCCGTGATTGACATGATGGCTCTATTTCCTGAAGTAGAAGTAGAAGAATCAAATCTTTCTAAGGAAGTTCTTGGGGAGCTGCCGAAAATGGTTGCTATTGCCACAGAGGAGGAACCATGGACCCTCTACTTTGATGGGTCTTCTACATTGAACGGTGGAGGAGCAGGTGTAGTGCTCATTAATCCCGAGGGGCAAGCCACGACCCTCTCATTCAAGCTAAATTTCCCATGCACAAATAATACGGTGGAATATGAGGATTTTATTACGGGAATGTCTATAGCAAGGGAGATGGGTGTAGAAAAAATTAAAATTATTGGGGACTCAAACCTGGTGCTAAGTCAATTATAGGGGAGTTTTGCTGTGAAGGAGGCAACATTGGCGCCATATCGTACAGTTACTGAAAGGCTTGTCAATTCTTTCAAACAAGTCGTGTTGGAACATATTTCGGGGGTCACTAATAGATATGCTGATGCTTTGGCTACATTGGGGTCAAAGCTCTCATTTGTCGAAGAGCAGCCCAACATTACTGTGATAAAAAAAGATATGCTAGTAGTCGAAACAATGACTCAAGATGAGCTGCTGGAAGAAAGTGACTAGAGGAAACTTGTGAAGGAGAAGATAGGCAAGGGAAATGATATCAAGGAATTAAAAGACTATGCGATCATCTTTGGGAAGCTTTACAGACGCCTTCCTGGAGGAATTTTACCCCGCTACATAGGGATAACAGAAGCAAGAGTAAAGCTCCAAGAGGTACACAATAACACTTGCAATTTGGAACTGATAATCAGTTTGTATCAGCGTCTGCAGCGCAAGGGTTATTACTGGCCAGAAATGAAGAAACAAGCAGCCGAAGTTTAAGCCAATTGTCCCAAGTGTTCAACAATACCCTCCACTGAAGAATCATTCACCATCTCATTCGCAGAGGATTGGAAGGCTCCATATTTGGCATTCTTCGTTGACGAAACTCTGCCGACCAATTCTAAGCATGCCCGCAAGCTCAAAAAGACAGTAAAAAGATACTTCATAGATGGGTCAACTCTTTATCATAAGGGGTTCAATGGTGAACCATTAAAATGCTTGGGGGAGTCGGAAGCACAGCAAGTCATAGGGGAAATTCATGCTGGAGAATGTGGTGAACACTAAGGAATGAAGAGGCTTCATCGGCAACTGTTGAATGTTGGGTATTATTGGCCTACCATGAAGAACGACGCTTACAATTTCGTAAAGAGGTGCCACACGTGGCAAGTCCATGCCAATTTAAGCCACAAGCCTCCCACATTGTTATAGGACATGCGCACTTCTTGGCCTTTTCATACTTGGGGGCTTGACTTGATCGGAACTGTTCACCCACCTTCCAACGGCTATATATGGATTCTTACAGCCACTGAGTATTCCACAAAGTGGGTTGAGGCGGTTCTTCTTTGGAAGGCCACGGGGGATGCAATTGCAAATTTCATCCATGAATACATCGTGTGCAGGTTTGGAATCCCATATAAGATCGTCATCGACAATGGCACCCCGTTTTTCAACAAGCAAGTAAGTTCGACACTTAGTGGCTATGGTGTCATGCATCGTCGCTCCTTGCCGTATTACCCACAAGGAAATGATCAAGCGAAGGCCACAAATAAAACTTTATTAAGGATCCTCAGCAGAACGGTCTACAAGTATGAATGAGGTTGGAGTGTTCACCTACCGGATGCCTTACGGGCTTACCGCACCTCTCCAAGAAGCGCTACCTTTTTCATTTATGTACGGGTCCGATGCCATCTCACCTGTTGAAATTACCATCCCCACCGCCAGAGTATCATATGTTAATGGCCTTAAATGGGATACAACGTCATGCTTGGATTGGTGCTTGCTGGACCTTGAGACCTTGGACGAAAAAAAAAGCAGAAGCCAAAAGGAGGACATTGCTGTACCACAAAACTGTAGCTCAAGCCTATAACAGGACAGTCAAGTCTCGAGCCTTCAAGCAAAGAGACCTTGTGTTAAAAGTCGTGGAGCATGTAAGAAGATAAGTGTCGAGACCTTCCAAGTTTACCCCACAATGGAAAGGCCCATTCGCAGTCAAAGAGGTTAACAACAACGGCTATTATTGCTTGGTCTCTATCAAAGAAGGCATGCTAACGGATCCCATCAACGGGAAGTGGCTCAAGCCTTACTATTGCTAAGTTAATCTTCTGTCAAGCACTTTTTTATTATTGCATTTCCTTTTGTTTTAGACATGAACTCCTTCTGTCTTACCTTCGTATTTTGAAAAAAAAAACTTTTGTATGGTGCATTTCCTTTTGTAGTTGTTAGAGTGTCTAAAAAAAAACCTACAGTCAAAGCGAGATAAAACTACACATGCTAAAGTCCCTTGCATCCTATAGAACCATGCGCTGAGATAATCGAGCACCAAGCCAAGAAAAGGCAACCTGCAAGAAGAAAGAAGTCATGTGTCAAGACTAAGTGACGCTGGAAGAGGTAGCCTGATGAGAAAAATAAAAAAGAAGAGAAGAGAGGACTTGATACCGTGAGGTTATGGGGAATGCTCGAAAAGAACGGAGGAAGCCCTAGGAGACGATCTAGCTGCTGCTTCCGCCATGCATTCAGCGCTTTCAGCAGAAACGCTTTTGGAAAGAAGGGCATGTAATTCTCGATGCTTGCCCTCTAACTCTCGTTGTTTATTGTTCAAGGTGTTGGCAGCAACTTTTACCTCATCAGAACCATGTGATAATTCCATGCTATGAATGGCCCGTGCTCCAAAGATGGCACGTGCTAGGTTCCTCACGAGGTTGAGGAGGAAGTCCACAAGAAAGCCAAGAGTTATGGCCTCACATATCGCGTCCGCCAACAAAGTAGTTTGTGATCAGTGATATCAAGGAGCTCCATGGTATCTATCCCATGAAGCACCAAGCTGAGAGCTCGGAAGGCAGCACTCCTTGAAAAAGAAGAGGTGATATCAGTAATTTCCATGAAGCTCCCGTATTTGTCCATGAATTTTCTCAAGACAGCAACTGTCTCTGGAGACACAAGGGCGCCTTGGAATGTCACATAACCATTGAACCTATGGCAAAGTGGAAGAAGTTCGTCGATAGACCTAAGAATTGTGACACGCCTTCAAAGAAGGCTTTGAATGTCGTAAACGAATTTTCCCAATCCTGCCAAGACATGCTCTTCTCCGATAAATGCATGGTGGAGGTACCTATGATAGAAGGATCACCATTATTATGGTTGTCATCAATAATCTCACCACGAGGCGACATTGCTGGAAGCTGTGGAGGCCGGCAGCTGTGTCGGATGTGCCTGGGAAAGGAGGAGTAGGAGGCAGCACTGTTGGAACCTGTGGAGAGGTGCTGTCAGCTATGTCGGATGTGCCTAGGATAGGAGGAGCAGGAGGCTGCGTTGCTGGAAGGCGCATGGCAGTGTCGACAACTGCATCAGGTGTCCCAAGAGGAAGGGTTAGGAAGCGTATCTTTCGCCCCTTGTGAGAGGCTCTAGACCTAAAAAAAAAAAGGGGGAAAGAGCATGAAGGAAAATAAACGAAAATAATAGGAGGCACAAAAGAAAGGAAGCAAATTAAAGCATGGAGGATGAAAAGCAAGCAAATAAATACCTTGCCAACAGTCTGCGTAGTGTCAGCAACAGTAGCAGGAAGGCCAAGGCCAGCCTCTGGTGAGCAACTTGCCGTGTCCTCAACGATGGGAACAACCTATTGTGTCCTCAATGGTTGGCACAACCTGCAGGAGAAGTGCGGGAAATGAGTTGTAAGTCACAACGGGGGCAGCATGCAATGCATATATACCAAGTAAAATAAGCAAGAAGGTTATTTGATACCGGTTCAATGTCAACATGCCGCTCATGGTCACTAGCAAATTCGGGAGGTATGTCTGAGGCATCCGGCTCCTCCAAGTGAGTGCCTTCATCACGACTGTAATCTTGGTCCTTATTGAGGTCCTCATCCATGCCACTTGGCCGTGAATGCTCTCTTGCTCGTAGGTGCTAATCCCGATTTCTATAGCAGCATATTCATCACTTCCATCATCATCATCATCAACTATCACCACTACCTTGGATCCTGAGTTTTCACCCTTCCCTTTGCAAGTGCCGGAGAACCTTGTTTGAAGTATGCACATGCTTTGGCGCTTCGGAATCACGACGGTTTCCTTACCTTTGCTTTTGATTCGGGGAGTACCTGTAAACAAAAGGAGAAGTGGGAAATGAGTTCAAAACAAAAATATATAATAATAATGTGGGAGTGAGTGACGAGTATACAGTACTTACTGTGGGAAGGCAAAGCTTCCGACACCTCACCAACTTGCATGCTACTGCCAGAAGCCATAAGTTACTGCTACGATAAAGGTTCCGAGGGAGCATCCCTTTTGGGGTTGGGGAGACCATTTGCTGCTAGCTTGGGGATAAATTTTTTTGGCTCCTTTACAGCTTGTCTCTTCTTCTCAACACTGCAGCTTTCCTCCCGCTTTCTTTTTCTGTGTGTAACACTCTTCCCGGCGCTGTGAGAACCCGGTTTCTCCAACTTCCACTTTAGCTTTGAAAAGTCACCAACAATTTCCCCGCTTTTGGAAGTAAAGGGCAAATTCCACTTCTCACTCAAAGAGATGACCTTCTCTTACAACACTAAGCGAGCATGAGGAATTATGGTGGGGAGTAATCTGTCGCAATGGGCAACATGGAATCGACTAAATGAAGCAAAACAACGATTCCAGTAACTTTGGTAAGCTTTCGAGAGATCGCCAGCACGCTCCTTGTCGGCCAAAGCAAGGGCAAGAGGTCTGCCATCTTCCAGCAGGTTATCCCTGGTCCAAAAAACTCTATGCAACGAAGCGGGATCTCCATGGCTGGGACTGGAAGGCATACCCTGATCGAACCCAATCTGTCGTCTGACTCGGTGAGGTGAATAATGCACGGAAACCTCCAAATGGTCATCACCTAGTGTGGGCAAAGGAAGAAATGTAGTGCTTAACAATGCTTCCCTTCGTAATTGATGACCATGTGCTGTCGTTGTTGGGGCCTTAACCAGATCATCAAAATCAACATAGAGGGGTATATGTCTAAATCCCTATGATAAAGCACAGTAGGGACGAAAGATGAAGTTGGCAACATCGTCCAGTAGCCCTAGAAAATTTTGGTCCTTCCTTTGTATTCGCTGCGACCACCTGCAAATCAAAGGGAGACCCTCCGGTACGTAGGAAGCCTCATGAGAATAAACAAGTGTCTTAGCCTTTGAGTAGGGAAGTGGGGATACCTCTATCCCTTTGAAGAGCTTCCATAAGAAGACTTGCAGAAAGCTAGAGTTCAGGAAAGTTTCCACAACCATGGTTCTTGCTGCCCCTTTCTCAAGAAGTTGAACTTGGTCAAGCAAGCAGTATAGGTGCCTCAAGAACATGGGGGCTAAAGGAAGCACGCTGCCACGTGCTATTGCTAAGGCCAAAGGAAACACCCTCTCATGCAAGCAGTCTGGGGGAAAATCACATAAGAGGAACCTCCCAAGCCATAACGATATAAACACTGCAAGACGACATGGCTCATTCCTGTTAACATCCCTGAAAAACTGTATCAAATTACTAAACCACGGAGAAGTGCTAGGAGAAGTCGGGGCACCTTTCCGTAAAACCTCAAGCTTTAGTTTACCTTCTAGAGTCAGCGCAATGTGGAAAGGGTCTTGGCTGCCGCAAAGTGAGAGGTGGAAAATATTGGCTACGTCCTCAAGTGTAGGAGTGAACTCTCCCCATGAACAGATAAAGGTATGTGTCTCGGTACTCCATCACCTAACCACATGCTGGAGAATCTTGGGTTTAATATGGATTTCGCAAGCTTTAGAAATAAAGATGGCATCTAGCACCCCTGCCTGATTTAGAATGTCACAGGCAGATGGATCCTGCAATTCATGGTCAACCCACTCTAACCAACCCTTGCTGGTGCCACATGGATATTGGAAGAATAAAGGGACTGCCAGAAATAAGCCTCTCTCTATGCAGCACCTCGATATAGATGCAGGATCAACCACGGGAGTTGTTTCCGGCATTGGCTCTCTATCAATGAATATGTCTTCACTAGTGCAGGGAGGCCTCCCTCTTTTTAATCTGTCATCTAGGGAATAAAGATGGTCCCTCATAATGAGTGGCAGATCAGCAGATGCCATGGCCAATCTTGGCAGAACAACAATTCCCTACATACAAAAAAGAAAAAGAAAATAGGAGTTCAAACAAATATGCAATTTCTAACCCAAATTCGTGACAAACAAAGTTCTCATCCTGTGAATTAGTAAGCATGTGTCCTGTCAACTTCTACTTCTCGTGGCCAAGAACAAACTATACAATTAATCAAGCATATGTCCACAAGGGGAGTAAGGCTAGGCCAAGCACCAGTCTATGCTTATTCCTAAAAAATTCAAATTGGCAGTCACTTACTGAAAGACTAAAATACATGTTAGAAGGCTGGAGGATTCGAAGGTTCCAGCAGCAAAATATCAAAGCTTCTAGCACCTGCCTTCCCCCTACCTATGTTTGAGACGTATACACTTGCATAGAGATAAAAGAAAAGAGAGGGAATACAACATGCAAAGTACATCTCTTTCATAAACACAGAAGAAGTCGGTGCAAAATTTTTTTTATAAAAAAAAGAAGCGAAAAGGGGGAGAAACCCATACCAACAGTTTTCTTCTCACAAAAATTGGCACTCTTCCAGTAGCTCGTGAAGAGGAGTAAACAGAAAAAAAAAGAACCCCGGGAGATTGATGCGAACCCTTCTTTGCTAGCACCCATGCTGAAAGCACCCACGTTGCTACGATAACAAAATAAGTCAAAAGAGGGTTTGGTGTTTGACTGCGAAAATAAAGGGCAACATTCATGAATGAAAGGAACCCATCAAATTTCCCAAATAAATTCAAGAGAAAACAAGGGAAAAGGCATACCTTGTTAAATCTCCCGAGGAAATACCTTGAATGCACCTAGAAAAGGAGAAAAATCAGGGATTTTAGAAGAAAATCCGCGAAAAGAGGTCCCTTCCAGCAGCGACGAACGAACTCCTTCAAATGAGGGAGGGATGGCGGAGTCGAGCTCAGCTTGGGCTTCTTCCCAATGGTTGAAGGCAGATGACTTCTGCCCGATCTCACTCTCTCACTCAGTTTGAGTCTGCTGGAGAAGGGAAAAGAGCGAAGAAAAGAAAATTGGAAGAAGGTTGGGTCTGGTGCGAGAAAAGAGGAAGAAAAGGAAGAAAATAATAAAAAAGAAAGGAAGAAGGAGGTTCACGTTGGGAAACTGCAAATAACCGTTGGGGCCAATCATGACACGCCATCATTTTGCACACGGGAAGAGGAGAGGTTCCCTGCAAATACAAATCCGATTTTTTGGGTTGGGTTTAATTATTAGGTCCATTCCAGCATCTGCCCATGGCCTTTATAATTAAGGGGGCTAATGTTGAGACCCAAAAAATCCATAATTGAGCCCGAATAAACTCCTGGCCCAAAACGACACATTATTAAGAAAATGCCCAATTTGGAGCACACAAAGATCGGCCATGCACGAGTCACACTCCACGTGCCATGCCAAATAAATAATCCGTCATGCTAGGAATCGAGATTAAAATTATAAAATGTGTTAGCTCTACAAATCCATGCTAATTATTCCGTCAAGCATCATAATTTTTTTTTAAAAAAAAAACATGCCAAGCAACATGCTATGCCAAGCTAGAAATCATTATGTCACACCCAGCCATGCTACAAGCTTAAGTGGACCCAAGCCACTTAAATTCCCAGGGCTTGCTTGAGTGGGTTGTGGTATGGATGGTAATAAGTTGTCATAAGGCCCATTGATGGGCCGAGAAATGAAAGTTCCGGGTTGCTTGGGAGCCTCGGAACTCAAGCCCATTTTTTAGGCCCAAACATATGGGTGAGCACAAGAGAGAAAATATCTCAACCAAAATATCCCAACCAAAATAGCCCAACCAAAATGGTCCATTAAATTAACCCATATAGCCCAATACTTGATGAGATTAGCTCATTTGTTTGGTAAATTGACTTGCTATCTTAGAGGGCCCATATAATTTGAAATGAGAAGCAGCAAAAGGCCTCAACATTTGACTGAGAGACAAAGCCACGAAAGGAGCTTGGAAGACCATGAGTTTTCAAGAGACAAAGCCACGAAAGGAGCTTGGAAGACCACGAGTTTTCAAGCAAAATATCCAAGAGACCAAAAGATATTAGCACGCAGGGAGCCACCCTTCAAACCAGCATGTATACCAATTTCTTTCCTTCATCAGATCTGACCATGAAAGAGGGAAGGAAAGAGAGGAAATGGGGTGGCTAAGAATAAGGGTTCTTCACTTGAGCACCTGCGGGACATTGAGCTCCCAAAATCCTTGATTTTGTGCAAATAGGCAAAGGAAGTTTCACCAAGATGGAAAAGTCAAGGGTAGAGGAGAGAAAGAAAGGAAAAGATTTGGCCAAATTGGATAGAAATCATTAGGGTTTCTTGGAAATGGATAGCTTCCAGCGGCTATAAAAGAGGCCTCTTCTACCCAACAATCAACCACAACCAGAGAGCAAGCTTCCTCTCTTACTTTCAAAACCAGCAATTTTCATGCTTAGTTCATCTCCTTCCTCCTTAGTTTTCCTTCTTGGCAAGCTGTTCTAACACTTGACAGAACCTCTGTCAAGTTGCTGGAAAAGCACTCAAGCCACTCTTTTCTCTCTCTCTCCCTCATTCTCAACCAAACCTTTCTGCAAAACCCTTTTCTCTCCTACCTTAATACCCCATCTTTCCCCTAGGAGCACTTAATTTTCTCTTTAGTGCTAAACTTGTGGTAACTTTGCTCTCATGCCACATGCCTCTCATGCCAAGCTAAGGTTCTACTTGTAAGTATTAAGAATTTATCTATAAGTAGTCATTATTTTTTGTTGGTGAAGGTAACCAAGGTGTTTCCTAAGGCTTTACTATCCTTTCGAAACATTTTGGGGTATGATCTTTGAACTCAGACACAGGGGATATTTTCTTCAGTTTGCTCCTCATGGCAGTCGAGCCCATTTGTAGCTACCAGAAGAAAAAGGCCCCTATAACCACCAACAAATGTGAAATACCCAGACGTAGAACGTCTATCAGTGATTGAACCAGCCCAATCAGCATACGTATAACCTTCCACATCTGTATGATCATACTTGCAAAACATTAAACCCTTCCAGGAGTTACTTTCAGATACCTCAAGATGTGCATAACAACATCCATATGATCTTCACTAGAGGAATGCATAAATTGACTAACTACACTCACTGCATATGCAATATCAGGACATGTATGAGATAAATAAATCAATTTCCCCACAAGTCGTTGATAACGCTCTTTATCTGTAGGGACGTGATTAGGATACAACCTCAACTTATGATTCTGTTCACTAGGGGTATCAATTGGTTTACAATCTAATATTCCAGTCTCTACAAGTAAATCCAAAATATACTTTCTTTGAGACAGAAAGATACCATGTTTAGATCTGGCAGCTTCAATCCCAAGAAAGTACTTCAAATCACCCAATGACTTCATCTCAAATTCGGAAGCTAGATACTTATGAAGATTTTGCATTTTTGCCTGATTATCTCCAGTCTCAATCATATCATTAACATAAATAATTAAACCTGTCAATTTACCTTTATGACGCTTTAGAAACAAAGTATGGTCTGAGTTACTCTGCACATACCCAAATTTCTTCATAGATACTGCAAATCTCCCAAACCACGCTCTTGGAGACTGTTTCAATCCATATAAAGACTTCCGCAGCTTACATAGAATACCCTCCTTAGAGGTTACAGGAATACTAGGAGGGAGATCCATGTAAATCTCTTCCTTGAGGTCACCATGTAGAAACGCAGTTTTGACATCAGATTGTAATAAGGGCCAGTCGCGGTTAGCAGCCCGGGACAAGAGTATACACACAATATTGAGTTTTGTCACTGGAGCAAAGGTCTCCAAATAATCCACTCCATAGGTCTGAGTATAACCATTTGCTACCAATCTAGCCTTGTAACGATCAATGGAACCATCAGCTTTATGCTTCAATGTAAACACCCATCTGCATCCAACAACTTCCCTCAAGACATCCATTTCAACATTCATGACATCCATCCATTTGGGGTTAGATAAAACATCCTGCAGCTTAGTTGGCACTCATACACTAGATAATTGACATAAATATGATGCATATGACTTAGACAAATGATGAGTTGACACATAATCGCTAATGGATATTTAGACTTGGCATGTATATTAGGAGAATATTGTACTTCAGGTTTCCCACAAGTGGTTCATGGGGGTAACTGATAAGTTGACACCGATAGATCATTAGAAATTACCTCACTTGATTCGCTATTACGAGTAGATTGGAGCACTGGCAGGGTAGAGGGGGTATTGCATCGAACTCATCCATACAAGAATCATTGTCATTATTTTTAGATATAGTCGACTGGTGACTTGCTTTAGTGTGACCGGTCATTTCGACATCGAGAGCACCTGCTTCATCTCCAGATATGGGCGACTGGTCGAGTTCCGAAGGGCGATAAGTTGTTTCTTCACAAGGACCACAAGTTTCATATTCAGATAAGGGCAACCAGTCACTTGCTTCAGTGTGACACATCGTTTCCTTCCCGAGAGCAGTATCTTCAAACACATCATTCTTCAATCTAAGACTCTCCAATTCACTCCCCATCTCCCCCTGAATTGAAGAGGAGGTAGAGACATAATAGGGCACTTCTTCATAGAAAGTCAAGTCCAAAGTAACATGCACCTTCTGGGTAGGTGGATGATAGCACTTATAACCTTTATGAGTAGAAGAGTAACCAATAAAGACACATTAGCAAAAGGATAAAGTTTACTCCGTTGATAAGAGTAGACATGAACATAGGCAACACACCCAAAAACTTTAGGGGGAAACTTTGAGACTGAGACAGGGGAAACATGGTCACCAAACACATCATGTGGAGTCTTGAAATTAAGAACCCGACTAGGAGTACAATTAATCAAATATGCAGCAGATAAAACAACATGCCCCCAAAGATAACAGACATGTCCAACATAAGGGAGCGGGCAACGTCAAGTAACTGACGATTCTTGTGTTCAGACACACCATTCTGCTGAGGAGTAAATGGGGTTGTCGTTTGGTGAATAATACCTTGAGCATGGAAGAAAGATGCCAAAGTGTTATTCACATATTCGCCTCCGTTATCAGTCCGGAATACTTTGACCCGAGCATGAAAATGAGTAGACATCATAGTATAGAACTCTGAAAGGATGGAAGCAACATCATGCTTATTTTTCAACAAGAAAACACAAGTGAGTCGGGTACAATCATTAATAAATGTGACGAACCAACGAAATCCGTTCGAAGTAACATGAGCCGGACCCCACACATCAGAATGCAGTGAATCAAAAGGCTTTGTAGCTTTATTGTCACTCAAAAGAAACATAGTGCGATGACTCTTGGCCAAAATATATATCTCACACTTAGCTAGACTCATCGCAAGAGCAGAATAAAGATGGAAACAGATGCTTAAGGAAGCCAAATGACGGGTGTCCCAAGCGACGATGCCATAACCAAATTTGTTGTTTGTCTTTGACACTACAACTTTGAACAGTATTAATGACACGATCACAAACTAGTGCACAAGACAATGTCAAATAATATAACCCCCGTATATGTTTACCATGCCCAATCGTCTCGTGAGTCTTGAGATCCTAAAAATAGCAATGCGTAGGATAGAAAGTAGCAGAAACATTAGGTGTATTAAGTAATCGACCAACAGATAACAAGTTACAATGGATATTGGGAACTGGTAACGCAGGAGACAAGGATAGAGTAGGAGTGAGAGAGATTATGCCCTCACCAGTAATTGGAGAGGGCAAGCCATTAGCACTAGTTATGTATGGGTCACGGGTGTTACTAGACAACTCATCAAAAAATTTAGCATCATAAGTCATACGATCAGAAGCACCAGTGTCAATTATCTAAGTATTGGAACCAGTACCTAGAATAGAATAAAAAACACACAAATTTCCAGAGGCAACAGCAACAACACCAACAATGGAGTTATCACTCATGATTGCAGCAGACAGATCACGGTAAAGTATACATCGGAACACAGCAGAGGCACAAATACGGTAGATTCACAAAGACAGGCAAGAACACAGCGGAACACAACAAAAGGCACAAATACAATAGATGCACAAAGACAAGAATGGCACGAACACAGTAGAGGCACTAACATTACAACACAACACACAAACCCAGGAGGGCACACACAGCATCTGTAGAGAAAAAAAAATATGGGGATAGAACACGGGTGGGCACAACACACAGGTCACCAGAAAAGTTGGCTCTGATGGCAAGTTAAACAATATAGGTAGAATATTTTCGGGTTGTATTTCATTCTCCAAAATAAGGTATTTATAGTACAAGGATGTAACCCTAGTAGGGTCAAAATAGGAAACAAGATAAAAACCTAATTACACAATATCTGTACAAAAAGGAAAGAAATATAATCCTAATAAACTAGAAAATAAATATCCTAATTAAGCTAGGATCTCGCTAACACAAAGTTGGGATCATTCTTTCTTTGCAGATTATTTTATTTTTATCAAGGATCAAATCAACCGAGGGCACCATGATTACATTTTCTCACGGGCATATTCTTATTTGGCCAAAGTGGACCACCCTCACAACATATAGTCTAATGTGAACATAATTACCCGCAAGCCTTAGTGACATGCAATCCACGCGGGGTGCAACATAAGGTGGAGATAGCGTCTGTTATCCAACTTTCAAAAATTTTATTATTATTAATTATCATGGAAATTAGGATCTATAAATAAATTCCTCCTCCTAAAGTTAGGCTCGTAAAACACAAACAGAAATGGCTAGGAACCTTGTTGGTCTAGGTGTTAGTCATACAGATGTATTGCTTCCAAGTGCTGACGGTGGACTATTCTTGTGGTAAATCGTCTCGCAAGAAGAAACACCGTAATGTGCCAAATGTTTCAGATACCGGTGCATATTATTATAATTATGGTGGATATGGAAGAGGCAGAGGAGGTAGTGGAGGACATGGTCATCACGGCAATGGGGGCGGAGGACATGGTCATCACTAGGGGCGGAGTTGTACTAAGGCCTGGGATGGCCCTAGCCCCTCCAATTTATTTAACCCTTTTGAATATATATATTGGATGTGGTAGCAAATGCAAAGAAAAATTGCTATACTTAAGCCTATGGCCCTCTCACCACAAATCAATACTAGTCAAAATTGTATTTTAATATGAATATAATAGTAAAATCATACTACATTTTATGAAAAAAACCACGCATTTCAATTTAATGCTTTTGTACGCAATAGTTTACTCAATAGGCCAAAAAAATATACAACTAAACTTTTTGTGTTAACATTTTGGCCCCCTCAAATATAAAATCCTAGCTCCGCCACTGGTCATCACGGAGATGAGGGTAGAGGACATGGATATGGCGGTGGCAGAGGTTGTGGTGGGGGTGATGGTGGTGGTGGATGTTGTGGTGGAGGTTGTGGTGGTGGAGGTGGAGATACTTAGGAAAGAGATCTTATAGTTGTGTCATAAAAGAAGTTCGAATTTAGGTAAACAAGACATGTCCTTCTTATATGTAGAGTTCTTGTTGATAATGGTATTGGATTCTCAACAATAAAAAAATAAGAAAACCCTAAATGCCTTTTCCGCTCTTCTTCTCAGCGTTGCACAATTCTCTTTTTGGGGAGGAGGAGGCATATCCCTCCTCCCCCTTTTCACCTCCTCCTCCCCCTTTTCTCCTTTGCTCTGCTACCTCTCTATCTTCTTTGCATTGCTTTCTCTTGGTGTGGGTGTTCTCGTTTTTGGCAAGAGCCTGTTTGGCCGTGCCGTGGCTCTCTTAAGAGTTGGTGGTTTATACACTCCCTACAAACAGATTTACTTCCTCCTCTAAATCCCCTCCTCTTCTTGCCTTATCCACATTCCGGATCTGGCCTCTCTATTGGGCTACATCAACCACTTCTATAAATGAATTTTCGCGTATTTTTTGGAAAGTGTACATAGCTCTTACCATGGCTATAGCTATGGCTCCTGCTCTGGTGTTTGCACCACCACCTTTCACTCTCTTGGTTTTGGTCTTTTGGGACATACCATGGTTTGAATGGTTGTTTTCTCTATGGTATTCGGCCTTCATAGAGATTGTGAGTGTTGGATGGATGTTCTCGTGTGGATGTACTTTGGTACTTTGGGGAAATTTGTTTCTCGGCGGCAAACTAGTGGGTCTCTTTGTGCAGCTGTGCTGATTTGTGTGAGGAAAGTGTATTTCCTCTTTTATGGCTATGTTGGTGCAGTCCCTGTTCCCTTTGCGGTAGTGGCTTTGTTTGCTTTTGTTTTGTATTTTATTTTGACTTTGTGATGGGGAAGATTCATTTTACTAGACTGTAATGATTTTTAGTTTAAACTCCCATATGCTTGTTGTTCTTTATTCCTATGTATTGACCTTTTTGGCTCTTCTAATCCTTGTTTTTTTTTCCAACTGTGATTGAACAAAAAAAAACAAAAAGGTATTGGATTCTGGGCTATGTTATATTAAAGGTGCTTCGTATATGCATGTATATATGATGGTCAGATAGTGTTTTTTATTAATTGTCATGGTAGTGCTTGTTATTCCCGATTAAAAATTCACTTTAAATTTCTATCAACAAAAATGCAACAATCCGTAAATTCCCATTTTGGGCAGTGTATTCCCTACCATTTACAATTTGAGGATAATTGACAATTTCCGTCATCAAATGTTGATAGAATGACCACTTTTTTAACCCCTCAAAGATCACTTTTAAATCATAAAAATTTTATTTGAACACAAGACTTTAGAGTTCGTAAACTTAAGTGGTTATTCTAGTATCAGAGACGATTCAAATTATCCATCACTTAACATCGCGCATATATATATTTTTTTAGTTATTCAAAACCATGACATACGATTTAATGATAATGGGCTCATCGGGATTTATCGCTTTATTGTTGCAACTACCGTATATGCTTAATGGTAATGTATCGGTGGAGCAACACTAGGAAATGTGGTGGAAGATTCAATAGGGATGCGACAGATGTTTTATATCAACGTCAAAGGGCCAATGGTGTGGCACATGCTCTTGCCCAATATGGCTTGAAAGAAGGCACTCGTTTCCTTTGGACTGATGCGGCACCACCTTGGTTGGACTCTATTCTATGGAAGATAACGAAGTGGGGTGGGTGTTTAATAGTATTGTCTTGTATAGCTGCTTCAAAATCTGCAAACCCTCTTTCAAATTTCTGCATACCAATAATTCCCCTGTCAGATCTACCCCAAATCCACCTTAACCCTAATCTAACCTTCTCCCTTATCCATTTTAATCAAAGCAGGAATAAGCAAAACCATAAGGCCATGTTTGATATGGAGGATTAGACTTGACTAACTAGTAGAAGGCCTAGATTTCATGTGCAATCAAGAAATAGTATGAGTGTTGTCTTTTAACTTAGAGGATTAGGATGAACTATTCATAAGAGAGGTTGATGCCTAAAACTTATCCCTATTAATTCCACCAATTTCAAGGGGATTAGTGAGGATAAATTTTAGATATCAACCTCATATGAATAGTCCACCTTAATCCTTCAAGTTAGAAGACAACATCCATATTCTTCCTTGATTCACATAAAATCTAGTCATTTTACAGTCCAAGTTAGACCAATCTAATCCTCCATATCAAACATGGCCTAAGAAAAGATGGCACATGTTGACCCATATCTTCGTCAGAGTATACCTAGAACCATTGTCCATGGACAATGACCACTTCGAATGTCTACCAAAGTCTCTCCTCCTAGTCTTAGAATGGACTTAATTTGTTAACTATTGCAAGTGCAATGATGAAATTGGAAAAATTGAAAGGGAGCTTTAGTATTATACCCAAAATAGGTGCAGAAATTATAAAAAAATCCCCACATGGAATGCACTTTAGAAACATACCCAAAAACCATTTACTACATAAGAAATGAGTGTTCAAGTTCTTATAAATTACACAACTGCCATTAATTAACTTAAAACAAGCCAAACACAAAAAAAACTAAAAAAAACCCAAAACAAGCCCAACAAGCATGAAGTACATTGTTAATACCATATCATAGAAGTACATTGTTATTACTATGTCATATAAGTACATTGTTAATACCATTTCATACAAAAAAACTCAAAAAAAAACCCCAAAAAAGTCTAACAAGACATCCGATATCCTTTGCAGAAACCACCTCCAATTGTCCACAGTTTCACCAGAAACAATTGCAAAGGCAAAAGGAAATATCCGTACAAGAAAAAAATGTACACTGTTAATACTGTGTCATTGAATTATCTTCCTAGTAAAAATCACATTATGCATATCATAAACTTCAAGTGTACAGCTATATATAGAGCAAAATATAAAGCACGCTTTGTTACTGAAAATATGTTAATATTATGTCATAGAAGTACACTGTTAATACTATATCATAGAAATCAACGCAGTTGCAGGGTATGAACAGTGTAACAACTGTTCATACCACTTACTAGAAGTTAACAACTATAATATTTTATTTGCATAATAGGTATGATAAAGAATCCAAACAGTACCAAACATCAAAACCAAGTCAACATTAAACAATGTTTTGCACATTAAAATCATACAGAACCTAGATCACTGAGAATCTAATCCAAGAACACTAATTATCAAATTTATTTTCTTTTGGTCACTCTGTATTAGAAAAGAAAATGAAGATGTAGTAGCAAGATGCCACACCAACAATACAAAATCATTGTTAGCTAACTCATAGTGGAAAACTTGAAGGAAAAAAGCATACACACTCCGCCTTTTTCACCAACTACAAAGAGGCTAACCAATACAGGGTTTTGTGGAGGACCTTCTTTTCCCCAAGGAATATGCATCTAGCAATGCTAGCACTAAACTTCAGATGACTTGTAGACTCATTGAAGCAATCAGGTAGCTGCAAATAAGCATTGCCTTAAACAAATATTACAATTTTTTTTTTAGGATAAGAAATGGCATGTGATGCATTATGAGATGCTGAAATCAGCCCCATAAGCCTACAAAATCAGGTTACACAAAATTGAACTTAGATGGCAATTTGCTCACAAACATTAGATAGCATACACAGATTGATCCAAACAAGTCTAACAACAATGAGAAAAACAAGCATAATGAATTCTAAATCACTAATTCTAATTATTATATAATTCTAAAATAGAAAAAGCAATACATCAATGACTCATGTAGACTAATTAAGTATTTTACTCTAAGAACTCATCCTAAAATTCTAACTACCACCACCTCTAGCACCGCCCGCACCCCAAAGAATGGGGAATAAATTTGAATCACCATATCACCATCACCATAACCTCAATTCAATCATACACTAAGCAAATACAGAAATTAAAAACAACAAAAAATACAAGAAATTAAAATTTCACAGTAACCTCTAAGAGCTTTTGTGTATGAGAGACTATGAGTAGTTCTTCAAAGAATCTCTCTCCTGGCGGCATATCCGTACTGAGATCAACGAACGTTATCCAACTATCATTCCAAGTATGATATCTACGTTCTTTGCCATGCTCATTTCCCCAAAGGCGTTCTTAGCTCCTTCTCCGTCCGAGGTTGTTGTAGTTGATGTCTTTTGGATTCGACGGTGCTGGAAAAGGAGCTGGGGGTGTGTCGTCGGTTGACGGAGATTGAGACGGAGATGATTGCGGTGGCGTCGGAGGTGAAGAAGGATGTGGTGCGTTAATTGGAGCGTCTGAAGGAGATGGAGGAAGGGAATCGGTGATGGAGTTTTGGGTGAAGGTGAATCGGCGGTGGGATGCGGCGATGGAGTCTGCGAGGAATGTGGTGGAGATGACGAAGATACAATGGAGAATTGGACTAGGAGAAAAGCTAGAAGTAGAGCTCGATGAACCTCGCCATTATTGAAGAAAAAGAAGAAAGTTTGAGATGCTGGTTTGATGAAGATTGAGTTGATTAATAAACAAAGCAAAGGGGCAAAACAGTAATCAAACATAGCTAAAGAATTTAAGAAATCTCGTCAATTTTTAGGTTTATTTTGGGTGTGTTTATATACATTGAATGGTATAGGGTTTCTTTATAGAACTATGTCTAGGAATGGGTGTTTAACTAATTTTCTAAAATTAAAATTACGGTGACCGAAATCATATTTTAGCCTAACTCCAGTAACCAAAAATATATTTTTTCCCTTTTTTTTTTATTTTTTTTTATTTTTTTTATTTCAACGGCTACACTTTCAGCATCCTCACCAAGAAAATTGGCAAAGGTGACCCTAAAAGTGAAAGCGCTAATTAAGAATTATGCACACTTTCATCAACTCATGAATCATCTTGTGCTTCAAAGGCGGTCCTACAACCAGGGCAGGGTAGGCTACCGCCTACCCAAAAAATTTTCACTAAAAAAAAAAACTATATATAAGCAAAGTAATTGATACCCATTACATGTGATGGTATAAACCCTTGCCCTGTAACCTACCCACACACTCTAAACACCACACACCAACCCATCGTGCTCAAACCCACAAACTAAAAAAAAAAAAAAAAAAAAAAAAAAAAAAATATACCCCCATGTTATGGAATGGCCCAGTCAGACTTTAATAAAAGGGGGGATATAACTTATAAGCAGCCAAATAGTGGTTGTGCAATTCCAGACAGAGTCGGCTGCTTCTTCTCAACTCAATAGTCTTGGCTGTGCAATAGTCAAGATGTGCAATTGTGGACAGCCCCTTCTCTTCTCATATACAAGGAAACAAGTATTCTTCTTAATCTCTTCTCTTTAATTATCTTCTTCTATTGAGTTATTCCTAAAATAAATGTATGGATCTTAGTTTTAATTTTAATTTGAAATTGAGTTTTCTAGGGTTTAATTAGGAATGAAATATAATTTGGGGATTTTGTTGAAATTAATTAGGTCTTTGATTTTAAGAATTTTGTTGAGATGTTTGATTTGATGTTGGCATTGTTTAGATGTTTGATTTGTTGTTGGTATGTTAATGTTTGATTAAATTCATTGATGCTATTATGAGAAATTGTTTGATTTTTTGTTGGGATGTTAATGTTTGATTAAACATACATTTAATTATATGAGACAGAAACTATCTCTCCATATATTAATTAAGCATACATATAATTATAATTAATATATGATACATATAATATATAGGAAGTAAAAACAAAAATAGTATCTCTCTCTCTCTCTCTCTCTCTCTCTCTTTTTCTTTTTCCTTCTTTTTCTTCCTCTAACTGTCAGTCTCGGTCTCTTTGTTAGTCTTTTCTTCTTCTTCTTCTTCTAGTAGTAAAAGACCATACTCGGGGGTTGTTGGCCAAAGGCCCTCTGATGCCTAAGCTAGTTCATTTGGATCTTTGAGAAAAGATATAACACTAGTTTAACTTATGTGGTGGCACTTAGCCGTGTGAGGAGAGAGGATGTGAGGGGCCGCGAGAGAGAGAGGGAGAGAGGGTTTGCGTAGGGTTTTTGAGTGTGAGTTTAGAATTACCTTGAATTTCTTGTGTGGCTACTATGTATTTATAGATTATTTGTGTGCTAGGGTTTTGGGAGAATAATCCTTATTTGGTTAGGATTATTCTTTCCAAAAATATTATAGGAATTACTCAAAGAGATTTGGTGGAGATTGGTTCCTTGATTTAGGGAAATATTCTTATCTCAAATCAAAGATTAATTTTCATTAATTAAGAAAATTAGTTCGACCTAAGGAATATTCATTTTCCATGTGTCGTCTTCCTATTGGTCGGTGAAATATATGCTCCCATAGTGATTGTGGTCTAATTGGGTGGTGGTGGTTTGATTGGATATGGGTGGCACTAATGTTGGAGTCGTTTGGGTGTTGTTGTGATGTTATGGCTGTGGGAGCAAATAATCAGCTTCCAATCACAAGGTGCCACGTGGACAAGAAGAACATATCTTAGGTCAATTAATTGAGCCCATTTATTGAACAAATTAATTGACACTAAAAATAGGGATATTATCTTGGGAAATAGCTCAAAATGCCACCCTTTTTATAATTTATTTTTTTCTGAAAAAACCACCCCTCCCCTAAAATTTTAAAACTACCACCTATAAATACATCTTTATTGTCCACTGATTGCACACATATCACATTTTCAGAAATTTTGTTCTCTCACAGCTCGCTCAGCCCCACTTTCTCTATCTCTCTCTTTGTCTCTCTCTAGCGTGGCTCTCTGTCTCTCTCTTTGCTCTAGCACAGATCTCTGTGTCTCTCTTTGCTCTCTCTGTAGCGCAACTCTCTCTCTCTCTCTCTCTCTCTCTCTCTCTCTCTCTCTCATGCACCTCTGTCTCGCTCTCTATTTTGAATGACGAACCCCTCCCTCGACCCCATATTTTTGGTATGTCTTCTGAATAGCTGCTTGCAACCTTGAAGCTCTACTGGATTGCCAACCTCGAATAGGTAGTGTTGCTGGTTATTTTCTTAATATATGTTGGATTTTGTGAAATTGGTTTTATTTTGATTGCTTGGGTTTCTGTTAAATTGGTTTTGGCTGTAATTTCTTTGGGTTAGGTTTTTTGAATCTTCATGCTCATCCATCTAGGTTTTTACCAATTACATTTAGATTGCTCTGGATATGTGAATCTTGGAACTTTGGATTTTCCATTTGATGTAGTGGATTTGTATAGTGTGATTGTGATGAATCCTTATTCACTGCTGTGTTAGTGTTGTATTGCTGTTGTGTTCCTGTTATTTTGCTGTGGTATCGCTGTTACATTGCCTTTATATTGTGTTATATTGCAGTTATATTGCCATTGTATTGCCTGATTATTGTGGTTATATTGTGTTAATGAAATAAATTTTTTTCATGGTTAGAAATAGAGACAATTATTATGCTGGTTTGCTATAATGGAAAATGGATAACCTCAAAGAAGATGTGCAAATACGAAGGGGGTGACTCAAAAGGCTTAATAGTTCCACGGACCATCACATTTACTAAACTGTTGGATCGTATGCATCAGATTGGTAATACAAACAGCAGGGAAGACAAGGTTTGCTTAAAGCTCTCAGTTTTGGTGGCCTCAAATGAGTGGAAGCACATAAAGATTGAGGACAATGAAGATGTCAAATTTTTTATGAAGTGATATGAAAGTGTAGCCTTGGTTTTCCCTTCGCAAGATAGTATTCTTAGGGTTCGGTGGCGATTTATTTTGCATGTCTAAAATGTAGTTTGAAATGAATGTTGTTCGGCTTAATCTTCATATATGTAATTCTTGTATTAATAATTGACACAAATTAAACTCGTAATCATCCCATTATTAACTAGTAATGAGTCAAGATAAGTAAATGAAATGAAAGAAAACAAGAAACCCAAAATAAACACAAACAACAATTTCTAGCATCCTTTTATTGCCACTATATCGCTATTGTATCACCAAGGTATCGCTATTTTATTGCGTTTTAGGCAGAAACGAATTATGCACTTCCTCTGTTTTTCAGTTTTGCCATATGTCCATTTTTTGACCTTTAAGTTTTATACCCATTACGCAAATTTTGTGTTCTGTATATGATTGGATTGAGCACAGAAAAATGAAGAAAACTACATGGACCAAATGTAAAAAATGGATACAAAAAAGAGTAGAAGTCAGTGGAAATGAACACGTCGTTTCAAACAAGTAAACTGTTATACCTCCGTAAAGAGCAAGTATGTTTATATATCGAGCAATACGAAATAGTTGAACTTCAGAATCTAAAGAATAAGTATGCTAACCATGATTGCAACTCGAAAACAAAACCCAAAAATGGAAACAGTTTATGTGCCATGTAAGGCAATTAGCCACCGCCACCGATTGTACAATATTACATTTCACCATGTACAACATGGCCGAAGACCTTGGAAATTATTTCACCTTGCTACATAGAATACCTAAACCAAATAGGTTTATCAAAATGGATGGATGACCATATAAAGCACCTCCAGCACAGCTTCGATGTCTGCATCTTCATATAAAGAATTTCCTGACATAATTAAGGAGCACAGTGAATTCCCAAGTGATAAGTGAAAAGTGAACTCAATTCACTGACATTATCATATTTACCTCATATATATGCCTTCCCCCCATAAAGCCTCAATCTCAAGCTTGAGTCGGTATTATGTGATCTTCGAATGGTGCCTAATGTAGAGACTATAAATGAACACCTACAATTTCCCTTCTTTGAATGAAACAAAACGACAAACAAACATAGAATCCAATTGCATAAATCGCTAAAACCATTAAAACCACAATGGAACAGGAATAAAACCATAATAACTAGTAATAAAACAGCACTACGATGCCAATATAATACCACTAATGTGGCAATCCAACAGCAATATGATACCAATAACAACAGCAAAACAACAACATTTTCAAACGAAGAACACACTCCTTCACTATTTCAAACAAGGAATCATCACAATCAGACAATTTCAGAGAAATCCCTAAATCCTAAACCAAATTCAGAGAACCCCTAAACTAATTTCAAAGAAACCCATAAACCCAAAACCAATTTCAGAGAAACCCCGAAACCCTAAACCAATTTCATAGAAACCATACACCCTAAACCAACTTGAAAGAAACCATAAACCCAAAGAAAATGATGATGAACCGTACCTTTTGGATGTGAATGGTGGAGTTAAGCTTCGATGAACAGACACCACTGAGGGAGGAAGACCACTGCGTCACAGAGAGAGAGAGAGAGAGAGAGAGAGAGAGAGAGAGATACACAAGAGAGAAAGCTGCGCAAGAGAGACTGAGAAAGTGAGAGCTAAGCGAAGAGAGAGTGAGAGCTAAGCGAAGACAGATTGAGAGTTGAACGATAGAGAGGCAGAGCCAAGAGAGATTGAGAGCTGAGCGACAGAGAGAGATGGAGCCAAGAGAGGTGAGAAAGAACAAAATTTCTGAAAAAAATGATATGTGTGCAATTAGTGGACAATAAAAATGTATTTATAGTTGATAGTTTAAAAATTTTAGGGGAGGGGTGGTTTTTTCAGAAAAAAATTATAAAAAGGGTAGCATTTTGAGCTATTTCCCTATTATCTTAAATATGAGTTGTTATTTTTATTTAAAAACATAATATCACCAATTAAGATATTATCCTAAATTGGAGATATCATCATCAATTAGTGATTTGATCCCAATTGAATCCCTAATCGACTCAATCTATACAATTCGGGGAAAGAATATCTTCCTCCAAATAAGAAGATATTACTTGAAAAACCTTAGATGTCTAGAGCCCTATAATTACTTGGCTTCATTCAACACGCAAGGCAACCCAATTTCTACCTGAGAACCTTACTCCCTCTCTCTCTCTCTCTCTCTCTCTCTCTCTCTCTCTCTCTCTCTCTCTCTCTCTCGCCATTGCTCCTCTCTCCATATTTTCTCCACACAGCGCCGGCTACCCGGTTGTCCTTATAGAGAAAACTTTGTACCCTTTTTTAGATATTGTTTCTCAAGGATTCCATCGAACTAACTTAGGCATCGGAAGACCTTTGGCCAACACCCCTCGGTGTGGTCTTTTACTACAGTTTGATTTTACAGGGACCAAGGAAGAAAAAGAAGGAAGTTCAAAGGGCGAAGGATCTAGAAGCGAATATTCTCCCATGAGATATTTGCACAAACATTTGGTGCTTTCATTGAGAGCATGAGTCATACTCAACGCGTGCTTTTGAATAAGTTTCCTCTAATTTATCACCCAATCGAACAACCATGGTTGTAAACAAATGCACAAGAAGCAAAACCATTGTAACAACCCAATTCACGACCGACTCAGGCCACAACGATGCTATGTCCTCAACGTAGCCACGGCGTGCTACGGTCAACGCAGTGTCCTCAAGGCTCCAACTGCTGTCGTCGTTGCTCCTATCAGTCACGTGACCTAGAGCACCACTTCAATGTGCACTGTCGTGCTATAGCTGCAAGGCTTTGCAGCTGGAACCACCGTGCCACCTCTCAGCCACCTTGCAGCAAGCGCAATTGTTGTCCTGGATCCCTCTGTCGAGCCCAAGGTGCAACCACATGGATAACCTCATGGTTTTATGGTGGCTACGACCTTATAGCTATGCAACTAAGCTGCCGAGTCCAGCAGCCGCCACCGACTCGTTTACCACCACGTTGCAGCTCGCAACCAACTTGGCGCCACTGCTAACTTTGGCCTGATGTTGGAGTAAGTTTATCCATTCCTTCTTTTGCCTCCACGCTCGACGTATGCTCCCATGTACACCTCCAACGAAACCATAGCCCGTGTGCAATTGAGCTCAACATAATTCTCTCCTCCCGACCCACAAAGTCAAGCATCCTTCAGTATTAGTGTTAATTAGCTGGCTTAGAGAGTGGGCAACCAAAACAATTGTCGTTCGTCTAACAGATAGGCATGGAGACAAAGATCAACAAATCAGCCAGGTTACTGACCGACTTCAATGGCGTGACTTCAATTACTATTGGCATAATAGACCTCGACATCTATACCTTACTAGTCATTAGGGAGTCTCCCCTTACAATGGCATCCTATATAGACCATGGATTGGCAAGATCAACAGTATCACATTAGCCATCTGATTAAATCCATTATCCATTCCTTAGGGACGATGTCAGTCAGATCAACAGTGATAAAGCAATGATGAGAAAATACTCAGCTCAAGGGCTAAAAAAAAGAAAGCAAGCATAGTTCATCCCTGTAAATCAAGAAGATCTGAACGGAGCAGAACAAGTAGAGACGGAGCAAATCTTCTTGACAATAGAGTGGACCATAAAGGAAAGGGAATAGCTACTCCATAATAGCAATCAAAGAGTCAAGACCAAGATGACAAAATCTGTCCGGAGGGCTCTCCTGAAGAAGGATTGAAACCGGAAGAAGACGTTGAGGTAGTACCCCTTGATCCTGACAAGCCAGAGAGAATAGTGCAAATTGGCTCGTGCCTAAGCCCAGAAGATAAGGTCGAACTGACTACCTACCTTCTTCCAGAACAACAATGACGTGTTCGCATGGTCATTATCTAATATGTCAAGCATTGATTCGCAGATTATCTGCCATTGCCTTCACTTCAACCCAGCTTGTAGACCCATAGTACATAAGAGATGCAACTTCACTCTCAAGCAAGTCTCCATCATTGAAGCCGAGATTGACAAGCTTCTGTCGGTTTCGTTAAAGAAGTCTCCTACGCAAAATGATTGGCCAATGTTGTTCTAGTGGCAAAGAAAGACCAAGAAAAGTAGAGCATGTGTCGACTACACCGACCTCAATAAGGCATGCCCAAAGGACAACTTTCCACTGCCAAGAATTGATCAGCTTGTAGATTCAACTTCTTGCAATTTGTTGCTAAGATTCATGGGCGCTTACTCCAACTACAATGAAATCATGATGCATGAGGAGGACAAAGCACAAACCTCTTTCATTATTGAAAGGGGTACGAATTGTTACAAAGTTATGCCTTTTGGGCTGAAGAACACTGAAGCAACATATTAGAGGCTAGTGAGCAAAATTTTCAAAGAGCATATCAACAAGACTTTGGCGGTCTACGTAGATGACATGCTAGTCAAAGCTCCCCAACGAGCAGGCTACTTCAAGAATCTTACTAAAGCATTTAGCCTGCTCCAAAAATATAGCCTGAAGTTAAATTCGAGCAAGTGCACGTTTGGAGTCTCATCCTGCTGATTTTTGGGATACTTAGTCACCTAAAGAGAAGCACATCCAAATCAAATCAAGGTCATCCTCAAGATAAAGTTGCCTACCACAACAAAGGAGATACAAAGTCTAATGGGTAAAATAGCAGCTCTCAACCAATTCCTCTCAAAACCAATTGCCAAGTGTAGATCATTCTTCAGAGCTTTGAAGAAAGGACAAATAGATAAATAGGACGTGGAATGCGAAGTTGCTTTTGAAAACTTGAAAACCTACCTCAGTTTGCCTCCCCTACTCTCAAAACTAGTACTCGATGATGATTTGATCATCTACCTGGCGTTGTCCAACTCAATAGTCAGCTCAGCTCTCATCCGAGAAGAGCTGGGGGCATAAACATGTTGTATTCTACAAGTCAAAAGCCTCCTCGATGCAGAGACTTGCTATATGAAAATAGAGAGGCTCATTTTGTCTCTTGTAGTTTCCACAAGAAAGTTAAGACCTTACTATCAAGTTTACTAGATAATCATCATGATAGAATTTCGTTTGAGATCAATTCTTTATAGCCTCGATGCTTCTCAGCAACTCGTGAATGAGCTATCGAACTTAGCCAAGACAACCTCCTCTACCTGCTGAAGACTGCTATAAAAGTCCAGGCTTTAACAAATTTTGTTGTTTACTCCAACAACCCAAGGACATGTGGCAATTACGCATAGATGGAGCATCAAATCACAAGGGAGTTGTGTTGTTGTCAGATTTAGCTGCACTAAAATTGATTCAGCTGCATCCTCAACTTGTGATACTCGCAAATGCATGAGCTGTTCGGTAGTATGACATATGTATGTGCGAGGTCGATCCCACGAGGATTGATGATAGATTGATTCAATTTGATTCCCTGCATAAAATAGAAAACAAGAAAGAAAGAAAAGATCTAACTCAATAAAATCAGTTAACAAGTTCAATTCAGATTCACAGATTGATTCTAAATAAAGTATGATTAGGCCATGATGTCTGATCCTAACCTTGTATTTCTAATTCCCTAATTTGATCCTTTGTTGTTGAACCTAAATTAAACATTAAACTCCATTAAGCATAGAAGAATGTTTTAAACAACCAAGCATGTATCTAATCCCTGTTGTCAAATGTCCATATAGACTTCCTATTCATAGTTCAATTCGAATTAAGGCATATGGTGTCTACTCTTAATTCCAACCAAGATAGATAACAGACAAGTTCTAATGGTGATCAATCATTCAAACAAGCATAATTATAATTGAAACTTGAAACTAATCAAACTTGAAAACTTAAAATAAGAAATTACATGACAATGAAAAATAAATTACAGCTAAGAAAAACATAAAGGAAAATTGAGTAAAAGGGTTTTGTTATAACAATTGAGAACTTAAAAGAAAAACTAAGAGAATTTGAGGGAGAGAAGGGAGAGGAGCTCTTGAGAGATGTTTGAGAGCTCCCCCATTTGGAGTGTGTTTGTAAGCTTAGAGAACCTCACTATTTATAAGCCTAAGGGAAGTAAAAATCTGATTTGAGTATTGCCTCTACCTACAACATCCACTTCACCAGCTTTACCTACCTTCCCCACAAAAAACAATTAGCTTATGCATATGTCATGCATGACAGTGCACTGCAGTTTGCTTGTAGGCTGATTTTGGGCTTGTTCTTCTTCTCAATAAATTTTGGAAAACTATAGACCTCAATCTCTGTGTCTTATCTTTCCAACCATATGTGGGCTATCACAAGGAAAACTTGGAAAGGCCTTCAAATGTCCCTTTTGGCACAGTAATGCATATGCTTCCGAAATTCACCTTAAGCTGCCAAAAGTTTCATAACTTCTTCTACAAGACTCAGAATTATGAACCGTAAAATGCTCCAGAAATTAGACTCCCAAATCTTTCTAATGATGTAAAGCCCATTAGCTGGTTATTAATGAGCATTTACAGTCCAATCCGTGAAGTTGACTGATTTGCAGACGCATTTTTTAGCTAACTTTACTCCAAAATGCATTAAATGAGTTCTAATGCTTAATACACTGAAACAAACACAAAAAAGATTTAAAACACAAGTTTAAATATTAAAAAAAAATAATGAAATCATAAACTAGAATGGTACATAATTATATAAAATTATGCACTGATCAAGCTGGAGTAGGCGTCATCATAATCACCCTAGATGGAACTTTGTTGGAACAAGTTATCACAATGGGCTTTCTAGCTTCAAACAACGAAGCATAATATAAGACATTGCTCGTCGGATTAAGCTTAGCAAAATAATTGTCAATCAAGAAATTGATTATCTACTCAGACTCCCAGCTAATCACAAATGAAGCTTCAGGCGAATACGTGGAAAAATACCTAAGAATAATCCAGTACCTCGATAAAGTCCAAGAACTTTTGTAGGAATTCCCCACTTTCACTATCCAACAAGTTCCTCGGCCAGAGAACACTCATGCAAATTCATTAGCAAGCCTAGGATCAGCGCTGAATACCCAATTTAGATGCTCCATCCCAGTCAAACACCTAGACTGACCAAGCATCGAAGATATAAAGCAAATTGACTCAATGCAGATTGATGAGGACCCTAATTGGCAAAACCCCATCATCGACTGCTTAGCGAATGGAAATTTGCCAACGGATAAGTTAGAAGTTAAGAAAATAGAGCAGAAGGTCGCGAGATACTATATGCAAGACAGCAAGCTCATTCGCAGATCATACTGCCATCCTTTTCTCACATGCACAAAGTACCCTCAAACACTTGAGGTGCTTTGCAAAATCCACGACCGCGAGTGTGGCAACCACTCTGGGGGTATGTCACTAGCCTAGAAGGCTCTAAACATAGGCTATTTCTGGCTTACCATGTGCCATGGCTCCACCAAGTATGTCAAAAGATGTGATTGCTGCCAATAGTACAAGCCAGTTCCTAACTTGTATGCCGAAGTATACCATCTGCAGAACAAACTGTGGCCATTCATGCAATGGGACATTGATTTAGTGGGCCATTACCACCTGCCAAGAAAGACATGATAATGGTCGTCATCGGCTACTTTACTAAATGGATCGAGACCGAACCTCTATCCTCTACTAAAGAAGCTAACGTGGAATGATTTTTCTGGAGAAACATTAACTATCGGTTTGGCTGCCCATAATTGCTTGCTACAAACAATGGCTCACAATTCATTAGCGACCAGATCACTGCCTTCTTTGCAAAGTACGACATCAAGCAACACCTGTCTACCCCAAGGTATCTGCAAAGCAATGGCCAATCCGAGGTACCTAACAAAATTATATTGGATTGCCTAAAAAAGATACTGGAAGGCACCGAAGGGAAATAGATAGATGAGCTCCCTGGAGTACTATGGGCTTATCAAACCAATAAAAGGAGATCAACTGGCGAAAATTCATTTTCCTTAACTTATGGAACTCAGGCGATCATTCCTCCGCAATGTCCCTTCCATGAGCATTGAGGTGGGCAGTATTGATCAAAACTCCAAACAAATGAAGCTCAACCCTAACTCACTTGAGGGAGAATGCGAGAAATCCTTTGTCCGAGTTGCCTCTTACCAACAACAGTTGAAGTCTTACTATGACAAAAGGGGCAAGGTCAGATAGTTCCAACCTGGTGACCTTGTACTTAGAAAGATTTTCATTAATGTAAAGACAAGGTCCAAAGAAGATGAAACCCAATTGAGAAGGACTTTACGTGATCTGACAGTTTGGGGGCAGAGGAAGCTATACACTTGATACCATGGAAGAGAAGGAGATTCCAAGACAATAGAATGCCTGCCACCTTCAAAGCAATAACCCATGAAACTTCATCCTACCAACTTAGTTCCTGGCAGACAATTGAGCCCTATCCACTTCTAAAGAAAGAGAGCAGCTAATATTTCCGTTTCAAGTAAAGTGATGTAATCATGTGAGCATAAATGCAAATTTAGTTTCTTATTCCATAATGTGTCAAAAAAAAAATTGCATATAAGTAGCGTCCTAAGGGAGATGTAATCTACAAAAAAAACATCATTCCAGAGATGTAATCTACAAAAAACATCCTTAAGGAGACATAGGATGCACCGTGAGTTTTTAAGGAAGACCCAAGGTCTTATCAATTTCTTAAGGGAGGCATAATGGTCATGTATAAGCGTCATTCGGGAGACACTGCCCACAAGCGTCCTTAGGAAGACATAGGCCGCGCCGAGAGTTTCCTAAGGGAGACCGAAGTTCCTATCAGTTTCCTAAAAGAGGCATAATGGTCATGTATAAGTGTCATTTGGGAGATGCAAGATGCGCCGGGAGTTTCCTAAGGGAGACCTAGGTTCCTATCAGTTTCCTACGGGAGGCATGACAATCGAAGTATCCTAAAGAATGAGTAGAAGAGCACCCCAAGCGGTGGGTAAACATTCAAACATCCTATGAGAGATGCACAACCAAGACACTAGTTGGTTACTTAAGCAATTCAAAAGACACAATGCAAATTCAACAAAAAGAAATAACTGAAGTTTCCATAGCAAAGTGACCAATTGGTTAAGTTCAACAAAAAGAAGATAATAAAAAAAGACCAATTATTTCAAATAAGAAAGCATATTATAAAATGCTTGAAAAGAATCTTCATCTACTTTGAGATTCTAGTAGGAGACCCCAGGTCTGCAACCTCTTCGGAGTCCATCTGATCAGCCATGCCTTCAGCAGTTCCAGCTATATGCACTGCGACATCTATTGCCATCTCATCAGCCACACCTTCCTCGGCTTTATGCTTTTCAGCTACATTCTAGTCGGGCCCCTGATCTTCAGCTTCATTCATATCCACAATACTGATCTGCTCATTTTAAACAAGGAATAAGTCAAGGCAGAGTGTCTCGATGTCTTCATCTCCAATGGCATAGCAAGAAGCAGTCCCAAACGTGTAGTCCAAGTAGCCCAACTTGCACGCATCAATGAAAACCCCAGACTTGGAATGTTTAGCAACCTTGTGGTAGACATCAACTTCGGCCAAAATCTTGTCATAACTATGGGAGAAGTTAGCATTCTTACGCTCAAGAAGAAAATAGGCATTTTTTCGACTTTCTAGGGTGGCAGCAGAAGAGTTGAGTTCACTATCTTTCTTAGCAAGGGAACTCTTCAACTCTGATATATTCTCCCTCAGTTCAGACATCTTCTTTTCATAGCAGATGCTTGCTAAACCCAAGTGTAGGTGTTGCGCAATAGTAAATCTTGTAAGTCGAGTATCGTATCCACATAAAGCGGTGTTAAAGTGCACCAAATATGTAAGATAACTGCAACAAGAAGAATCTGATTAAAAGATTAGAAGAAAGTTCAATAATAATAAAACACTAAGACGTCGGGGTTCCACCTTCAAAATACATATGTGATCCCATTAGTTTGATTCTCCCTATGATTGTTCACAATTAAAGGGTTTAGGGCAAGGAGAGGGACCCAGCGAATTGGGCTGGCCCGAGGCACGGGCTCTCAAATTTTTTTTAATGTTGGCTCGTGCAATGCACACGCCAACGTTAAAAAAATATGAACACCAGCGCTACAGTGTCCGCCAATGGATATGTACCACATGTCGCGTCCTAGGCTCTCCGATCATAATTTTTGTTCCAATCGAACGGCAGGCAATTTTTAGCAATAAAAAAATGAAAAAAATCGAAAGTTTTTTTTAAAAATACCCAAAAAATACTGATATATATATATATAAATACCAACCAATACTCTTCACTTTTAACACCAAATCCTTATACATTTTCTTCTCCTTCTACTATTATTCACTTTCTAGTCAATATTTTTTTAACTTTCAAATTGTATTTTTCTCTACAATATTATGGGTTCTTCTAGTGAAACCGGAGGGGCATGGAGCATGATGGAAGATGTTAGCTTGTGTGAGTCTTGGGTCCAAATTAGTCATTGTCCGTAAAGGGCAATGAGATGAAATTCTATCATATGTGGAAAAAAATTCATCAGGATTTTGTGAAAGGGTAATTGGTTCAACCCGTACGGAAATTACATTATCTAGTGGATGGAAAATTCTTAATAAAGAGTTGGCGAAATGGAGAGATGCCTTGACAAAAGTGATGGACAACCATAGAAGCGGGGAAAACCTTAGCAGTGAGGTAAATTATTTGTAATTTTTGTTTTATTAATTTCTGTGTCATATTAATTTTTAGTTAAATGTTTCTTGCAATTTATATATTTTGTTAATATTTCTTGTATTTCCAATATTAATATGAATGTTTCTTGCAATATTTATATTTTGTTTTGCATTTCTAATAAATTGTTAAAGTTTCTTGCATTATTTTTTTTTATACTTGTTGCATTGCCAATATTTTTTAAAGTTTCTTGCATTTCCATTTTTTTTTATATAGATTATGCAAGCACAAATGTGGTTTGGTGCTACTGGGCAAGGCAAAAAAAGTTTCAACCATACCCTATGTTGGGAGGTGGTGAAGAATTGTAAGATATTCCGAATTATGCCAACGGGTCCAGAGGTAGTGTTGAACGAGACGCCACTCCATGAGACACCGGCATCGGATTCACCTATGGATTCCCCGATGAGTCAAGACTCACCCATCAAAAATGAGCCAAGGCCTATTGGAAGGAAGGCGGCGAAGGCGAAGAGAGGGAGTAATTCTACCAAGAATGCATCTAAATTTTTGGAGGAAATTTCAAAGCACCAAGCCATGAGAATTGAAATGGACATGACACAACAAGAGCATGATAGGGCAATTCAACTAGAATATGCAAAAGAAAGGGAGTATGTAGCCAACAAAACATTGAAAAAAAAGATCGGAAAACCATGGCCATGGATACAAGCCATGTGTCCCCTGAAACAAAACAATTTTGGAAGCTAGAACGAAGGGATGTTATGAGACGAAGACTTTTTCGTGACGATGGACCTAGCAACACGGATTGGTTAAATCATCAAAACCATTAAGTTAGTTTGCTTGCCTTTCATTTCATTGTATTTTTTGTTTTGTTTAAAAAATTAGTGGTAATTCATGTATTTTATTTTATTAGTTGTATTGATTTCCTTTTAATGAATAAAGAAAATATTCAACAAAATTCCTTTTTATTCAAAACATTCCATACATAAAAAGCAAACCACAACCAAAGCATAAAAAATAAATAAACCACAACCAAAGCATTAAAAGAATAAAGCATAACTAAAAATACAACATAAACATAATAAATTAAAAAAAACATCTTCACTTCACTTCATTCATCTTCATTGCCTTTGACAGCCCATAAATGCTCCATCAAGTCAACTTGACGGCGTTCATGAATATACGACGATTGCATCTCCGTGTAGTGATCAATCATACGAGGCATGAAACTACCGTCTCTAACCAACGGTTCATGCTGCACTGGTTCTCCATTTGGCCCCATGGGTTTTTCATAAATTCATGTTAAGGCCGTGTTCATGGGATCTGGTTCATACACTTCATCAGCATCGTAATCATACTCATCTTCGACAATCATGTTGTGGAGGAAGATACAAGTCATAATTATACTCCTAAGCACCTCCTCGTCAAATAGACGCGCCGCACCCCTAATAATAGCCCACCGAGCTTGAAGGATACCAAAGCACCTCTCCACATCTTTTCTGTACCCCTCTTGATAGGCAGGAAATTTTTTTTGCTTATGGGATCAGGGATGTGGAATTGATTTCACAAATGTTGTCCACCTCGGGTAGATGCCATCAGCTAGATAATACCCGTTCTGATAGACAGTATTGTTGACTTCATATGTGATATTTGGGGCTTCACCTCTCAAAACATCATTGAACACTGGGGATTGATCCAGGACGTTCAAATCGTTTTGAAATCCGGCAACTCCGAAGAAGGCGTGCCAAACCCATGTGCCAAAACCAGCAATTGCTTCAAGTATGATCGATTTCTGCCCTTTCCTATTTCCATAATCCCCTTGCTAAGCAGTTATTCAATTTTTCCATTACCAGTGCATGCAGTCAATGCTACCAATCATTCCAGGAAATCCACGAGACTCAGCTTTTTGTAGAAGCCGTTGCAGGTCCCTGGGTGTAGGTCTGCGCAGGTAGTCCATGGTGTATAGAGTTTCCACTGCATCACAAAATCGTACCAAGCTCTCCAAAATAGTGGACTTCCCTATCTGGGCAATCTCATCCACCTGATTAGCAGATGGCCCATACGCCAACATTCGTATCACAACTGTGAACTTTTGCTCTGGAAGAAGCCCCAAATTTCCAGCACAATTTTTCTTTTGAACAAAGTATTCATCATAATTGCAAATATCATGCATGACTTTATTGAACAAATGGGGTTGCATTCTATATCTCGCTCAAAAATGAACATCAGAGAACAGAGTGTGGGATAAAATAATCTTCATAAGATTCTTACCCTGAGAATGTCTATGTCTGTCCACATTCGGGCTACGGCCTTCTCGTGAACCACGGCGGCTCTAGTTTTCTTCCTCCAGCATAGCAACAGGTATGCCAAGTTGCTCATCTAGTTCTCTTTGCGCCCTTTTGCTTGCAGCTCATCTACGCATTCTTTCTCTAGTTTCTCACTCTTGCCTCTCCAAAACCTCTTGCATGCCTGCCATTGAGAATGGAGAATGAAATCTAAAATCTGATAAATGGAAATGTAGAGAAGATCTGGTGTGGGAGGTATGAGCTGAGCCTCTGGTTTTATAAAAAAATTTAGGCAGATAGATATGACACGTGGCGCAATCTTAGAGGGTGAAAATCTTATCTGAAATTTGAATTTCGAAATGTATCTGAAATTTGACATTTTAAATTTATCTGAAATTTGAAACCGAAAATCTATCCGATATGAATAGTATTGACACGTAGGAACCCAAAAATCTTATCCGAAAATATTATCCAAATTAATTGTTTAAGTAAACAAAGTTGTGAAAAAAAAACAAAAAAAATGAATAGTATTTGCCATGACAAGCCTAAACTGCTAAAAACACACTTTGTTGGGGGGGCTAGGGCAGCCACTATTCACGTGAATAGTAGCTGCCCTAGGGCTCCCCTTGCCATGACAAGAGGCTAACTGATGGAAATTCTCTTATATCAGTGAAACCGTAACCGCTTAAGATTTATTTTCCTCCTTGAATTTAACCTCTCCACAGTCCTATGCATGCACGTCAGCTTCCTCTTTTGATAAGTCATGGTCTCTTAGTTAGCACGTGATGAGTCTCCAATCAATTAACTTAGTTTTCTCTTTTACTTCATCTCTTTTGCACTCCAGTAAGCTACCCACATAATTCCAATATTATTTGCCTACATAAAATTGGCCAAAGTCAATGCAAAATAATATTAAACTTTATTTGACAAATTAAAAATATAGTAGACCAAAATAAATAAATTAGTAAATAAATAAGCTCTAAGGGTATATTTTAGGGACATAAATGATGCAATTCACAGCTATTATCACACCTCCCAACCAGCTTATTGCTAGAGCCAAGCAATTCAAGCGTCTCAAAGGAAACTCCAGTTCAACCACAAAAACAAGAAAAAAAAACGAAAAAGAATAAAAATAAAGAAGCCACTTTCACAAGGAACTCGATTGCATTGAGCGTATGCAACAGGCCTTTAAACCTCAAAATTACCCAGAGAGGACGAGTTATAGTCTCGTGAGGGTTTCTAGGGATGATACCCACAAACATCGAAGTATGAGGTTAAAACAATTTGCTCGGTCAAAACTTTGAAAAAAAATCCAACACCCAACTGTCATCAACAAAAATAACACATCACAAAGCTTTGATTTTCAACTCATGAACAATGTTAAAAGAGGGAACACTTATCCAAAATTTCCAAGTTTATCCCAACTCAAGGTCCAAATCATTTATAACAAGTTAATAAACCTTTCACAAATTTCCTTTAGTGTAGAGTGAACTAACACAATCATGTGACATAAGCTCAATTCGAATCATACCAACCTCCTTATAACAAGGATTTTTAGACTCTCTTACCTAAAACAAACACCCCCATCCCCCTTCTTTTTTTTTTCTTTTTTTTTGAGGACTGTGTAATGTCTAACTCCATTAAGCTTTCTAATTTACCCATGTAGCGAGCGTTAGGCCAATGACTCTCAAACCCAAAGGCTTTAAGGCATTAGGTGAAAAGACACCCCTATGAGCTTAATAACTCGGGTTAAAAAGGCTACGAAGCTAAACTAGTCACACAATATTTCACACCAAAACTCCACCATTTGACGCAAACACTCACTACTGATTAGGCAAGAGGCCCGGTTACTAAGTAAAATCTTGGATAGAACAATATACATATATATAATATTTTTTTTTTTTTGCACCAAGGTTAGTCAAGAGTAAGTTCATCCAATAACACTTGATCAAAAAGATTGAATATATCTGGTTTCTAAGCTTACTCCCCTAAAAAGTGTTAGTGTGCTTGTGCAAATTTCAAAGTGTAACTCATGAATTATCCACTAACCGGAAATAATGAAAAAGACTCAAAATCGGGATACTTATCATATTGCTCACATGTTCTCAATCTTAAAATCACTCATGAATATCAAATCAACATGTAAGGTTAGTGCTTTCAAATTTACGACAGTAGGTATAAGGATTGAGAAGGTAATGTAAAGTTAACAACATCACAAATGTCTAACCTCATAAATAAAAAAAATAAAAAACAAATAAAACAAAGACAAATATATATATATATATTTAAGTTAAGAAAAAAAAATGAAATAAAAAAAGGAATTCTAACAGGTTGTGAAAATATTAAAGAGACACATATGTCCCCCCAACTGGAAATTGACATTGTCCTCAATGTGAATAGTCAAAATAGAAAAAACGCTCATAAAAGACAAGGGTGAGGAAGGAATGCACCTGGAGTGTCCAAAAGATCTCCAAAAGATTTCCTGCAACAAGTGAGTACGTAAAGAAAAAGAAAAAAAAAGAAAAAAGGAAAAGACACCACCATACCAACCACGAAGACCCACCCACTCTCTTTCAACTCATTTGGTAAGCTATTACCATCAACAAGAACAAACTACAACATCAAGAAAAAAATTAAAATAGTAATGGGGTGTGGATTTTGGGAGTTTTGAGAATATGTTTTGGTGGATGAAAGGTGGTTGTTGGGTAGGGAGGAGGGTGGTGGGTGGTTGTCTCTCAACAACGAAGGGAAATCAAGGGGTAGGGGGAGAGGGTTTAGGTGGTTGTTGAGTTGGGGTTCTGGGTTCGTTGGGAGGGGGTTTGTGGAATAAATTTTTTTTTCTTTCTCTTTTTATGTAGTTGCTAGTTTGGGTGGAGGGTGGGGATGAGTTGGGGTTCTGGGTCTGGGGTGGAGGGTGGTTGTGGGATGGGTTTGGGTGTTGGAGTTTGAGGGTGGTGGTCATGGGGGAATGGAGAGAGAGAGAGAGAGAGAGAGAGAGCTTTTTATTTCATTTGTTAATATTTATTTATTTTTAACTTACAAAATGACCAAATTTGCCCTTATATTTAATGGCAACATTGACAAAATGTAACGGTAAGACCAATTGACCGAATAATATAGAGTTGATGGACCATTTGAGCGAATAATTTAATTGAGGGACCATTTAAGTAATTAACCCGAATTTTAATTACTGAAATTATGTGCTTTAATTTTAAGCAGCAAAGCATAGCCCCAAATCAAAAGTCAAACCCATTCAAACATCATACAAACCAAGAGGGATAATACCCAAAACCATTCAAGAAATCAAAACCAAGAGGGTTGGGCGCTCCTTTTGTTTATAAATTAAAAATTGTTTTTGTTTTATGGTTTAGAAAATATTTGGAGTTTTTGGGTTCCGTTTGATAGGCAAGAAAATTTCAACAAGAAATTGAGATTTTGGAGGTGGCCGGTTTGGTTGGGGAAGGAGTGGTTTTGAGGATTTTTGGACGGCGAAGCTGGCTAGATGGAAGGGAGGAGCTGGTGGGGCAGTGATGGCTACCCCAAGTGGTGGTGGGAGAGGGAGTTGGGTACAAAGAAAGAAAGTGGGGGAGAGAAGAGAGAAGTAATGTAATTTTATAATTTTTTTAAAATAAAATATTTTATTATTCTTTTCACATGTCGCACTTATATGGCATATATATTAATAAAAGAACGGGCTCTATTTGTGTCGCATCAGCATTTTTAACAGAATTTTAACAGAGTTAATAGTGGGGGGCAAAGTGAACCACCAAAACCTGGGTCAAGGGGGTACCCTAGGTCACTTTTAACTTTCAGGAGGTAAAGTGAGATTTGATCATAGTTTCAAGGGGCGCTACAGTAAATATTGGTTGTTCACTCACAAACCTTTAACTTCACTCGAATGTTTGGCAGACAAACATCAATTATTTTCCTTCAATCAATTATGTAATGGGCTCTACGGCCTCCATTCTTGACTTTACAGCATATAGTCTATTGTGAACATGTGAACATAATTACCCGCAAGCCTTAGTGGTTGAATGCAATCTATGTGGTGTAATATAAGGTGGAGATAGATTCTCTTTTCCAACTTCTAAATATCTTTTATGGGAATTAGAATTTATAAATAAATTCCTCCTCCTAAAGTTAGGCTCCAAGAACACGAACAGAAATGGCTAGGAACCTTGTTGGTCTAGGTGTTAGTCGTAGTCATGCAGATGTATTGCTTCCAAGTGCTGGTGGTGGTCTATACTTGGTTTGTATGATCCTGATGTCCCTTTCAGTAATTTCAGCCATAATACTTTCTTGTGGTAGATCGTCTCGCAAGAAGGAAGGCAATAGAGATACCATTGGAGGATACGGACCGTCTCGCGAGAAGAAAGACAATAGAGATACCGATGGAGGAGACGAAGATGGAGGAGATGGAGGAGGCGGAGATGGAGGAGATGGAGGAGATGGAAGTGACGGGGGACATGGCCACCATGACCAAGGGGGCGGGGGACATGGCCACCATGGCCAAGGGGGCGGGGGACATGGCCACCATGACCAAGGGGGCGGGGGACATGGCCACCATGGCCAAGGGGGCGGGGAACATGGCCACCATGGACATTGGGGCTGGGGACATGGCCACCATGGCCATGGGGGCGGAGGACATGGCCACCATGGCCATGGGGGCGGAGGACATGGCCACCATGACCATGGTGGTGGAGGACATGTTGGTGGCGGAGGACATGTTGGTGGCGGCGGTGGAGGTTTTTAGGAAATAGATCTTATATAGCTGTTTCATAAAGGAAGTTCAAATTTATGTGAAGAAGAAAAAAGTTCTAATTTTGGTAATCAAGACATGTCATTCCCATGTAGAGTTCTCGTTAATGCTGGTATTGGATTCTAGGCTGTGTTATATTAAAGGAACTTCCCATATGAATATATGATGGTCAGGCTGTGTATTTTTTATTAATTGTCATGGTCTCGTCATTTTCGATTTAAAATTCACTTTAACTTTCTATCAACAAAAATGCAGTAATTCGTAAATTCCCATTTTGAACAGTGCTATTTTCTGCCATTTACAATTTGAGGACGATTAACAATTTCCGTCATCAAATGAATTGATAGAATGACCATTTTTTAACCCCTCAAAGTTATATTTTGAATCATAAATATTTGATTTGAACACACAACATGATAGGCATTTTACAGCTTGTAATAATAATGGTCTCATCATATATAAAGATTATACAAGTAAGGGACTTGTAATCAGTGACGGACTTACAGAAGCGCAAGGAGGTGCAGCTGCACCTCCCCTCGTCGGAATAAGCATTGCAAGTGCAGGAAAGTTGCCTCTCTGCTTAGTCCGCTGTGCAGTTTACCTGTTCGACAAAAGGCCACTAAGAGTTCCTTTCCTTTGTTGCGCTGAGCTATGCTCTATGTGCCGAATATGTATTTTTTTAAAAAAATTCCTGGCTAAAATGACATCATTTTGGACCAGGAAAATTATAAAACAAGATCTCTATTGTAGATGGAGAAGAGGGTGGAAACTCCAACAATAATGAGATTTCGCTTCTTTTTTTTTTAAAGTTCCTTTTTGAGAGATTCTTTTCGTCCCATCACACCAATTCTAGTCCTTATAAAACATTATCAAATTGGTAACTTTTTTACGTCTTCAGTCTGTTTTTTCAATTTTTTTTCCTTTTTTTTTTATTTTTATAAAAATTGATTCATCAATCAAATCTTGTGCCAAGAAAGAAAATATTGTATCAATAAACTTTTAACCTTTCAAAATTGCACCTCTATCGAAAAATTCTTGGGTCTTCCGATGCTTATAACTCAAGTAGTTAAGAGCAATTATCCATGTGCCTGAGAACCTATGTTCAAATCTCTTACAGGGTCTCTGATCTCTTATCCCCTCATATGGTTTGTATATTCAAAATTGTTGACGCGAGTCTCCTAATTAATGAATGAGATTTATTTCTTTGATTAATTAAAGGATTTACTTTCTTATTTTATATAGTTGACAAATCATTGTATAATTAGGAGATACTACCCTAATTGGTTACTGTATCTATTTCCTTGTAAAGCACTCATGTAAACTCCTATATATATCTCCTTATGGAGAAGAATAAAACTTAACCAAAAGTATTCAAACCATATTCATATTTTAGCATGGTATAAGAGGAATCGATCCTAAGTTGTCTCTAAACCTTCATATCAAATTTCTCATATTCAAATCCATAACATTAAATCAAAATCCTCAAAACCAAATCCCTCGACTATAAAGTCCTCAAATCCTCTTATCAAAATCCCTAAACACATACCCTCATATCTTATATACATACCTCTCAAATCAAATTCCTACATCAAATTCCTACATAATATTCCTCAGATCACATTCCTCCAATCAAATTCCTTACATTCTCATATCACATCTTACTTCCACTGCGATGTCAGGACCCCTACGATTCTCTCCCTTATTGCAGACTCACAGAAGCATGTGGTCAATCCTGTTGACCTGGCTACCTGGACTCGTGCTTTTATCGCCACCACCAAAAGTTCTACTTTTCATACGTCCTCTCAAAAATCCGCTTACATTCTCATACGTCTGTTTTTGCGATTTTTTAACTAGACCATCGTATTTTACACCTATAATCCAGTATTTTAAAATTTTCATTTGTCCTGTGCAAATCCTGCATAATGAAAATGTTATCAGAATTAAAATGATATACAGAGCTATTAATTAATGTCATACAATTAACTGCATAACTAATGTCATTATATAATACAACAATCAATCAATCCATATATCTTCACACCCATCTCTAATATTTGCACTCCCAAACTCACCCACTAGGTCATCAAATGTGTCAACATTTGATATCCCTCGAGTAAATGGCTCACACTCAATTCTAATATCACCTAGCATATCATCACCAATAACATCATTATATTCTCTATTAGGAATTGATAACACTACCGACCAATCATGATGCATTGGGTTGTCAGGAAAAAAGACTTGTTTGACTTGAGAAGCCATAACAAATTGGTCATTCCTATATCCAATTTTACTCAGATCTACAAGGGTAAATCCAAGTTCGTCGACTATAAGACCAGAAGTGTTATTTATCCAATCATACCTCAAGATTGGGATTCTAAACTTTTGGTAGTCAAGGTCCCAAATTTCTTGAATGACACCATACAAACCCATATTGGAGACAATAGGGTTTTTATCCTTGGCACTAGCAACTTGCATAGTATGTACAAGTAAATAAACTCCACTACTATTTTGGACAGTTAACATATCATCTTGTGCTTTGGTGTTAAATTTTACACCATTAATAAGATAGCTCCTATATGATGGCCTGCCATGCTTGGACCAGCTGCTAGCCACCTCAAATTTTCTAATACGCCATTATTTTCTTCCCCATTAAGTTCACTTTGAACCTGCAAATTAATCATATATCTTAATTCAATCTAACATAGAAAGAAGAAAATTAAAAGTTCAATATGTTATTCAATAACATATACCTTAAAGTGTAGCCATTGAATGAAAGTGCTATTGTGCTTATCTTGCGGCCACTTTGTTTTCTTTCTAAATTTTGGATAAGTGGTCTTGATGTGGATCATATGTTCTCTACATTGACAAGAAAAAATCAAGTATTACAGTTCCTTGTATATAAGATAAAAATAAGGAATAATAATATTTAAAATGGCTACTTAAAGAATAAAACTCATACTCGATATAAGGTAGGACTTCCTCTGTATTCTCCAAGATATATAGATTTGCCTGGTTCAACGAGTCCCGATCAACTAAGCTCACTGTGCAACCTGATAATGGCTTTGAAACTCCCATCTTCTGGCTTGATGGCACTTCAACTGTACTAACATCAGATAAATGCTCGGTGCAAAACTCTATAGCTTCTTTAGCTATATACCGCTCAGCAATGCAACCTTCGGGACGAATATGGTTTTGAATATACCCCTTTAGCACTTTCATATATCTTTCAAACGAATACATCCATCTAAAATAAACTGGCCCACATAGACGAACTTCTCTAACAAGATGTATTACTACATGAACCATGATATCAAAGAATGAAGGGGGAAAGTATTTCTCAAGCAAACACAAAGTAACTACTACATCTTTTTCCAACTTATTTAGCTTGGAAACATCTACCATCTTTGCACATATAGCACTGAAGAAGAAGCACAATCGAGTTATTGCATACCTTGCAGGCTTCTCCAAAACAAAACGAATTGCCACAAGGAGCAATTGTTGCATCAAGGTATGACAATCATGATTTAAGGCCAAGAAGTCTTGAATCTTTTAAAGGTACAAGAGTTTTTATATTTGAAGAATAACCTTCAGAGACCTTCATACCATAGAAAGAATTGCAAACCGCTCTCTTCTCTGCTCTTGAAAAATTCCAAGGCCCTGGAGGCAAGGGAGTACGTCTTTCTCCATACTCGGGTTTGAAATCAGTTTTGACCCCCATGTTCAATAAATCTAACTAAACAGCAATCTCATCTTTATTTTTCCTAGGGATCTCCAGCAATGTACCATGACAATATTGCAAACATTCTTCTCAATGTGCATAACATTTAGGACATGCCTCACAGGAAGGTATTTCCAATACTCAAGATTAAAGAATTTTGATTTCTTCTTCCAATAAATTCTGTCACCATCATTCTCACTAGGGGTGGGCACAGTCCGGTTTGGTCCTGTTCTCACCTCAAACCGGAACCGGTACTATTTAACCGGTCTGGTTTAGGCCAAAAAAAATTCAAAAACTGACCGATTCCAGTTTTGAACCGAATTATTAATTTATTATTTTTAAAATATTTTTTTATAAAAAAAATTATAATAAATAACTTCTTTTTTTGGCTTAAAAATTTTCAAATAATCAAATTCATACATTTAGAAATTTTTTGAAGTTGAACTTGGAAAAATAGTGATTATAACATTTAAAATATGGCATTAGATTTTAAAAATTTGTAAAAATAAAAAAATACATATATGACCGGTCCGATTTGGTCCAGTCCGATGCGATGGGGTGTAAAATCGAAACTGAAACCGGTTGGAACCGGTTTGAGTCCGGTTTGTTGACTCTTTTGGTCAACCGTTTTTTTCTGGTTTTTTTTCACCTGTTTGGTTCGGTGTTTCGGTTTTCCGATCCTGATGCCCACCCCTAATTTCAATAACTCTTCCCCATTTTTTTAGCCCTAGTTGTAATTAATACCTTCAACCATTGCAGTACTTCTTCTCCGGTTAATGGCTCGAAAGGCGTGCCATATTCAGGTTTCCCATTAAAACCTGCATGCTGCCTCCGAATGGATGATTGATTGGTAACCATTTTTTATGCTTGATGTAACAAATTTTGTTTTTTTAACTTGTGACTAGGTGTATCATCACCGCATATTGGACAAGCTTTATATCATTTAACTACACAGCCAGATAAGTTCCCATAGGCAGGAAAATCATTAATTGTCCACAATAATACACCTCTAAATGTAAAGTATTCTCCCATGTGTGCATCATACACTCCTCTAATCCCATCCCACAGAGATTTTAAATTATCAATCAAAGGCTCTAAGTAGACGTCCATATCATTTCGGGTTATTTAGGACTAGAAATCAATAAAGTCAACATCATGAACTTCCGTTTCATGCATAGTCATGGTGGGAGATTATATGTAACTAAGATAACTGGCCAACAATTGTATCTGCTACTTAAAAAACTGTGGGGATTGAATCCATCAGATGAGAGAGCCAATCTCAAGTTTCTGGGCTTTTTACCAAACTTGGGCCATTTATCATCAACAAGTTTCCAAGACGAGGGAGTCCGCTAGATGAGACATATGACCTTCAACTGATTTTCTAGCAGCATGCCAAGTCAAACTCTTAGATGTCTTATGTGATTGAAACATCCTTTTAAACCTTGGAATTTGTGGAAAATACCACACCACCTTCTTTCGCACTCCCCTTTTCAAGATTGAATTTTTGCCTTCTTTTCACCTTGAGACACCCCCTTTCAAGTCAAACTCTTAGTCATTGGGGCATGCATGGATTTTCTCATAGCTCATCCCCAAAGCAGACAAAGTCTTTTTTGCCTCGTACATAGAGGAAGGTAGTGTATTTTCCTTCTAGAAGCAAATCTCCTTGAAGTATCAATAATTCTATAAAACAAACATCACTCATGCCATGTTTTGCTTTCAAATTATATAACTTCACCAAAGCCGACAACTTCATGTACTTACTGCAATCAGATACAAGGGTTAATCTCCATCCTTAATCACATTGGCAAACTCATAAGGATCAGATCCAATATCGCTTAAATCATTATCATCCATCCCTAATTCGTCAGAAACAAAACTGAACCTACTTTGCTCATCTTCTTCCACATTTCTACTAGCATCAGTAGTCCATTCACAAGGTTCTCCGTGCCATGTCCAAATCTTATAGCTTTGGTCAATTCCATTAAAGTATAAGTGGCCCCTTATAATTCCAACCCCAAACAATCGAATATTCCCACATTTAACACATGGACAATGAATATGAGTTGTATTTCTAAGATTTTCTACTGCAAAATTCAAAAATCCTTCCACCCCTAACTCATATGCCTTCGATCTTCTATTTGCATGCATCCATGACTTATCCATCTCACACACTATAAAATCATATATATAATAAAGTGAGAAGACCAGCAATGAAACACTACTATATTCACATAGCAGAGAATAAAATTAAAATAAAAACGCAAAGAAAAAAACATCAGACGATGGTATTTACAATATAATCATCATTTAATATAAATTTAGACGACGGCATCTCTAATAATCGCCGTCTTTAGACTACCCAAACCCAAACCCAGAAATTTGTATTGCTTCTTGTTTTGGTTCTGGGTTCATGTAGAATAAAGACGACGGTTGTTGGAGATACCGTTGTCGTTAGTCTACCTAAACCCATAATTTGTATTGCTTTGGTGAACAAGTTCTGGTTACGGTAGCATAAAGATGACAGTTAGTGTAGAAACAGTCGTCTTTCTGCTACCAAATATAAACAAAAATTAAGACGACGGGTGTAATGAACAATTGACATATAATGAAAATCGACGTTTCACATCGTTTCCAGAGAAAATCGACGTCTTAAATATAAAATAATTAGATGGGCTTTGTGTTTCCTGGGATTCGAATGCGCGTAATTGACCAAAAACAGTCGATAGAAACTGGCGTCGTTTCAATATACCCTAAACCCTAAACTCTAAACCCTAAAGCCCAAAGTCTAAACCCTAAATTTTACAATAATGATAAATAAATAAAAATACACAAGTTTGAGAAAAATGAACCGAAAATTGCTACAAACTCCTTACAACAATGCCTTCGATATTAGTAGGCTAAAATCAAGATTTCATATATTTGAATTTATGGGCACAAATGGATCACATAAACCTTAGCGTAATGTTATGAAAGTATAAAGACTATTGTGATTTGTCTCTAAATTTTTTTAACTTTTGTTATCACTTGTAATTTTGAAAACTAAAATTACATTTTTCAAACCTTTAGCGGGAAGATATTCTCTCAATGAATGCATAGTATTTGTCGGTTTAATTTTCGAATCTTTTTAAAATATATTATGAATATTAGGAATTAAATACAATAAAAAAATATTTTTTAAATTACATTTTTAAAAGCTTTAGGGGGTAGACAATCTTTCAATGAGTGCATGGTAGTTCTCAGTTTATTTTTTCAATTTATTATGAATATTAAGAATTAAATACAATATAAAAGTCATATTAATATGAAATGACACATATATAACCGATGTTTCATTCATTTACAACGATGTAAAACAACGTCAAACAACGTCCTAGTTAATTTAGACCTCACTTGTTATGACATAATCGCCGTCTGTAATACTTACAACATCCAAATTATCTAAAGAACACCACCATTGTAAGTTCTGTAAGATGCCCTTTGTCACTACTACAAAAAAGGAAAAACACGACGGGAATTCACAGTCGTGTATTCAGTTTTCAAATGGTCGTGGAATCCACCGACATCTTTTCCATAACAAAACCACGACAGTAAATACCCGTCGTTGTTAAAACAAAAAACGTCATCAACAAATAAAAACCGACGTCTTTGTATTGCAAAAAGACATAAAAAAACAGTTGAGGATGAGAATAGACGACCAACTCTAAAAAAAAAAGTCGTTAAAAAGGAAACATATGACATATATTAACAGAACATGGCCGCAAGATAAACATACAACGACGAGAACTAAAACTCAACACCGTTAAATAAACCTTTAACGACAAATAGAAATATGACGTCTTTAAATACATAATAGACGACGTTATTGACACCTACTACGTCACAACATTTCCAACAACCGTCGTAAAATAAATTTTCCACTTCGATTTTTCTATGAATGATGACATGGAAATAGATGTCAGGGTCATTAAAAAAATTAACGTCGTCTAATTCATATATCTTAACGTCGACAAATTTACCAATGGACTTCAAATACCGTCGTGAATTCATCCTTTTCCACTTCGTTTATGAAAGAACATGCGACGTGGTAAATTAATGACGACGTCGTCTTTTGTAACGTTCAGGTTAAAGATCTCGTCTTTTAGACGTCGGTATTATGGGATTGGAGTCGTGTTATTTTGAATTACATGGCGGTTCTTTATGCTTGTCCGACGTGTTATCCTGGATAACTGTTTCACAATAGCGTCGTGGTTCTTCATTGTTACGTTGCTTTAAGACGTTAGTAAATATATTGCGGTCATTGAATGCTCCAAAACGTCGTTTTTTATTAGAACAGACGTTTGTTTTTCACATTTTTATCAAGACCGTCGTGTTTGTAATCTGGAACCAGTAATTTTTGTACTGATTGTTTTGTGGCCAAAACCTGTATAATGAAAGTGAAGAAATCACATTACAATATATTTCAAAATTAATGTCATACAATGCCAATTACATAAAGCATCATTCAATCCATATATCCTCACACCCATCTCGAATATTTTGACTCCCTAACTCACCCACCACTTCATCAAATGTGTCAACATTTGGCATCCCTCTAGTAAATGGCTCACACTCAATTCTCACATCACCTAAGACATCATCACCAATAACATCATTATATTCTCTATTAGGCATTGATAACACTACCGACCAACCACGATGCATCGGGTCGTCAACAAAAAATACTTGTTTGACTTGAGAAGCCAAAACAAATTGGTCATTCCTATGTCCAATTTTACTCAAATCTACAAGGTTAAATCCAAGTTCGTCCACTACAAGACCAGAAGTACTATTTATCCAATCACACCTAAAGACTGGGATTGTAAACTTTTGGTAGTCAAGGTCCCAAATTTCTTGAATGACACCATAGAAACCCATATTTGAGAGAATTGGGGTTTTTATCCTTGGCACTAGCAACTTGCATAGTATGTGCAAGTAAATAAACTCCACTATTTTGAGTTGTCCGCACATCATCTTGTGCCTTGATGTTGAATTTAATACCTTTAATAAGATAGCTCCTATATAATGGCACTGCCATGTTTGGACCAGCTGCTAGCCACCTTAAATTTTCTGATACGCCATGATTGTCTTCCTCATTAAGTTCACTTTGAACCTGCAAATTAATCATAACTTAATTCAATCTAACATAGAAAGAAGAAAATTAAAAGCCCAATATGTTATTCAATAACATATACCTTGAAGCGTAGCCATTGAATGAAAGTGCTATTTTGCTTATCCTGCAGCCACTTTGTTCTCTTTCTAAATTTTGGATAAGCGGTCTTGATGTGGATCATATGTTGCCTACATGACACAAAAAATTCAAGCATTACGGTCCCAAACATATAAGATAAACATAAGAAATAATTTTAAATGGAAACTTAAAGAATAAAACTCATACGTACTCGATATAAGGTAGGACTTCCTCCGTATTCTCCAAGACATATAGATGTGCTTGGTTAAACAGGTCCCGATCACTGTGCATCCTGATAATGGCTTTGAAACTCCCATCTTTTGGCTTGAAGGCACTCCAACTGTACTAACATCAGATAAATGCTCGGTACAAAACTCTACAACTTCTTCAGCTATATACCGCTCAGCAATGCAACCTTCGGGACGAGTACGATTCTGAACATACCCCTTTAGCACTTTCATATATCTTTCAAACGGATACATCCATCTAAAATATACTGGCCCACATAGACGAACTTCTCTGACAAGATGTACTACTAGATGAACCATGATTTCAAAGAATGAAGGGGGAAAGTACTTCTCAAGCAAACACAAAGTAACTACTACATCTTCTTCCAACTTATCTAACTTGGAAACATCAACAGTCTTTGCACATATAGCATTGAAGAAAAAGCACAAACGAGTTATTGCATACCTTGCAGGCTTCTCCAAAACAGAACGAATTGCCACAAGGAGCAATTGTTGCATTAAGGTATGACAATCATGTGATTTAAGGCCAAGAAGTCTTGAATCTTGTAAAGATACAAGATTTTTTTATATTTGAAGAATAACCTTCAGGGACCTTCATACCATAGAAAGAATTCCAAACCTCTCTCTTCTCTGCTCTTGACAAATTCCAAGGCCCGGGAGGCACGTCTTTCTCCATACTCCGGTTGCAAATCAGTTTTGACCCCCATGTTCAATAAATCTAATCGAGCAGCAATCTCATCTTTATTTTTTCCAGGGATCTCCAGCAATGTACCAATGATACTATCGCAAACATTCTTCTCAATGTGCATAACATCTGGGACATGCCTCACAGGAAGGTATTTCCAATACTGGAGATCAAAGAATATTGATTTCTTCTTCCAACAAACTTTGTCACCATCTTCAACCATATGCAACACTTCTTCTCCGGTTAATGGCTCGGGAGGCGTGCCATATTCAGGTTTCCCATTAAAAGCTGCACGTTGCCTCCTATGTGGATGATTGATTGGTAACCATTTTCTATGCCCAATGTAACAAATTTTGTGGCCATTTTTCAACCTGTGACTAGGTGTATCATCGCCGCATATTGGACAAGCTTTATATCCTTTAACAACACAACCAGATAAGTTTCCATAGGCGGGGAAATCATTAATTGTCCACATTAATGCAGCTCTGAGTGTAAAGTATTCTCTATTATGTGCATCATACACTCCTCCAATCCCATCCCACAAAGATTTTAAATCATCAATCAAAGGCTCCAAGTAGACGTCTATATCATTTCCGGGCTGTTTAGGACCGGAAATCAATAAGGTCAACATCATGAACTTTCGTTTCATGCACAGCCATGGAGGGAGATTATATGTAACTAAGATAACTGGCCAGCAACTATATCTACTACTTAGAGAACTGTGGGGATTGAATCCATCAGATGAAAGAGCCAATCTCAAGTTTCTCAGCTCATTACCAAACTCGGGCCATTTATCATCAAGAAGTTTCCAAGACGGGGAATCTGCCGGATGAGACATCTGACCGTCAATTGATTTTCTAGCAGCATGCCAAGTCAAACTCTTAGCTGTCTCATGTGATCGAAACATCCTTTTAAACCTTGGAATTGGAGGAAAATACCACACCACCTTCGCTGGCACACCCTCTTTCAAGATTGAATCTTTACCTTCCTTCCACCTTGAGATACCACAAGTAGGACAATTAGTTGAATCCTCATACTCCTTCCTATACAAGATGCAATCATTGGGGCATGCGTGCATTTTCCCATAACTCAGCCCCAATGCACACAAAGTCTTTTTTGCCTCATACATAGAGGCTGGTATTGTATTTCCTTCTGGAAGCAAATTGCCTTGAAGTATCAATAATTCTGTAAAACAGACATCACTCATCCCATGTTTTGCCTCCAAATTATACAACTTCACAAATGCCGATAACTTCGTGTACGTTCTACAACTAGGGTATAATGGTTGATCTCCATCCCCAATCACATTGGAAAACTCATAAGGATCATATCCAAAATCACCAAAATCATTATCATCCATCTCTATTTCTTCAGACACAAAACTGTACCTACTATGGTCATCATCTTCTTCAACATTTCTACTAGCATTAGTAGTTGCTTCCCAAGGTTCTCCGTGAAATGTCCAATTCTTATAGCTTTGGTCAACTCCATTAAAGTATAAGTGATCCCTTATAATTCCAACCCCAAACAATTTCAAATTAACACATTTAACACATGGACAATGGTTATGTGTTGTAGTTAGAAGATTTTCTACAGAAAAGTTCAAAAATGCTTCCACCCCTAACTCATATGCCTTCGATCTTCTATCCGAGTGCATCCATGACTTATCCATCTCCAACACTATACCCTATTATATATAATAAAGTGAAAAGACAAGCAATGACCATCACTATAGCAGATTATATAAAGTTCTAATAGCAAGTAATATACAACACAGACGACGGTTTTTAAACAAAAACAGACGTATTTGACATATATAGACGACGAATTTTCAACAAACGTCGTCTAATTATAACCACGACGGTAGTTAAAGAACACCGTCGTGTATAAGTAATACAAACGACGGTTTATGAAAAAAACCGTCGTCGTAAGCCTAAAAACACGTCGATATCCCAGTTTATTTTCAAGATCCCAAAACCCTATTAAGAACACAACATATACATGAAACCAAGCATGAAACCAACATATACATGAAACCAAGCATGAAACCAAAATATACTAAGCATGAAAACAATAAATCCATTCCCAATTCAACATAACAGAGAGTGATTAAAAGATCCAACAAAATTAAATCCATTCCCTATTCAACATAACAGAGAACATTATTAACAGAAAATCCATGAACCCATAACTCCAACAACATTATTAACAGATCGCAAAATATATCTAAAACCCTTTAACAAAACAACGTAATATCATTCAATGAATTTACAAGGGGAAGAGAGGGTTTGTACTTACAGGTTGGCAGAGCTTACAGATTATGGCCTACTTGGATTCGACAGAGCCTGGAGAGCCCAACTTTGAATTAGAGATGAAGTGAGAGAGCGAAATGTTATGTTGCACGAAATCTGAAAATTTTAGGGTTCAGGGTTAGAAGTATAAAACTAAGAGCCAAATTTGAAAATTTTAGGTCCCGCAAATATTTTTAGAAAGCGCGCTCTTTAAAACATCGACCAAAAAACAACCGTCGTTAAAAGTTCACATTAAACATGACGCTTATTACATTAAAGACGTCGTGGTAAAACTATGTACGATGCAAAATCAAACAGAAGTCGTCAAAACTATGAAAAACCATGGCGAAAGTTCTACCAAAACCAACGTAAATATAGTATTTCACGACTCAAACACTGAACATAACGCCGTTTATTTTGAAGAAACCACGTCGTCTATTGAACCAATAGGAGTTGACGTTGCATTTTTTGGATTTATTTTAAATTTATTTTGAATATTTTGAATTAAAAATAATAAAATATTCTTATATCAACAACAAACCACGTCGGGGTTAATTAATTAACGACGTTGTAAATAATAATAAACGACTCACTTGTAAAAAGGACGTCGTTTAAAAGAGAAACCATGGCGGATGTTTCACCATCCGACGTAAACTCTATATTCCACGACTCAATCACCGTCGTTAAAAGTAATACCCTAAACTTTAAACCCTAAATTATATATTTTTAAAATATAATTTTATAAAATTGTTTATGGTTTTACAGCCTAATATATAACAAACATAAACCCTAAACCCCAAAAATTATACTTTAACCCTAAACCCTAATAAATAACAACCCTAAACCCTAAACCATCAAACTATAAGTGATGTTATGACTCATCAAAACAATTTTATTTTGGGTGGTCATTTTAAACTTTTATTACTCAAACTGCATTTTTTTGAGGTTTAGGGGGAAGAAAATATATCAATGACTTCATAGGAGTTGACGTTGCATTTTTTTGATTTATTTTAAATTTATTTTGAATATTTTTGAATTAAAAATAATAAAATATTCTTATATCAACAACAAACCACGTCGGGGTTAAGTAATTAACGACGTTGTAAATAATAATAAACGACTCACTTGTAAAAAGGACGTCGTTTAAAAGAGAAACCATGGCGGATGTTTTCACCATCCGACGTAAACTCAATATTCCACGACTCAATCACCGTCGTTAAAAAGTAATAACCTAAACCCTAAACTCTAAATTATATAATAAACGACTTACTTGTTCAAAAGGACGTCGTTTTAAAAGCGAAAACCATGGCGAAATTTTCACTAAAACGACGTCCATGGACGTACAAACGGTATATCACGACTTAAACAAAAAAGGTGTCGCCGTGTAATTTAATTACCATGTCATATCTGTCGTCTAAATATCCTTTTACGTCGGTTTTTGACATAATTATGTCGTTGGAAAGTTATTACACGTCGGTTACGCAATTTGTTTTTTCTTTTAAATTATGAAAACCTCAACAAATTTTCAGGGAAAAAAAGGATGTATATTATAGACAAAATTTGTACATTATATTATAGACAAAATTTGTACATATAAAAATATCAAGTGTTCCAAAAATCCTCTACTCCATATGAAGGCAAACAAATCTGCCCATTCATTCCGGACTTCATCAATGGCTGCTTGGGGGTATGGCGCTTGCTCTTTTCCCTTGGCAAACTGCAATCCATAAACAATGATTATTAAGCTTTACAAAATAAAAAGAAATTCAGTCACAGACGACGCTTTTTTTCATAACCGACGTAGTATATCGATTCAACGACGGTAATTTTAAAGGACCGTCGTTGATAATACAAAAAACCACATAAAATGTTTCTGAAAATTTTCTTCTTACCTTCTTCTCAAACTCCAAGGAAGGATCCATGATGATGTCCCTCATGAAGCGCATCACATAATACCCGCATTCGACACTGCTGGGTTGCTTTGGTGTGCCTGGCAGAGTTTTCCAAATTGGTGCTTTACGGCCTGGTCTGCCTATGTGGGAATTATAAATTTTTAAAGCACTGTTCACGATGTTTTTGCCCTCCTCATCAACCACACGATTTCCAGGCAGAGGATCCAGAAAATAGACGGTTTCCCTCTTTGCCCTCACAATCAGCAAGACCCAATGACGGCTGCACAAAATAAATAAAAAACGACGGTTAATATAAAAAGTCAGCACAAGAAAACAAACGACGGTTATTTATAAAAACCGACGTATTATACAGTTTCACACGACGAAATAACGTAGCAATCGACGTCATTATAAATTTATCACGACGGTAATTAACTACCGACGTGGTTAGTTGTTTCAAACGACTCAATAAATAAAGAACCGACGTGGTTAGATGTTTCAAACGACACAAAATTAGTTAAACAGTTTTATAAGTCAGTTAGTGAAAATCATACAAACAAAATCCTTTTAAGGAGACTAACCCTGGATTGTAAGGCATCATGAAAATCTGTTCACCATCTGTCTTCTGAAGTCGACTGGCTACAATTCGTGATCTGTCAGTTAGTGACCCAGCGTTGGCACTAACTTGAGCAGGGTCGATAAAGCCAACCATGCTGCACATATTTGCTTCTCTCAAAAGATCATATAAGCACCTAAAATATCATATATAAAAAAGTCACACAAAAAACACACGACGGTTATTTATAAACAAACGACGTATTATACAATTTCACACGACGAACTGAAATAGAAACAGACGTTATAACTAATTTATCACGACGGTAAAAAAGAACGACGTGGTTAGTGGTTTCAAACGACGCAATAAATAAACCACCGACGTCTTATGCTATAATGTTTTTTTTTTTTGAGTGTGAATTAAATTTTGATAAGGACAAACCTCATATATACTGCAACCACAGTAGCCCCAATTTCTTCCATGCCTGCAAACTGTGTAATATCTTCATGCAAGACGAAGGTACTGCGATCTGCACCAAACACCTCCTTCTCAATGTTGAAGGTCATGATCTTCTCCTGTGGCTTTAGTGTCGTTTCCACATAACGACAAAGGGATTGTAAGGAAGATGGCACCTCCACATTTGAATAATCAACTACTTCATTACCCTGTTTAAAGAAATAAAGCAAAATAAAATGACGTGGTAATTCATTAAAAACGACGGTTTAAATTAAAAAACGTCGTCTGATTATAATTTAAACGACGGTAATAAAAAACCGTCGTGTTGATAATTTATTACGTCATAGAAACAAATTCCGACGTCTAATTTGAAAACAAACGACGGTTTAAAGAAAAATATCGACGTCTGAAATTTGAAAAACAAATAAAAAGGCAAAGTTATGAGAATATACCTCTTCGTCATGCTTTTCTTCATCTTGTTTTTCTTCTTTCTTCTCTTCATCATTTTTGTCTTCCTTTTTGCCTTCATCTTTTTTCTCTTTTTCTTCTTCCTTCTTCTCTTCATCTTTTTTTCTCCCTTCTTCTCTTCATCTTTTTTTTCTTCTTTCTTCTCTTCATCTTGATTTTCTAAAGCCCCAGATTTCTGTTTTAAGTAATAAAGAAATATATATAAGACAGATTGTACAGAAAGTAAAAAAATTAAATCAAAACGTCGTGGTAAGGCATAACATAAGACGGTATGTAAGAATTATGGACGTCTTAAAATTATTAAACGATGGTAAATAATAAACGTCGTGGGTATTGTCTATTACGTCGTAAGGACTAAAACCGTCGTCTAAAAACCACAAAGTACGACGTCTAATGGCGTGTAAAACAAGTAAACTAAATACGACGTGGTATTGAAATACAAACGACGGTTTATTTATAAAATCGTCGTGGTATGGTTTTAAACGACGGTTTTCTTCATAATAACGACGTCTAATAGTTTTAAAAAAAACAGAGAATTCAAAGTTCAGATATGTTACCGTTTCTTCCTGCTGTTCCCCATTTTTGGCAGTATCATCCTCTAAATGTAGGGATCTCACATCAGCCCCAGAGCAGCTTGCTTTGTCAGACATTGGATTTTTGGGACTTTGCTCTAGACCTTGGTTTTGACAGGGGCTAGTTTTCGGTTTAAGCATGCTTGGATCAAAATTGGGGATGAGTTGGGAAAGCTGACTCAGTAAATGTTCCCTCTCAGCCTCTACCAATTGCTTGGTTCTAGCCTCCATCCTTAAAGTCTCTTCCCTTGATCTAGCTTCCATCTTCTTAGTCTCTTCTTGAAGGACAATTCTTACACTTTCCTTCAATTGATCGGCAAACTTTACCCTCTGTTGTCTAGGTAAATTGAAGTATTGCCTAGGGGAAATCCCAGCACCTACCCCTCTTACTCTCCCTGGATGCTCGGGACCCAAAGCCAAGGTCAACACATCATTACTGCCAGATACACTAAGACTGCCTTCAGCCACTTGTTTTTGCAATTCATCCTAAAACAAAGACATATAAAAAAGTCAGCACAAGAAAACACACGACGGTTATTTATAAACAAACGACGTATTATATAATTTCACACGACGCAATAACATAGAAATCGACGTTATAATATATTTATAACGACGTTACTTAAATAACGACGTGGTTAGTTGTTTCAAACGACGCAATAAATAAACCACCGACGTCTTATGCTATAATTACAGAAAACATAGCAGTGATTCCAATTCAGACCTTTAACGACGTTTTTTAAAACATTTCGACGTAGTAATATCATTCACACGACGCAAAAATTAACTACCGACGTCTTATGCTATAATTACAGAAAACAGAGTTGTGATTCCAGATTTAGATCTTTCACGACGTTTTTTAAAACATTTCGACGTAGTAATATCATTCACACGACGGAAAAATATAACATAAGACGTAATAAGAATTATACACAGTTTAATAAAAATTTAAAACAGAGTGTGTAGGCTTACAATTAATTTTGCTTTCTCTGCCACCTTTGGATCCGGGATGTTACCATGTTTGTCCTGTCTAGCTTTCTTCCATAAGGTAGATCGATCAATTTCTACCCCAGGCATGGTTTCCTCCAATTGATCCTCCAAACCAGCATATCCTTTTCGAGACAATCGATGATTGTACTCAAGTTTCTCCCTAATCTGTGAATGTTGAGAATGCACATACTCAAATTCTTTGGATAACCTTGAAGCTACAAAGGCATCCTATTCTGCTTTCTCTATGAATTTATATATTTCAGGGGGTTGGCTTAATTTCTCCCTCTCCTTGATGTATGGAATGATATAATGCCTCGTTAGTGTAGACTTGAAATCCTTCCATTTCTTGGCAGCAGAAGATAACACCAAGGTCTTGCCCCCTTGACCTACCACAAAAGCCATGTCTCAGCAAATGAAATAAACTTCATCTTCTTCAAGGGCTTGTCTTGAGGAGTTACCATTCCAAGCTCCATACCTCCATTTTTTTTGGTCTTGAGAAAACATGGGTACAGAAAAAACAAACCTGCAAGTGAAAATATTTCAGGAAAAAATTAAGAACACAAACGACGGTTATTTATAAAACACAACGTATGATAAGATTTTACACGACGCAATAACATAACATCAGACATAATAAATGTTTAAAATGAGAGTACTTAAACAACGACGAAAAAATATTAAAGAAGACGTAATAAGAACTTATTACGGCGATATTTACACGACGTCGTGATATTTAAATTCACACGACGTGAATATTAATATAACGTCGTGGTATGGACATTCACATGACGTAAATAATAAGATTCCGTCGTCTATATAAGAATCCAAAAACCTTTTTCTTTCTCTATGAATGTTTGATTGCAGGTTTAATTTCTCTGAAACATGGTTTTTGTTTTTCCTAATTTGATAAAATACAAAGAAAAAGAAAGAAAGGTTTGGCATCTTATATAGACAACGGTATCTTAGTATAACGTCGTGGTATTAACATTCACACGGCGTTAATAATAAGATACCGTCGTCTATATAAGATACCAAACCCTACTTTCTTTGTCTTTGTATTTATCAAATTAGGAAAAACGAAAACCATGGTTCAGAGAAATCAAACCTGCAATTAAACAAGCAAATAAAAAATCGACCGTCATTTTAAAAACACCTTAGATCAATTTTAAGACGACGCTAGGACGACTGACGAACTGTCGTGGTCTACATATTTAACCACGTAAATAAGAAGCTACCGTTGTCTTATTTAGTTAAAGTAGTTGTGTTCAAAGTTGGAAACTTTCCCTCTTTGTCTGTGTATTTTATCAAACTTGGAGCATGCAAAAATGATTTTGGCCAGAAAAAAGGTAAAAAGATTTTCAAAACAAAAACCGTATGAGCATGCAAAACAGCAACAAAAATAGTGAGAAATGAAAGCTTACCTTTTGCGTGCAATGAAAGCTTTCTCTCGGAGTTTGGTGTTTAAGTTCAGAGACGACGACGAAGACGAGAGGAAGACGATGAGATACTCTGATAGTGCTCTGACAAGGAAAAAGACGAAAAGTTTTCTCTGGGAGATAGAAATTTTTTCTCGGGTTTGGAAACAGTGCATGTGTAAGTCAGGTAGACGAAAAGTTGTATATATATAAAAACCGTTTCATAATAATAAGACGGCGGTTTACATAGAACGACGACGTATAAATAAATAAACTACGACGATAATTTGAACTTAGGACATGGTAAATAAATACGACAGTAGTGTTGTAGGTACCGTCGTAGTAAACTCCTAAATAAAAGTCGATAAATCAATATCTCGCGTCATGGTAGAAGTATTTAACACGACGTTTTTTTGTAATTTACCGACGTTGATTTTTATAATATATGTCGTTTTTTTGTAATATACCGACGTGGAATTTATAAATAAACGGCGGTTTGTGTGTAAGGACCGCCGTGGGTTTTAAAAATTTATTGTATAAATTTGTCGCTTTCTTTCAGTTTCAGTTTTCATTTAGGTTTCCAAGTTCTTCCTCTCTCACAGACACTCTCTCTCACATCTCAAAGACAATAATTTGGATGTCTTTCTCAAAGAGAAATGGAGCTTACTCTCCAACAAATCTATGTCCACAAGAGGAAGCTTGTCAAGCCTAATAGGAGACTTAGTGCTTCTGAATACTCCTTGCTTTCCATCAAAAGAGATGCAAGCCTGGCCTCCACTCGCTGTTGAAGGAAAGTTCGCTTCTCAGGGAAACCTGAAGATCAGATGTGCTCCTCTGCTCAATTTTCTTGGCTAAAAGATCCGTCATATTTGTGATAGCCTGTTCCTTTATCCGTAGAGCTTCTAAAGAAGAAGATGGGTTTTCAAGAATGCGATAAAGAATAGAAATGGCTTCAGATGGCCTCTAAAGCCTGAGCAATCGAATCAGATGGCTTTAGCTGTCAATGCTTTGAACTATCCAAGTCCTGCAGAAAGAGAACGGTTAAAGAAATTGAAACAACGACGGTTTTCTGTTCTACCGTCGTCTTTTTTTAAACTAAGACGACGCAATATTTTTTTCGCGACGTGGATTCGTTTTTAAAACGTCGTTATGTGTAATATAACCGACATGGATTTTATTTTTATAATTATAAATAGAATTTTTTTTCCCTTGTTCTTTCAGTTTATTTTTCAAAAACAGTGCCTTATAAATAGAGTTTTTTTTCCAAAGAAATTAATGTTCTAGAATTTGTAAAGTTTCTTTTTTTGGGTGACTGATTTAAATCAAATATGAATATAAAAACAACGACTGTTTTTTGTTATACCGTCGTCTTTTTTTAAACTAAGACGACACAATATTTTTTTTGCGACGTTGATTCGTTTTTAAAACGTCGTTATGTGTAATATAACCGACGTGGATTTTATTTTTATAATTATAAATATAATTTTTTTTCCCTTGTTCTTTCAGTTTATTTTTCAAAAATAGTGCGTTATAAATAGAGTTTTTTTTCCCAAAGAAATTAATGTTCTAGAATTTGTAAAGTTTCTTTTTTGGGTGACTGATTGCAAATCTGAGGCTGCCGTCGTCAAATTTCAGAAGCAATTTTTTGGATGTTAATGTATATGTGCGTTTGTGTATCTCAAACACACAAATACACATACATCATTAACCTCTAAAATATTGTCTTTCTGGTAAGATTATGATGAGGAACAGAGTTCCATCTTGTAAGATTTCCTAACCCTTGTGATCTCAGAAAAATATGATTATGTCGGCGGTTTTCTATATAAACCGTCGTGGTTATTTCAATTCTTGTCATTAAGTAGATCTACCAACGTAGAATAACAAAATCCAAGAAATAAATTGTTAAAAAAAATTCTTATTCAGACGAAGGTTTAAATATAATGTATGACGTATAAAGTGAATAAATACGACGTTAAATTGTATAATACGTCGTTAAATGAAAACCCCAACGTGGTGAGATTTAAAGATATTGTCGTAGAAATACGAGAAAGACGTCGTTATATTTATCTTTGTCGTAGTTGTACATTAATTTAATACGGCGGTATTTTGTATTTTACCGCCGTGGATTTATTTGTAATTATACGGCGCCTTATACGAAAACTTGGTCGTGTTAATTTCTGGGTAAAAACGGCCGCTTTTTTTGAAATGGTCGTCTTTACTTTCTACGTCGGTCAGTTTATAACTTCCGCCGTTATTTGTTGGCTATGATTTTACTACTTGGAAATCCTATTTCAATAAGACGTCGGTTTTTTAATTAGGTACGTCGTGTTTTAGGAACAGCCATTTGAATCTCCATTTTTTAGTTGTCTAAGGTGTTATTACACGGCGGTTTTATAAAACCGTCGTCTTTTAAAAAACAACGACGGTTTTCACTTAGACCGTCGTTTTTTTTCTGGTCGTCTTTGTCACTTTTTGTAGTAGTGTGTTGATATTAACGGTCATGGTATGTCTGTACAAAAAAAATTTCATACAAGATGAAGGTATATGTAGACTTCAGTTTTATATAAACCGTCGTGTTTTATCAGTTACATGTCGTTTTTAAAATTTTGTGTTGCTGTTTTATTTCCATTTGTAATAAGACAGAGGTGGTTTATACAAATGAGATGTGTTAATAGGAATTACACGTCAGTTTTTAGGAATTAATTTAATTTTTAGAAATTACTGTCATTGTCATTCATATAAAGTCATAAATAACATAAACAAATAAAAATTAAATTAATTTGATTATTTTATAATTACAAAAAAAAAAAAAAAAAAAAAAAAAAAAATGTACATTGTTAATAAAAATTCAATCACTTATCATTCTCTATTTGTTTGTTAACGAATTTTGCCCATTCCTGCCTCACTTCGTCAATATGTTCTTGTACATACTGAACTGATTCCTTTTTCTTGTCAAACTGTAAAATAAATGACAAAAACCAACGTGTTATAAAGATAAAAACGACGATTATTAATAAACCAAACAAAACCGTCGTTTCATAGTATACAAACAACGGTTTTTGAAAAAAAGTCGTAATTCTTAATAATAAAAAATTAAATCTTAAATTTTGTTTTTACCATCTTCTCAAATGCTAGGTCTGGATCATGAATTATATCTCTCATGAAACGCATCACGTAGTAGCCACACTCTACATTTGTTGGTTGTCGAGGAGTACCGTGTAAATTTTTTCATATGGCTGACTTACGTGATGATTGTTTGCCTCCGTGAATGTTATACAGTTTGATTGCACTGTTTCAACAAAACAAAAAGTGCTAATGACAAATACTTTAGCGAAGTTAACCATCATGGTAAATCAGTGAAGATGACGGCTTATTTAAAAAACTGACGTAGTATTATATTTCAAACGGTGGTAAGAAACTATTGTCGTTGTGTACGAATTCTAACGTCCGTTACTACGAAAATCGTCGTATAGCCAAAAGAGAAAGTTGAACATAAAAAATAAACATCTCTAAATGAAAACCTAAACGACGTGGTTTTTAAATTAAGATGACAGTTTCTATAAAATACTGACGTAGTAAATACTTCAAACGGCGGTAAGAAATTACCATCGTTGTGTATTCATTATAACGTCCATTTTAGAAAAAACCGTCGTATAATCCAAATGCAGAGTTAGAAAAATCTGTGAATGGAGTAAATCAACTTACGTATTCATTATATTCCTCATGTCCTCGTCAACCGAGCGGTTTGGCAATGAATCCGTATAATAAACCGTCTCCTTAGCTGGTCTCACAATAATCAACACCCAATGACCCCTACATCCATATAGGTTAATTAAATATTACAAAGAAAAGAGGTTAAATAGTTAAATAGTTAAGGGGACTAACCCTCCAAGAAAAATTGGTCCCCATCTGCCTTTTCCAGGCGGTCTGACAGATGTTTTGATCTGTAAGATAATGTTCTAGAATTACCTCATGTATACTGAAATCACTGTGGATCCGATCTCAACCATGGATGCAAACTGCAAAATATCTTCACAAAAGATGAAGGTATCATGCTCATACCCAAACACTTCCCCTGGAATGTTAACTCTCAGGGTCTTGTTAGAAGGCTGCCAAGTGGTTTGGACAAATTGGCATAGGGCTAACAGAGGAGGTGGCAAGTCTAGCTTTGAGAGATCTTGTTAAAAGAAATAAAGAAAGAAATATAAGATAGTTTATAGATCAAGTAAAATAAACGACTCTAACTAAACAATCCAAACAACGGTATTCCTAAAATACTGACGTAGTAATAAAGTTAGACAACAGTAAATTGAAACCATCATTCTATAATAGTCTAACGTCTAAATAAAGCAAGACGTAGTAAAGAAATAGATGACGGTTTCTGAAAAAATAATCGACGTAGTAAATGACTTCGATGGTGAATGGAAACCGTCATTATTTTCAAGTTCAAACTAAAATGCAAAATATTATGAAGATGATGAAACAGCAAAAGCGTCGTGGCATATAAATTACAACGTCGGTTCTTTGAAAAAGTGGACGTATAATGGATATCAAACGCCGGGTAAATATTTAACATCATTGTTTTAGTATTCAAACGTTGAATATTTAAAAAAGCGACGTCTATTTAAAATATGTCAGAGATTTTACCATGTCATGTTGCTGTTTTTCAGCAGCATCAGCATCATGCTTGAGATTTTCTTCCTTCAAAACAAGGGGTCTTACATTAGTGGTCCCCAAGCAGCTTGCTTTGTCAAACATTGGATTTTTTAGGCTTTGCTCTTGAGGCAGTAAAGGAATTGGAGTAATTGGAGTTTTATTGAGCAAGTTGGGATCAAAATTGGGAACTCGTTGACTGAATTGTTTCAAAAAAATTTCCCTCTCTTGTCTGATTGCCTCCAAAACTGTTTCCTTAGCCCTAGCCTTGATCCTCTTGGTTTCTTCTCTGACTGCCTCCTTAAGAATTTCCTTCAATTCGTCAGCAAATTTTACTCTCTGCTGTCTCGGCAAATTGAATAATTGAGTTGGGGAAACCCCAGCTCCAACACCTCTGACTCTCCCACCATGCTAAGGGGTTCTCAAATCCAAGGTCAAAATATCATTGCTCCCAGAGACAGTCAGAGTGCCCACAAGACTTTTTTTTTTTTTTTTTTTTTTTTTTTATCATCATAAGGGAGAGAGAGAGAGAGAGAGAGAGAGAGAGAGAATGTTAGTGAGTGAATAGACCGTAAAACAGATAAAATAAATCAACTCACTCAAAAATATTAATTGTCATGGTAAAAGGGTGAAGAGGACGGATTATTTAAAAAACTGACGTATTATTTAAATTAAGACGATGGTTGTAAGAACACGTCGTGGTAAGATAATTAAAACATCGGTAAGATATTATCATTGTTGTGTATGCATTCTAACGTCGGTTTTTGAAAAAAACCGTCGTATAATTGACATGCACAGAAGAAAAAAAATCTTAACCAAAATGTTCATTCTTTTCCAGAAATACTGTGCAAACCCAACTATAGAGAGAGAGAGAGAGAGAGAGAGAGAGAGAGAGAGAGAGAGAGAGAGAGAGAGAGAGAGTGTGTGTGTGTATGTGAGAAAATGCAGAGAGAGAGAGAGTACAAACCAACTAAGAAATTCAAACCGTCATAGTAATTCAATCCACGTGTCTGTAACCGTTTGTGTGCTAAAAATACCGACGTCATATAAATTTTTAAAAGGCGGTAAATAACAACCATCGTGGTGTTTAATTTATAACGACAGTTACAAAAATGAATGACGTCTAAATGAAAAATAATCTGTTTTTCAAATTTAGAACAGAGTCAGTGAGACTTACGATTAATTTTGCCTTCTTAGCAACCTTTGGATCAGGGATGTTTCCCTAATTATCTTCTCTTGTCTTCTTCCACAGCAGAGAACGATCGATTTCTTCACCGGCCATGGTTTATTCTAATTCATCCTCCAAACCAACATACCCTTTTTGAGACAACCTATGACTGTACTCGCATTTTTCACTTCTCTGTGACTGCTCCGAATCCACAACCTCAAAATCATGATATTCTTTAGAACGACGGATGTGAAAAGACGACGTGGTACGAGAATTAAAATGACGTGAATAATAGAAAACCGTCGTCTTCTTATGAGTTGATACAATAAAAACCGCTTAGATTTCTCTCTCCCACGATCGTTTCAAATAAGACGACGGGTATATCTAATTCACGTTGTATTTATTGATACACCACATCGGTTATTAACTACAGTCGTGCTATTTGAAACAGCATAGATTTAATTACCGTCGTGGTGTGAGAATAAAAACGTCAAATACAAGACAAAACCGTCGTCCTCAAACATCATGAGAGTGAGGGACTAGTGATTTTATTAAAACAAGTGAAAGATTTCATCATTTTGAACAGAGTCTTGTTTCCAGACTTCTTTCAAAAAAAAAAAAAAAAAAAAAAAATGAAAAAAAGAAAAAAAGTGTAAGAACATACCTTTGGCTTGCAAAGAAAGTTTTCTTCTGACGTGAACTTTGGAATTTTGGAGACAAAGACAAGGAAGATGAAGAGATTCAAACACTCCGCTTTTGGAAAATGAGAGGAAAACTGAGTGGAAATAGAAAAATTTTATCGGTTAGAGAGGACATAAAACTTCAGGTCAGGTTACGAAAAAGTTTTTATATTGTGTAAAAGTTCAATACAACGACGATTTTTCCAAAAACCACCCTATAGTATGTCTTTACAACGACATTAACGTAGCAGAAACCGACGTGGTTATTAATAACGCTGATTAACTTTTGGTATTCCGAGAATGACGTGGTTATCTAGGTATTACACGACAAAAGTTTACTTTTGAAGAAGTGATATCATAGTTTTGACGTCACTTATTTATAGAGAATCGTCTTTATTACTGGCGTGGTTAGTAATAAAGCCAATTGACTTTTTGTATTCCGAGAATGACATGGTTATCTTTGTTTTACACGTCAAAAGTTTACTTTTGAAGAAGTGATATTTCGCGTTATGACGCTGTTTATTTATAGAGAACCGACGTGGTTATTGAAAATTATTTGTATAAATTGGGTTTTTTCTCACATTCTTTCACTTTCAGTTTTCAATTAGGGTTCCAACTTCTTCTTGCCCTTGGCTACCGTCCTCACTTTAGGCCTCTGCTCTCTCTCACCTCTCCGGAGGCAATAGTTTGGATGTTGATGTGTGTGCGCGTTTGTGTATCTGAAAGACACAAACACGCACACATCATCAACTTCTAAAAAATTATCTTTCTGCAAGCTAACCGTCGTCAAATTTTAAAGGCAATTGTTTTGAATTTTGACGTGTATGTGCCTTTGTGTATCTCAAATACAAAAATGCACATACATCGTCAAGTTTGAAAATATTGTCTTTCCCAAATCTTGCCGTGATAATACATCACTGTTCCAAAAATAGACAAAATACATAAGGCAGGAAAACCCTCACGCCTCGGTAGGCGGCACATATGCGGCGACAGGCTCTGGAGCAGTAATGATGGTCTCCTCAACTAGTGAGGAAACTGCAGTGGCATCGGCAGCATGACTAACTGAAGGAGGCACACCACTCGTATCGAAGTTAATCTTAAGAGAAGGGTTGAACTTCGCCAAGGTCTCCTCCCAATGAATTTGTTCATCCACCAACCTGTCCAAGATATAATTGTTCAACTCCTCCGAAGTTCGATACAACTCGATCGCTTCGGCTCGGGTAACAGCTATCTCTTCGGGCTTCTTCTATTCCGTCACAGCAAACGCCAGCTCATTAGACGCCATCTTCTCCTTCAGCTCATCCACCTCTCTGGCAAGCATCGTCTTCTGCAAAAGCAGGGCGTTCCTCTCTTGAATAGCCTCTTGCGCCTCCACTATCTTGTCCTTGCCCATCTCCTCGCACCTCTTCATCCTCTAGATCTCTTTATCTACCTTAGCCAGATTGACATACATCTCGTCAAAGGCCTACAAAACAAAGCATTGTCAGTTCAAGAAAAACCAGCATAACAAATAAACCATTTTTACCAAGACATAACTTACATAGGCAGACGTGATGATCGTCTTCTGTGCTCGCTCTGCAAAGGAGGAGGTCTGCGTCCTCGCCAAGACCTCGAGGTCACTCTTAATGCCTTCCAAAAAGACGTTGACTAAAGGCATCTCATGCCGGTGCATGGCCAGGCTCACCTCCTTCTTCTGTTGACGCAGCCAGCCCAAGTCAACCACCAACATCCCCTCAGCAAAAACCTCCTCCATACCAAAGGGAAGCTTCGGCGGTGCCCGCAGATCAAAGGTTGGAAGCTTCGGTTCTGTCCCTATCACACTATGGTGGCTTCCTCCAAAGCCTTCCTCTTCCCCTACAAAGGCTTCGGCGACAAGCCCCTCATCATCATCTCAAGGGAGTTTTCCAGTCGCCTGCCTGCCACTCTCCCTCTCAGACTTTTTCGCCCGAGACGCCTTCAACCGCCTCTGCTTTTCGGCATCATCAATGTGCACGACCACCTTCATCGATCCTTTTACAACACCTGCCATTGCACATCAAAAAGCTAAATTAGTCACAACCACGAAAGGAAAAAGAAGACAAACAACAACAATAACTCAAATACTTACTCCCTTGCAAGAGTACGAACTCTAGCAGATTCTTCGGTGTGACTAAGTTTCGATACTCCCGCTTAGTCTCCGATAGCAACAATCTCACCTTCCTCACTTCGTCTTCCTTCTCCTTTGAAATGGGCCCCCACTTCACCGAACCTACAACACAAAAGATTATCACTCAAACCTCCGTACCTGCGTCAGCAAAAACAAAAGAAGAAACTAGAATGCTAGCAGTTAAACACACAAAACAAAATTAGTCATGAAGGTTGGGACCAAGGACTTATAAACTGGAAATGGCTAGGAACGTGTTTGGTGACTGTCTTCCCTGATGGACACTCCCAGACACCACATGTTCCTCCAATATTTCTGAGAAAAAGGCTAATGACTAATGAAGTAACCTCTCTCTTTCACCTTTCAGCAATTGGCTTACACACAGCCAAAGTTTCCTTGTTGCCTAGAAATTGAATACAGATACATGAACTGCTCAAACGTTGGCTCCCCCAATCCCGCCAACCACCAAGCAATATACACCCCATACAACAAAATTCAGAAGTTGGGATTATATTGCCCCGACGCATACCCCAGTTTGGCCAACATCATCTGTACCCACAGATGAAGTGGTAGTCTGAAGCCATGGTTATACATATCCGTAAAAATAAGCACACATCCCTCTGGAAGATATCTCACCACATTTGCCACAGTCAGTAGTCTCAAACCCACCGAAGGTGGAACACTGTAATCTGACCCAATCTCCGCCAGTTTTACTTCTGTAAGTGTATTCTTCCTCGGCAAGAGGACACCAACCAATACTTTCTAAAGATTCGGCGCTGAAGCCTTGCCAAACGGCAAGTGTTATGTTAAGGAAGACTTGCACCTTTTCTTCCAAAGCCCTAACGAATGTTTAGACACATTCCAAAGCCCACTCTGCCGAAACTTTGTTGGCCCAGCTCCAAGCCTTGCCAAAACTTTGATGTCCCAGCTCCAAGCCCATGCCCTAAGCCCACTTCATGCTCAAACCCGAGTATCAAGCCCAAAACCACACTGCCTTCCTTACCGAACAGCAAGTGTCGTGCCCATGCCAAACCCAAGTATCGACACAGCCTTGCCGAACGGCAAGGTCTGTGCTGAAGCAAGAAAGGGCTCACCCCAATTCTTCCCTTGCCAAAGGCCTAAAGGCCTCAAGAACTCTCCCTTACCAAAGGACAAGTCAAAGGCCTAGTATGTTCACACAGCTCCTACCACACCTTCAAAAGGTTGGCGCAACTTCTAGCTTGTCAACTTGGGGGACTAGGGAATGCCTTAAGGCTCCTACCAGGTCCAAACTGCTCGGTCATGATTATAGAAGATATCTCATAAGTTCCCAACCCAGGAGTTACTTCTTGACCACGAACTTTGGGGGACTACTATTTACACTATAATCAGCCGAGCATATCCAGCATCAAAACAACTGGCACTAAGGCAGACACGCCTTCTCCCCTAGAAAGTGAATGACGTCATCACCTTCTAACATGCCAAAGGAAGACACCCTTCTAAAGCGGCAGCCACCTATTGAAGCTCCCAACTGCCGAACCTAATTTTCTGGGACACATGTCACCTCCACGACAGCTTGCATGGAGTCCCACATAGAAACTTTATGCAAAGCTCCCATTTTCACTTCCCTATAAATAGGGAACAATGCCCAAGTAAAAAAGGTAACTATTTTCTCACCTTTACTGTTACTCTGCCAAAATTACCACATATAGCTGATTTAAGCATTGGAGAGCCTTCGGCAGGCACCACACCAGTGTCCGAAGCTTGACGACTACTTCTTCCTCCTTGTCTTCTGCAGGTTCTTCAAACTCCGAAGGTCCTCACCTTCTTTCCTGCTGAAGATCCTACACCTCTCTAAGTTGACCCTCCCAAAAAGAGCATCAACAAAGGGTATTATATGAATAATGGTAGGTGGAAAGATAGGATTATGTTTTTTCACATTTATACGGTGGGTAGAGAACTAAGGCATGGAGGTGAAAATAGCAACACTCTTTACTAGAATCTAATTAGTGAGGAAGTAAGCAATTAGAAACTCTTTCTAATAAATCTGAACTAAGATATGTTTTAATTCTTCCCTTTAATGAGGATTGATAACCATTAGTCTTCAGGACTAATATGGTCCCCAACTGGTCAGGACCCTAGTTTTTTTTTAATGGATTCAACGGCTGCACTTTCAGCATCCTCATCAAGAAAATGGGCAAAGGTAGTGGCTCTCAAAGTGAAAGCTTAATCAAGAAGCTAATAATGACCTGCACCTTCATCGACTTATGAATGTTCCTCTGCTTCATTAAATTGTACATCAATTGTCTACAACCAGTACATATGAGTATGACCTTTCCGTGAAGAGCAAGCAACCTTCTAGGTTTTTTTCCTTCAGACAACAAAAAAAAATACTAGAAAACTAATAATTACTGAATTGATAAACCCATATTGTTCAAGGCCACGCAAATGACCTTTTGAGAAAAGTACTTACAAGATCTCACTCCTATGCCTTATCAACATGCACGGCCAGATCGTACTAAGTACTTCGCCCACAAGCAGTTCTAGTGCAATTTGTTTGTTGATCCCAATGTACACCGTGGGTAATATATTTATGTTCCTTTTAAAGAACGCCTAAGTCCTTGAAACTGAGAGTCGAATTCTTGACGTAGGCGCAGAGGATTGTTCTTGTTGCCCGACTGAAGAGGAGGACAACGAAAGAGAAAGCATTGATTCGAAATCTTTCCTCCTTTCTTGGCTATCATTTACCACGCTGCCATTGCTAAAATCGTGACTTAAACTTAACTGTAAATTGGGTACCCATGTCTTATGTAACATCTTCATGTTGGGGCCAACTTTTGGTTGAAACATTTCTCCATTTATGCATTGAAGTTTTTGAACCTGCGTATAAAAATGAATCTTGAATATGTATAGCCAGTAAAAATGTTACAAATAATTATATAATTGAAGCAAAAGTGGTTACCTCAAGCTTAGATAAGGGTTCATAGCAACTAGAGATGAACTTTGGACTGCATGTATTGGGTTGATGTTGGTTAATGGTACTTGCCTTGGCGCTCCATACTAAGTTATTAGGTTGTGGAACATTATTGATATCACCCCAAGTAAAGTTTAGGAAATGTCTCCTACCCTTCATGTGGTTTCCAATCAATTCACAAGGAGGCCATCTCTTCTCTTCAAGAAATCGGCTGGGTCTAAAAGGCCCATCTCTTGTTATTGCTTCCCTTGCATGAAAAATGTTTGAGCTTTTTATATTGCTCCCATGGTTGTCTATCCTGGAATTTACTCTCCACAATGAAATCGACCTTGACAAAAGGATCATGAAAAGCTCAAAGTTGGTATCCATCTATATATGTATAGAGCCTTTCATACTGAGAATGTTCTTTTAGTCGAATGGCTTACATTTTATGTTGTGAAACTGTGAATTCTGGACTACATATATATCCAAACTTGAATCCATATATACGTCCGACAATAGTCCAGTTTAACAGTTTCGCAACTTAACATGTGATCCTTATGTCTAGCAAGGCAACATTTCTCCCTTAATTTAGTAAATAAGCATACAAGTTCTTTAGGTTTGACTGGTAAATTACCTTGAAGAGTTTGCGTTGAAATCATCATATTGCTGCTGTTTCAATACCGGTGGAGAAGAAAAATGGCTTCCGCTGTCATCAACATGTCTTAAGTGCCTATAAGGATTGAATTTGCGGTAGGCTTCCAGTATGTGATCTTTTACTTGCATTCCTCTACTTGATTGAGAGATAACTGAACAGAACAAGTATACAAACGTTTTGTGAGCTTTTCTCTCAAAGAAAGCTTTTGCTTTATGGCGTACACTAATAAGAATCTAATTGATCAAAACTACTCTAATCTACGGGAAAAGGGATCAACTCAGACCTAATCCACATCTGCTTCATGTAAACACTTCGGGTTTCCAGTTTCCTCTCAAAATAAAAAATAAAAAATTTACGAGACCAATAGCGGAATTAGTTCCAAAATTTAAGGTGGGTTTTGACACTTTACCTTGGCCTGACTCGTCCAGCTTCTTACTTCGATACATCTGCTGATTCAAAAATTTCATGATGATTTAGGACACTATAGAACTGAAAATTAATTGATACAAAATAAAAACTAAACATATCCAGTTAGGGGCACCAGTGAAAAGTTATTTACCTGCAAGTGACTCTTTACGTGGGCAATGCTAAGTCCTCTCACATTCATCAATTGAAGAACTAATTTTGGAGTTGCTCCTGTATTCAGTTCAGTTAAAAAAACAGAAATTTAAAAGAGAACAACACCAATATATATGAATTAGACTATCCACATGCTTAAAACTTGAGAGGTAACTTAAGGCTCAAGCTTTCAACAGTGATACAGAAATTTAAAAGAGAACAACACCAATATATATGAATTAGACTATCCACATGCTTAAAACTTGAGAGGTAACTTAAGGCTCAAGCTTTCAACAGTGATATATAAATCAATAAAATTTATCATATATATTTCAAAATGGGCATAATGAGTTTGAGTCCTTGTAAATGAAACCTCTCAAGTTATCCTTACTACTATAGTTTATTGCGAGCTAACAAAATTGTAAAATCGCAGACATAGGCTTAGCCAAGTTGGCTAGATCAGATGTGCTCCCCACTCTGCACCTGAGTTCGAATCCATCTCCCCGTAGTTTAGATTAAATTAAAATAGAATATCATTTGTCTCAAAAAAAGCAAAATTGTAAGACCCTAGAAAATAAATTCTATATATACTTTTATTGTTAAAGAAAACTCAAAATAGAAAGTTCATACCATTGAATTGTATTATGATCAGCTGAACCCAACAATGGTGTTGACTTAAGAGACTAAAGCCTAAATTACTCAGTAAATAAATTAAAACTTACTTTCTTGTCCGCCGAGCCTCTCAACAGCATGAACAAATGCTAGATGGAGATCAGGAGTCCAACGAAGCCTCGGCATCTTGGATCGAACATATTGCCTTACTGCAATTGTCCGTTCTTTTCCTTCAACACTTGTGTTATTACAACTTAAATTACCTTCTGGAGATGTTCTGCTACCGACGGCTTGGCTGCCTTCGTTGGATGAAATATCCTGATCATCATCACCAGTACTTGCTTCCTCATTCAGGTCAAAGAACAAACACTTTTGAGAACCGAGTAGACAGTCATTTTTAGCTTGAATTTCGTAACTTGCATCACTGCTTTGATCATCTTCATCTGAAATCTCAATTCTCTCAGGCGCCATATCTCTTCTATCTATTTCTTTCGGTCCTCCACTTAGCATCCCTCATCACTTCTGAACTTGATGATCAATATTGGTATATCTATAAGTATCTTATGTTGTCAAACAATTTAGTAAGAGTAGTTCATTTATATATAAATTGTCTTGTCAAGTCGTGTAAGCTTATTCTATTATCAGACTGTGAATCATGATTCTTCAAAGTGTTGCAAGATCTAGAGAAACTTCTAACAAATTTAGAAAACTAAATCCTAACTAGTTTAGTTAAGGCACATAGTTCTACTCCAAAGTGTTGCATTTTAGTCCTTGCTTTTGCGAGCCGATCCCGTAACCCTAGAAGGGGGTAAATTGGAGTGTAGCAGCGAAATCCACATGGATCATTTTCATTCCTTTTCTCAAGTAGACTGATGAACTTGGTTGCAGCTGTGCGATTCAATTTAATTCATGATGATAATAGCTTTAAATAACGGTAAGAGAGAGAAGATAATTAAGATAATGAATTATGAAAGTTTCAATTCAGTACTCTTTGATCTGATAATTATCTGAGATGAATCTAATAATCTTCTAAATAACTGTGAAATCCAAAGTACATGAGAGAAAGTGAAAGTGATCAAGGCGAGCACAAACCCGTTAGTGATCAACAAGCACCTCCATTTCTTCTCTCCATGATTCTAATGTCATCGTGATGAAAATTAACAAGACTTTCAACTAGATTCAAACCTATGGCTAAATAAAGCTTATCGATCAAGTTTTACCTCAAACGACGAATATTTTATCCAAAACCTAGCTATAAACAGCTACATGTATATATATATATATATATATATATATATATACATATGTTCGAAAGCAGATTCAAGATAGAGGGTTATAATTTCAAACTTACAATATCCATACACAGAAATCAAGCACTGCACTTCAACTGAACCTTCATCATAAATCCACCATGTAACCAGCTGACACCAAACCCAGTTGATCCAACAGTACATACATGCGAATCAGAGAGAGAGAGAGAGAGAGAGAGAGAGAGAGAGAGAGAGAGAGAGAGCATTTACTGTGTGCTCCTTGTGGTATCGAGAAATCTATATAGCTAAGTTGAATTTATATGTATTATAGATATAGAAGAATATGTGGAAATAAAGCTTTATGCTGCATTACATTCATATATTCTTAGACTTCAATAATTAATATTTAATAATTCACAATATTGTATTATAAGAAGACGATGGTTGGACTCGGACAGGAGTTTATCTATAGTTTTACAGCAAAACACTACTGTTGAAAATCATGTGACTTCTCGAGCCTTTCCTCTTTACCGATTGTTCTTAATTTGACAGGTTGTCCATTTCTCTCTCTGCCTACCTATCCGTGATAATCTTTATTAGTTGACCTCTGCTAGTGAGTAGGTCTGTCTCCTTATTGTTATATATTCTCTTGAGGGATCCATAATAATTTTATTTGAAGGACACTCTATAGGGTTCGGTAAAATTTTATTTCAATCTATCCACATTGTCTATTTTTTGATTCTTCATTCATAGATTATTAAGACTTCTAGTTATGACCACCAAATAAACAAACTTCAAGAAAACACGAAAAATGACAACCATTTGATTGAGTGGTCAAATATTTTCGAATTCAAGTGATTTTTCACAGATAAATTTTTGAAGGACTTAAAAAACTGACGGTTCAGATCATTAAAATACAATATAAAAGAGTCCCTCAAATAAACCTATTTGAGAGATTCTTCCGTTGAAGCTGTGTGTATAGATATATATATATATAAACTAATAATGTTATATAGATTGTTAATTTTATTCCAACCCAATTATTCTATTGCAAAATGAATCAAATCTCGGTCCAAGTATACAGTGGGAAAGGTAAACCGTCGTCCTCATATCATTGATGTAAACCTGGCCATGCATGCACATAATTTTCTTGCCCCCATATTTTCTAAACAGTCATTTGTCCTCTTGTTCTCTGATTTTTGTTTCCCACTGTTTTGTTTATTGTTGTACATATTCTTAACAATCTTATTTAATCTGTCCTCATCTGCACTACTGTTCAAATGGTTGAATGTAACAGCTTTGGCCTTCCAAGAAGTCCTTGAGCTAGGCATTATATATGCCAAGAAGTATCACACTCTGCAAGAAAGTGTCTTGAGATTAATTAACCTATAAAAACAAGACACTTGGTTTTATTTATTTATTATTAAAACACATGGAATACCACCACTTGTAATTCAACCCCAGATCAGCCGAAATTGGACTCCTTTTATATATGTAAACTGTTCCCTAGCTAGTGCTTGATTAATTACAAGTGAATATATGACTCCCTTTTCTTTTTTTTTCTTTATATGAAGTTCTTAATATATAATCTCTCATCCGGATGTCATCACGTTATTATTATGCGGATACCATAGTTAATAGAGAGGAAAGCAGGGAAGGATAGTACAAAATACATAGCGTCCACACAATAATAACATATACGAATATCCGCATAGGAGAATTTTCATATATTATATATAATCAGTATATTTATGTCTTCTATTTTATACCGTTTTCTTTAAAGAATAAAGATGTGTGAATTATACACACCCTTTTCTTTTGTCATTGTCAGGCACCATGGCAGATCTAACATGCCATGCCTAGTTCGAATCTCAAGAGAGATAGATTATTTGAAACTTGCACTGTGTAATTAATATATATATATATACATATAGAATAATTCTAAAGTTGCGAATTATTGAGCTGTGGAGAATGATTCACCAAAGAAGGCATCCAAACCGGCCAGGGTCAGAATGTACGGGAGTGTGAGTTCGAGGTCGACCGGTCTCCCAATCCTGGTGACCGGTTAGAATGCTCCGCAGGTTTGCTTGTAAGAATCTCATAGTAACCCGGGGACATAACTTATATTGAGCTCCATAACCATCCAAGTCATCAAATTCTTGTCGACCATCATTCATTCTTTGAAATAATAAAAGAAAAACGCTTCACTCCTTAAAATTGAGGAGGAGCTCCTCCTTACAACAAATGTGGTTTTGACACGTGTCTTTTTTATTTTTTTATTTTTTGGTTAAAATTTTACCAATATTACTGAAATTTGACAAGTGTAAAAAGTTTTGTTACCCCAATCTATTTGGAAATTGGGGGAATATGAGGAAAACTAAGTTGATAAGATTAAACTTCACCCCAATATTGTCTCTTGATAAAAAAAATACAAAAAATACAAAAGTGTTGTCTCTTTTTCTTGCCATTTTACCCAATGTCCAAGTTTTTACTTTCCAAAGCATCTTACAAAGAATTTCCACAATTTGTCATGACATAAGATCATACCATTTGTTTATTAATTGGGAAGACAAGAGGTTGCGAAGAGGCATCATCTCAAGGATTAGGTTTTGGCTAAAAGACACCTAAAATTTACTAGAAATGTGTGACATGATCTTTAGGGGGGGGGGTGTGTGTATACTATATTTGAAGACCTAGAGAGAGATTCTGTCAAGTGAAGACAAATATTCGAAAAAGTATGAGTTTTAATGGGGAAGAGTATGCGGGAGAGAAGGAGATCGGGTCTCGTGTGGGTTAACAAAATAAGAAATTCTCTTGGGTTTTATGCCCTCTTTGAACCTATTTGGATTAACTGCCATTCATTAATTGGTGTTATTTCATTTTGATTGAAAGAATTATTTTATTTCAATTGGAGTGAAAAATGTTATTTTATTTTGTTTGGTTTGAAATTAGGGTTGAGTTGGGATGGAAGACGATTGAAGGGCCAAGAAGATAGGGGGTGAGGATTAATCTTATTTGTATGTTACATTTGACCTAATAATTAATTTTTGTTTCGACAAGTGCATTTAAAATGTATGAGAGGTTCGAAACATGCATTTTTTCCTCAACAACTATCATCTGTAAGATTGAACATATATAGCATCTCCTTCAACGAACAAAGACTAATGTCACTAAACCAAATGAGTATGAAGACCAAATGGTTCATTTGTGCGAGACGATTATGCTACTTGATAGTGGGTTTTATGTCCCTATTGCCCAATCTGAATATTAACTTCGGTATTTCATTTGGTTTTATGGCATTTGGATTGAGAATATTATTTTTGTTTGTTTAAAATTAGGGTTGAGTTGAGATGGCAATTATTCTCATATATCTTGTATGTTACATGTGACCTAATTAATTACTCTTGTTTGGCATGATAGGTACATTTAAAATGGGAGATTCAAACAAAAACTCGAAGGGCACTGTTCTCTGGGGGTTGACAAGGTCTGCTTGGTTTATCTGAAGGCCAACCATAGCTAGGGTTGTCACTTGTACTAAAACCTTGTCAACCGCGTTGTGTGTTAGTATATATGATTCCTACATTGACTACACAACAACCATAACCAAAAGCCATGCCCAATGATTTTGTCAAGAGAGATATAGGGAGGTGGGAGCTTATTTCCTTTTAGATTACATTGGAGGAGATCGAACTCTAGATCAGATCGATTATAATTCATCTTCTTATCTTTTTTTGCATGAAGAACCATTCGTTGGATGTGTAGAAATGCGCGTCGAGAACCTAAGAAAATTATATATATATATATGTGTGTGTGTGTGTGGAGAAGCGGTTATCAATTATTGATATATATGTGTCTCTAAATCCTATTCTTATATGCGTATTATGTACGTATATTCATGTATAAGAAAGAGTAGTGGGAAGTTTAGTCAGATGTGTTGAATGCTCCCAAACCGTTTCATGGCAGGTCTAGAGCCATGCAACTTTCATGCAGCTCTTGGGACATCTTTGATTGTATATTTTTAAAACCCAAATGGGACTGCTTACTTAGTAGTTAGTACCACAAGAATATGTATACGGTCAATATTCTCATGCATAATGCATGAATCAAGATGAGTGATTGAGACTGAGAGAAATTATTGAAGTGCATAAATAAAAGAATATATATACATATATAGGGACCTTAGCTATGTTTTCTGTCAATGCCTTTGATATCCCTTTTTTATACCTTATAAAATATTTCGGTAAGTAATGCTTCCTTTGACACATTATATATGTCATTTAATTAACGACTTAATTAAATTGACGATCTGACTATTAGCTCTTAAGAAAAATATTACTCATAATTTGATTACAGGATTGTAAATGTAGATAGTTGCACAACTTAAAACTGAGGTTATTATTTTTAACATGGTGAGAGATGTATATATAACTGAGAGAGAATCAAACTAGCTGTGTGTGTGGTGGTCTCTTGGCTGCGTTGGATAAAGAGTCGCCGCGAACATAGGCACCATATGGGATCTCAACAGAGAGAGAGAGAGAGAGAGAGAGAGAGAGAGAGAGAGAGCTCAAATTCACATGTTCTTGTTTTACGGAGGTAGGGAAGAAAGGGTGAAGCCAAATAGTACATTTTTGTATGTATTTGGCAACTAGTATGGTATTAGGTAGGTAGGCAGAAAATCCAGCACCAACCCAAAAGCATTGAAGTGCATATATATATATATATATATATATATATGTATGTATATGCATTTGCTCATCCTTATGTGCGGGGTTTTATTTTGTTCAGTTTGATCATAGTTTTGTTATTCTCTTTAATTGAACATTTCTTTAATAGGCATACTCTGACTCTTCCTAATAACATCCGCAAGCCCCAATGATATACTTTACGGATAATTGTTTGTTCAAACATTCATATACATTTACATTTTAATCCATCCCCTGCCATATTCCAAGAGCCAATTGCAAGGGCTCATTTGGTGGCTAAGATTTAATTAGATTGGATAAGTCATTAAATCTATGGTATGATGAATGAGAAAATGAAGGTAGAGATAAATAATTTTTCATTTTGGGGGTTATTATCCTACTATTTTATGGGGATATTAGATGGGATAAGTTTTCTTCACGAACAATCCATCTTCTACCTTCAACTTGGTAAAAAAAAATAATAATAAATCATTTCTTCCTTAAACATACTTTAAATATAGGGAGTTATCATATCAATCCTAGGCACCAAACAAGATAAATCCTTCAACTCTGGCTATATGAAACTGGTGAGAGTTAAGTTAAGAGGAGAGGGATCGTAGTTTCTATTCCCGTGGTACGTAAAAAACATTCCAAAAATAAAATCCAAAACTATTGTGTTTGAAAGCTAAAATGGAGAACTTGATGTCCCAAGCCAACTATTGCTATGTGAGGTTAAATCAAGCGATTTTTCACTTTCATGATAAGTTAACAATCTAACTATGACCAAATATATAAAGATGAACTCAATATTTCCAATATACTTGAAAATGTAATTTTGGATTTGAACTAGTAGTCAAATTCGTTATTGTATGAATGTGTTGTTCTAAGTGTTTGGCGGACCATTGGCTTATACATTACCGCTACGTAGTTTAAATTAAATCTCAAAGATTTCGACCAAAAAAAAAATCAAATGTTAAAGTGAATTATACATTATGATTTTTTTCATGTGCTATATTATGATTTTTTTTTTTAATTGAAGAAAAAATAAGTTTATATAACAAAATTATCACCCCAAAACCCCGTTTACTATCCCAGTCCGACCCGACCGCACCCTCCATGAATAATACAGCCCAAAAGGGAGAGGCCCTCGGGATTTTTGAACACAGCACACTGAGTCCAAGGACTTGATGCGAGGATCTCCATCATCTCATGGAATTCAGCTGAAATAAAAATTCTGCACTGGAATTCCGCTGCTGCAGGCCAATCAAATTTAACATCTGAAAAATTAAGACAGTACAAACAATCGTTGCCTGACAAACCTCAGTGTAGGCAAGCCAGGCCTAATTGCACACCACTTGGGTAGCTACCTATGCACTAATTTGAAAGGTTGATTGCAAAAACTATCTTTTAGGGAAAATACCACCAAGGCAAGAAGAATCGCCATACGAATACGATCAATGACCATAAACAAACAAAATGCCAACGCGAATGTGATTGGCCATGATTTCTTTCTTCCAACTTCCAATGACTGCCCTACTAGTTTAATGTGAGGTCAGTAAATCAGACTACATTGGTGTATTATTATGTACAAGCCAAATGCGCAACTTACATAAGCCAAAAATAAATTATTGCCAAAGTCCCCCCTCAATGTTTCCTATCATGAAAAACGCAAATTTAACTAAAAATGTATAAACAAAAAACAAGAATTCTCAAGTTCTAATAACAGGGCCCTTGTACAGCCCTCTGCGAATCACAAAGTTGTCGGGAGGTTGAAACTCTTCTAACCAAGTCACTTGTGGCTCTGTAACTCCTTCAAACTCGAGATAACCTTCATCCCAAACAAAACAAACAAAAACTACGAATATCAGCATGGTAGACAAATTTTACAACCAGTTATGAGTTATCCTTATTCTAGGACCAAATGGAATTTTTGCAACTGTAATAACCAGCAACGTAGACAAATTGCATTACCAGGCAGATCTTTTCTTGAGGACTTCCGGAAATACGTGCAGTGCCGTCCATCTTCAGAGGAGTAAGGCGGCGCAAGGATGTCAAAGATGGCACAAGGAGTTAGAGCTCTAAAACTATGGATATTGCCTCCAGTTGTTGGATAAAGAACTGTTGGTGGGCATGGTGCTGTCATCTCAGTATCTTTGACCAGCTTTGCAGGTTTAGCTGCAAAAATCACCAAGTACGGTTTCTAGTTTAAAAAAAATAATGAAATTATAATAGCCCCCTTCACAACTATAGCCATTATTAGTTTAAAAAAAATAATGAAATTATAATAGCCCCCTCAAGACTATACCAAATTTTTTTTTTTTTTTTTTTTTTTTTTTTTTGAGAAACAAAAATTTATTAAATAACAAGCACATACACAACCAGTGGCAGAGGACAAGATCTAGCAGCTAACAAATCTTATAAAGCCTAAATTACATTACTGGAAAAATAACAGCTGCCCTCCAATCTGTAAAAATTGAATTAAAAGGTATTTCCTGGAATTCTGAAGAAACTGACACCCAAAGGGGTGTCCAAAGGGTACTTTATCCCACAAAATATCCACCTTGTCTCGCGAAAGTCATCCAACACGAATCCCCAAGAAAACCATACACACAAAAAACTGAAGGAAATTAGCCAAATGAATTTCATTCAAAAGGGGCTAAAACTGTTCCTTTAATCTAGATCGTTAATTTAAATTTACTATTAAAATTTAAATAAATATATATATGTATATATATATATATATATTTGGATTGCAATGCCACTTTGAGGTGGAATAAAGTCAGCATGTGGGCCCAGTCTCTTTTTAAAGATACTATTACATTTATACATAAATAATAAATAAATAAATAAAAAAATGAGCTGTTGGAATTGCAACAGCTCTCTCACCATGAGTTGACACGTGGCGTGGGCAACAGACAAATCCATCAGAGCTGGTCTCAGCGCGGGTTCCACTAAATAGTTTTGGATCCATGCTAAATGTGGACTGTTATTTGGGTTTTCCCAAATTTGGGTCCTTCATTTTCTTGGGTTGGAAGAGGTTTTGGAGGATATTTTGGGTTTAAGTCCTTGGGTTGGAGATGGCTTGAGATAAAATATATAGAAGCAAAATAATAAAAAATCACCAAAATCGAATTCAATATGAAAACACAAATATATTACAGTTTAGATTAACAAAAGAAATACCCATCAACCTAAGAAAATACTTCCAAAAGATATTAATTTTCAGCACAATAATACATCAGAAATGAACAAACCATACCTTTGACCAAGACTTGGAGCGAGAGAAGCTGAACAAGACACTTTAGCTTTTGTGGTGAGAGTTGAAAAGGTAGGAGCATTCTTCTGAAAGATAAAGCAAAGAGAAGATGCTTTAGTTTCAATCAAGGGCAAATATGGAAATATAATTATTAGTTTTTTTTTGTGTGTGGTTATTAATAGCATTGTTTTATGTGTAAGGAGAGTGACACATGTCAAGCAAAAAAGGAAAAAAGTCCAAAGAAGGTTAGAGAGAAGGTTGCTAGCATTCCCCAATAAGAAAAAGGAAAAGAAAAAGAAAAACTGCAACTCTGCAACTCCCCTTCCCTGTAGGAGGAAGAGAAATAAAATATAACAAATGGACACTAGTTTCTTAGAAGAATAGGCTCTTTCATTATAATTCAGCACTACAAAATAACAATGATAAAAGACCTATTTAAAGACTACAAATTTATAAATAAACCCAATTCTAGACATGTATTTATAAAAAAACCCAAGCACTATTTAAACATAGAAACACACCCAAAATCAACCCCAAAGTCAACTTTTTAGGTGTGTTTATAAATGAGTTTTGAGTGTGTGTAATGATGGGTTTGGGTGTGTTTATATGTTTAAATAGTGCTTGGGTTTTTTTATAATTTCAGCCCCCATTTTGGGTGTTATAGTGAAACTCCCTTTAAAGACTTCTCTTATCAAAACCGATTAACCCACTCTCATATCTTAGACTCTTCATCAACCCACTAATTCATGAAGCTGATAGTTTATTCAATTCATTAATATATGAACTTATTAAATCAGAGAATAAGAAAAGACTTAACATAATAGCATATTGAAACTTCTTGAATGCAATAATGATGCATATTTGGTTTAATTCTCCAACATTCCCCTCAATGCCCTTCCGTCTTTCACTCTCTCTTTTTCTCTCTCCCTCACACCATCCTCCCAGTCACGCCACCACCTAACCCCACTACACAGAGACATTATATAGGGTCTATGAAGGTGGGGGGCCGTTGGCAGAGGGAGAACGCAGAGGGGGATGGTTGCATGTATTTTTATTTTTATTTTTGTTTTAATCTTTTTTATTTATAAAAATACTTAATTTTCTTTTTAAAAAAAAGGATTTGAAGTTTTAAACTATTTAAAATATATCATTGTATTTTATTTAAAGTCATGTGTGATTATCTCATTGGATATGTGGCACCACATATGTGCCATGTCAGCAATTTAACAGAAATTTTGACGGAACCTAATAGCAGGACCAAATTGATAAATGACAAATAATGTCAAAAAAAATACATAAAGGATCAAATGTGATAATTTCGCCAACCTTAAGACTACTGTGATAAAAACCTCAAAATTAAAAAGAAAACACATGTACAAAAATATCATTGGTCAATGTCAATGGGGTGGAGATGGAATCAGGAGTGGACGTAAGTATTTTTCTTGTACACAATTAAATAGGAAGAGACACAAAATCTCACATCTGATCTTCTTAGCATTTTCACGAAGCAAAACATAGGCTTGCAGCAAATATTGCCTCTCAATCTAGCTAGCTAGCCCTTTCTCTTAGAAAATTTTCCGCCAGTTTCTGTCTCTTTAAGCCTTTCAACATCAGGTTGTGAAGAACGAAGTTTCTAGGAAGTGTTCATGAATTTTCCACAGCTAGAATTCGTAACCGAATACTTTGAATAGCAGGACTTGGAATTGCACACGTCATTTGTTGACATTACATTATAAAAATATATAGCTTGAATTAACGAACAGCTAGCTAATCTTGTAACTCATCGAAAAAATGTCTAGAGGAGCATATGTTGTTCTAGGTGCTGGCCACGCAGAGGAACTAGGCATCATGCAAGCAAGGACGGACCCAGGAATTTGATGTCGTAGGGTCATAGTGTAAAAGTTCAATTTTTTTTTAAAGATTAATATAACATTGAAAATGAACTACAGTACATTCATTCATAATTCATGTAAAAAACAACATTACAAATTACAATTGGCCACGACGATGTTTCATATTTTGAAAACGAAGCATTATAGCTTCATTTTCAATACAATCAAAAACATCATTCTCAACATAAACAAGTAAGCTATCACTCAACCATTGATCTCCCATTTTGTTCCGAAGTGGACCTTTGATAATATTCATGACGGAAAATGTCCTCTCAACTGAAGCAGTAGCAACTGGTAAAACTAGAGCCAATGTAATAAGCAAATACACATAATTGAATGCTCGATGCATCCTTGTCTCCACCATTTTTTTTGCAAGATCACCAATCCCTTGCAAGTCAAAGAAATCACTACTTGAACACACATAATGAATATAAAGTTCAAGTTGATCTTCAAGTGCCAAAAGATCCCCATCCGAAAAGTCTTGAGGATAAAATTGAGCAAGACGAAGTAGCTTTTGTTTATCAAAAGCTACAAATGAATCATTCGGACTCAAACATGCCAAACAAATAAGCAACTCAGTATTTACCTCATTAAAACGATCATCTAACTCCATAAGTTGCTTATCAATGACATAAATAAAGAGCTCCACACGATAATGATGACGATTTGTCTTTATTGGAGCATTACGCCTTGACCTCCCTGGAAGTACGAAGGCATCATCCATGTTAGGAACATCAATATGATGTTTGTCACAAAATGAAGACACCTCTTCAACCAATGCATCAAACCCATTATTCCTCATCCAATGTAGCTTTTCTTTGCATGATTTCACCAAAGCCATTGCATTTACAATTTCTTGATCTTTCTTTTGCAATGCTTGTGACACATCATTTGTGAGTCCCAATATAGCTTTCATTAAGAATAGGTGAAACACAAACTGAAAAGTAAGCATTTCCCTTTGAATCTTATTTGCTTCACCGGCACTATCATTGGGATTATCATCAATAATCATTTGAAGCACATGAATCACAGATGAAAACATAGAAATGATGCTAATAATGGTACCGTAATGTGAGCTCCATCGTGTGTCACCGGCACGTTTGAGACTTGTTTCTTGATGCAAACCTCGCCCCGTTATAAGACAATCATTTTCAAAAGCTATCACAAGCTCTTCTTGAAGTTGTGCTCTAAGTGCATCACGCCGCTTACAAGATGCTCCAACATGGTTAACCACACTATTAGTGGTTGTGAAGAAAGAGGCAATATCAATATTCTTCTTTGCTACGGCAACAAGTGCTAGTTGAAGTTGATGAGCAAAGCAATAAACATAGTATGCACAAGGTTGTTTTCTCAAAATCTTTGTTTTGAGGCCATTCAACTCACCTCTCATATTCTAGCTCCATCATAACCTTGTCCTCGTAACTTAGAAAAGCTCAAACCATTGGAAGAAAAGAATATGTCAATGGCATCCTTTAGTGAACTTGAAGTGGTGTCGGTAACAAGTTGAACCCCCACAAACCTTTCAATTACATGCCCTTTGTCGTCCACATAACGCAACACCATAGCCATTTGCTCCTTCACAGAAATATCACGTGCTTCATCCACCAATATAGAAAATAATCTATCTTTTAAACCACTCATGATAACATCAAGTGTTTCCCCGGCACATGCATTGACAATATCTTTTTGAATCTTTGGAGCTACTAACTTGAGATTCCCCAGAACATTTTCCAACACAACTTCTTTAACTTTCTCATCATTGTCTGCAAGGAATTGCAATAGCTCCAAGTAATTTCCCCTATTGCTTGAAGTGGCACTTTCATCATTTCCACGGAAAGAAAGACCTTGTCTCAATAGAAACTTAATGCACTTGATTGAAGCAATTAAGCATCTTCGATATGCCACACGAGCTTGTTCGGAGTGTTTGCTCACAGCCGTTTCAATATGTGTATTTTGATTCATCAAATTTGTAGCAGCTTCTCTAGCTTTATTATGAACACTACCAACCGGTCCAACATGCACCTTCATTCTTTCTCTCCCTTTCTTTCAATTCTTAAACCCTGCTCCAGTGAAGGCTTCACTACCCACTTGCTCAAAATTGGATTTAAAGAGATAGCAATAAAGACAAAATGCAGCATCTTTAGATACACTATACTCCAACCAATCAAATTCATCAAACCATTGGGGAATGAAGCGTCGATTAATTCCTGAGATATTACTTTGTGAGAAAGAATGACCTCTAGGTTGACAAGGTCCTTTTTGTAGATATGCTCTTCGAACCTCATCTCTAATATTAGTATCATACTCAATCATACGAATTCTTAGTCTCGGGTCTGCCTGAAGATTAGCCAAAACCCCATCTAACTCACTTTGTCTTGAACTTGAAGTTCTTAAATTACCCACACTATCCGAACTACCCAATGATGACTTCCTCTTAAAAAATCTTTCCATAATTCTACATAAATTAATCAAAATAATAACAAAAATCAATTAAAGAGAACACCAAATTTATACCAATTAACCACAACAAATTCATAAAAACATCCAATATATCAAAACAATATAATATAATCATACATTCAATTTCAACTCAAGTTATTTAGGTTTAGAGTTAGAATTTACCTTCAATTGTGAGGTGGTGGAAGCGGAGCAAAGCTTTTGGAAGCGACGGCGCTGCTGGAAGCGGCGGCAATGGAGGAGTTGGGGCATAAAGACTTGGTGGGGGAGAGGGTTAAAGGTTTGTGGGGGGTGGAGATTGGGGATTTAGGTTTGAGGGTTTAGAAAATGGGGGTTTTGAAGTTGAAAAATCAGGAGAGATGGGGAGGGTCTGTGCATATACAAGCTGACCTCTTTTTTTTTAAAAAGACCTGGACCAAAACAACGTCGTTTTGGCCAGCACAGTTTTTTTAAAAAAAAATTCGCTACCAAAACGACGCCGTTTTGGTAACCGGGTTTTTAAAAAAAAAGGCGTTGGCTGGTCCAAAACGACGCCGTTTTGGCCAGCCCGTTTTAAAAAAAAAAATTAGAAGCTGGGCCAAAACGACGCTGTTTTGGCCAGCTTCTTTTGAAAAAAGAACAGATTTCTGTTCATCTTCTTCTTCCTCAATACCTCTGCAACTTCTTCTCCAGCTTTTCATGGGGTCACATAGCAATTCAAAGGGGCCTTCTACCTTACTTTCTTGGAGTCCATAGGGTCGTTTGACCCCATTGACCCCACTGTGGGTCCGTCCCTGCATGCAAGACAACTTGGGGGACGATATTTTTGCTCTGCATGATTCTTATGTCTTTCTCACTTATATCAATGGTCATATTTGCTAGTGGTGATGATGAAGGATCAAGCAAGAAAAGATACAGAGGCGGCGGTGGTGGTGGTGGTGCAGCTTGTGGTGGTGGTGGAGGTTGTGGAGGTGGCGGTTGTTAGGAAGATATATATAACTATGTTTTCATAAAATTAAGAAAAGTTCGAATTTATGTCCACAAAACCTGTCGTTCTTATAATTCACAAGTAAAAAATCACCCTTGCGCGACCAAATTTTGCGGGACGAAAAATTATTCATCGCTCAAAGTCACTTTGCGCGATGAAACTCAAAACTTCGTCACTCAAAACCTTGCGCGACAAAATTTTGCGCGACGAATTGTTTTTCGTCGCGGAAAGTCACTTTGAGTCACAAAACAATAAACTTCGTCGCGCAAAGTCCTTATAAAAATAAATAAAATAAAAAAATTCTTTTTAAAATTCTTTGCATGGCGTTATCCAAACATTTCGTCGCCTAAACCAATTTATTTTTGTTTTTTTATTTTGTATGCATAACACTTAAACAGTATATATATTTTTATTAAGTAGCTTTAAATTTATTATTTTAGATCGGATCGGATTTTTGTTAGAAAAATATATTATTGTTGTTCGGATTGGGTTTTTGTTAGAAAATATATTTTTTAAATTGACGATTGAATTAGTTCATTGTATTCATATAGGGTCAAAGAGTGTAGCTGTAAAAAATAATCAAAATCGAAGTTAAAATAACCGTTAAATCGTGATTTTTCATTTATAACCGTCAGAAAGTTTTGTCCCATTACTTGATCTCTGAATGTTTATTTTTTCCGATTTTTGGCGTATATGATCTCGAAGTATAAACAAACAAGTTTGACGGTTGGATCGTTGAAACTAGTTTCATAGAATGTGTATGCCATCAAAACAATATATTCACTAACAATTAAGAGTTTATTTATACTTTTGTTAAATATAACATAAGATTTTGTGGTATCCACTAGTGTAAAATATTTTAAATTGAAGATCAAATTCAGTCATTGTATTCATATAGGGTAAAGGAGTGTAGCGGTAAAAAATCATCAAAATCGGAATTAAAATAACCGTTAAATCATGATTTTTCATTTATAAACGTCGAAAAGTTTTGTCCTGTTACTTGATCTCTGAACGTTTATTTTTTCCGATTTTTGGCGTATATGATCTCAAAGTATAAACAAACAAGTTTGACGGTTGGATCGTTGAAACTAGTTTCGTAGAATGTGTATGCCATCAAAACAATATATTCACTAACAATTAAGAGTTTATTTATACTTTTGTTAAATATAACATAAGATTTTGTGGTATCCACTAGTGTAAATATTTTAAATTGATGATCAAATTAGTTCATTGTATTCATATAGGGTCAAGGAGTGTAGCTGTAAAAAATCATCAAAATCGGAGTTCAAATAACCGTTAAATCGTGATTTTTCATTTATAACCGTCGAAATTTTTTGTCCCGTTACTTGATCTCTGAATGTTTATTTTTTTTCAATTTTTGGCGTATATGATCTCGAAGTATAAACAAATAAGTTTGATGGTTGGATCGTTGAAACTAGTTTTGTTGAATGTGTATGCCATCAAAACAATATATTCACTAATAATTAAGAGTTTATTTATATTTTGTTAAATATAACATAAGATTTTGTAGTATCCACTAGTGTAAATATTTTAAATTGACGATCGAATTAGTTCATTGTATTCATATAGGGTCAAGGAGTGTATCTGTAAAAAAAATCATCAAAATCGGAGTTAAAATAACCATTAAATCGTGATTTTTCATTTATAACCGTTGACATTTTTTGTTCTGTCACTAGGTCTCTGAATGTTTGTTTTTTGCGTTTTTTGGCGTATACGATCTTGAATTATATACAAACAAGTTTGACGGTTGGATCGTTGAATGGTGTGTGTATATATATATTTATTTACTTATTAAGTAGCTTTAAATTTATTTATTTTGTACGTATAACAATTAAGAAATTGAATAGTATATACATTTATTAAGTAGCTTTAACCTTATTTATATTTTAAATTGTAAAACAAAATAACTTTATTTTTTTATTATTCATAGCTATTATTTTTATAAATATCGTGAAACGAACCAATTTTTCGTCTCTCAAAAGTTTGTGCGACCAACATTTCGTCACGCAAAACTCTAAAAATTTGGACGGGTACCAAAAATGGGACGCGGATTAAAAAAAAAAAAAAAAAAAAAAAAAAAAAACTAGACTTTGCGCGTTCAATATTTTGTGTCGCTCAAAACTTTGCGCGACCAATAAATATTTTTCGTCGCGCAAAAATTTGGGCTGGTACCAAAAATGGGACGTGGGATTTTTTTATTGTTTTTTACTTTGCGCGACCAATATTTCGTGTCGCTCAAAACTTTGCATGACCAATATATATTTTTCGTCGTGCAAAAATTTGGGTAGGTACCAAAAATGGGACGCGGGAATTTTTTTATATAATTTTTTTAGACTTTGTGTGACCAATATGTATTTTTCGTCGCGAAAAAATTTCAAAATTTGAGCGGGTACCAAAAATGGGGACTCTTGGTTTGATTTTTTATATTTCGTCGCGCAAAGTTTTTGCGCGACCAATACTCCAATATTTTTCGTCGCTCAAAGTTTTTTAAAATGAAAATAACTCCTTTCCCATTTTCTCAATGTCTTTCTCTACTCTTACCTCTCCTCTCTCTTTCCCTCTCCCCAAATCCCACCATTTCTCTCACACTCACTCCTCTCACTTAATCTCTCATCATCTCTCTCTTCACTATCTCTCACTCTCACTCACTCTCTCATCTCTCTTTTCACTATCTCTCACTCTCACTCACTTTCTCATCTCTCTATCACTATCTTCTCTAATTCTCTCACACTCACTTCTCTCTCTCATTCTCACTCACTCTCAATCATGCCAAAAGGTATATTCTCTCCAAATTTTAATTTTTTTTCATTAATATGTGTTTTTGGAGTTAGTTTTGAGTTTGTGTGGGGTTTGGGGTTGAGTAAAGGGGAGGGATTGGAGTTTGTGGTTGGATTTGTGGTATAACAATTTTAGGGGAGATTATTTTCTTCTTTCTTTTTTTTTTTTTTTTTTTTTTTTTTTGTTTTTGTTGGAATCATCGAGACTTTGACGGCTAAAGTTGAGGATTAGGAAGCTATCAAAACATATCTTCGCCACTACCACCACAATACGCTTGTATTAGGATTTTATAATTGTACTTCGTTAATTTATGTGTACATTTTGAATATTATATATATATATATATATTTATTGGATAGTTTGATCACTATTTTTCATATGTAATTTTATTTTGAATATGTCAATTTAAATTAAAGTAATTAAAAAATATCATATAATTAAATTAAATTTAAAAAGTAAAAATTTGAATAAATTAATATCAATTTAAATTAAAGTAACGAAAAAAATCATACAATTAAATTAAATTTAAAAAGTAAAAATTCGAAATAATTAATATAATTAAATTAATATTAAAGAAATAATAAAACAAAAAGTCAAAAGCCAAAATATTTCGTCGCACAAATACATTAGTATTCGTCGCGCAAAACTCTAAAAATTTGGGAGGGTACCAAAAATGGGACGCGGGATTTTTATTTTTTATTTTTAAATAATTTTTTCGTCGCGCAAAACTTTGCGCAACCAACGTTTTTCGTCGCGCAAAACTTTGCGTGACCAATATTTTTCGTCGCTCAAAGTAACTTTGTGCGACAAATATTTTTCATCATGCAAAGTCGCTTTGCGCAACAAATATTTTTTCGTCGCTGAAAGTCGCTTTGCGCGAACAATGAAAAAACTTCGTCACGCAAAGTCTTTCTTCACGATCTATGCGCGACGGATTCTGTGTGACGAAGTTTCTGTCGCGCTGAAATTTGTGCGACTACAGTGTATTTTGCACGACCAAATTCTCTTTGTCCCGCAAAGTGTAAAATGTAGTAGTGATTGTTCTTGTTGATACTAATATTGGCTTGTAAGCTACGTTATATTGATGGAGCTTCTTATGTATATGATGGTCAGATTTTGGCTTTTACTAATTTTCATGGTAGTGTTTGTTTTTCTCTTTTAAAATTCACTTTAAATTTCTATCAACAAAAATGCAATATTCAGTAAATTCCCATATTGCCATTCTCTGCTGTTTACAATTTGCGAGAGAGAGAGAGAGAGAGAGAGAGAGAGAGAGAACAAAGGTGGGGGCCGTTAGCAAAGGGAGAACACAGAGGGGTGGTTGCATGTATTTTTGTTTTTGTTTTTGTTTTAATCTTTTTTATTTATAAAAAGACTTAATTTAAATAAATAAATAAATAAAAAGGATTTGAAGTTTTAAACCCTATACTTTTCTTTGTTCACCCAAATATTTAAATCATTAAACTTTTAAGTTTTATTATTGTGTAAAAAGACAAAAAAGAACATCCAACTTATTATTGTGTTTAAACCCCATACTTTTCTTTGGTTGCTGATTGCTCAAATTAAGAACATAATTCACTGCTATCATCCAGCTCTCTCATGACTGCTCTTCATTTGTCATTCATGAAGACATAAAGATACCCACTTGTAATTCTATCGCCATTATCTTCTTCTTTTTCAGGGAGAGTATTCTTTTTATTTGTCTTCTCTGAATTTATAATTGTTTCCCTGAAGTTGCTGTTATCTGGTTTATTTATTTGAAAGGATCCTCAATAGTTGGTTCAGTATTTCTTCAAGTTTTGGTTACATTTTCCTTTTCTTTGGGGTTCTTATCATCTGGGTTCTTGGGGATTATTAATTGTATTTGTGCAAATGGGTTTTTAGAAGTTACGTTAAGTATTATTTATTTATTTTTTCTTGTTGCATTAGTTTTTATTTTATTTATATTCTTAAAGATTCTAGTAATTACTTACTTAGGTGCTTAAATTCATAGGGTTAATTATGCAATTTGTTTTCATTTGGTTCTGGACGACTGAGATAAAAATTGGTGGCTTGAGCCTACTGTGGCTGTGGAAATTGATGGAACCCTAAGAAAAGAATGAGGAGAGCCGTTTCAGAAGAGATGGACAAAGAAAAGACTGAGGTGCCTAAAACTCCTGCCACACCAAACACTTGGAGAAGGGCTCCGCTGCTTTTGCTCAACATAACACCACACAGAAAGAGAAAGTGGGGTGTAAGGTTGTTGAGTTTTTTTAATTATTTTTTCTCATGGGTGTGTATTTAAGGGTAGTTTGGGAAGACGGTGGGGTTTACTTAGAAATTTTGAAATTTTGAATTAAAAATTGCGGTGAACTTAGAATATGGGGTGAACAAAGAGAAGTGCGGAGTTTAAATAGAAAAACTCTTTAAAATATATCATTATATTTTATTTAAAGCCACGTGTGATTATCTCATTGGATATGTGGACACCACATATGTGTCACGTTTGCAATTTAACAAAAAATTTGACCGAATCTAATAGCATAACCAAATTGATGTGTGAGGTGTAACATAAATGACCAATAATGTCAACAAAAAAAAACATACAGGATCAAATGTGATAATTTCGCCAACCTTAGGGACCATTGTGATAAAAACCCAAAAATTTAAAAGAAAAGACATGTACAAAAATATCATTGGTCCATGTTAACGGGATGGAGATAGAATCTGGAGTGGACGCAAGTATTTTTCTTGTACACAATTAAGGAGAGAGACCAACAAAAAAAAAAAAAAAAAAAAAAAAAGGAAGACAAACAAAATCTCACATCTGATCTTCTTAGCATTTTCACGTAGCAAAACGTAAGGCTTGCAACAATTATTGCATCTCAATCTAGCTAGCTATCCCTTTCTCTTCAAGCCTTTCAACATCAGCCAGAATCGTCAACATAAGACTTGGAATTGCACACGGCATTTGCTGACATTACACTATAAATAAATAAATATATATATATATATATATATATATATATATATGCTTGGATTAACGAAAACAGCTAGCTAATCTTGTAACCCATCGAAAAAATGGCCAGAGGAACATATGTTGTTCTAGGTGGTGGCCAGGCAGAGGAACTAGGTATCATGCAAGACAACTCGGGGGGAATATTTTTGCTCTGCATGATTCTTATGTCTCTCTCACTTATATCAATGGTCATATTTGCTTGTGGTGATGATGAAGGATCAAGCAAGAAAAGATGCGGAGCCAGCCGCGGCAGTGGTGGTGCAGCTTGTGGTGGAGGTTGTGGAGGTGGTTAGGAAGATATATATAACTATGTTTTCATAAAATAAAATAAAAAGTTGGTATTTATGTCAACAAAACCTGTCGTTCTTTTAATTGTTCTTGTTGATACTAATATTGGCTTGTAAGCTATATGTTATATTGATGGAGTGGAGCTTACGCGAGAGGTAAACAAATTTCTGTCAACATAATCTAATATCTTTTTGGTTTGTATTGTGATTGTGGAATTAAAACTGTGCTGATTTCTCTGGTTTATAGCTACAAGTACATACTTTTCGTAAACATATTTTTGTAAGTTTCGAGTCCACATCTTTGGCATATGCTAGACCCTCTCATAAACGAAATAGGAAATTCTTATGCTACTAGTAGATAGATTTAGCAACCCTCCCCACAACATCAAGCATTTCCCTGGTTGCCCACCCAGCTCCAACCATCAGCTCGTCTAGGGTTCGTTTTTGGGCCACTCAACACAAAAGGCACAACTCACCAACTCAATTTTGCCTTTTCAGTTTGGGTTGGGCCTAACCAAGATTTCAAATGTCTAAGCCCAAGCTCACCCACTGGGCCAAGCTTAGGTGGGCATGGCCCAACATAGGCCTACATGGGCAATGCCTTTTTTTAAATCACAAGTGGTGGGATTTGGATGTGGAATTGGTGTTATGTCTTTTAAATTTGGTTTTTTTATCGCAAATGGTTCTTGAGGTTAGCGAAATTATCACATTTTGTCCTTAATTTTTATTTATTTTTTTATTTTTTTATTTTTTATTTTTTTTTGTGACATTAATAGTCCTTAACGTTACCTAGTACACATCAAAATGGTCCAAGCTGTTAAAAACTCTGTTAAGTTGTTGAGTGGAATGCAAGTGGGCTCCACATCTCGAACGAGGTCGTGACATGTGGATAAGATAAAATAAAAAATAAAAAAATTTATGAAAAACTATTAAAAATTAAAACAATTTAAGAAAAATTTTAAAATTCTTTTTTTTTTTTCCATCCCCCATCCACTCTCCCTCTCATCTGCAATTTTTCTCGCCCACCACCCTCCCATCCACACCCGCAACCCACGCCACAATTGCATCCCCAACCCCCACCCTCTCCCTCTCTCCATATGACTTCCAATGGCCCTTCCCCACCACCCCTCCTCCTCTCTGTTTTGTTTTCTCCCCAACAACCTCCCTACCCCCTCTGTCAAATTCAATACCTCCACACTCCGAAAAAGCCCATCTCAACCTTTTTCCAAATCACACAAAACCCATCATCCAAAACATCCAAATAATTCAATCTTGGTGTGGGTTGCAGGTGGGGATGGGGTGGTGGGCGAGAAAAATAACAGAGGGAGAGGGAGCTTAGAGAGAGGGCAGAGGGGGGATGGGAAAAAAAAATCAGCTTTTTTCTCCATTTTTTAATGGTTTTAAAAATAGGTTTTATCTTATCCACGTGTCACGACATCATTGGAGATGTGGAGCCCACTCAACTTCCACGTTAGCAATTTAACAGAGTTTCTAACGGTAGGACTATTTTGATATGTACTAAATAACGTTAAGTACTATTAATGTCACAAAAAAAGATTAAGGACTAAAGGTGATAATTTCGCTAACCTCAGGGACCATTTGCGATAAAAAAACCTTTAAGTTTTTGTTACAAATTTTTAGACAATATTAAAAAAATTATCCTAATTCATAAATGTGTAAAATAAAATAAAAGGTTTATTAATGAATCTAATATATAACATTATTTCAATTAAGTTTAAAATGAGGTTAGGGAGTGCACTTGGATGTGGGATTGTAGTGCAATGTCTTTTTATAACTTTTGGTTATAAATTTTTAGACAACATTGAAAAATTAACTTAATTCATAACATGTGTAAAACAAAATAAAAGGTTAATTAATCCATTCTACATATTATATTATTTCAATTAAGTCTAAACTGAGGTTAGCGAGTGCATCAATTAAGTTTTTAAAAAATAGAGCTTAAACAGGCCTAAGTGAGCTAGGCCATGAGTGGATTGAGAATTTCAAATCCTACGCCCATGCCCTATCCAATTCAAGAGCGAACTGGACAGAAAGAGCCTAAACAACAAGCCGTAACGGGCTTTGGATCATCGAGCTACCCACTTCGTCCCATTCGCCACATGCCAAATGTTGATCCCTAGTTTCATATTCATTTATAAATATTGTTCAAAACCATGAGCTATATGGTGGAAGATATGAGTTATCTTTTAGATGGGACTTGGGCCAACACGAGACCATACTCTATATCAACCTTACCTTATCTATTAAAAATACTATAAAAAATCTTCCTGGTTAATTGACAAAGAGGATTCTCTTAAATATAGTATAGATAAACCTCTATACTTCCATTCTTGAATTAAATTAAGCAAATTCCTTACTAATCACTCAATCAAAAAACGAATGAACTAAAGAAAAGACTCCAAGTACAAGTACAACAAAGTTGGGATCCTTCTTTCTTTGCAGATTATTTTTTTTTATTTTTTTTTATTTTTATCAAGGATCAAATCAACCGAGGCCGCCATGATTACATTTTCTCACGGGCATATTCTTATTTGGCCAAAGTGGACCACCCTCACAACATATAGTCTAATGTGAACATAATTACCCGCAAGCCTTAGTGACATGCAATCCATGCGGGGTGCAACATAAGGTGGAGATAGCGTCTGTTATCCAACTTTCAAAAAATTTATTCTTATTAATTATCATAGGAATTAGGATCTATAAATAAATTCCTCCTCCTAAAGTTAGGCTCGCAAAACACAAACAGAAATGGCTAGGAACCTTGTTGGTCTAGGTGTTAGTCATACGGATGTATTGCTTCCAAGTGCTGATGGTGGACTATTCTTGTTCTGCATGATCCTGATGCCCTTTCAATAATTTCAGCTGTAATATTTTTTTGTGGTAAATCGTCTCGCAAGAAGAAACACCATAATGTGCCAAATGTTTCAGACAAAGATTAAAATATCGGCCGTGCAGATAATATCGGGCCTCCAATTCACAGATATTTCGAGGGATATACCGTTATCGTTTTAGGTATCGGGAAAAAATCAACAAAAAAGACAGATATAGGCATTGAAACACGTAATTTTGGTATAAAACTTTCATAGATGTTATGTACATTATCAATGAATGTATTGAACAAATAAAACTCAAAATTTAATAATAATAAGATATACATTGATGAAATATAAGTGGTATGTAATGCGCATTAATGAAAAGTTTGAAAATAAAATTTTGATTATAATGAATAAACCATGCATCAATCCATAGTTTGTTTAAACATTGGATTACAATTTAGATAAGTGTCCACCTACATAAATGAAGAGCTCCTATGAGGTTCAAACAATGAGGAACAATCATCTAGATTCATACAATAGTCATACCAAGTCATGTAACCGGAGCAGTTTGTAAGCTATGTTAGAACATGGTGCACATAAGTGTCTCTCGAGCTCCCCACTGTCCTCCCACATATAGGATAGTTAGGATTAACCCAACTAGTAGGTCCATAATCTGTTTCATCATCTTGAGCTCCATAACTAATTCCACTATAATCAGATATGACATAACCATAGTCATAATAAGATTCATTTGAGTTAGTAGTAGGTCTAGTTCATATGCTCATAGATCCAAAATTGATCGACATGTCTTCTTCAGATGGATTGGAGGTATGTGGGCAGTGGACTGTGCATAGATTCTTCATATTAATAAATTATAAGGTTCTGGGCAAGGATTAACAATTTTTGGGTTTCAATTTGCTTCAATTGCTTTCAAAACTTCTGAATTGTTTTTGGATTCTATTATGGGTATTAGAAAATATAGGGGATATCGGCAAAATATCGGGAATATCGCACTTATCGGGGGATATATCGTCGATACAGGGGAAGATATGGCCTTAACCCCCAGTATCGGTGTCCATAGTTGAAAATACCGATATATCGGCAGATATATCGGTGTATCGGCCGATATTTCAATCCTTGGTTTCAGATACCGGTGCATATTATTATAATTATGGTGGATACGGAGGAGGCAGAGGAGGTGGTGGAGGACATGGTCATCATGGCAATGGGGGCAGAGGACAGGGTCATGATGGAGATGGGGGCGGAGGACATGGATATGGCGGTGGGGGTAATGGTGGTGGTGGATGTTGTGGTGGAGGTGGAGATACTTAGGAAAGAGATCTTATAGTTGTGTCATAAAAGAAGTTCGAATTTAGGTAAACAAGACATGTCCTTATATGTAGAGTTCTTGTTGATAATGGTAGGGGTGGCATTTTAGACCAAAAAACCGCAAAAACCAACCGACAATTTACCGCAATGAAACCGCAATAGCGGAAAACCGAACCGCATTTGCGGTTGCAGTTGCGGTATTTGATTTTCAAAACTTGTGGTTACCGCAAACCGAAACTATATTTTTTAAATAAATAAAAATTGCATTTTAGAGATAGCATTGGTGCTCAAATAACACAACGAGGTCCTTCAAATCCACTCACCACCACCAACACTTCAGTTTGTAATATTGGTGCATTGCATTTTCCTTTTAGTTTGTAACTTTAATTAACTTTGAATTGGATTTTTCCTTTGGGTTGTTACTTTAATTCATATTGCATTGCATTTTCCTTCTAGTTTGTAGCTTTAAAGGATTTGGAATTGGAATGCTTAAGAAGTTGAGGTTTTGAATGCTTGAGAAGTTTAACTTTAATTGGAATTGTAACTTTAATTTTCTTTAGGTTGTGAATGCTTGAGAAGTTGAGGAGGTTGTGAATTTATATATGCTTGAGAAGTTGAGGTTGTGAATTTATATTTTTGGGTTAAAGTATGCTTGAACTCAAAAGGCTTCAAAAGAAGCATCAAAATTAGGCCTAAAATGTGGAAGATTTGATTTTTATGACATAAAAAGAACTTGCGGTTTTAAACCTCTAATTCACGGTAACCGACCGCTTTTTGCTCCGTTTGCGGTTTCAAAAAATCATCATACCATAAATAGTCGGTCGGTTTGCGGTTTGGAAAAAAATTCGCGATTACCGAACTGCAACCACCCCTAGATAATGGTATTGGATTCTCAATAATAAAAAAAATAAGAAAACCCTAAATGCCTTTTCCTCTCTTCTTCTCAGCGTTGCACAGTTCTCTTTTTGGGGAGAAGGAGCCATATCCCTCCTCCCCATTTACTCCTTTGCTCTGCTACCTCTCTATCTTCTTTGCATTCCTTTCTCTTGGTGCGGGTGTTCTTGTTTTTGGCAAGAGCCTGTTTGGCCGTGCCGTGGCTTTCTTAAGAGTTGGTGGCTTATACACCCCCTACAAATAGATTTACTTCCTCCTCTACATCCCCTCCTCTTCTTGCCTTATCCATATTCCGGATCTGGCCTCTCTATTGGGCTACATCAACCACTTCTATAAATGAATTTTCGCGTATTTTCTGGAAAGTGTATATAACTCAAATAGTCGGTCGGTTTGCGATTGTGAGTCTTGGATGGATGTTCTCGTGTGGATGTACTTTTGTGCTTTGGGGGAATTTGTTTCTCGGTGACAAATTGTGGGTCTCTTTGTGCAACTGTGCTGATTTGTGTGAGGGAAGTGTATCTCCTCTTTTATGGCTATGTTGGTGCAGTCCCTGTTCCCTTTGCAGCAGTGGCTTTGTTTGCTTTTGTTTTGTATTTTATTTTGGCTTTGTGATGGGGAAGATTCATTTTACTAGACTGTAATGGTTTTTAGTTTAAACTCCCATATGCTTGTTGTTCTTTATTCCTATGTGTTGACCTTTTTGGTTCTTGATCTCTGTTTTTTTTCCAACTGTGATTGAACCCAAAAAAAACTTATTGGATTCTAGGCTATGTTATATTAAAGGTGCTTCGTATATGCATGCATATATGATGGTCAGATAGTGTTTTCATTATTATTAATTGTCATGGTAGTGCTTGTCATTCTCGATTTAAAATTCACTTTAAATTTCTATCAACAAAAATGTAATAATCTGTAAATTCCCATTTTGGGCAGTGTATTCCCTACCATTTGCAATTTGAGGACAACTGACAATTTCCGTCACCAAACGTTGATAAAATGACCACTTTTTAACCCCTCAAAACCAAATTGGTGACGGAAATTGGGATAATGGGCTCATTGGGATTTAATCGCTTTATTCTTGCAACTCCCTCCCCAAGCCGTATATGCTTAATCGTAGAATGGATGGGTGGAGCAACATTAGGAAATGTGGTGGAAGATTCAATAGGGATGCGACAGATGTTTTATATCAACCTCAAAAGGCCAATGGTGTGGCACATGCTCTTGCCCAATATGGCTTGAAAGAAGGCACCCGTTTCCTTTGGACTGATGCGGCACCACCTCGGTTGGACTATATTCTATGGAAGATAGGGAAGTGGGGTAGGGTGTTTAATAGTATTGTTTTGTATAGCTGCTTCAAAATCTGAAAGCCCTCTTTCAAATTTCTGCATACCAATAATTCCCCAGTTACATCTACCCCAAATCCACCTTAACCCTAATCTAACCTTCTCCCTTATCCATTTTAATCAACACAGGAATAAGCAAACCATAAGGCCATGTTTGATATGGAGGATTAGACTCGACTATAGCTATTAGAAGGCCTAGATTTCATGTGCAATCAAGAAATAATATGAGTGTTGTCTTCTAACTTGGAGGATTTTTTATTTTATTTTTTGGTCGAAAAGGACTTATATTCAAAGCACAAGAACCCTTAAACAAGAGTCTCACGCCCATACAAGGAGAACAGGTCTGCCCATGCAAGGAAACAGACAAAACATAAAGATTCCAGAAACCAACCAATACATTTAGACTGATCAAGAAGAAAAGTGCCAGAAAGACAATCCAACCATAAGGATGTCAAAACGATCCAAATTAGGCATGGTGAGGACAAGGGAGTCCATCCTTGCAAAGGATATGCACAAGAGAGGTGGGGGACCGTTCAACCTAAACTTCCGTACTCCTTCTCGATAGTGCCAGCGACGCAAGATGATCCGCTGCTTGATTACAATTCCTGGGTAAGTGCCAGAGTCCTTCTTCATATTAGAATTCTGCCATTGCAGAGGCAGAATGCAAAAACAAAGCATTCTGCTTCTGCTTCTCTCTCAACCTCTCTGCCACTGCTGGGATTTCAATACATTGATTGGGTAAGTATTTTTCGTCATTAGTTTAAAAGTATTAATTTAAGTTCGTACTAAGGTTTTTTAATTTGTTTTCGTTAGGGATATTTGTAATTAGCGATTGGTGGAGAACGATTGAGAAGGTATTTTATTTGTTTTATATATTAATAATGTTAATTTGTTATGTTTAAAATGTTCTTGTGAAGTTATATTTATATTATGTTGTGTGTAACGTAGTACAATCTGTTGTGATGTACGAAGTTAATTGAAATTAACTTCGTGCTTTTATTTTTATGTTTAGTAACACTTAGTTTCCCGTTCGAGATTAGTTGGATTTCGTGCATGGATGCGTAATGCATGACTGCGGTCCAATTAATTCTTGAATTGTCCCATTATTTGGACAGTTTGGTAATGCATAGTGTTGTCACGTAATCTATGGCTACAGGATTAGGTTTCGATTGTGGATATTTCGTTGTCATCTCGGTACGTTCTTCGGGTGGTACGTAGGTATTTATACCTATGGCCACCTCAAGAACTGTAGCGAGATGCTGGCGAAATTCATCCACGTCGAAATCTAATCTCATGTAGTCGTAGGTTACGTGGCAGGAGTATGCATTCCCGAATGGGATAGGACCCTTACCGGAGGCATAAGGTGACATTATAACTTCGTATGAAGTTGTTGTGATTGTTGTGTTGTGATTCTGGTTTCAGGAATTATGGACAGAAGGTGGATACAGAACCCGAACAGATGCGCAGACGAATACTTGGATGGAATCGAGGATTTTATTGAGTTTGCACGTAGACACAACCCAGGTGCAACTAGAATCCGTTGTCCTTGTAGGAGGTGCAACAACACGTTATGGGAGACAATTGAAAATGTTGGATTTCATTTAGTAAGGAATGGAATGATTGAGACATATAGCATTTGGAACCTTCACGGGGAACAATTAGAGCATGCTTCGTCTTCAAATGCCACAAGAGTGGACAATGTTCAACCTATTGTGGATGCTAATGATCAAGTCATGGATATTATACAGGATGTTTTTCCATTTGCATCGACCAACATGAATCAAGAAGAGCAAGATGATGTGCCTACACCAATAGACAGTGCGGAGTTTGAACAATATGAGAAATTGTTAAAAAATGCCAACCAAGAGTTATATCCGGGGTGCGAGAGCTTTTCCGTTCTCACGGCCATTGTGGAGCTAATGCATGGAAAAATAAAGTATCGTATGTCGAACCTGTGTTTCGATTACTTTTTGGGGGTTTTCAAGAGAATGCTTCCGACGGACAATTATTTGCCGAAAGACCATAAACAGGCGCAGAAGGTGTTGAATGGTCTTGGATTGGGTTATGAAAAAATCCATGCTTGCAAAAACAATTGCATGTTATTCTACAAAGAGCATGAATCGTTGGATACATGTCCTATATGCAATGAGTCGAGGTTCAAGATGACATCTCAGAATAGGACGACTAAGATCCCACAAAAAGTCATGCGTTATTTGCCCCTGAAACCTAGGTTGCAGCAATTGTATATGTCGACGCATACTGCCACAGACATGAGATGACATCAGGAAAAACGGGTAGACGATGATATGATGCGGCATCCTGCAGATGGGGAGGCATGGAAAGAGTTCGATCGAACGTTCCTCGAGTTTGCTGCTAATCCCCAAAATGTTAGATTGGGACTTGCCACTGACGGATTCAATCCGTATGGGGTTCTAAACCAACACCACAGCACTTGGCCGATTTTCGTATTCCCATATAATTTGCCGCCTTGGAAATGCATGAAAAAAGAATACATGATGATGACTGTTTTGATAACTGAGGATCCTGGGAGGTCAATCGATGTTTACTTAAGGCCGCTGGTTGATGAGCTGAAGGATTTGTGGACAAACGGTGTTCGCACGTACGATAAATCAACTGGGAAGATGTTCACTTTGCGGGCAACAATTATGTGGACTGTGAATGATTTCCCAGCATATGCAATGGTTTCTGGGTGGAGCACAAAAGGTTATATGGCATGTCCTGTATGCAAGGAAGATGTAACTTCTGGTTGGCATGCTGGAAAAGTTTGTTACCTTGGTCATCGGAGATGGTTGCCATGGGACCATGAGTGGAGGGAAAAAGATAAAGAGTTCGACGGGAACATAGAGCGTCACCTTAGACCCAGAGAATGGTCCGGTGATGAGATATTGGACCAGCTTAACCGGTTGGATTTTGCTCCCTTCGGGAAAACAGTTAGTCGTATCAGACCTTCTACACATATGAACTGGACGCACAAGCCTATGTTTTTTGAGCTCCCATATTGGTCGAAACTAAAATTGAGGCACAATCTAGATGTGATGCATGTTGAGAAAATTATATTCGACACATTGGTGGGCACGATTCTAGATATCAAGGGGAAGACAAAGGACACGATCAAAGCTCGTCTTGATTTGGAAAGAATGGGCATACGAAGGGGTTTATGGATGAATAGGGACAATGATAAAGCTAGAAGGGATCTTGCATTCTTTTCTATGAAACCGAATGACAAGAAAGAGTTTCTAAAGTTTGTATCGTCAGTAAAGTTTCCCGATGGGTATGCTTCTAATATCGCACGTTGTGTGAATGTTGACGGGGGTAAATTTACTGGACTTAAAAGCCATGACTGCCATGTGTTTATGCAACGCCTACTTCCTGTTGGTATTCGACACCTATTGCCGGAAGATGTAGTGAAGCCAATCATTTTGTTGTCCAGATTTTTTTCCCAACTGACGGCAAAAACTTTGCGAAAAACGGACATGTTTCAGTTGCGCCATGACATTGTCCAAGTCCTATGCAAGTTTGAGATGATATTTCCTCCAGCTTTCTTCACAAGTATGATGCACGTGATGGTTCACTTGCCAGAAGAGGCATTACTTGCTGGTCCTGTCAACTATCGCTGGATGTATCCAATAGAAAGGTATATAATCCTTATCGTTTGTGTATGCATCATTATCACATGCTTGCTAATTTCAATCATATCGTTTTATTTTGGCAGGCTTCTCGGAGAGCTGAAAAAAAGTGTACGCAACAGGGCGAAGCCCGAAGGATCAATCGTAGAGGCTTGGGTTCAATATGAGTCGCTTACTTTCTGCGGAATGTATTTAAAAGATGTGGAAACGGTTTTCAATCGTCCTTAACGCAATCATGATAGAGGTATGAGAAATGAAAAACTTTCTGTTTTTGCCCAAAGCGCACGACCCTTCGGAGATCCTGGACGCGGAGAGTCGTTTTCTAGAAATGACATGGAGGTAGCGCAATGGTTCATACTGAACAATTGTGATGAGATCATGGGATACTTATATGAGCATGAAGAGATGATGAAGCGAGAACATCCATCACATTTGGTTGCCCAGAAACACCGTGAATTGTTTCCACAATGGTTTTTGGATTCTGTAAGTTATCAGTGTTTGTTATTTGAGAAATATAATTTTTGTTTTTTAATTTTGTCAGACTAACATATGAATGGTTTTGTATAATATTAGGTGAATAAGTTGAAATCATCAAATTCCCCAACTTACAGTGATGAGTTATATAACTTGGTGTTCGGCCCGATTCGCGCTGAATTGTTCTCAGGTTGTAATGTCAACGGCGTCAAATTTTTGGCCGAAGGACGAGATGACAAGTTGTGTACGCAAAACAGCGGTGTCCATGTCCCAGGTGGAGGCGAAAGTACGGACATTGATTTCTATGGCAAACTCACAACTGTCGTGCAATTGCTTTACAAAGATCGATACCAAGTGATCATGTTTAAGTGTCGATGGTTTGACACCAACCCAAATAGGCCGGGAAGTGTTAAAATCGATCATGGCTTACTATCTGTGAACATGAACAGAACTTGGTATGATGACGACCCTTATATTTTGGCAAACATGGCAACACAAATTGTGTATCTAGATGACCCTAAAGCCGGAAGCGGTTGGAACGTTGTTCAAAAGATGGATCACAGGAACGTGTATGCTATACCGGAACGTGTATGCTATACCTGAACTAGACCCAACTGACAACGACGTCAACAACGTGGCTGACCAACGTTTAGAATCTTCAATGGAAAATGATGCGGAAACACTTCAAGATACTAATGTTATACAAGAGCCATTTCAAATACAAGGAGTGTCTTCAATCGAAAATACCGACCTCGGTGATCTTCCGCGATATGATGTTGCAGTTGGCCCGAGCAACGACGATGATGTAGTTATAGAGGAGGCGGAGGAGGAGGAGGAGGAAGAGGATTGGGAGACCGAAAGTAATGATAGCAACGATAACGAAAGTTATTATAGTTCAGATGATGAATGATTAATTTTTTTTGTAATTTTATTATGTTAGTGGACATATTTTGTGTAATGCAAATGTTTTCATATATGTACTTGTTATATCCAAACATTATATATGTGCAGAAATGAAACATTATTAAAATAAATGTAGTTATAAACCATTGGTAAATAAATATATCCAAGTAATTTGTATCATAAAGTTTAAATTTATTTTCACAAAAAACTTTTAAAAAATGAAAACCATATAACCGAAAAATAAATACAAAGAACATAAGATTATCAACAATCCTTCCATTCTCAAATCAAAAGAAAATAGAATAAATCATACTTTCATACAATTAATTATATGTAATGATGAATAATTCAGATTAATAATATGTGAATGAAAATAACCTTGCGCGACGAAGGCATAATTGTCGCGCAAATTTTGCGCGACGGACAACGTACACGTCGCGCATACTCTATTATTTGCGCGACAAATAATTTCGTCGCGCAAGTGCCTTTTGCGTGACGAAAAACAGACCTCGTCGCGCAAACATATACACATATATATATATATTTCTGATATATACACACGTATATAGTTGAAATTGACGATCGAAGTAGTTCACTGTATTCACATAGGGTTAAACAGTATAGCTGTAAAAAATCATCAAAATCAGAGTCAAAATAACCGTTAAATCATGACTTTTCCTTTATAACCGTCGAAACGTTTTGTCCCGTTACTTGAGCTCTGAATGTTTTTTTTTCTCATTTTCGACGTATACGATCTCGAAGTATAAACAATCATATTTGACGGCTAGATTACTGAAACTAGTTTCCTAGAATGCGTATTCCATAAAAACACAATATTCATAAAAATGAATAATTTCTTTATACATTCATTCAGTCTAACATAAGATGATGTGATGTCCTGTACTGTAAATATCTGAAATTGAAGATCGAATTACATCTCTGTATTCATATAGGGTCAAGAACCGCAGCTATAAAAAATTTTCAAGATCGGAGTTAAAATCACCGTTGAATCGGGACAATTTGTTTAGAACCGTCGAAAAGTTTTGTCCCGTTACTCAATCTCTGAATGTTCATTCATTATGATTTTTGACATATACGATCTTGAACTATGAAAAAAGAAGATTGCCGGTTGGATCATTGAAACTAGTTCAAGAGTTCGGGTTTAGGGCTTAGGGTACAGGTTTTAGGGTACAAGGGTATGGTTTTGCGCGACGAAACCTACTCTTACTCGTCACGCAAAACATCAGCGACGAACATAATCCCATTCGTCGCGCAAAATCATTAAAAAAATTCGCTGCCCTTCTCCGCTCCAACACTTGGTTAAATTTTTTTGGCAAAAGCCAGATTGCGCGACGAACATTAGTCCGTTCGTCGCGCAAAATCATTAAAAAAATTCGCTGCCCTTCTCCGCTTCAACACTTGGTGAAATTTTTTTTGGCAAAAGCCAGATTGCGCGACGAACATACGTCCGTTCGTCGCGCAAAATCATTAAAAAAATTCGCTGCCCTTCTCCGCTCCAACTCTTGGTGAAATTTTTTTTGGCAAAAGCCACATTGCGCGACGAACATAATCTCATTCGTCGCGCAAAATCATTAAAAAAATTCGCTGCCCTTCTCCGCTCAGACACTTGGTGAAATTTTTTTTGGCAAAAGCCAGATTGCGCGACAAACATAATCCCATTCGTCGCGCAAAATCATTAAAAAAATTCGCTGCCCTTCTCCGCTCCAACACTTGGTGAAATTTTTTTTGGCAAAAGCCAGATTGCGCGACGAACATAAGTCTCTTCATCGCGCAAAATTAACAATTGCAGCCCTTCTCTATCTAACACTTGGCAAAATTTTGTTTGGCAAAAGCTAGATTGCGCGACGAATGCCTATTCGTCGCGCAATCTCATTGCATTTATTTTCCCCGTGCAAAATCAAATCCCAAAATTTTGGGCGGCTGGACAAGTTTGCGCGACGATACTAGTTCTTTCGTCGCGCAAAGTATATCTTTTCACAACGTTGCGCGACGAAATCAAGTTTTTAAGTCACGCAAAGGTCAAGTTTTTATAATATTGTGCGACGAAATGTTTATTTTTCCGTCGCGCAAAAGTTATTTTAATGAATTTTGCGCGATGGATTTATATATTCGTCGCGCAAAGTCGAATAAGTTTTCTGAAAATCGCGATCTTCTCCTTCTTCCCCAATTTCTCAAACGGAACCCTAATTTCTCAAACTCAACCTCCCTTTCTCTCCGCCGTGACCTCCGCCCCAATTCAGACCTTGCCGCCGCCACTGTCGAACCCAGGAGCTTCTCAGTCGCCGTCCATCCTGCCGCCGTGATTTCCTCCGTTTAGGCTGAATCTTCGCCGTCGTTGTTCTCTCTCCTCCGGTCACCAAATCCGGCAATTGAGGTATGCTTTCTGGGCTATTTTTCATGCTCTAGCTTATGGTTGTGTAGGATTTGATTGATTGTGTGCATAGGGTAGTGAATTTGAAACCCTAGGTTTCGGCCGGTTTTGAAATTGAAATTCCGGCCACTTCCGTCCGTTTTTCGGGGTAGGTCCGAGAACAAAAGTGCCTCCAATTGATGTTTTCAACCTAGGGTAGGAACCTTGGCCCTTAATTTTTAGGATTTCCCAGTGATTGTTATCGCTTAGGGCACCCACGCGCTGCCGGCGCGTGTGGTGGCGCGTGGGGTACTGTGGCATAGGGCATTTTGTCCCAGTGCAAACATTTCGTTGTCACGAGCGCGTAGGTGTGCTCGGATTGGAATTTGGTTATCGTTTGAGTCTCGAACGGTTCGAACCTATTGTGCGATTTTAGGGTTTGATATGTTCGGACCGTTGGATCGAGCTGAAACTCACGTATGTGGTACCATGTATTTATAGGATCGTTTAGGATTCGACGGATCGGAGTCCCGGATACTCCGAAATCGCAAACCCTAGGTCAAACTATGATTTTAATTAGTTAGTTCAATTTTTTAATGACATTGTATGTGCTACATTGGATTAATGAAATTGTGCAGATGTCAGACTTGATTAGACGTCGTAGGGCGGTGACGGCTACACCGAGTTCGGAGCCCCCGGCTCAGCCGGTATCAGCTGCCACTGCTCCAGCACTGATGGAGCAGGACCACGTGCTAGCTGGTCCTGGGGGATCCCAGGCGGCTGCATCATCATCTTCTTCGGTGGTGCAGCCTCTTAGCGCTAGGCGGCGACACCGGCCCGCTACCACCACCGACACCACATCGACTGACTGTACTGGTGCCTCGGGGGCACCTCCAGGTAATACCCTTCCACTTTCATTTTTTTGTTTTTAACATTTTTTTAATTGGGAATTTTATGGTTCAATTTGATTGTATATGTAACAATATTGTCATATCCCTTTGCAGCCAAGAGGAACACCCGAGGGCCGTGTCGGCAGCTGAAGACGGCGAAGGTCACCCGGGTGACCAACAGTCGTATCAGCATCGGATATGACGAGCGCCATCGGGCTGCACCGACGGCGGACTTGCATAGCTCCTTGGCCCACGACATTGGCCACGTCGTTCGAACCCATTGCCCGATGCAATGGAAGTCTTGGAAGGTCATGCCTGACGAGATCAAGATGCAAGTTCGCGGCCAGTTGTCGGTATGTTTCCTATCTTTTAATTATTTTTCTTTCAAACTTTATATATTTCTATTACTTAATGTATGTAATCAATTTATTGCAGACAAACTACGACTTAGAGGACATCAACGAGGAGACCTTGGCGTACGTCAACAGACTCTTCGGTGAGAGGTACAAGCAGTGGAAGAGCGACTTGCACCACCATTTTCAGGCGTTTGATGATCCGCAAGTCGCTCTTCAGGAGGGTTGCCCGAAGGAGCTTGAGGGGCGGGAGGATAGTTGGGCGTGGCTCTGCGCTCATTTTCAGGCGCCCGATTATGTGGTATTTTTTTAATAATATTTGTTTAATGTTTATTTTATTTTTTATATCTCATTATTATTTAATTTATTTATAGTTCAATTATTACGTTTTATTTTTGGTATAACAGAATAAAGCCCAAGTGAATAAGGGCAATAGGAAGAAGAAGACTCTTCTTCACCATTCCGGCTCCAGGCCCTTCTCATATAGGATGGATGCACGGCGTCGGGTAAGAATAATATAATTTATATTTAATTTTTAATACGTCATTATTATTAATTTCTTTTGTTCATACTAATATTTTCCTTCTCTTGTTCAATTAAGGGGGGGTCGAAATTCCCAGAGATCGACGTCTTTGGTGACGTTTATGTTCGACCTGGGAATGAGTTGGCCGAGTCCCTTCATGTAAGTATTATGTATTTTTAATTCTTATGTTACACTTTCAATTTATATGCATTTTTGAATTTATATTTTATGTAATGTTAAACAGACGACGATGGTGGAGAGGAGCCAGTTGGTTCTTCAAGAGTCCGCCTCCCAACTTCCTCCCGAGACTCCGATCGAGTCTGTGGATCCTCCGCATGATGCTGGATTTCAGATTTTGACGCAGACGTTGGATCAGACTCTCGGGAGGAGGCCGGGAACGTATTGTAGGGGGATGGGGAATGCCCGACAGAGGGAACCTCGACCGCGGTCATCGTCGCAGGCAAACAGTCAGGTGATTGTTTTGACATCGCGGGTTGCCGAGCTTGAGGGTCAGATGTCGGTGATTCTGCAGTCCCTCGCGCGGTCCGGCATTCCAATCCCGAATTTTGGTGCGTCGACCTCCGAGCCCGTCCACCCCGAGCATCCCCAGCACACCACGGCCCCTGCAGACACCCATACCTTCAAGCCGCATGTGGCAGATGACCAAGTAGATTTTGGAACATTATTTGATTAGTTTTTTATTTTTATAATTACTTTTACAATTTGTATACATTTCTTTTATTTTATATAATAGATGTTTTCTTTACGATTATTTTTTTATTGTAATTTCATTTTAATTATAAAAAAAAACCAAATTTATTTTTTTACAAAATTAAAAATCAAATAATAATAAATTTTTTTAAATAATATATTGCTTTTGCGCGACGAAACGTAAATCGTCGCGCAAAAATATTTAAATAACAAATCAACAAATATATTTTAATCATGCGCGACGAATAATTTCGTTGCACAAAATGTGTATGCGCGACGAATAAGATTTCGTCGCGCAAGGTTCATGTAGCTCGCGCGACGGAAGTAGCGCAGTCCGTCGCGCAGTTTTTTTGCGACGACCACTATTTCGTCGCACAAATATTTGTGCGACGGACATTGAGGTCATCCCGAAATGTTTTTTTTAAACGAAGTTGTTATACGTAGCGCACACTGCGCGACGAATGACATTTATTCGTCGCGCAAATCCTTTCTTCACGAACTTTGCGCGACGGACTGTGCATGACGGACTGTGCGCGACGAAACTTCTGTCGCGCATAATGATGTGCGACTAAAATCATTTTTGCGCGACGAAGACCCATTCGTCGCGCAAAGACTAAAATGTAGTAGTGCATGTTGTGTAGATACCATGCATAATCACATGCCTTAGGAGAATCATGCATCCTGCACCTAGATACCATAGGCTTGTATGCGGTAATCTATTGTTGATGAAGCTTGAGTCAATTTCTATGCATTCATAACTTGGATAGGAAGACTAGTGGTAGATTCCAAGGCTCTAACACCTCTCAATCTTTGTTTCACAACTTGTTGATTGCTGCCAGTGTTTACTTTCGAGCACTTTCATTTCACGTTCTTCTTTTCATTTCAACAACAAAACCCCCCATTTCGAGTGCGTGTGTGGTGCTAGGATTCTGTCATAGACCTTGAGTAATTAGCAAGAGGCATTGTTGAATTCAACCTTGCCTTTAGCTAGTTAGTCAGTTTTTTTGTTCTATGTTTTTCTAGCATTCTAAGTAATTTAACTTGGAACCAAGTTACCATTCTCCATGGGATCGACCTCGTATTTACATAAGCTATACTGTAAACGGTTTGTGCACTTGCAAGAATTAAAGTTGCTGTTTTTAATAAGTCATTTTAGTTGTTAAGAATACGCTCAACATGGATCGCCTTGTAGGATGCCCCTCATTGGTGTAAAAGTGTTACCCTACACCCCATTCAAGACCAGCGAGAATTGCACAGTACGAACCAAATTCATCACCAAGTTGACCTAATGAACATCAAAACCCATCTTGAGCATGACCGATTCCAAGAAATGCCACTCCACCCTATCATAAGCCTTGTTCATATCAAGTTTGATGCCCAAGTCGTACATTTTTTTTGTCTTTCGCAGCTTTAAAATGTGGAAAGCTTCATGGGCGATTAAAATATTCTCCTGAATTTGACGGTTTGGGACAAAAGCATTTTGAGCCGGAGAGATGATATGAGGCAAAACAACCTTCAATCTATTTTCCATAACTTTAGATATAATCTTGAAAGAGAAATTGCATAGGCTAATTGGGCGAAAATGAGAAACTCCCTCAGGGTTTGGAATTTTGGGAATTAAAACCAGGTTTGTAGTATTCAAAGCACCAAGACTCTTATTGTTTAGGAAGAAAACCTCTATGATGCCTCTGACTTCATCATAAATAGTGTCCCAATATTTGTGAAAGAAAATTCCCTGTAACCATCTGGACCTAGAGACTTTAAACCTCCCATATGCATTGTAGCCTCCTTTATCTCTTCCATAGTAATTGCCTGCAATAAGTTGTCATTGGTAGTTTGGGAGATCACACGGTCAACACAATCAAGAATATCACCATTAATGGATTGAGCCACAAAAGTGAACAAGTTCTTGAAATGCTCTTCAAACACCCTCCTGACGGCTTGCTCACCCACATGCCAACGCCCATCATCGCCCTTAATTCTAAGGATACAATTCTGTCATCTACGGGCCAGCGTAGATTGGTGGAAGAAAGCAGTATTAGCATCCCCCTTTGAAAGCCACTTTATCCTGGACCGTTGATGCCAATATTGTTCCTCTCTTGCCCTAGTTTCAATTATCTCCTATTTTTTTTCATTGAGCTCAGCGTGAAGGGCCTCCATTCTCTTCTTATTGTTTAAGAACTTTTCTCTGCTCATTTTTGAAGGAGGGTAGTGCAATGTTGAAGCTTAGCTTTCCATTTATGTATCCACGGACCTTGAACTTGCTTTTCCCAGCCTTTTTCAATAATCTGTTTAGCCTCCACCTCATCGGCCCAATAAGCTTCAAACTTGAACTGCCTTCTATGATTTCTATGATACATGGTTTTCTCCAAGACCAGTGAATTGTGATCCGAACCGATGGCCGGGTGGTGACTGATGGAATTATTTGGCCATGACTCCTGCCATGGTAAGTTCCCCAAAACTCTATCGAGCCTTTCCTAAACAAACATACCATTCTGCCTGTGAGCCCTCTAAGTGAAGCTCGATCTTGGTAACCCAAATCAATGAGCCCCGCCTTCTCCATGAAGTTGTGAAGGTAGCAGGGTCTGTTGGAAGGCTGCTCAAAACCACCCCTTTTCTCAAAAGACCATAAGATTTCGTTGAAATCACCACCGCATAACCATGGAAGGTCGGTATATTTGAGGACACCTTCGAGAAAGTTCCAGCAAGCCTCCTTCTCCTCTCTATATGGCATTCCATATACCCACGAAGCCCTGTAATGCATTCCCCTCTGATTATCAGTGATGCTTGTGTCAATAAATTTTTTGGAGAAACCCTTTACCTCGAGATCAATGTTATCATCCCACCAAAGACTCAACCCTCCAACACTACCCACTAGGGTACCCTTCTGAAAACCGCAGCTGCGTTTCAAACTTTCAATCTTGTTGTCCTTCGATTTTGTTTCCATTAAAAACACAACAGTGGGCCAGAATTTACGAACCAAACCCCGGAGGGTACGAACTGTCAAGTTCGGCCCGAGGCCTTGACAATTCCATAGGATGTAGCTCATGGTTAACGTGCGGCTGTTGAAGGCCAGCCACCACAACCTCAGGTTGCACCGCCCGACTCCTGATCAGTTGCTTGAATATGGACATGTGACCAATCATCCGCTTGAGTGACGTTGACCTCAGTGAGATTTGCACTATCAAACAAAGCATGAGCTCTGCTTCTTGCATCCTTAGACTTGCTGCTTTCCTTATATGTGGTTTTCCTAGCCTTCACTATCCTCCTCTTTTGTGACCCTTCAACCACCGCCAGACCTCTCCCAGTTGTAGCCTCATTTGATAAGGTTTCAGTTTCAGCCTTCTCAAGGTTTAAGAGAGGCACGTGATCATGCTTCTGTTTTTTTCCCGGAGACTCCAACTTACTGGCTCGCTCGTCCTCTGGATTTCGCTTTAGGCCCAAATTCTGAAAAGTTGAATCTATATGCGAAATAATTCGACTGGATGCCATGTTGATTTTTGGCCCAAGGGGATTTGAGAAAAAAGGCTCCACATGCATAGGAGTGCCAAATGGCCCAAGGCCCATTCAATTTGGTCTCAGTGTTGGGTTAGGTTTGCTCCAATTGGTAATGAAGCGTTGCCCCTGAAATCCGCTGTAACATTCAGTTCCTCCAAGATAAACGCCTCTTCACTTCCAGAATTCACCCTCTATGCTCATTGCCTTGGGAAAATCGTCTGTGTCTGTCTTGATTCCGGAACCACCTGACAAAATAGGATAAGGGTATTACAGCTATGCGTGCTCTCTAACATTCGACTGCGCTCGAGCTGCCTGCTTGTCAAATCACAGATTCCAAGCTATCTTTGGCTCATCAGAGATCCCTTGTACACCCCCTCACTTGCTGCGTGACGCCCACACTCATTCTTCCCCTTCCCCACGGCGTTGCCGAACTGTGGCAGCTCTCCTTCTTACTCCAGGTGTGTTGGTTGGTGGCTTAGAATCATAAAATTCTCTAATAATTTTGGCCCTGGTCCAATTTCCATAGGCCGTTTCATTTGTAGATGGTTCCTCGAAAGTGCAAGCATCCATAGAATGTCTGATTTGGCCGCATCGGTAGCAGAAATCAGCAAGCCTCTTGTACTGGTACTCAACCCAAATCTCCGTGTCGTCAACCCTGGGCAGCTAGAAACCAGCAAGAAGTGGCAGGTTGGTATCTACCCCAGTTCTAATTCGTAGGAAACCTCTTTGCTTTCCTGGGTCTTCGAATCAATCACCCCCCCCAGCTTTACGCCCCAATTTGATCACATTCTCCTCGTGGCATAGGTTCAGCGGGATTCCACGAATCTAGATCCAATGTGGAACGATGTCCACCTCAACTTCCTCGATGGCAAGATTTGGAGGCCATCTTTTCACAGAGAAACAACATTTCATAACAGACCAGGGTCCATTGTCAATAATCTTGCTGTCCATTTCTTCATCTATAACTGTTATGGAGAAAAGGTTCTCCCTAACCCATACTATCTTAGCTTCCCCATAGTCTTTCCAAGCTGCTTTCAGAATGCTCTTTATTGCCCCCTTGTTTGGTAGTTTCTAGGCAATCACAGCACCAACAAGCTTCGGCCTTTCTTCAAAATTGGATATTCCCAGCGCCTCCTCCAAGTGCTCACTGAGTTCGTCAAGCGTGGGTCTGGTCCGTTCACTCCTTTGGCTACTTCTTTTGATCTCGCTCATTGTTGGTGTGAGGTTACTTTCTGGATAGACTATGGTCTTTTGAAACGGTTTGGGGTGAGATAGATGGTGTTTGTGTGGCTGTTTTAGTAATGGGTAAGGTTGCAAACTGGTATAGTGAGGATGTTTGTGGTGGTATACGTGCTTCAGCTTGATGTGGTGCAGATGCTTATGATTCTTGAAGGTGTGATGAAAGTAAATGGCTATAGCCGTTATATATAGTATTGAAGAGATCTGGTTGTTGGGGAATTCATGGTGCGTATCTTTCTTCTTAAATTTGTTTGTCGTAGATTGTTGGTGTTCATCCCTATAGGGGTAGCCTAAAGCCAAAATGGGGAGCAAGATTATGAGCAGAGGAGAAAATTAGGGAGGAATTACTGAGGCAAAAACTCTTATGCAAATCATCAAACACGTTTATGGTCAATGTGCCCTTCTTCACATCAATAATAGCACCGGCAGTTGCCATAAATGGCCGACCTAGAATGAGTGGTAACTGATTGTCATGAATTGGTGCTTCTTCCATTTCCAACACCAAGAAATCTGTTGGCAAAATTAGCTCCTCCACTTTCACCAAAATATCATCTAAAATGCCCTTAGGGTACCTAATAGTTCTATCTGCCAATTGAATGCTCACAGATGTGGCTTGCAACTCACCAAGGTTAAGTTTCTCATAACATGATATGACATAAGGTTTATAGAAGCACCAAGATCAAGCAAAGCTTTTTGAAACTTAAAATCACCAACTATGCAAGGTATAGAAAACGAACCTGGATCATTTAGCTTTGGAGATAGCTTTCTTTGTAACACTGCACTTATCTCTTCACTCAATGCAACTTGGTCATGCTCTTTGAATCTCCTCTTGTTAGTGCACAGATCCTTCAAAAATTTTGCATACTTTGGAATCTGAGCAATGGGATGTTGATTTGCACCTTCTTGAGTGTTTCCATTATCTCATCCAAGCCTTGATCTTTCTTTGACTTTAATAACCTGCTGGGAAAGGGTGCAATAGGCCTAAAAGCATTAGTTGAAATTGGAACTTGATTAGCATTAGATGATACCTTAGGGCCTGTGCTCTTTCTAGGAGCATTGAGGGCCTGTTTGGTGGAACCTGTGGGCTGCCTATGTGGTGGCTGAATGATCTCCATGTTTTCTCCATCTTCTTGCTCTTCATTGGCATCTCCAACCTTATTATCAACTTGTTTACCACTTCTCAAGATGTGTACTGCTTTAGCATGCTCTTGATGCCTTGGATTCACCTCCATTTGGCTTGGGAAAGTTCCGGATGCTCTATTGCTCATGGAGGATGCAATCTGCCCAACTTGCACTTCTATTTTGTTCACTGCATTTTGAAGATTCTGATTGGTTTGCATCTGTTGCCCTATAAACTTCTTGAACATGTCTTGCAATTCTCCTATTTGATCACCCCTTTGCTCTTGCACTTGTTGGGGAGCTTGCTGGAATTGCCTTTGTTGTATTTGAAATCCTGGTGGAGGTCCTTGAGATTGTTGCACATTTGAGTTATTGCTCCACTTGAAATTAGGATGATTTCTCCACCCCGGATTGTACGTGTTTGAGTAAGGATCATTATTAGGATTCCTTGCTTGAAGGGCATTTGCTTGTTCTAGCATGTGCTCTGCAAAAGATTGATCTTGAACTTCCACTTTGTTTCCTAGAGGGCCCGTCACTGCCTGTTGAAGCAAAGAACACATAACATCAAGTTTTGCAGCAATCTCATTATTAGTACTTACCTCAGAGACCACAGCTTTCATAGGAGCTCCTCTTCCTTTATTGTGGCTCCATTGTTGAGAGTTAGCACTCAAGGATTCAAAAAGAGTAAAAGCCTCATCTGCTGTTTTGTTCATCAGTCCTTCTCCACTTGTTGCATCTACCATCATCCTTTCAAATCAAGCAAACCTTCATAGAAAGTTTGCATTTGCATCCAACTCTCTATGTTGTGGTGTGAGCAAGAACTTACCATCTCCTTGTACCTCTCCCAACATTCATGAAAAGCTTCTCCTTCTCTTTGTGCGAAACCAAGAATTTCCTTTCTAATCTTGTTAGTCTTTTGAGCCGGAAAGAATTTCTGCAAAAACTTATTAGAAAGCTCATCCCAAGTACGAATTGACGCATTAGGCAAAGATTATAACCAAGACTTAGCTTTATCTTTTAAACTGAATAGGAATAGCCTCATCTTAATCTGCTCATCATCAAGGCCTTGAATTTTGATCGTAGCACATATTTCAAAGAATTGCTTAATATGCATGTAAGGATCCTCAATGGTATTACCATAATAAGTTAGAAGAAGATGAATCATACCACTTTTAAGCTCAAACCTATCAATAGTGAGTTGAGGATAGACGATGCACGAAGGTTGATCAGTGACTTTGGGAATGGAAAACTCACGCAGATTTCGAGGTTGGACAACAAGCGCACCACCTCCTTCAATATTATTGTTGTTGTTTGGAATCTCTGCCATCTTGCTTGAACCTTCAGATTTGTAGCCCTTAGATTCAATGTTTGAAGAACTATAATTCCTCCTCAAACCAACACGTACAACAGCTGTTCTTGGTGAAAGTGGCTCAGGTGAACTTTGCTCCTGGTCAGATTCGGACATACATACAAAGGAACCTAATTCAGTGCCGTCAATAGAGATAACGAGTAAATAGAAAAACTGAATACTAAAAGAAAAACCAACGAAAAGAAACAAATGAAACAAACAAAAATAAAAACAATCAAAGTAACCTAACTATAGCACCATCGTTACTGGTTCCTCGGCAACGGCGCCAAAACTTGTTGAGCCTATTCTTAACAACTAAAATGAGTTATTAAAAACAGCAACTTTAATTCTCGCAAGTGCACGAACCGTTTATAGTATAGCTTATGTAAATACGAGGTCGATCCCACGGAGAATGGTAACTTGGTTCCAAGTTAAATTACTTAGAATGCTAGAAAAACATAGAACAAAGAAACTGACTAACTAGCTAAAGGCAAGGTCGAATTCAACAATGCCTCTTGCTAATTACTCAGGGTCTAGGACAGAATCCTAGCACCACACAGGCACTCGAAATGGGGGGTTTTGTTGTTGAAATGAAAAGAAGAAAGTGAAATGAAAGTGCTCAAAAGTAAACACATGACAGATTGTGAAACAATAATTGAGAGGTGTTAGAGCCTTGGAATCCACCACTAGTTTTCCTATCCAAGTTATGAATGCATAGAAATTGACTCAAGCTTCATCAACAATAGATTATCGCATACAAGCCTATGGTATCTAGGTGCAGGATGCATGATTCTCCTAAGGCATATGATTATGCATGGTATCTACACAACACGTGATCTCTAATATGCAACCTAAGCATGGTATCTACTTAGAATAAAGCATACAAGAGTCATTAAGCTCCATGAGAATATGATAATCACACAAGTCCTAGAACATGGTATCTGTCCTAGTCAACCTATGGTTATTAACCCCTTGAATGATTCTTAGGCCATTCATGTGTTGCTTGTGAAAGGAGAGTAGAATTGGTGAATCTAAACCCCTTCCCAACCTGTGCTAGATGCATAAAATCCTAGTTAGCTACTCCAAGAAAACATACATCAAGCACATAATAAACTGGAGATTAACAACTTGATAATGAAAGCAAGGAAATCAATTAACTATAAATCATCCATAACATTGAATATTCATGACTAGGGCTTCATCCTAAGCCCTAAATAAATGGATTAGTTAAACATAACTATGAATACAGAAAATAAGAAATACATAGATAGGATAGAAGAGAAGAGAAGAACTAGCTGGCAGCAATGTAGTTCCCAGAACGCTCCAAGCTCTCTTCTCTCTTTGTGGTGAATCTGAATGTGTGTATGAGAATAATGGATGAAGTGAAAATGTGTATCTAACTCCCTCCTCCTTGAATGAGTGTGCAGCTCTCTATTTATAGAGTGCAATTTCGTCCTCCCCTTTGGCTGGTGAAGCACACCTCTTTTAGCTGCTCCCAACTACTCCAGCTGCCCATACTTGCCAACTGCTCCAGCTGCCAAATACATGCTTTGGTAAGGTTTCTTTGTGGAAAGCTTGACTTTTATTCATCCTTCTGAGTTCCTGAGTTGATTTAACTCCCATGTATGGCTGCCCATGTGTAGCACATGGCTCTTAGGGACGTAGCCACATTAAATGTGATGGCAGCCAACATGACATTTCTGTGAACTTGGTTTAGTATTTGATGTGCTGAGGGTTTCAGATTTATCCAATTCGGCTGAAATTTGGATATGTTATAATAGACACCCATTGGAACAACTTCTATCAAGGATGTCTCCTCATCCGACCTATGTAATTTGCTGAAATGAGGCCTGCAAGATGACCTACAAAACTGAACTGACAAGGAGTGTGGCCCAAATTGGGCTTGTCTTTAAGCTCATATTCCTCTTATGCCACTCAGCCCTTAACATGCATGAATTGTATCAAATGTCCTCCCCTTGCTGTCTTAACCTACAAAACACACAAACATAGATAAGAGACTCAAAATAATGAGAAACTAAGTAAAGTCACTGAGTAAAGAAGGCATGTGAATGTATGAAATTATGAACTTATCAAGCAGAGGCATAAATGGTAACAAAGGATCACTCAGTTGGAATAAATGCTAAAGCAAAAGGGAAGTTAGACCCAAAACCTGTCAAAGTCGCAAGATTACATCCAGTTTCGCAATGAATGTTTGATTGATGGTAGGATTAAAGGCGGTTGTTGGTGGTGGGTGAGAATCACCAGTAAAAAGTACGGTGAAGGAAAAACTCCCACCAGGGGGAGAGGAGCTCTCACGCAGAGGGAGAGAAAAGCTATTGCTTCTACCAACTTGTTTTAGCCGGCAAATTGTGCCATCCGCGCACCCCAATGTTTATGACTAACTCATTAGCACTACTTGGAGGATTAGGATGAACTATTTATAAGAGGTTGATGACTAAAACTTATCCCTATTAATTTCACCAATTTCAAGGGGATTAGTGAGGATAAATTTTAGACATCACCTCACGTGAATAGTCCACCTTAATCCTTCAAGTTAGAAGACAACATCCATATTCTTCATTGATTCACATAAAATCTAGTCATTTTACTAGTCCAAGTTAGACCAATCTAATCCTCCATATCAAACATGGCCTAAGAAAAGATGGCATATGTTGACCCATATCTTTGTCAGAGTATACCCAGAACAATCGTCCATGGATGACGACCACATCGAATGTCTACCAAAGTCTCTCCTCCTAATCTTAGAATGGACTTGATTTGTTAACTATTGCAAGTGCAAATATGAAATTGGAAAAATTAAAATTACGGTGAGTAAAATTGTTTTTTCCCTAACTCCAGTAACCAAAAAAAAAATTTCCCTTTTTTTTTAGTTCAACGGCTACTCTTTCAGCATCCTCACCAAGGAAATTGGCAAAGGTGACCCTCAAAGTGAAAGGGGTAATCAAGAATTGCGTACACTTTCATCAACTTATGAATTGTCCTGTGCTTCATTATACATACAACTAGAAAATCCTCGAGATGATCCAGAACACCTTCTAGGTTTTTTTTTCAGACAAAAAAAAATATAAATAAAATAAATAAAAAGAAAAAAGAAACTAGAAACTAATTATTCAATTTTATAAACCCATATTATTCAAGGCCCCGCAGATGACCTTTTGAGATAAGTACTTACAAGATCTCACTCCTATGCCTTATCAACATGCACGGTCAGATCGTACTAAGTACTTAGCCCATAAGTAGTTCTAGTGCAATTTGTTTGTTGATCCCACTTTACAACTTGGGCAATATCTTTATGTTTTGTTTTTCGTTTTTCTTTTCAAGAACGCCTAAGTCCTTGAAACCGAGAGTCGAATTCTTGACGTAGGTGTAGTGGATTGTTCTTGTTGCCTGGCCGAAGAGGAGGACAACGAAAGAGAAAGCATTGATTCAAAATCTTTCCTGCTTTCTTGGCTATCATTTACCACACTGCCATTGCTAAAATCGTGACTTAAACTCAACTGTAAATCTGGTACCCATGTCTTCTGTCTCATCGTTTTCATGTTGGGGCCAACTTTTGGTTGAAACATTTCTCCATTTATGCATTGAAGTTTTTGAACCTGCGTATCAAAATGAATCTTGAATATGCAGAGCCAGTAAAAATGTTACAAATAATTATATAACTGGAGCAAAAGTGGTTACCTCAAGCTGAGATAAGGGTTCATAGCTACTAGAGATGAACTTTGGACTGCATGTATTGGGTTGATGTTGGTTAATGGTACTTGCCTTGGCGCTCCATACTAAGTTATTAGGTTGTGGAACATTATTGATACCACCCCAAGTAAAGTTTAGCAAATGTCTCCTACCCTTCATGTGGTTTCCAATCAATTCACAAGGAGGCCATCTCTTCTCTTCAAGAAATCGGCCCATCTCTTGTTATTGCTTCCCTTACATGAAAGATATGCGAGCTTCTTATATTGCTCCCATGGTTGTCTTGTCTATCCTGGAATTTTCTCTCCACAATGAAATCGACCTTGACAAAAAAGGATCATGAAAATCTCAAGGTTGGTATCTATCTATATATGTATAGAGCCTTTCATACCGGGAAATGGAATGTTCTTTTAGTCGAATGGCTTACATTTTATGTTGTGAAACTGTAAATTCTGGACTACATATATATCCAAACTTGAATCCATATCTACAACATTTTAGGCTTTGCGCGACGAAGGAATCTTCGTCGCCCAAAAATGATTTTAGTCGCACATAATTATGCGCGACAGAAGTTTCGTCGCGCACAGTCCGTCGCGCAAAGTTCGTGAAGAAAGGATTTGCGGGACGCAGAAATATCATTCGTCGCGCAAAACAGTGCGACGTATTACAACTTCGTTAAAAAAAACATTTCGGGACGACCCTAATGTCCGTCGCACAAATGTTTGCGCAACGAAAGATTGGTCATCGCAAAAACAATGCGCGACGGAGGCTTCCGTCGCGCGAGATACATGAACTTTGCGCGACGAAATAGTATACGTCGCGCAATTAGTCTTTGCACGACGAAAAAGTCGTCGCGCATACAAATTTCGCACGACGAAACAATTCGTCGCGCATACACATTTCGCACAACGAAACTCTTTGTCGCGCATGATTTAATGCTACACTTACCACATTATTATCCCACATTTATATACCACATGATGTGGCATGTCCATATCATATGCCACATCAATTAAATGAATGAAGTGTATTTTAATAAATAAAATTAGAAAAATAAAAATTAGTATTTTACATGATGTGGTATGTACACATCAGCTGCCACATCATGTGGTATAAAATTATGGTATAAAAAATGTGGTAAGACTAGTATTATTCTTAAAATATATTTGTCAACGGGTTTTTTTAAATGATTTGTGCGACGATTTACGTTTCGTCGCGCAAAAGTAATATATTATTTAAAAAAATTTATTATTATTTGTTTTTTAATTTTGTAAAAAAATAAATTTGGTTTTTTTTTATAATTAAAATGAAATTACAATAAAAAGATTAATCGCAAAGAAAACATTTATTATATAAAATAAAAGAAATGTATACAAGAGAAATATTTTAAAAGTAATTATAAAAATAAAAAACTAATCAAATAATGTTCCAAAATCTACTTGGTCATCTGCCACATGCGGCTCGGAGGTATGGGCGTCTGCAGGGGCCGTGGTGTGCTGGGGATGCTCGGGGTGGACGGGCTCGGAGGTCGACGCACCAAAATTCGGGATTGGAATGCCGGACCGCGCGAGGGATGCAGAATCACCGACATCTGACCCTCAAGCTCGGCAACCCGCGATGTCAAAACAATCACCTGACTGTTTGCCTGCGACGATGACCGCGGTCGAGGTTCCCTCTGTCGGGCATTCCCCATCCCCCTACAATACGTTCCCGGCCTCCTCCCGAGAGTCTGATCCAACGTCTGCGTCAAAATCTGAAATCCAGCATCATGCGGAGGATCCACAGACTCGATCGGAGTCTCGGGAGGAAGTTGGGAGGCGGACTCTTGAAGAACCAACTGGCTCCTCTCCACCATCGTCGTCTGTTTAACATTACATAAAATATAAATTCAAAAATGCATATAAATTGAAAGCGTAACATAAGAATTAAAATTAAATAATACTTACATGAAGGGACTCGGCCAACTCATTCCCAGGTCGAACATAAACGTCACCAAAGACGTCGATCTCTGGGAATTTCGACCCCCCCTTAATTGAACAAGAGAAGGAAAATATTAGTATGAACAAAATAAATTAATAATAATGACGTATTAAAAATTAAATATAAATTATATTATTCTTACCCGACGCCGTGCATCCATCCTATATGAGAAGGGCCTGGAGCCGGAATGGTGGAGAAGAGTCTTCTTCTTCCTATTGCCCTTATTCACTTGGGCTTTATTCTGTTATACAAAAAATAAAACGTAATAGTTGAAATATAAATAAATTAAATAATAATGAGATATAAAAAATAAAATAAACATTAATAAGAAATATGTAATAATTAAACAAATATTATTAAAAAAATACCACATAATCGGGCGCCTGAAAATGAGCGCAGAGCCACGCCCAACTATCCTCCCGCCCCTCAAGCTCCTTTGGGCAACCCTCCTGAAGAGCGACTTGCGGATCATCAAACGCCTGAAAATGGTGGTGCAAGTCGCTCTTCCACTGCTTGTACCTCTCACCGAAGAGTCTGTTGACGTACGCCAAGGTCTCCTCGTTGAGGTCCTCTAAGTGGTAGTTCGTCTGCAATAAATTCATTACATACATTAAGTAATAGAAATATATAAAGTTTGAAAGAAAAATAATTAAAAGATAGGAAACATACCGACAACTGGCCGCGAACTTGCATCTTGATCTCGTCAGGCATGACCTTCCAAGACTTCCATTGCATCGGGCAATGGGTCCGAACGACGTGGCCAATGTCGTGGGCCAAGGAGCTATGCAAGTCCGCCGTCGGTGCAGCCCGATGGCGCTCGTCATATCCGATGCTGATACGACTGTTGGTCACCCGGGTGACCTTCGCCGTCTTCAGTTGCCGACACGGCCCTCGGGTGTTCCTCTTGGCTGCAAAGGGATATGACAATACTGTTAAATAAATAACAAATTAAACCATAAAATTCCCAATTAAAAAAATTTTAAAAACAAAAAAACGAAAGTGGAAGGGTATATATACCTGGAGGTGCCCCCGAGGCACCAGTACTGTCAGTCGATGTGGTGTCGGTGGTGGTAGCGGGCCGGTGTCGCCGCCTAGTGCTAAGAGGCTGCACCACCGAAGAAGATGATGATGCAGCCGCCTGGGATCCCCCAGGACCAGCTAGCACGTGGTCCTGCTCAATCATGCTGGAGCAGTGGCAGCTGATACCGGCTGAGCCGGGGGCTCCGAACTCGGTGTAGTCGTCACCGTCCTACGACGTCTAATCAAGTCTGACATATGCACAATTTCATTAATCAAATTTAGCACATACAATGTCATTAAAAAATTGAACTAATTAATTAAAATCATAGTTTGACCTAGGGTTTGCGATTTCGAAGTATCCGAGACTCCGATCCACGATCCGTCGAATCCTAAACGATCCTATAAATACATGGTACCACATACGTGAGTTTCAGCTTGATCCAACGGTCCGAACATATCAAACCCGAATTCCAATCCGAGCACACCTACGCGCTCGTGACAACAAAATGTTTGCACTGGGATCCAATTCCCTATGCCACAGTACCCCACGCGCCACCACACGCGCCGGCAGCGCGTGGGTGCCCAAAGCGATAACAATCACCGGGAAATCCTAAAAATTAAGGGCCAAGGTTCCTACCCTAGGTTCAAAACATCAATTGGAGGCACTTTTGTTCTCGGACCTACCCCGAAAAAACGGCCGGAAGTGGCCGGAATTTCAATTTCAAAACCGGCCGAAACCTAGGGTTTCAAATTCACTACCCTATGCACACAATCAATCAAATCCTACCCAACCATCAGCTAAAGCATCAAAAATAGTCCAGAAAGCATACCTCAATTGCCGGATTTGGTGCCCGGAGGAGAGAGAACAACGGCGGCGAAGATTCGCCTAAACGGAGGAAATCACGGCGACAGGATGGACGGCGACGGCGGAGAAGCTCCAGGGTTCGACGCTTGTGGCGGCAGGGTCTGAATTGGGGCGGAGTAGGGGCTAAGGTCACAGCAGAGAGAGAGGGAGGATTTAGGGTTCGAGTTTGAGAAACTGGGGAAGAAGGAGAAGATCGCGATTTTCAGAAAACTTATTCGACTTTGCGCGACGAATAACAAATGCGTCGTGCAAAATTTTTTTAAATAACTTTTGCGCGACGAAAAACTAACTTTCTGTCGCGTAAGGTTCTGAAAATATCACCTTTGCGCGACGTAAAACCCTACTCTCGTCGCGCAAAGTTCTGAAAATATCACCTTTGTGCGACGAAAGAACTGTTTCGTCGCGCAAGTTTGTCCAGCCGCCCAAATTTTGGGATTTGATTTTGCGCGGGGAAGATAAATGAAATGATATTGCGCGCCGAAGGCACTTGTGTTCGTCACGCAATCTAGATTTTTGCCAAAAAAATTTCGCTAAGTGTTGGAGCGGAGAAGGGCTAAAATTCTTTCTCACATTGCGCGACGAATGCAAGGTCCATTCGTCGCTAATGATTTGCGCAACGAATTCAAGGTTATTTCGTCGCGCAAACCCATACCCTTGTACCCTAAACCCTAAAACCTATACCCTAAGCCCTAAACCCGAACTCCTGAACTAGTTTCAATGATCCAACCGGCAATCTTCTTTTTTTATAGTTCAAGATCGTATACGTCAAAAATCATAATGAATGAACATTCAGAGATTGAGTAACGGGACAAAACTTTTCGACGGTTCTAAACAAATTGTCCCGATTCAACGGTGATTTTAACTCCGATCTTGAAAATTTTTTACAGCTGCGGTTCTTGACCCTATATGAATACAGAGATGTAATTCGATCTTCAATTTCAGATATTTACAGTACAGGACATCACATAATCTTATGTTATACTGAATGAATGTATAAATAAATTCTTCATTTTTGATGAATATTGTGTTTTGATGGAATACGCATTCTAGGAAACTAGTTTCAGTAATCCAGCCGTCAAATATGTTTGTTTATACTTTCGAGATCGTATACGTCGAAAATGAGAAAAAAAAACATTCAGAGATCAAGTAACGGGACAAAACTTTTCGACGGTTATAAACGAAAAGTCATGATTTAACGGTTATTTTGACTCTGATTTTGATGATTTTTTACAGCTACACTGTTTAACCCTATGTGAATACAGTGAACTACTTCGATCGTCAATTTCAAATATATACGTGTGTATATATCAAAAAATATATATATATGTTTGCGCGACGAGGTCTTTTTTTTCGTCGCGCAAAATTACTTGCGTGACGGAATTATTTGTCGCGCAAAATGTAGAGTATGCGCGACGTGTATATTTTTCCGTCGCGCAAAATGTGCGCGACAATGATGCCTTCGTCGCGCAAGGTTATTTTCATTCACATATTATTAAGCTGAATTATTCATCATTACATATAATTAATTGTATGAAAGTATGATTTATTCTATTTTCTTTTGATTTGAGAATTGAATTTTGTGAGTTCAAATGAAATAAAGTTTTTTGGATAATCTTATTTTCTTTGTATTCATTTTTTCGGTTATATGGTTTTCATTTTTTAAAAGTTTTTTGTCAAAATAAATTTAAACTTTATTATTAAAATTACTTGGATATATTTATTTACCAATGGTTTATAACTACATTTATTTTAATAATGTTTCATTTCTGCACATATATAATGTTTGGATATAACAAGTACATATATGAAAACATTTGCATTACACAAAATATGTCCACTAACATAATAAAATTACAAAAAAAAATTCATCATTCATCATCTGAACTATAATAACTTTCGTTATCGTCGCTATCATCACTTTCGGTCTCCCAATCCTCTTCCTCCTCCTCCTCCTCCGCCTCCTCTATAACTACATCATCGTCGTTGCTCGGGCCAACTGCAACATCGTATCGCGGAAGATCACCGAGGTCAATTGTAATTGACTGAATCGGTATTTCGATTGAAGACACTCCTTGTATTTGAAATGGCTCTTGTATAACATTTGTATCTCGAAGTGTTTCCGCATCATTTTCCATTGAAGATTCTAAACGTTGGTCAGCCACATTGTCGACGTCGTTGTCAGTTGGGTCTAGTTCTGGTATAGCATACACGTTCCTATGATCCATCTTTTGAACAACGTTCCAACCGCTTCCGGCTTTAGGGTCATCTAGATACACAATTTGTGTTGCCATGTTTGCCAAAATATAAGGGTCGTCATCATACCAAGTTCTGTTCATGTTCACAGATAGTAAGCCATGATCGATTTTAACACTTCCCGGCCTATTTGGGTTGGTGTCAAACCATCGACACTTAAACATGATCACTTGGTATCGATCTTTGTAAAGCAATTGCACGACAGTTGTGAGTTTGCCATAGAAATCAATGTCCGTACTTTCGCCTCCACCTGGGACATGGACACCGCTGTTTTGCGTACACAACTTGTCATCTCGTGCTTCGCCCAAAAATTTGACGCCGTTGACATTACAACCCGAGAACAATTCAGCGCAAATCGGGCCAAACGCCAAGTTATATAACTCATCACTGTAAGTTGGGGAATTCGATGATTTCAACTTATTCACCTAATATTATACAAAACCATTCATATGTTAGTCTGACAAAATTAAAAACTACAATTTGCATAAAGAGTCGCCGCGAACAAAGGCACCATATGGGATCTCAACACAGAGAGAGAGAGAGAGAGAGGAGAGAGAGAGAGAGAGAGAGAGAGAGAGAGAGAGAGAGAGAGAGCTCAAATTCACATGTTCTTGTTTTACGGAGGTAGGGAAGAAAGGGTGAAGCCAAATAGTACATTTTTGTATGTATTTGGCAACTAGTATAGTATTAGGTAGGTAGGCAGAAAATCCAGCACCAACCCAAAAGCATTGAAGTGCATATATATATATATATATATGCATTTGCTCATCCTTATGTGCGGGGTTTTATTTTGTTCAGTTTGATCATAGTTTTGTTATTGAACATTTCTTTAATACTATAACAATTCAGAATCTCAAAAAATTATGTCATTAAGAGGCATACTCTTAACTCTTCCTAATAACATCCGCAAGCCCCAATGATATACTTTACGGATAATTGTTTGTTCAAACATTCATATACATTTACATTTTAATCCATCCCCTGCCATATTCCAAGAGCCAATTGCAAGGGCTCATTTGGTGGCTAAGATTTAATTGGATTGGATAAGTCATTAAATCTATGGTATGATGAATGAGAAAATGAAGGTAGAGATAAATAATTTTTCATTTTGGGGGTTATTATCCTACTATTTTATGGGGATATTAGATGGGATAAGTTTTCTTCACGAACAATCCATCTTCTACCTTCAACTTGGTAAATAAATAAAAAAAATTCATTTCTTCCTTAAACATACTTTAAATATAGGGAGTTATCATATCAATCCTAGGCACCAAACGAGATAAATCCTTCAACTTGGGCTATATGAAACTGGTGAGAGTTAAGTTAAGAGGAGAGGGGTCATAGTTTCTATTCCCGTGGTACGTAAAAAAAAATCCAAATAAACATCCAAAACTATTGTGTTTGAAAGCTAAAATGGAGAACTTGATGTCCCAAGTCAACTATTGCTATGTGAGGTTAAATCAAGCGATTTTTTACTTTCATGATAAGTTAACAATCTAACTATGACCAAATATATAAAGATGAACTCAATATTTCAATATACTTGAAAATGTAATTTTGGATTTGAACTAGTAGTCAAATTCGTTATTGTATGAATGTGTTGTTCAAACTAAGTGTTTGGCGGACCATTGGCTTATACATTACCGCTACGTAGTTTAAATTAAATCTCAAAGATTTCGACCAAAAAAAAAATCAAATCTTAAAGTGAATTATACATTATGATTTTTTTCATGTGCTATATTATGATTTTTTTTTTAATTGAAGAAAAAATAAGTTTATATAAGAAAATTATCACCCCCAAACCCCGTTTACTATCCCGGTCCGACCCGACCGGACCCTCCATGAATAATACAGACCAAAAGGGAGAGGCCCTCGGGATTTTTGAACACAGCACACTGAGTCCAAGGACTTGATGCGAGGATCTCCATCATCTCATGGAATTCAGCTGAAATAAAAATTCTGCACTGGAATTCCGCTGCTGCAGGCCAATCAAATTTAACATCTGAAAAATTAAGACAGCACAAACAATCGTTGCCTGACAAACCTCAGTGTAGGCAAGCCAGGCCTAATTGCACACCACTTGGGTAGCTACCTATGCACTAATTTGAAAGGTTGATTGCAAAAACTATCTTTTAGGGAAAATACCACCAAGGCAAGAAGAATCGCCATACGAATACGATCAATGACCATAAACAAACAAAATGCCAACGCGAATGTGATTGGCCATGATTTCTTTCTTCCAACTTCCAATGACTGCCCTACTAGTTTAATGTGAGGTCAGTAAATCAGACTACATTGGTGTATTATTATGTACAAGCCAAATGCGCAACTTACATAAGCCAAAAAAAAATTATTGCCAAAGTCCCCCCTCAATGTTTCCTATCATGAAAAACGCAAATTTAACTAAAATGTATAAACAAAAAACAAGAATTCTCAAGTTCTAATAACAGGGCCCTTGTACAGCCCTCTGCGAATCACAAAGTTGTCGGGAGGTTGAAACTCTTCTAACCAAGTCACTTGTGGCTCTGTAACTCCTTCAAACTCAAGATAACCTTCATCCCAAACAAAACAAACAAAACAAACAAAAACTACGAATATCAGCATGGTAGACAAATTTTACAACCAGTTATGAGTTATCCTTATTCTAGGACCAAATGGAATTTTTGCAACTGTAATAACCAGCAACGTAGACAAATTGCATTACCAGGCAGATCTTTTCTTGAGGACTTCCGGAAATACGTGCAGTGCCGTCCATCTTCAGAGGAGTAAGGCGGCGCAAGGATGTCAAAGATGGCACAAGGAGTTAGAGCTCTAAAACTATGGATATTGCCTCCAGTTGTTGGATAAAGAACTGTTGGTGGGCATGGTGCTGTCATCTCAGTATCTTTGACCAGCTTTGCAGGTTTAGCTGCAAAAAATCACCAAGTACGGTTTCTAGTTTAAAAAAAATAATGAAATTATAATAGCCCCCTTCACAACTATAGCCATGTGAAAAATTACTTATTCAGCGAGCTAAAGACTATACCAAAATTCTTTTTTGCTTTTTTTTTTGTGAGAAACAAAAATTTATTAAATAACAAGCACATACACAACCAGTGGCAGAGGACAAGATCTAGCAGCTAACAAATCTTATAAAGCCTAAATTACATTACTGGAAAAATAACAGCTGCCCTCCAATCTGTAAAAATTGAATTAAAAGGTATTTCCTGGAATTCTGAAGAAACTGACGCCCAAAGGGGTGTCCAAAGGCTACTTTATCCCACAAAATATCCACCTTGTCTCACGAAAGTCATCCAACACGAATCCCCAAGAAAAACATACACACAAAAAACTGAAGGAAATTAGCCAAATGAATTTCATTCAAAAGGGGCTAAAACTGTTCCTTAAATCTTTGGTTGAACCGTAACTGAAAGCATATATATAGCAAGCATTCAAAGCAAAGCACAAAGGTAAAATGGAAAGCTGTTGATGTTTCTAAGCTGGTTGTTTTCATGGCATGCTTAATTTATATATTTAAATAATTGAAAAACGTATTCATACTTATCTCAGCTCATATATCAACATATTAGTATCAAGACAAACATATAACTAATCCCGCCACAATTAACCACCAAAAACTGTTAAAAGAAGTTCAAAATGTGAAATAAGAACATGGTAGAATGATGACAGAGCTCACAGGATTTGGGAAACACAATCCCACAGGTAATTTCCTTGTCGTAAGAATCAAAACACTTCCCGCATACAGATACAAACATTCACAAACAGGATGCTGTTTCATTTTTGAAGCATGCAAAGGAGATATTACGTCAAGCAAACAAAACATTAACCAACATTTATATAGTAGATGAGAGATACTGTGGAAAAGCACACCTTCTGATGGATCGGCAGGACCAGGAAAATCAAGCCAGTCATATGAATTAACACATAATGTACCATATATAAGCTTGCTCAACACAGTCATTCCAGGATGATTATGAAGGGGTATGATAGAGGAAGGGGGCATGCAAAAAATTCCCATCTGCCAAAAATAATAACAATAGATAAATACCATGATACTTGGATATCCAATTGTAAGTGAACATTGATTGTGCAGTTGCGAGTATGCAGAAATTTCTAGTCTTAGAACTCTAAGGCTCCATTTGGTTGAAGAGATTGTATAAATGGATTCGGAATTAATAATAAGCTTACAGTTTTTAAAAGAACTGTACAAATACAATGCAATATATTTGAAAGAACTAGACTTTACATGATATTATGAATTTGAGATGACTAGGTACAACAATGAATCATTTGAAATCCATGTATATATATCTATTTCATCCCACGGGAATACAAACTTTTATGCATTGTTAATATTATTCTCAAGCAATTTAACATAAAATATTAGCTAAAATCTCTAGATTTGAAATCCCACAATCAAAATGGAACCCAAAACAATTTGCAATCAATAACTGATGAATTGTCGCCCTGTACTCACAGAGAAGCTATCGCACTCATGTAAATGCAAGTACTTGATTGGTGGCAGTGACTGCTGATCCCCATTACGCTCAAGCATAGAACCTGACCAATTACGCACCAACTGTGCCTCCTGTTCGAGACCTACATCAGCAGGCTTAATTTTCTCTGAAACAAATTATATACAAAGTTAAAAAGTGCCAAAAAAAAACATAACAAAGGAAGTGTTTACCTTAAGATTTCACACTATTATGTGCAGAAAGAAAGCAAAATGAGGCATGTCATATAGCATTACAAAAGGGTGCTAATCCTGATGCTACGGGCAATGACCACTGCTTATGTGTGTATTAACAGTGTAGATGCAAGTACTAGAGCTGAAAATCAAGTCAAGCTGTTGGCAAGCAGCACGAAGCTTGGCTCAACAAAGCTCACTTATACTTATTTAATAAAAGAACAAACAGAAGTCAAACTTTCAAGCTCATTTAATATACAAGCGAAGCCTGTGCAATGGTAAAACTAGACTCGTTAAGGCTTGTGAACAAAGCTTGACAGCTTGTGAAGAAGCTTGAGACCAGCTCAAATATTTAATCTAAGGAATAAGCTATTGTATCTAAGTGTCTACAAAAATCCAATACTAGTTTAAAATATGTCTTAAATTCTTATTATGATCATAAGTATTTAGCTCTAGTAAAAGGTAATCCTTCATCACAAAGGAAAGGAGTTACTTACAGAAGTTTGTAGTACTAATTATTCAAGTTTACCATGTAGGCCTTCAGCACCAAGCAAAAAATTTCAATGCCTTAGATGTCTTGTAAATCAGGTGGGACAGTTCATGCTAAAGCCCAATCACCTTTTGGGTCAGGGAAGGGCAACCCAATCTACAAAGAGCCAAGGTCAGGCCCAAACCTTGATCCAAAGGAGGGAAGGAGATACAGACAGAACCAGGCCATACCCATCCTATCTTTTTTTTAATTTACAATTAATCATCTAAAACTAAGTTATTAATATTTATCTACACTACTATTAAGAAAACTCCCTCAGTCAATCATAATACAAAAAATTCAATGACACCCCTTTTACATAGTAATTAAACTCCACTTTCTCTCAACCGTCTTCTCTCTCCCACACCTTACTTTTTTTCTCCTTATTGCAACTTGCATCATACTGCACATGCATCCCATGTGGTGATGCTTATGGTTTGTATGAAACTAACTAACTTCTCTTAATATGAGACTGAGGCGTGCATGATGACTTTTTTGGAGTGTGAATAACAGCTCCAATAAATAAAAATATCTTAAACTTATATAAATAATAAGACTTCTAAAATATAAATACTGGGGCAAGGAGGGGCTGTGGCACCTAGGCCCAAGCCCAACTCCAGGCAAGCCTGAATCAAGCCCAACCTCAAGCCAAACCTGGGTCAGGTCAGCCGTTGGGCCAGGGGCCTTTACAAGCCTAGCCACTACACTAGTCCCACATCTATTAAAAACAAATAAAAAACAGAGTTGTCAAGGCATGAAGCCAACTCATGAAAGGCTTATGAAACTAATAAAGCCTGAGCCTTGAGGTTTGCATTCAAGAGGTTGAGCTTTTGATGCAGGACGCGTAGGACCTAAATTTATTAGTTTCCTAATGTATTTTTTTGTTTCTTAGATTCTCTAGTTTTCCAATTACTAGTAGGATTTCTACTTTTCCAGATTTCCATATTTCAAGTTTTAAGTTTCCTATTTTATTTGGGTTATGATTTCTGTTTAAGCAAGGGATTTTTATCCTATTATTTCTAGGTTTTAGTTTGCTATAAATAACCCCATGTAGTTCTTTAAAATTCAGATTTGAATGTTGAGTAAACCTTTTCCTAGAACTCTCTGATTTCGTCCCTTCGATCTATATTTCTTCTCCTCGATCTCCGATATTCTTCTTTGTTCTACTGTTTCTGCCCTTTATCTCGTCTTTTCGATCTATATTTCTTCTCCTCGGTCTCTTATATTCTTCTCTGTTCTATTGTTTAAGTGCTTAATCTAACACCTACGGGCTGTACTACATCAGCTTTACTTTATATGTGGGAAGACTTAGCCGTACTCCCCTGCAACTAACCAAAAATTATTAAGTAACAGATGTCTTAACTATGGAGTGCTCAACAAACATGGAGCAAGCAGCATATCTTAAATATGCTGAAAGTCCTAAATAAAAAAGGTTCAATGTGTCGTTGTTGTCTCCTAATTCCAAATTTGTTACAGATACCTATCAAACTTGATCAAACTACCAAGGACACCAATTTGTTGATGGTGGTCTAACAAGCTACTAATAATGGTTTTCGTCTCACTAACAAGAGCATGCCACTTTAAGAATTTTTCTTTTAGTCTGGACAATGGACATATTCAAATAAGGGTTTAAGGTTTAAGGTTTAGGGTCGACTTGTACAACATACAATTATGGTGGCCTGAACATAATAGACAGGCAAGTTCCAAAATAGAAAGACAAATTGGAGCATGGAGCCATTCTGATCACACATTAAAATAAAAAGACATGCATAAACCTGAATGCACAAACAATGTTTGGTAGTTTGGTTGTCATAGGTCCCTTGTTCTTATGTAACTGATAACAGCTTCAAGTTAGTGGTGCACAAGGAAATGAAACATATACATAGAAAGGCAGGGAGGCAATATGTCAATCAGTGGTTAAGTGGTAATGGAAATATCGGATGGTCATTACTACTTCAGGGGACTACAGACTTACAGACAAGAAACCAGAGAAAACCAGTATGTCAGAAAGCAGAAAATATTAAAATACAAAAACAAAGTCAAACCACTTTTAAAATGTTATCACAGGGGAAATTGAAAATCAACAAAATAAGGTCCATTAGAAGCAACTTTGACTACGATAAACAAAAATAAATATGGCCCAAGAAAATATTGTGAAATATTACCTTACGATCAAATGTCCATTCACTGAAGGCCACATAAAATAAATATCCATGTGATAAAGGATGGTTTCTAACATGCGTAGACATTTTTAAGATAAGGTGGTATGGGGGTTGTTCTTTAGAATTTTAAGAAAGTTGGTCATCTAACATCATGAAAGGCCAACAAGCTTTAATCCTTTTTGAGGAAGTGTAAATGATACATATATTAAAGAAGGATGTACCATATATATATTGGAGACTTGGATTCCTTGTTCCAGATAATTTAACCATAAATTACTGACCTATTGGACTTTCGTCTTGAAGAGATATTCAACATCAAGTTAAAACAATTTCAGATTCAAATCCACAAGAAAAATCAATCAACTGCAATCCACAAAAAACAAGTACAAATCAACTCAAGGAGTCAACAAAGAAAGAGTATATCTGAGAAGATATGATCCGATTCACTTAAACTCCAAGAAAGTATTAGTAGAAGCATCTTAACATAATGCTAAAAAGAAAGAGAAAAGATAAGTTGCCAAGTTACCTAATACTATAGCATACTTGACAAGCTCACCTACACGTGTACCATCCAAAACCCTATACACAAGTATGTTTTTACCGCAATGAGTCATAATTTAGGTTCTAAAGAGCCATAATTTTATAACAAAGTTCAGGCATAATGTATAAAATGAACGAGGAAGCTTTCAGAGCAAACAGAAATCCCTGATGGTAGTACCTCTTATTTTTTTTATATGTTATCAAGTGCTTTGAATATTTTTTGTCTGATAACTACTAAGTGTGAACAATTTAGGTTTTGCTTTAAAAAAATACAAACAATTTAGGTTTAGTATGAGTAAGTTTAATCTTTCTTGTTTTTACATTTTCTTGATGTGCTTTAAAGTTCATTGCTGCCTTCTACTCTTCGGTTTCTTACATAGCTAGATTAGCAAGTTAACTAAACTAATGGGAAACTCCTGTCCAGTTTATGACTTAGCGGGGAGCACTTCAGTTGATGAGTTAAAAATAAACACCGAAATTGCCCTGGAAAAACTAGTATATTTGATTTGTTAGGATTTTCAAGAGAAAAATTCTCTTCGAAAATTAACATTCACTTCAAAACAACAATTTTGTCTGTCTTTTCAATGTTCCAACTAGGCAATGACATATAATTAGCAGAGTAGAACATGGAGCAGCAGAACGCAAGCACAATTTGAACATGTTTGGATTGATATATCAGGAGATAAAAGGACCATTTCTTCATACCTAGTTTAACACGAACTTTTTCGAGTGCTTCTTCTGACACAGGTCCATTCGGCGAAAATGATGATTTGCAAACATTATAGAGTCTCTGAATATAATATGGCATGATGCAAAGACGGTACCAACTTAACTGAACGGACTACAGCCCCAAAAATCAGTAAGCTGATAACGTCTTCGCAAGAAGCTTATTGATTGCAATGCCAATCCAAAACCAAATTAGGAAACCTTATTGCCTTCTATTCAGCATATCAAACCTCTCATTTTGCAAACGACAGAAACAATAATGAAACTCCATGGCAGTTTTTCGATCCCTCTCTGCTAATCTTATCTATGAGCACCTACTCAACAAGAATACATATTAAGGCAGTGTTAATAAAATTTTCATTAAGAGTATGCACGAAAAGAAAAGATTACGAATTTGCATCTCGTACTTTTGATGACACATATGCAACTAATCAAAGCGATTTGTTTCATTCAATTCTAAAGTTATCTTTTTTATCATTCTTTCAACCAATTCTAAGCAACCCAATAAAAGGTAAAGTGAAAAACATGCAGAACATTATACATATACCCCAATAAAATCAAAATCAAAATAAAAAAATACACCATTTATCAAGTAGTTAAAAGCGAATAAGATCAAAATTTATCAAACGAAATCAGGGAATTATATATCAACACCAACAGAATGATGAGAATTTGAACTTTACAATGATTATAAGAAGAACAAGAAAGACCCACGTTGGATCCAAACTGGAAAAAGCCATAAATGAGATCCAATAAGGAAGAGAGAATATGGGTTGAGATGGGATTTGAAGCTACCGTACCTGGGTTTGGAGAGATAGACGAAAATTGTGGAACAAGTGAGAGGTAGAAAATGAAACATAGGGAATGAAAGAGCAGAGAGATCGCCAGTATAGCGGAGGAAAGGGGAAGTGGAGGAAGAAGCCGAAGGAAGATCTTCGACTACGTCATTTCCTTTTACGGCCTTTTTGGGTCTCCGTGTGTGTCTCTCTTCTTCACCACTTTGGCCTCCATATTGCTACATATTCACAAAAGTACCCCTCGCGCTTTTCACCCTTTTTTTTTATTAAATGGAATTAATCTATATCTATATATTATCTATTTTAAGATAATCATTTTATTAGTCCTTAAAGTTAGACCCGATTTGCATTTGAGTCCATCAATTTCCAAAATCGTTCCCATAGTCCTTTAATTTCAGTTTTATTAGGACAAATGATCATGCCATCAATTTTGTTAATTTTTCTGTTAAATGCAAGGGCAAAATGGTATTTTTGTATTAAAATGATTTAAATATGAATAAAAAATAAAATTAAACTATCTCTCCTCTCCCTCTATCTCGATTTCTACTCTCTCCAAACTTGATTTTTTTTTTCTTTTTTTTTAAGGAAATTATTTTTTATTCATTTTTTTAATATAAAAATATCATTTTGACCCCGCATTTAACAGAAAAAATTAACAAAATTGATGTCAGGACCATTTGTCCTAACGAAAGTGAAGTTGAAGGATTACGGGAACGATTTTGGAAATTTATGGACTCAAATGCAAATCAGGTTTAAGTTCAGAGACTAATAAAACGATTAACCCTATCTATCTATATATATAAAGCAAAAGGCAGAGAATGATAAAACATTCAAAATACCAGAAAATGTTCTTAGTTAATGCAAACATTAAGAATTAAAATTATTAATTAAATGAGAATAATATGGTAAATTCACAAACCCAAAACATAACCTTGATTAACCAAAGTGCTAAAAGACTGCAAATTAATATAGTAAGAGTAAAATAGTAAAACACTAATTTGATCAATTATAAAATATAAAATAAATTCCACCTAAGTAATTATATGGAGGAAGTTATTCTCCACTCCATCCACATCCCTCTTTTTACTACCCCACTCCACTCCACCCACATTCTTTTTTCTTTTTTCTTTTCTCTTTTTTATTTATATTTAATTGATGTTAAAAAAATTTGCATATGGAAAAAAAAATTAATATAATTTTTTTTAAAAGGCCAATTAGCGTGTTTAAACTTTTCATGAAATGCTCCCTGAACTTGTACCAAACTTTCAATTGACCCATATCCATTTTTTTTTAGAAAATTAAGGATATGAAATTTTTGTTTTTTCACCAATATCCCCCGTGTCGTCTAAATCCTCAACATTTCATCCAATTTTCTGTTAAATTATTTTTTCTTGGAAAAAATTGAAAAAAGAGAAAGAAAAATTCTCTGCGACCCACTTAACCAAACCTAGCCCCCCTCCCCCCAAAAAAACAAGCCCTCATACCTTATCCTCCTCCCCTTCTCTCCCTTTCTCCCCCATTTTCCCTCTCTAATCTCTCTCTCTCTCCCCACCCTCAACTCTTTCTCTATCTCTATGCTCTCTCTCCTCATGCAACCTCATCGACCACGAACCCCCCCACCAACCCACCTCACCAACTCAACCTCATAGACCCCCACTTCCTTAACCCAACTCCCGATCCCCCCCCTCCCCGACCTACTTCCTCCATCTCTTCCTTTCTCTCACCCTCTATTTTTCTCTCTACCCAAACCACCCCAAGCCCAACATCTCCATAAAACCACCCTCATCCCCATCCGAGATCCAGCCCTACTCGAGACCCATCCGCTAGACCTTACCCTGCCCCCTTCTCGAGATCTACCCACAGACCCATCCCTCCCCCGTCTTGCCCCCAGCGGCAGCAACAAACCCTTGCCCCACCAGCAGAACCCAGAACTGAGCTCGCAACCGACTGTGCAAAAAGAGAGACAGAGAGACAGAGAGACAAAAAAAATATTTCAATTATTTAAAGTGTTTTATTTTATTTTCAGTATTTAATAATCTTTAACGTACAAAATGAACATTTTGCCCTCCTATTTAATGTCAAATTGGATGAAATGTTAAGAATTTATACGGCAAGGGGGACACTGGCGAAAAAAATTTCATATCCTTAATTTTCTTAAAAGAAGGATATGGGTCAATTGAAAGTTAAGTACAACTACAAGTAGCATTTCACCAGTTTAGCCAATAAGGATAATATAGTAACTTAAACTTGCCATATTAAAAAAAATTAATATAAAAACCAAATTAAGAACATGGGGTCCTATTTTCATGGGACACAACTTCAATTTTTTTTTGGTTGGATTCTCTTTCTTAATTTTTAAATAAAGATACAAAAAACAAAAAAAAAACTAATTGGCACCCACTCTCACATGTGCCAAGGGGCTAGTATTCTAGAAAAGTAAAGTGTCATTCGTTCATATCTTTTAAAAATGGATGCTTTCGATATTTCAATTACAAAGTCTAGATAGGAGATTATGAAAAAAAAACCAAATAATATTCTAGAGAAAGAGCGATGGTCGCTAAAAAAAACCTAACTATCACTATAATAATATACACCACATTAAAAGAAAAAAATGAAAAATAAAACATAACTATTTAATTTATTATTCTAATAATCAATTGAATCAATCTTTTAGGATTTAAAGGATAACCAATTGAATCACTTTCGATATAATGCACGTAGACACAATTGATAAATTGAAGTTTCTTCTTTGACTCCCTATAAATCTTTAATATAATATACTAATATCGTTGTGCTGCAAACACTTAAACAAAGTAAAAAAAAAAACCAAAACAAGGAACTTAAACTTACACTAATTATTTATATACGAATCTTTAATATAATATACTAATATCGTTGTGCTACAAACACTTAAACAAAGAAAAAAAAACCAAAACAAGGAACTTAAACTTACACTAATTATTTATATACGCATTCATAAAAGTTCCTTGTGAATTTTTTTTGGAAAGTAATTCTCCCACCATGCCTATAAAAGGTATTTGGGATAGACATTGGTGTGTAATACAAAAAATGATTTTCATTATTTCCCCTTAATATTTGGGCTTTTTTATCAGTCCTAACTTGTCAAAGGAAGTTGCAGCCTATTCGGCCCCACTCACAAATAACACAAACAAGCTTGGTTGCACCCCTTTCCTTTTTTGCAAACTGGCTTAGCTCCCCTTTGCTCAGCTACTTTGGCATTTGGCCTTAAATAGGATACTGGTTGCTTTTGTAAGTCTCTTCCATTGGATATTTTCACACAGCCCAATGTTAAAACACATTTTCTTTTCTCAACTTAAAACACTTGGACAAAAGCAAAAGAGAGAAAACATAATGCTTTGTTTCTCCTCTCTCTCTCTCTCTCTCTCTGTGAATCACAAAGCCAATTTGGCCACAAAAAACTAGGATGCAACTTGAGATGCTGATCTGGAAGTTGAGAAGCTGGAGCAGTGTGACTTGGTAAGATGTCGATCTAGAAGTTGATGAGAGAAAATCTGGGACAAATACCGTGATGGTGTCGTTATGGAAGAAGGCTAGTTATTTTTGTTCCAGCATTTGATTTTGTTAAGAAATTGATACGATGCAAGATGTTAAGGATTGATTTGATTATGCAATCCCTTGACTTCAGCAGTAGAATTACAAGACTATAGGAATAAATATCTAATTTGATTTGTATATATATTTACCTTTCTTGTATGCCTAAATGATAAGATCACATCTGTATAAATTACAATATCACACTAATGAAAACTCATTCTCCCAGAACTATTCTTTCGTCCATATCCTACCTTATTTTACATGGTATCAGAGCAGGGCTTGAAAACCCTAGCTCTTTGTTTCCGCCATTGATCCTCGCCTTCACTACTGCGAGTGTTTCTTTCCATTTTCTTCATCTTGTTTCATTATTCCTACACCATAGGTAATGATCGAGACTCTTCCAAGGATGAAAGCAAGCAAGATAACTCCAGCCTTTACTTCATTCATCATTCATACCACCCTGGGATGGTCATCATTAGCAAACCTCTCAATGGAGACAACTATGCGACTTGGTGTTACTCAATGAAGATCTCTCTAAATGCAAAGAACAAATTAGGTTTTGTCGACGACACCGTTGAAACCCCTTTAGCGAAGAATAACCCCAATGAATTCTCTCTTTGGTGGCGGTGCAACGACATGGTCCTATCATGGATCCTCAATTCCCTTATTTCAAATATTGCCGACAACGTCATCTATTCCACTACAGCGTATGAGATCTGGCAGGATCTCAAAGAGAGTTTCTCTTATGGCAATGCGCCAAGAATATTCCAGCTCCAACATGAGATTTCTCTCTCACTCAAGGCCAAATGTCTGTCACCAACTATTATACAAAAATAAAGACTCTATGGGATGAACTTGCTTCCTACAACAACTTACCAGTGTGCTCCTGTGGTGCTATGAAGAAACATAGTGAACAAGAGGAGAGAAATGCACTTATGCAATTCCTCATGGGACTCAATGAGTCCTATAGTGCAGTGCAAGGACAAATTTTGCTCATGCAACCATTACTGTTCGTTCGCAAGGCATATTCTTTGATTTCTCAAGAAGAGAAGCAACGAAAATTGGGAACATCTCATGCATCTATCGAGCCGCAATCATTCAACCCGGGACACAAACCGCTTCATTGCTCTTACTACGACTTTGATCACCAAACTAGAGACACCTGCTGGAAGTTGAACGGCTACCTTCCGGGACATCGTTTGCACAACTCCAAAAAGTCTAGTGGTGGACATAATAATCACAACGGCAGCTCCTCGTCAGTACATCATGTCAGTGCGCACCCTTCTGTCTTAAAGATCCAAACTGCCATGCCTAACCTTTCAGAAAGCCAATGTCAGCAAGTTTACACCATGTTAAATGAACAATAGACTCCTCAAGCCAATGCGGCTGGTTCATCATCAGGTTTGTTAAAAACCACATTGCCTTTGAGTCAGTGGATAATTGACAGTGGGGCTACCGATCATATCACGTCATCCTTATCGTCTCTTACCAGCACCACATCTCGTTCTTCTATGCCACATGTGTCACTGCCTAGTGATTGAAAGGCACCTATATCATCTACTGAGAGTGTGTTTTTTTTTACATCTCATATTTCTTTGAGAGATGTTTTGTGTGTACCATCTTTTAAAGTGAATTTGTTATCTGTAAGCAAGATTACAAAGGAATTACAGTGCTCTATATTTTTTTTCCCTTCTTGGTGTATTTTACAAGACTTGGCTACAAAGATGACAATTGGGTTGGGTAAGCAACGTGGAAGCCTCTATTACCTTGTGGCGTTGACTTCTGCAAATTCATCTTTGTTCCCTAGCCCAACCTACAACCTTGTGACCAACTCCACTGATTTATGGCACCAGCGACTCGGCCACCTTTCTCCATCTTGTTTACAATTCATGTCAAAATAATTTGTTAGATTTCCCTTTTCATTTGAATAAAGATTATGATGTTTACCCTTTAGCCAAACAAACTCAAAAGCCATTTGGAATCAATTCAATCAAAACAACAAAACCTTTCTCTCTCATACGTAGTGACATTTGGGGGCCACACAAAATAGCTTCACTTTCAGGTGCTCGTTATTTTTAACAGTGGTGGATGATTATAGTCGTTTTACATGGTTTTTCCTTATGAACCATAAAAGTGAAACACAAAACCTCCTCAAATCTTTTTTCGCTTTCGTGCAAACACAATTCCATACACAAGTACAACAAATTCGTGTCGATAATGGGGGAGAGTTTTTTTTTCCATGCATGAATTTTTTTGGGACAATGGGATCATTTACCAACGCTCTTGTGTTTACACACCACAACAAAATGGTGTTGTGGAATGTAAACATCATCACATACTTGAGGTTGCTAGAGCCTTACGCTTCCAAGCTCATCTCCCACTTCATTTTTGGGGGGAATGTGTGCAAACAGCCCACCTATTTGATTAATAGGCTTCCCACTCCCATCCTTTCCCACAAAACACCATATGAGCTAATGTATGACAAACCTCCATCTTATACACATCTCAAGGTTTTTGGTTGCCTTGCCTATGCCACATTCGTCCACCCTTCACAAAAAATTGGTCATAGAGCCACCAAAACAGTTTTTCTTGGTTACCCCATTAGACAAAAAGCTTACAAACTCTACAATCTCTCCACCCATAAAATTTTCACAAGCCGAGATGTTGTTTTCCATGAGAACATTTTCCCTTTTCAAACTACATCTTCACCTCCACTAGATAACCCCTCTGCATCTGTCCTTTCCATTTCCCTTGCTGACCTTTCTCCAATTAAAGTTAACCCAATAGACACAACCTAAACACAAGAAGCCCAAGATATGACTAGCCCACTTACATTACCTAATTCATCCACATTTGATGGTGATTTTCTCTCCATCTCCCACAAATCTCCTCTTCGGACTGTACCCATCCCCTCTGCCATACCACAACCTCCTCAACCAACCACCATTCATCCTTTACGTCAATCTCAATGCCACAAGACACCTTCTGTTTTACTGAAGGACTTTGTTTGCAACCAAGTGTTGTTGCCTTCCCATGCCCAACTGTCCTCGTCGTCGCCCAATCACACCAAAGGTACTCGATATCTCCTTTGTAATTTCCTGTCTTACCAAATATTCACACCTTCACACCTTTCATTTATTGCTAACATCAGCAAGGATGTCAAGCCTTCTTCCTTTACGAAAGCCTCTACTAATCCTTTGTGGTAGGATGTGATGCAATTACAGGCATTGGAATCCAACAAAACTTGGACTCTCACTTCACTTCTTACTAGCAAGACACCCATTGGTTGCAAATGGGTTTACAAGATCAAACGTTACTCTGATGGCTCTATTGAGCGTTATAAGGCATGCCTCATGGCCAAGGGATACACTCAGATCGAGGGTATCGATTACCACGACACTTTCTCTCCCACTGCCAAGATTATCATTGCCCATTGCCTTCTTGCCCTTACAGCGGCTCAAAATTGGTCCTTCCACCAGCTTGATGTCCATAATGCCTTTCTTCATAGTGACCTCCATGAAGAAATTTATATGACACCACCTCCTGGTCTTCGGCGACAGGGGGAGAACATAATATGTCACCTCAACAAGTCATTGTATGGTTTGAAACAGGCATCTCGACAATGGTTTGCAAAGTTCTCAGAAGTTATCCAGGCTGTAGGTTATGTCCAATCTAGAGCTTACTATTCCCTCTTCACTTGTAAACAAAGGAAGTCCTTTACTGCTCTCTTAATATATGTTGATATATTGATAATAGGAAATGATGTGGCTGTTATTAATTGTCTCAAGCAATTCCTTAATACTCGTTTCAAGATTAAAGACCTTGAATTTTTCTTGGGGATTGAAGTTTCTCGTTCTAAGAAGGGTATATGCATCTCACAGAGGAAATACACCTTGGACATTCTTAAGGATGATGGTGTTTTAGGAGCACAACCAATCTCTTTTCCCATGGAACAAAACACCAAGCTCGCCTCTGACACAAGAGAATTACTTAAGGACCCATCTAAATACAGAAGATTAGTGGGTCGTTAAATCTACCGTACAATTATAAGGCCGGATATCATGTATGCAGTGCATGTTCTTAGAAGGTTCATGCATGAACCTCACAAACCTCATCTAGATACTGCTATTTGAATCTTGAGGTATTTGAAAAATGCACCAGGCTAAGGACTCTTTTTTTCATCTCAAAACGACATGAAGTTGAGAGCTTATTGTGACTCAGATTGGGCGGGTTGTCCAACAACTCGAAGGTTTACTACTGGATACTGTGTTTTTCAAGGAAATTCCTTAATTTCTTGGAGAACAAAGAGACAACAAACCGTCTCTTTTTCTTCTGCAGAGGCTGAATATAGAGCCATGATAGGTGCTTGCTATGAAATTTCTTGGCTGAGATATCTTTTACAGGATTTACAACTTTTGCATCCAGGACCAGCCATCTTGCATTGTGATAACCAGGCAACATTACATATTGCTGCTAATCCTGTTTTCCATTAAATAACAAGGCATATTGAAATGGATTGTCACTTCATCCAAGATAAAATTTTAGACCGTTCAATCTTTACGAAGTATGTGGCTTCATCACAACAAGTAGCATACGTATTCACAAAGCCATTGGGAAAAGATGTCTTTTCAGCCATGTTGCGCAAGTTGGAAGTTCTTAACATTCACTCTCCAACTTGAGGGGGAGTGTTAAGATATTAGGGATTGATTTGATTATGCAATCCCTTGACTTCAGCAATAGAATTACAAGACTGTAGGAATAAATATATGATTTGATTTGTATATATATTTATCTTCCTTGTACGCCTAAATGATAGGATCACATATGTACAAATAACAATATCACCCTAATGAAAACTTATTCTGCCAGAACTATTCTTTCGTTCATATCCTACCTTATTTTACAGATTTTGACTACATTTGGTCTAGAAGAAAATGCCAAGATCACCTAACAATCCAAAGGAAATACTGGAAGGCTCATTTATAGTTGGATATATATATATATCAAAGTTCTCAAAGTTTAGGGTTTTCAGTATATGATTCTCTGCTCATATGGGGATTTTATGAATTTATTTTCTTTAAGTTTGTGATTTCAAATGGTTGGTGATCCTCTAAGAAATCTTTGACTTCAAGAATGAGGAATTGTTGCATATTTGGCTTGGAAATTTTTTAGCAGTGATTCTAGCCCCAAAAATCCATCTTGAAAATTAGGTATTAATATTTAGAGAAATGGTGCATAAATTTGGAATTTTTTTGTTGGACATATGGAATTGGGGGCTGATGGGTTAATTGTATTATTAGTTAAACATATGTAATAAAGTAATGAGCTCCCGACATGTCATTAGTCCCTAATATAGAAGATACCCTCTCAAATAATAATAATAATAATAATAATTCCTAGAAATTGTAAAAGCCGAGACTAGCTTGATAATAAAATCCCATGCTGCTCAATCCTGAGAGGGCTCTTCTTGTAGAGTACGTGAAGAATGAATACCTATTTGACAAGATAAAAGGACTTGGTTAATAAAAGTACCCCACAAAAAACTTTAACTCAAAACTCTAATTTCCGGGTCTCAAAATGTGCACAACCTTTAAGAAGGTTAATAGGGTCATTATAGTACTCCTCAAAGTATGAGACAGTCTCGGAAGACTCATGGCCAATCGAGCAGTCAAACTTTCCACATTGGTCAACCTAGCCCGCAGGGCCCACGACCTCCGATTTTAGATCCGAAAGTTCCTATAGGTCCAACAAAGTCTACTAAATAAGTCCCGAAGGTTTGGTCTAGATCGAGCGGTCGAATCTAAGCCAATCGTACAATGGGACGGCAATTGGTTCGCCTAACCCTAGAATCATTGACTCGGACTATCCGGGACTCTGATTCTAGACTCGCAAGTTCCTATACTATCCTAGAGGTAGAGGGAACAACATAATTAAAATTGGAACATATTGAACAGTCCGAACCTGTTGAACCCGGATATCGCATAATAGGCGCAATATCCATTCGATAGTCAAACAGTAATGAAATTCAAATCTGAGCATACCGTCGTGCTCAGTACGACATGGGGAACATTTTAGAAGACAATAGGCTGCCACTCATCGTGGGCAGTAGTGGGCAGCTTGAGAGATTTTCTAGCAACGAAAAATCTCCAAATCATCAGCCAATACCTATATCCACAGTTCAAGCATAACTAGGGGAGCATTTTTGGTTCTTGGACCCCGGCAAGTGGCCAGAGGTGCCCGAAACACGACCAAAATTGCCGGCCTCTAAGGGTGTCCATATCAAACTCTCAAATCTCAAAATCAACCCAAACCATGTAAACAATCAGCAAGAGCACGAGGAGAGGATCGAAATCCATACCTGGATTGACATTAGTGGATGTCTAAGTCACCGGAGTCAGCATTAGAAAGTGAAATCCTTATTCTCTCTTTTCGAGCTCACGCCGACGTCGTGAGGAGCAGGGGAGGTTAGGCTTTGGCCCAGACATGGTCGCCGGTCGGTGGCTGTCATTTTGTCTCATATTAGGTGGCCGTCATTTTCTGACCGGTCTTGTAGTCGAAGGTGGCCAGACGGCAGCATTGTGTGTTGGGAAGACGAACAGTCACTACTTGCACAGTGACTGTGTTAAAGGGGAGAGAGAGAGAGGAGGGAGGGAGGGAGGAGGGGGGGGGGGGGGGGGGGGGGGGGGGGGTGGGTGGGTTTTCACGCGTGCACGAGGAGTGAGGAGAGAAAGCTGGTTATTTAAGGTTTTCGAACAATTTTAGTAATTCATAATACATCCTTTCCATTTTCAGACCTTTTCTCCTTTGTTACAACTCGAAATTGAGCGTGCCACCTGTCTATGAACTCGTATCGACGAGCTCTATGCAACGGTGCCACTCAATTCCCCAAATTCCTTTCCAAACAAAAAGTGACTAAAGTACCCCTGCCCTCAAGGACAAAAATGTAATTTTACAATTAAATAATTAAATAAACTTACTTAATTGGGTTGAAAAACAAAAAGTTTGAAGAAATATGTTGAAGTAATTGTGTGAGAGAGAGGAGAGATTTGAGAGAGTAGAATGAAGAATGTTTTGTAAGAGATGAAAAAAGAAAAAAAAAAAAGAAAGAAAGTTATTTACTTAAGAAAAAAGTTAATAAAACAAAAGTTAAAAAAAAAAAAAAAAAAAAAAAAAAAAAAAAAATTTATTTAAATAACTATTGAGCTTGTTGTTTCTAGGACTTGGGTTCACTAATAAAACTAAAAATAACCTTACTACTTGACAAACCACTAATTTAAGGCCCTTTCAAGATGGCCCACAAGTACACTACTCCAAAAATTTGTTTGAAATTAATCGGAACCTAACTTTGGATATTACAACCCACCTTCTCTAGAAAAAATTTGCCCTCGAAATTTAAACAAGTTCACCTCACTCTTGGAATAAGAACGGATAGTTCTCACGAGACTCAGGGCTCAAGTTCCTAAGTAGCCTCTTCAATACCATGATGCTTCCATAGAACTTTGACCAAAGGAATTACTCGATTTCTTAAGGTCTTTTCCTTCCAATCAATTATCTGAGTTGGTCTTTCTTCATAAGTAGCATCCTCTTCAAGTGGTACTTCAACCCATTCGATCACATGAGCTGCATTGGGTTCGCTATTTCGCAACATTTACACATGTACATTGTGTATGTGTGCCAAACAAGATGGCAGTAAGTGACTTCACCAACTCGTGTTACTATCTCAAAAGTCGACGCATGTGCCATTCACATGGTATTTGTTTTGGACATTTGGATGGAATTGTATAAAAACTAACGGCATGAGCAAAATGGAGAATACATTTAATATGAGGGCTAAATTAGCTGAAAAAATCATTCGGGGTGCTAAGTTCGATAATTTACCCTATATTTAATGGCTGAAATTTACTGTTTTGCCTATATGATATTATTAAATTTTTTTCGAAGACTTTTTTTATTAAGAAGAATGATAACATACTAAACTCACACATACTACATGGGTGCTAGGACTCGAACTCATAACATTTTCTCAAAAAACAATTGTTCCAAACTATTACACTAATAGATTCTTTGTATATGACATTAAGGTAGCGTTTGGTAGTGCTTAAATTTTTAAAAAAGCTGCTTTAATAAAAATTTTGCCAAACCATGGTGTTTGGTAAACATCAGAAATCAGCTTTTAAAAAAAATTGCGGTCAATGACCGCTGTTTTTCCAAAGCAGGCATAACCCAGCTTTTAAAAGCTGCTTTAAAAAAATTTAACCGGTGGTTTAATGAATGTTTTACCTATAATGCCCTCACTTATTTTTCAAATAGACAGTCCTTGTCCCTCCAATACAAATCGAGCGACGCAGCAAAAACCTATTCTTCTCCATTCTGCAAACTCCCATTTTCTTCTTCATTCTGTTAATTCACAACCATCCCTCTTTCTATTCGTTCTAACCCACATCCCTTTTTCTATTCATTGTTTGCAACAAACCCCACCCAAGCTCCAACCACAACCACAACGTCCGACCATGGGCTGTAGACGACGACGATGACAGACAAGCACTGATGGCAGACGACGATGACAGCGATGACAGACGACGAAGACTCCACAGCTTGGACTGTAGACGACGATGACGACTGTGCAAGGAGGACGACTTCTCTGGGCAGAGGGAGAAAAATAGAACAAGGAGAAGGAGTATAAGAGAAAAATTGAAGAGAGAAAGGAGAAGAAGCAGGTGACAGGAGGAAGGAGAAGAAGATGAAAAAGAGGCAGCAGAAAGAGATGCAGAGATCTGGGGAAAAAAAAAGGGGGTTCCCAAAAAAAAAAGATGCAAAGAGACGAAAATGTTCTGACTCAAAAAAAGTGTAAATTAAAAAAAGAAAAAAAATGTAGCTTAAAAAGAAATAAGAAAACAACAAATAATTTCATCATGATTCATGTCCTTTTTTGTCATTATACATACTAAAATCAATTTTGATAAAAATTTACCAAACACTTTGATTACTCACAGCACTTTTTCAAATATAGTTTACCAAACGCCTAACTGATTTTTTTAACAGCTGATTATTCTTGCAGCACAGCAGAATCAGTTTTTTTTAAAAGCACAGCAACGCCAAACTAGCCCTAAATTTGTTATAGCTTGAGGCTTTTCATTAGGCGAAGGCATTTTTGGAATTTTTGAACGTTTTACATTTATTATATAGTATATAGATAGATAACAGGTATGTTATTATTCTTGCCCGCAAAGAAAAATGATTACAAAATGTCAAAAACCGACATTGACAATTTTGACCAAAACGATTAACACAAAAAATCCCGGAGTGCCAGAAAGGCCAGAGCTATAAAAACAAGACAGGCGTGGAGTCTAAGCCATTAGACATTTAATAGCAACCAAAACAAAATCCCTAGAAACCCAGAAAACCCAACCACAAAAACACCACAAACCCCTCAGCAGATCGCCAATCACCAATCTCCAATCGCCATGTCAGGAGGACCCATCACACAGGACTGGGAGCCCGTGGTTATCAGGAAGAAGGCACCCACCGCCGCCGCCAAGAAGGATGAGAAAGCTGTCAACGCTGCTCGCCGCTCTGGCGCTGAGATCGAAACCCTAAAGAAAGGTTTTTTCTTGTTGCATTTGTGTCGGCCTTTCTTCTTCCTCACTCCCCTCTTTGGTCTTGATTTTTGTTTTTGTGTTTCGTGAAGCAAAAGATAGGATAAAACCCTGGAAATAATTTCAAAATCTGATAGTGGGTTTAGACAATTATTTATGTTTTTGGAATTAGAATAAGTTATCCTGGGTTTTTGGGTTGGATATCTGCACTTGATAAAGTTGTAATTATGTTGTTTTAGATGGATCTTATCCATTATATGTAGCTTGCGCGTTTTGTTCCCTTTGGGTTGTTGCTTGAATCATTGTTCCGGCTTCTTCTTTGATTTTTATTACCTTGCACCTATTTTTTTATGAATCAAACGGTGTTCAAATTAACTAAGCCGTACATTAAAAATCGAAAGGTTTTCTGGATTTGTGTGTGTGTGTGTGTGTTTTTTTTATTATATATTTGATGGCTCTTCCAGATGTTTATAGTTGTAATTTTCTTTTCCCATTTGAGGTGACTTAGGATTAAGTACAAAAGTTACTTATCTTTTGGGTTGCGCACTGCATATGATAATTTTAGAACTTACAGTTCTAATAGTTATTTTATTATCCTTTGCAGCTACTGCTGGGACCAATAAAGCTGCCTCCAGCAGCACTACCTTGAACACAAGGAAGCTCGATGAGGAAACAGAGAACCTTGCTCGTGAGTTTGTTTTTACGTTGTACTATGTGTTAAGAAAATCATGTCGTTCATATGAGAATTTATATTTGTTTGTTGGATGAGAAAAATAATCTTCCTGAGATCTTGTTGATTGTAACATGCTTTCTTAGTTTGCTAGAAATGTTTGGTTTGGCTTATGGAAGTAGATAGATCTGTTTACATCTTGCTCAATTGTTTCCTTCAAAGAGGGTGAACCTTGGCACAGTCATAAGTTTGCTTCCATTACAAATGTTTGATGGGAAATAGCCACTCTACAAGTGGGGTTGAGGCTGTGTATATAGGTCCTCCCAAGACCTTGCAATTGCGGGGGCCCTGCTTCGCCCCAATTGGCCTGTTGTTTCTTTTGCCAAGTTGGTTGCATGGTTCATTTCTATAATAAATATAATGTTTATGTATTGAGCCTTCAGTTAATGTGACATACAACTTTTTCAGCTGAAAGCCCGTCCCCCCGGCCCCTGAACACTATCTTGCCTGAAAATTTTGTCCTTGCAGGAGTCTTTTTTGACCAATTGTGTGTTGTTCTTCAAAGTATTTTTTTAACATGAGAATTGCATTGATGAAAGGGGATGTGAGGGAAGTAGTCATATCATGTAATGATGCCAAGATGCTTTTCAGAGGTGCATTGGCGGGAATGGGCAATAAAAAAACAAAAAGGCTAAAAGTGCTATAGTGCTTGACTTAACAGATCCTTCACTTCTTGTGTTATTCTATGAGAATTTTCAGCATTGGTTGTCTGCTCAGGTAGTCATCATTGAGTTCATGTGTTGTATTTGTTTTTGTATCATGCATATGCATTACGGTATTCCATGATTCTCTTCATTGCCTGTTTGCTTGCTTTAAATTTTTTCTTACTCTTGCAATCACACCTTAACAAGTGTGCTTTAGACGTGCTATGAGTTGTTTTGATGGAAATAGAATTCTTTACTTTCTTGTGCCATTGTAAGAGAGAATGCTGAAAGAAGGATGAGCTTGGGTAATTGTATCTTTAATATGCCCCCTAATCTAGGCATTCTTGGCCATGTGTATCATACGTGAAGCCTACAGTGTTGATCTTTTACATTTCTCTATTTTAATTATATTGTATTTTTGTGCATGTTGTGAGTTTGTGTGCATTTGGCCTTATGTACTTTTCCCTCTATTGTCCTGGCCAGACTTATGCTCCTCTCTCTGGTTTAATATTTATTCTTTGAACCATTGTTTCAGTGTTTTATTTAGCTGAAATATATTGTACCAATTCTGCAAAGCTATTTGTTTGTTGTTTGCTTGGATTTTTTGCTCTTTTCTACTATGTGGCTTTGTGCTTAAATGCCATCTGATTTGCACTTGTAGATGAACGTGTGCCAAGTGAGCTGAAGAAAGCTATTATGCAAGCTCGAATGGATAAGAAGCTTACCCAGTCTCAGCTTGCTCAAGTAATTCTCTCTCTCTCTCTCTCTCTCTCTCTCTCACACACACACACACACGCTTGCGCGTGCGTGCCCATCTGTGTATAGTCAGTGATGATCTGGAGTTATTTGCAGATTATCAATGAGAAGCCTCAAGTGATCCAAGAGTATGAATCTGGGAAGGCTATTCCAAATCAGCAGGTAATTACCAAGTTGGAGAGAGCTCTTGGAGCGAAACTGCGTGGAAAGAAATAAGTAATCCAGGACGGAAAATGAATCTCAGCTGGGATTTATGATTTTAAGTTTGAACTCTGATGTATTTGCACTTAAATCTGTAGCTAAAGTTTGAACTAATATGCTGCACCTCATTCTGTAGTTATCTTCCAAAGGTCGTGTGTTTGGTGCAGTAATTACTTGTGTTTTCCAAGAATATTTCATCAAATGACGAGTTCGCAAACAATTTCAACTAAAAAATAAGTATCTACATGTTCATGTCATAGGTGATGCTTTCCGTCGTCTGCCTTTTCAATTCTTCATGGAAAAAAGAAACACCAGCCTTGTGATTTCTCGAGCTCCCTTGCGGTACGCCACTTTATGGGCTATTTCTTGGGCCAAGAAGAAAAAAGACAAACGAAAAGAAAAGATTGCATATGTTGTTGGTCGCATGAAAGTTGACTAATTGAAAGGCCGGTTTAAATGAAAATAGGGACAGAACCCAAATCAAATTGGGTTCAAAAGAAACTAGAGTTGTAACCTAAAGTCACTGGGATACAAATTTCAATGCCAGCTCAATGATGCCCCCTTTAATTTCTCAGTTTAAAAAGAAATTGTGAGTTAAAAAGGGAGCATCCAACACAAAATTCACAAAATTGATTCGCAATAGTGGATGTCAGGCAAAATCTTTCAAACACTATTGCAAGACTTGTCATTCTAAAATGTGGTAAAATGTGGGATGTAACTCTTAGCATGTTGCTGGCACGTGGCGTAACACAAAACAAACACATAAACGAGTAACATAATATAATCAGTTATCAATACCAAATTTGATTGGTTTGACCGAATTGATGCCACTCCTATTATTTTGTATCTTTTAGAGCATTTCTACCGAGAGGCCCCAGCCAGAGCAAGAGGCCCCCCAAGCCCTCAAATGTGTTTCCAACACCCCATTCTTGCTAGGGTAAGAGATGGGCTCCACAAACCAGAGCAAGGCCCAAGGCAAAATCAGCCTGCCCTCCTGCCTGACGGCTAAGACGTCACCGATGATGCCAGCGCAAGAAATTAAATTTTTTTACCTTTGGCGCATGATGTACACACGTGGATTGTGCACATCACACACACCAACGGTACCAAAAAAATTAAATTAAATTTTTTGTCGCTAACACCAACACCTACTTTCCCCGAATGGATAGAAGCCATGTGGTGCTACCTGGGGTGTCTGATCCATTCTTTCATTGACATCCAACGACTACTAATTTTTATATAATAAAAATTGAAAAAAAATACTAAAAAATTCTGAATTTTTTTCTCTATGAATACTTACCAATATTATTTACTTTCCACACCAAATCTTCATATTCGCCTTCCAATATTATTCACTTTCCACACCAAAATTTCCATTACTAAATTCCATTTGTGTAAAAATACAAATGACCTCTTCCATCGAAACCAGAGGCTCATGGACAACCATGGAAGATGTTTTGTTGTGTGAGTGTTGGGTCCAAGTTCGTCATTGCCCGATCACTGGCAATAAGATGAAGTTATCTCATATGTGGAGAAAAATTCATGGAGAATTTTGTGAAAGATTAGGTTAGCCTCTTAAGGAAATGGTCTTGGCTAGTAGGTGGAAATTTTTGAATAAAGAGTTAGGGAAATGGGGAGATGTGTTATAAAAAGCGAGGGACAACGTTCAAAGCCGGAGGTAAAATTTTTGTAATTGCCGTTTTATTAAATTTAATGTCATGTATTTTTATATTTTCTTACATTTCCAATTTGTTTTTTATTATAGATTATTCAAACACAAATGTGGTTTGGTGTCATTGGCCGAGGCAAAAAATCTTTCAACAATCACCAATGTTTGGAGGTTGTGAAGAATTTTTTGAGATTCAAAATTATTCCCACGAGTCTAATCGTTGTGTTGAATGCGACACTGCTCCATGATTCACCAACATCGGATTTGACGTTGGACTCGACAATGAATCAACACTCACCAATCCGAAGAGAGTCAGGGCCTATTGGGAAAAATGTGGCTAAGGCCAAGAGAGGGAGCACTTAGAACAATGAATGTACAAAAATTTTGGAGCAAATTGCTATCAACGGCGCACTGAGAATTAAGAGAGACATAAAAAGAGAAGAAGCATTTGCAAGAGAAAGGGAGTATGCACACAAAGAAGACATGGACAAGAAAGATTGTGAAACCATGACCATGGATACAAATCATATATCCCCTGAAACAAAGTCATTTTGGAAGCAAGAACGAAGGGATGTTATGAGAAGAAGACTTTTTCGTGACGATGGACCTAGCAACACGGATTGGTTAAATGATGAAAACCATTAGGTTGTATTGATAGAGTTGCCATTTCTTAATTAGTTGTATTGATTGTCTTTTATTGAAAAAAGAAAGCACTTAATAATATAGCTATTTATTTAAAACATTGCATACATCAAAACAAAGCATAATTCATTACAAAACACAAACAAAACAAAGCATAATTCAATACAAAATACAAACAAAGCATAATTCAAAACTAAGCATTAAACTTGACTTCATTGGGTCATTTCTCTCAAAAATCTCTATTCCTTTAGGGTAAGAGCTTTTCACCCCTAACAAGAGTTTTGTTTAGGGTTTTCCATCCTTGGTTTGTCTAGGGTTTTCTTTATTTTCTTACCAAACTAGTGATATAGAGGGGTTGCTCAATCAAAAATGCATCTAAAATATGCAGAATTCTGGATTCAAGTCCATAACGTACCATTGAGTTGTATGACGGTAAATATGGGGCGACAAGTTGGGAATAGTCGTAGACGGTGTTTGGATGTAATAGAGGGCAACCCCTCTATATCACTAGTTTGGTAAGAATGATAAACCCATCTATATCACTAGTTTGGAAAAGCTGATAAATTCGTTGGAGAAAGTACTCATCCTAACTGAGGATGAGAATGATGCGATTTAGGTAGGAAAAATGATGTTGATGATGTAGGGGAGCGACTCAAGACCAGCTTGGTTGGAAAAGTCTTTACAACTAATGTTTTCAATTGGGAGGCATTCAAGTAAATGATGTTGAAGATTTGGAACACGGCTCATGAGGTGGTGGTGAAAGATTTAGGTGAAAATATCTTTTTGTTCATCTTTGGGATTGAAGGAGATCGACTAAAGGTGCTACACATTAGGCCTTGGAATTTTGATAAAGCTCTAGTATTACTTGAGATTCCTGACGATAGTGTTGCTCCATAAAAAATGCATCTAAAATATGCAGAATTCTGGATTCAAGTCCATAACATACCATTGAGTTGTATGACGGTAAATATGGGGCGACAAGTTGGGAATAGTTGTAGACGGTGGTTGGATGTAACAGAGGGCATGGATGGGGAGTGTTTGGTTAGATTTTTTAGGATTCATGTTTGTTTGGATGTCTCCAAGCAATTACAACAAGGAAAAAAGGTGATTCTACTTTCTGGAAACATAGAGTTCGCAGATTTTTGATACGAACGATTGCTAGAATTCTATGTTGTGTATGGCAGAGTAGGTCATGTGTTCAAGGATTGTTCTTTTGTCTATGGGACATGATTAAACGCCACCAATGATTTTATCACTATAAGGGCAAGTAGTCCTCAGCGATTCAATGGTGGTGGTTTGAGTAGACGTGACGACGATGAAGGTAATGGAACTCAGGACCACAATATTCAAAGAATAGTTCGCACCAATCATATGCGAGGGTCAAAAGGGGATGGAGGGCCTAGAGTCAATAGAGAAAGGCCGTTTATGCAAGGAGATCCCATCAATACCAAAAAATTCACAGAAAAGTGATGAGGAAAGGAATTGTGTGAAGGGGAAAAAGGTGGAGAAGGGGGGACAGAAGGAAAAATCGGAAGGGGAGAGGGTGGCTAAATCTTTGGTGGGACTGATGTGTAAACGAAAAGAGGAGGAGGAGAGGCGGAGAGCACAGAAAGAGGTGGCATGGGAGGCGGCTGTAGGAGGAGGAGATGCCAGTAGTGGGTGCTCAAGGAACTCTCCAAATAGGGTTAACGTGGCAACGATTCTAAAAGCATCAGATCATGACATGATTGATATGGAAATGTCATTACCAAACTCCATTAGGATTGAAGAGGTGGGTAATGCAATTAAGGAGAAAATAATTAACGATACTCACAAAATGAAAACTGCAGACATGCATGCATTTAAGGAGGATGTGGATATCAAACCGTAGCAGCTAGATTTAAGGTTGCCCTTGATAAGGATGTGCATGAATCATTGCAAAATATTCATGTGCACAATCCAACCAATAATATTGCAAGTGGGCTGGGTAACTCTGGGCTCGCAAACACTATTAGTAGGGCACAAAAGAATGTTGGATCAGGGTCTAAATTTGAAACAAAAAAATTGGTGGACCCTATGCAATATGAAGTACATGCAGGAGAAAAGAATAAAATCAATGCCAACTTAAAGAGTGGTAGAAGGTCATGGAAACATAAGACAAGGACAAGATATGAATCAACCAATTCGCATGAGGGAGAACTCAACGAGTTAGAGCTTTGACTAGAAAAATAGGAGTAATGGAGATAATGGATGAAGGGAGGCTTGTGTCAAAAGGGTCAAAGAGGGAGAAGATATGAATGATTTTACAAACAGTGTGGTGGGATCAGCAAGGCTGACCCACCACAAGCCATGAGGATCTTAAATTGGAATGTCCAAGGTCTTGGGGCTCCTCAGACATTCGACTCTCTCAAAAACATTTTGCGAGAGAAAAAACCCAATTTGGTCTTCCTGATGGAAACCAAAATGACTTCAAATTAGATGGAAAATAAACGAATACAACTTGGAATGGAAGAGGCAGTTAAGGTTGCGAAAGTGGGTTTGGGGGGAGGTTTGGTTTTGTTCTGGAGTAGTGGGTTGGATGTGCGGTTGTTATCTTACTCAATTGGTCACATTCATGCTCTGATAACTAATTCAAATGACTCACAATTTTATTTTACTGGGTTTTATGGGCATCCTGATGCTCAACAACGAAACCATTCTTGGGAGTTATTATGTAGATTATCTCATACGATTCAAGGTGCTTGGGTGGTAGTTGGAGATTTTAATGAGATTTTGCTTCCTAAAGAAAAGCAAGGTAGATGAGAACGACCTTAATATCATATGAACAATTTTAAGAGGATTTGGATGATTGTAGGCTTAGCTCCACAAGATTTACAGGGTACTCGTTTACTTGGGTAGTGTGGTGGAAGAATGGTTAGACAGATGTCTAGCAAATGGGGCTTTATTTGGCCATTATTCATATTTGATAACTAGCCACTTAGTAGTAGTGGGTTCTAATAACTACCCGATTTTTTGAAGGCTTGTGTTGATGATCCAGATTTTTTTTCTCAAAGAAAACGGAGTAGGCGGTTTCATTTTGAAGAAATGTGGACAAAGGAGCAAGAATGTGAAAAGGTGATTAGAGAGGCCTGGAAGTTTATTGATGGAGTAAGTAATAGTTTATCATTATGTGCAAAGGAGCTCAAGACTAGGAACCAAGTCAACTTTGGTAATATTCGTAATCAACTCAAATTAGCTTATCAAGAGTTAGTAGACCTTCAAGGAAGACTGACAACAGATCAACATGTATTAAGTCAAAAGTTGAGAAAACTATTTCGGACCTTTTAGAAAAGGAAAAAATTATGCGGAGACAATGATCTCAAGTAGTGTGGCTCAAGGAGGGTGACAAAAATACCCGAGTTTTCCATGAACGGGCAAGCTCTTGATCAAAACGCAGCAAGCTACATGTACTTTTTGATGAAAATCAGGTATGGCAAACAAATGAGCATAAGATTGCAACCCTTTTCTGTGACTATTTCAAGTCCATATTCTCTTCCTCTGATAGCCAGCAAATGGAACGGATTCTTAATGATGTAAGTCCTACAGTAACAAGTGATATGAATGATTGTTTGGTGCAAGTTTTTACATGAGATGAGTTGGAGTACACATTAATCAGATGTTCCCAACGAAAGCGCCTAGATGTGATGGTATGCCAGCCTTATATTTCCAAAAGTATTGGCACATTGTCAGAGATATGGTGTCTAATAAGTGCTTGCAGATTTTAAATGGGAAAGGGAGCATTCGGGAATTTAACCACACTCTTATAGCTATCATCCCAAAAATAAGGACACCAACAATTGTTTTAGAATTTTATCCGATCAGTTTGTATACAGTAATTTACAAAATGATAGTGAAAACAATTGCCAATCGGTTGAAGAATGTTCTTCCTTCTGTGATTGCAGAAAATCAAAGTGCCTTTGTACCGAATCTAATGATTTTAGATCATATGATGGCAGCTTTTGAAACAATGCATACTATCAAGGGTGTGAAGAAGGGGCAGGATGTTAAAGTGGCACTCAAATTGGACATGACAAAACCATATGATAGGATGGAGTAGGTGTTCTTACGTGTAATGATGCTCAAACTTGGCTTTTCACCTCAATGGGTAGAGAAAGTGATGGACTGCATATCTACTACGACTTTTTTTGTGCTTTGGAAGGGCACTCCTCTTGGACACGTCACTCTACAACATGGGTTACGGCAAGGTTGTCCTTTACGGCAAGGTTGTCCTTTATCTCATCACCTTTTCCTCATATGTACTGAGGGGTTCTCTAGTTTATTGCGTGATGCAGAAAGAAGAGATGATTTGGTTAGGGTTAAAGTGGTAAGGGAGCCACCGTAGTGACTCACTTACTTTTTGCAGATGATAGCATTATCTTCATGAAGGCAACGAAAAAGGCTTGTGTGACTATGGAAAATCTATTCCAAATATATGAAGAGGTGTCAGGGCAACAAATAAATTATTCTAAGGTAGCACTCTCTCTAAGTCCAAATGCTACTAATGCATAAATTGATATGGTTGTAGGTGTGTTGAATATTCCTATTGTGCAATGTCAAAAACAAAAAACAAAAAAAACAAAAAAAACAAAAAAGGATTGCCAACTATTGCAGGAAAGAGAAGGAAACACTTTTATTAACACTTAAAAGATAAACTTTGGAAGCGCATAAGTGGGTGGAAGGAAAAGCTCTTATCTAGAGCTGGGAAGGAAATTTTAATTAAAGTCTTGTTACAGGCTACTCTCACTACTCGATGAGTTGTTTTCATATTCCGAAAGGATTGTGCAAAGAGCTTAATGGAATTATGGCTCGGTTTTGGTGGGCAATGGTGAATGACAAGAGGGGAATTCATTGGGTGAAGTGGGATCTTTTATGTAAAAGTAAATTTGTTGGAGGTTTGGGGTTTCGTGATCTTGAGGCTTTCAATCAAGCTTTGCTAGTAAAGCAATGTTGGTGTATTCTTTGTAATCCTGAGTCTCTTGTGGCAAGAGTTTTTAGAGCAAGGTATCATCACTCATCATATTTTTTGGAAGCAAATGTGGGAACAAATCCTTCTCTTATTTGGAGTTCATTGCAATGGGGGAAAGAATTGCTCAACAAGGGACTTCATTGGAGAGTTCAAAATGGGGTGTCCATCAAAGTCTATAATGACAAATGGATCCCAACCCTTTCTCTTTTCAAAATCATGTCTCCCCCACAATTGTCAAGGTCAACACTGGTTTGTGATTTGTTCACTTCTTTAGGGCAATGGAATGTGCATTTACTTAAACATGATTTTTGGGATGAAGAGGTGGAAGCCGTCGTACAAATTCCATTGGTTTCTCTTGTAAATCATGATCAATTAATTTGGCATTAGGAAAGAAATGGAAAGTATTCTGTCAAAAGTGGATATAGGCTGGCATGTATGGAGAAGGATAAATTATGTGGAGGGGAATCAAATGTTGTTGGTTTGAATTCACTATTTAGTATGGGGGAATGTATGTGAGCTGTGGAAGGTCAATTATTTTAGAGATCTATTGCATGCATTACAGCTCTCCTCAAGTAAGAAAGAACAAGGAATGTTTGCATATATTTGTTGGGGCATTTGGAACATGAGAAACGACTTTATTTTTTAAGGGAAATCCAAACCAGCACAAAAGTTACTGCATCATATGACTGTCTTTGTGAAAGAATTTTCTGAAGCAAATCACTTCTATCACATAATCCAAGATAGCACTTATATCTTTCAAGCCCCTTCTCAAGTTTACAGGCCTCCACCAGTAGGTCTCTATAAAATAAATGTAGATGGAGAACTCAAAAATGGGGATTCAATTCGTGGGGTAGGTGTGGTTGTTAGAAATGAGTGTGGTGACTTTATGGGGGGCATGTGTTAACCAATCCAAGCAAGTTATGGGGCCAAGCAAACAGAGCTTATGGATGCAATTGAAGGACTGCATTTTGCTCTTGACATGGGATATACTTGTGCCATTCTAGAGATCGACGCAAAAGAATGCATAACTGGTATTCTTTTAGCGAAGGAATGCAATGGAACAGATTGTCTTTTACTTGAAGAAGTAAAATGCCTACTAAGAAAATTTAGAGTAGCTTTATGTCTATGGACCCCAAGGAGCTATAATAAGGTGGCACACACCTTGACTCAATTTTCAATTAGCTGTAATGATTTTGTTTCTTGGATTGAGGAAGCACCTACATGGTTGCTCCTATTTCTTTATGCAAATGTACTCTATTCTTGAGTTTTTGAATGAAATCTTGATTCTATTAGGAAAAAAAAAATCATTTGACTTCATTGATGTCTTTCAGCACCCATAAGTGCTCGATCAAATCAACTGATGTCTTTCATGAACATAAGAAGATTGCATGTCCCTATAATGGCCAATCATATGGTTGTTGTAACGATCGTCCCTAATCAACGGTTCGTGCTCCAGTGGTTGTCCATTTGCACCCACTCCCTTTCTTCTTCAACATGTTTGGGCATTCTTTCTTCATTTTCTCACTCGGCCCTCTCCAACAACCTCCTCATGTAAGACATTGAAAGTAGAATGTGTTTTGCAACATTTGAGAAATGAAAGGATAGAGATGATATGGATGAATGGTGTAAGTTGAGGTTGTGGTTTTATAGAGGGATTTAGAAGATAGAGATGACACATGGCGCAATTGAAGTAACTGAAAATCTTATTCGAAATCTGAGATGTGAATCTTATAGTGGCAACCGAAAATCTTATTAAAATTAATCTTTTAAGCATTAAAAATAAAATTAATTTTTTGCGAATAGTAATTGTCCTTTGCCATGGCAATAGGTGGAAAACTAACAAAAAAAATGGTAAGGACAGACACTATTCATGTAAATAATAATAGTCATTGCCTCCTTTTGTCTTTTGCCATGACAAATGAGTGAAAATGCTCTTAAATCTTCAGGTATAGGAGGAGAATTGTCACTTTGTTGTAAAATGAACTGAAATATGCAAGAATATTGAGTTGCACGTAAAGTAAATAAGGCACAATATTTAATGAGGTTCGGCCATGCCTATGTCCTTGGAAAGCAATAGCAGTAAATTTTCTACTATGTAAAATAATAGGGCTACAACTTTAGTGTTTACAATATCTGTGACTCACTGATTTTCTCTCTTGGAGAATTTCTCTCTGCTATCTTTTTCTCTCCTCTCACTCCCCCTCTTTCTTCCTTCTCTTCTTTCTTCCTGGGTTCTTTTCTCTGTTGGTTTTCTATATCCCTTTGCAAGTAGTAAGGATGCCTATTTATAGGCAAAGTAAATGATACCCATGAGTGTGTAGGGAGACATCATGATGTTTCTTTCCAACATGTGGGCTTGGTCTCCACTAACTTTACAACACTTCCCCTTCGAGACCACTAGTAACATGTTGGTTGCTTAATTAAGTCTTGCTAGGAGAAAACCCAATGAAGTAGGAAACTAGTTGAAAGAAGAGTAGTACATAAATTAGTGTAGCATACCTGTAGATGCTCCCCCTAAAATCTTCATGACTAACTTCTTGGAGGGAAAATCTTTCGGAGTGTGTGGAGGATGTAGCCATCAAAAATCCCTTAGTTGAGTAAGTAAATATACTTCCCGTAAGTGATCTCTTTGTAAATCATGGAAATTTCCAAAGTCCGCGAATCAAACAAAAACCTAGGTTATTTGTAAGTTCACTTGAAAAGAATATGCTCGTATATTGTTTTATGCAAAGATGACATCAAATATGTCTCACATCATCCCAAAGTGGTGGTGATGGAGCTGAGCTCTATCTGGAAAATACAATGTTCGGTCTAGTATATTTCTGGAAAAACCATTTAAGTGCCCAACGGATAATCCACATAAAAATGCTTCAATACTTTCTTAGTATAAGCAAGAATATCGTTGGCGTAATTCTCGATCTTCAGGCCGAGGCAAATATTTCTTGAACTCTTCAGGAGTTTTAATCAATTATCAACTCTTCAAGAATTGTAATGTATTGCAACCATATCATAATTAATGTACTGACTGAGGCAATTTATATATATTAATATTGAGTACAAAATTTGTGCTCCAGGCACATGTCCTTCAGAGACTTGCTTCATGCAATTACAATCCTCCAGGGATTTTATTTAATTGATTACACTTCATGACACATTATATAGCTTTATATCTAGCTATTTATTCTTCTTGTACATCTTTAGGGAATCACTTCTGGCGATATGCTCCGTGCATTTAATAACCCTTAAAGATAGTATGTTGGTCTCCATAAATGTGCAATAAGAAGGCACGATTGCATCTGTAAATATGGAGAACCTCAACATTCCTTATTTCTACCAGAAACATTGTGTCATATAAATTAAGTATATTCCTCTTTTATTTCGAACACCCAAGTATAACTTTTAGGGTTAACATCTTTTGAGGTTCGTACTATGGGTTTATTCCTTCACGTTCATTCTCATTTGTAATGGAATTGCCTCTTTCCATTTTTGGCCAATGATATTGTTGACATTTAATAATAGAACGTGGTTCCAATCAACACATCCATTGATGATTTGAGTAGCTACTCCAAAACCAAAAATTATCATTCATCAATTCGTGATCCCACCATTCTCATGTGCATGTGCATGCATCAATTATGAATATTCTTTGCCTTTGGGTACCCAAGCCACTTCAGGGGCTTTTATTGTCTCTTCCCAGACAGACATCTCTTATAGGATGAATTATGTGAGAATGTGGATCTTAACCTCCAATGGAGCATTATTTTATAGTAGGGCATAGATAATCTCCATTCAGGGAGTTGGAACATTTAGAACCCATATATTAATACATACATGTCAATTAATTGTCCTTCTGAGACTTTAAACCAAAGAATATGCTACGCATTAGGTGTGCACCATATTAATATTGACATGTTAATGGATTGTCCTTCCGGGACTTCAATCCATATCATTTGCTACACAACAGGCGTGCACCATATTGATCATTGCTATACCCATGTTCTGTTCTTATGAGACTTTAATCTATACAGTGTATTATCAATATATTCAACTTGCAATCTGTGAAATTTGCATTAATAATTCATGAATACATATCAGAATGATACAAGCCATTCTTTTGGAATGGTCATAATACAAGTCGTTCTTCTAGAACAATCTATAATGCAAGTCATTCTTTTGGAATGGTCCTTTGCATGGCGTTCTTCTGGAACGGCATTTTCTCCCCATTTGGTTACCTTTAAGGATGTCGTACAAAAAAATAAGAGTACAAGCATGAAATAACACAAGTATTACTTACATCCTTAGGTAGGAGAAACTTTGCTCAAATATCGTTCAAGCTTGTATTGGTTCAGCAAATACAATGTAATGCTTGATGATCTAGTTATATCTTGCAAGAGCAAAACTCACAATTCTTTTGTCTCTGTATAAAAATAAAAAATAAAAAAACCCTCAGTGTTAGGTTCACAACATGAATTTGTTCTTTAGATGTCCGTTCTAAAGAAACAAAATCCTTTATGAACAGAGAGTTGTAAAAAGAAAGAAAAGATACAAAGAATTGTGATATTAATTGCAAGGTAGGTAAGAATTCAGGGAAGGAAACTAGTGAGGTAACATACAACAAACTCTCATTTCTCCTAGCCTAGAAGAACTTTAGGCGATTGGAGCATGTGGTCGTCCTTACACTTCCCCAACATCGCCGAAACGTGATCAGGGATAGTCTCGCTTCCTGAATGGATGATCAGAGATAGTCTCGCTTCTCAAGTACACTGAGCGCTTACTGATAGGAAAAACAAGTGGATATTGCATCATTGGATATGGAGAAAATTGGAGAAAACTGGGTGTATTCTGCAAAGAAAATTTTGTCAGTAACATATTTATACATAAGTTAGAGGAATAGGTAGATCTGGTGAATTTCAAATTAACCACAGAAATTTGTAAGGTTCTCGATATACTTTTGAAAAAGTAACACCGTGAAATCTGCAAAGCAAGATCGGCTTTGACGAAAATAGTCCTTGAAACCCCTAAAGTGCTGACAGACATTAATGGAGGCCACGTGAAGTTTTGGAATCAGGAAAAAAAAAAGAGAATATGGGGATCCGAGAAAATATTGGGATCTTAGAAACGGTGCCACATTTTCATCTATAGATATTGTCTCTGCAAGGCCTGATTGGAGCAACTGCGTTTCAACTCAACTTCCTTTCATTTTCTGAAAATTCAGCTTTTCTAAGACTTTTCTTGAAACCGTTTTAAAATGGCTTCCTCTTCTTCTCCCCTAAAGCATCTCGATTTAAATGTTGCTCCCAAAACAACCCGTGACGTCCATCCTTTGTATCTCAAATCGTCATCTCACGGTTAATGATTCTGTGATGATGAATGATATGACTGTTGTCATAGTAGTTAGAAATTTCCTTACTCCTATGGATGAAATACTGTTAACAGGAAGGTCTGACGAAGAAGCTATTGATGACTCAATGGCTTTTAGCATTCAGAGTGCTACTTCTGTTTCTAACATGGCTAACCGTTTGCATGCCAGAGCAAACGAGATTTAGGAGCTGAACACTGAAAATTCATCTCTTAGAGGATGCTTCATGAGTCTCAGCAAGAGGTTGAAAAACTTAAAGAGGAAAATAAGGCATTATTGAAACTAGTGAGTTCATACTCCATTGATACGTAGACAAGGCTTGACATGCTGCAGATTTCCAATGAAAATATTCTGGGAGACCACGAGAGGCTCATGGCTAAGCTTAAAAGGTGTCATCCCCTTCCTTCAGAGGCTTCTAGAACATAATAGAATTTTATAGATTTTACAAACACTGCTCATTCCTTGCTTGTGAAGAGAATCTATCTGTTGTATGCTCCTTTCCTGTTATCACTACTACAAAAATTGAAATAAATGACGGGAAAACACTCTTTTTCAAACCGTCGTTAAATCGACAGTCATCTTTTTGAATGACGGTAATTAACCGTCGTCTTTACATTAATAGACGACGGTTATTTCATAAAAATCGTCGTCTATTACATTAATAGACGACAGAAAAACCGTCGTCTATTACATGTAATAGACGACGGTTTTTTCGTCTATTAATGTAATAGACTACGGTTTTTCTGAAATAGACTACGGTTTTACATTTTAGTTTTTTTTTTCTTGTTTCCTATGGTATCAGAAATATATACTCAAATATGTTATTACCCACGGAATACATATATATACTAAAAAATTGTTTCTTTCATAAATAGAATATCAAGAGTACAATAGAACAAAATAAAATCTAAAAAATGAAAGCTACAAGCTGCAAGCCTAATTACAATAATACACCAAAATTCCTATACCTAATTATCCTTCTAGTCCAGTTCTCCATATGTATATAGAGCTATACATTCATCATCACCACTTGTCATCATTCCAAGCTGCTTTGCCAACACAAAAATTATTTGCTCCTAAACATCAAATTGACATACATATCAGATTCTCAACAACAAAAGGATAACAGAGAAGCAGTAAAAAGATGCATGTATTCTAGTTACAAAGCAACAAAGGTAAGCATAAACTATTGCAAATTGCTATTTGAAGTGCAGTTACCTGTTCAAACAGAAAGCTATCTATACAATCTAAAGTGGAATTACCTGTTCAAACGGATGTTAGTAAAAAGCTTTCTTGCAGCAGCCCTAGTGAACATCTTAAAACCACAGCGATGCTGAAGAATACCACGTCAGGATAACAATTAAGTGCCTTCACTTAAGATTTGGTACACTATGCAGAAAATTGCAAAACATACATTGATAGAATTGGATCATGAACAAATTATCCCAAGACATTCATTTTATATTTATACAAGGCAAATCACCCATTAAACTTATCACAACACGTCAAAGAGAAAGAGGAACTCTTTAGGTTAATTAGACAGCCACAAATAAACAACAAACAAGAAAAAAAAAAAAAAAAAAAAAAAAAAAAAAAAAAAAAAAAAAAAAAGCATGCAATAAATGAAGACACATCAAATTGAATTGAAAAAGGAAAAAAAAAATCACAAGTTGAACATTATGGGGGGTGTAGTGACTAGTGAGTGACCTTGGTAACCATCAATTGCCACAAGTGTGCTGACCGTGAGCCTAGCCATGGCCGATTGTCAACCAAGATATAGAATTTCTTGCTTTCAGGGGCCAGGAAAAGGCTAAGATCCGAAAGGTAAGACTGCAAGTCTCTGCAATCAAATAGCACAAAACACATCACTTCATAATTTACACAAAAAAAGAAAATAAGCAAAAACAGCAGCACATAATATGTTTTCCAGAGGTGAAAAAGCACAAGGTTTTCCCTGCATTTAGCAATATACTAAATCACTATCACAACAAAATACGCATACGTACACAAGAGCTGAAAATTAGAAACCAGCATCAACTTCACTTGTAAATTGACCTGGTTGTGAGTGTTAAGCAAATTAAAATTTATGCCATAAAAACTCAGAATCAAGGCTGCTAAACCACTTCTGGCACAGACTGAAACATGCTTGTTGCCTCAAAACGAGAATAAATTAAGAAAATTAATAACAAATATAATTAGAATTTAAGAAGTACAAATAAGAAATTTAAGATTGTTACCCAATTTGCAAACTGGTGAGGGGGAAAATGCAGCGACCAGCGTCACCTTTCCCCATCACAATCAAGCCTTGCGCCCAATTTGTCACCAATCACTGCTTCACAGAATTCACAAATGCAATTAATACAATACACAATCCAACATATAAATACATACTATGTGTATATCATGCATGCATATGTTGTATGTATGTATGTATGCATCTCTCATCTCTATTTGAGAAATTAAAGCCTGAGACTGAGAAAGGGGACTGACCAGAGTTCTTATGAAATAAATGCACTCCAGAATAAAAATCTATATGAATAGACAACCAGCATAATCCAAACAGAGCAACAACTCATAATCAAATTGAAACAATATAATAGGTAAATCATAAAGAACATAAAAATTTCAGACCAACTATTGCAAAGGCCTTCACGACTTTGGAGGTTTTGTTGCAGAAGGAGCAAGCTTAGGGTTTCGGTGGGTTTGATCTGAAAGAGCTGGAGATCGATGAGAGAGTATAAGTAAAAGGATACTAGGGATTTGAAATAGCAAAAGCCCCAAATCTCTTACCGAAACTCTCACTGACCACGATGGCGCGACGAGATGGCGAGCTCAGAAACCTTGAGTAAAGTCGCAGTGGAGCAGACGACGTTATCGATCACGACCTGCAAAGCAAAAGAAGCGAATGGTCAAGAGAGAGATGCATAGCAAAAAGAGAAAGATAGACGAAGAGAAGATCTGTGACGATGAGGGAGGAAGAGAGATGGGGATAATTCATAGGGACTGTTTAAGAACAGAGTTGAGAGAGCACTGCGAGAATTAGACGAGGGAATGTTTTCGAGTGGGGGGGAAATCTGAAAATTTGGTCGGGAGCGAACTCACTTAAGGAGCCTAGCGTATTTTAAAAGACGACCTTTGTAATTTATAAACGTCGTCTTTTAAAACACAACTCTATTTTAATGGTGTATAAACTGGTATATCACGACGGTTTTTGTGAAATCGTCATCTTTTAAAATACGGCGACGGTATTTTAAAAACGACGGTTTTAAACTATACCGTCGCCTATTTTGTGTCGTGGTTTTACAATTTTGTAGTAGTGTATAATAATTTGGTAAATTCTTAAACTTGCACTTGTGGTTTTTACGTTTTTTCAAAATGATGGTTTGGTACTTTGTGCCTTATAGGTTCAAATAACCACATCAAATCTTTCAAATTACATATTTCAATGCATGTGAGTCCGGAACTTCTGGGCCAGGTTAAACACAACTTGAAAATTTATTTGCCTTTTTCAAATGGGCATGAAATATAAATTGAGTAAAACCCATGATAATATTGCAATATAGTAGTGAAGAGTGTTAACTACTATATACCCAAAACTTCAAGTTCGGGGTCTCTCATATATTTGGATCCATAGGCTTCCGGCCCAGATCATATAATATAACAAAATATGTGGGGAGCCTCATTTCATCCTTTGAGGTTTATCATGATATTATCCATTTCACAGTGTATTCTTAAAAACCAGAATTCACAAAATATATTTCTTCCTTGAGGTGTCAATTATAACATAATCGAACTTTATTAAATTCATCATTTTTTTATGCTAAAGAAATATGTGGTGTACCACAATTAATAATACCTCAAGGGTTGTCCATTTAACTGTTGGAACTTCAGGTTCTCAATATTGTCAGATTTTGAACTTTAGGCCAAAATCGCATATTTTCATGGTATGGACATTTTTATAATTTCCTGTACATATTTCTGGACTTCAGGCCCTTACAAAATTGTCCATGTTTTGAGAAGTTTCTGACTTCTCATTTAATTGCTCATCCACGAGTTTAAGGAACTGCAGATTCCTTTTCGTATTGAGTGACAGTTTACCCAAAACGGTTAATATTTATGTATACGTCACTATTTATGTATACGATACTATTCATCAGATCATGAATACGTGTCTATTCATGCGTACAATACATTTGCCAGTATAATTACCTATTCATGTGTACGACACTATTAACCAATACGGTACTGTTACATTATTAAGGAACTCCAAGTCCTTATTTACATGTCAAGGATCAAGGATCTTCAGGTCTGATCTCTTGTTTACAAATATAGTACCAGAGAGACTGCCAGCTCTCATATCATTATCATCATCAAGGATTTTCAGGTCCTGATGTAGTTGTATGATGAGGACCAAGGAACTTCTGGTCCTAATCTCTTTATGCTGTAAAACTAATCATTTCACACAATTAATTCATAAAATAAATTACTTATAAATAAATTGTTGGTACAGACGATAATCCTGCATCATACTTTAAATAAATGTGAATGTGTGATAAAATAAATTAATAAATTAAATTGCTATAAATTGCTAGTATGGACGATAATCCCGCACCATATTTTAAATAAATGTAAATGTGCGGTACAATAAATTCATAAATTAAATTGCTTCATGTATGGATGTTAATCCCGCATTATACTTTAAATAATAAAGTAAATGTGTGATAAAGTAAACGTGCTGGTATGTGCACTAATTCTACTCCATACTTTTAAATAAAAAGTAAAAGTAGTTGTGTGGACGCTAAACAGGCACCACACTTTCAAATAAATACTGTTGTATGGGTAATAAATACTAATAATTTGCCCCCTAAACTTGTACCTAGCTTTCAATTAACCCCCTATCCATTTTTTTATACAAATTTATAAATAAACTTAATCCTAGACATGTATTTATAAAAAAAACCCAAGCACTATTTAAACATAGAAACACACCCAAAATCAACCCCAAAGTCAACTTTTTGGGTGTGTTTATAAATGGATTTTGAGTATGTGTAATGATGGGTTTTGGGTGTGTTTATATGTTTAAATAGTGCTTGAGTTTTTTTATAATTTCAACCCCCATTTTGGGTGTTTTAGTGAAACTCCCTTATTTTTTTATATAGAAAATTAAGAATATGAACTTCTTTTTTTTTGCCAATTTCCCCCATACAGTCTAAATCTTCAACATTTCATCCAATTTTCAGTTAAATTTAATAATAATAAAAATTTGGAAAAAAATTGAAGAAAAAGAAGAAAATTGACAAAAAAGAAAAAGACACTGAACCAGCAACCCCATCGCCCCCCTCCCCCAGCTCTATCTCCTCCAGCACATCAACCCCATCACAACACAGCTAAAAGCCTAAAACCCCGCCACCAAAAAAAATAAAAAATTCCCCAAATTGAACAAGTCTTTGTTTGAGAAAGGCATGGAAGTATTGATATGGAGGTGGAGGAGATTCAAGCCCAAGCCTGTAAGTTCCCAAGAATTGGAAATGGCAGCAGCAGAGCCACTAACCCAGTTGCCAACGACGAAGATCAAGACCCATTGTGCCTAGCCCTCAAGAGGGCTGCCACTGCAGACGCCGGCAACTGCTTCCGCGGGTGGCACTACTCCCGCATCATCCGCGTCTCGAGGGCCTCCAGCGACAAAGATAGGCACATCAAGATGTGGACTTCAAAGGGGCTCAGAGATCCATCGCCCCGCCCCATCCCCACGCGAGATCCACCCCTAGACCGCCACCCAACGCCACCATACATACAACCACCCCATCCTCACCCGAAACTGATGCTGGTTTGGGTCTGAAGATGGGTGAGAGAGGGTTGTGCAATCTAAGAGAAAGCGTTATTCTTGATAGTTTTTGTTTGTAGAGACAGAGAGAGACAGAGAGAGAGAGATGGCAATGAAGAAAACTTAAGATGAAAGGAAGGCGTTGAAGTACTTGAAGCCAGATGGGGAAGAAGACCTCCTCTGCCCAAAAACAGAGCACAACCCAAAGGAGCCCATGAAGCTGACTTTGAGCCCATCTCAAGATCAAACCAAGGCTGAGCCATGGTTGTTCAAACCAAAACCTAGCAGTGTCTTCCTGGTGAAGAAGAGGTTAGTGAAGAGGATGAAGTTTGATCAAATTGTCCAATGCTTTTGCTCTGTTTCAGATTATACCAATTGTCCTCAGCTTCTGTTGCTGGAGCCTCTGAAACCACTACATCATCAAACGCCAACGTCATCAGCAACCACGTTTACCCAATCCCACCACCACAGATATGGAATGATTTTTTGTTTCTGTTTCTGCTGCTGGAGTATTTTGAATTTTCTGTTTTTAATTTTATTTTTAATGTACAAAATGATCATTTTACCCTTAGTTTTAACGACAAATTGAGTGTGTAGGGAGGCATCATGATGCTTCTTCCCAACATGTGGACTTGGTCTCCACTAACTTTACGACAGCTTTAATATTATTGTTGCTAAACTATCATAATTATTGTTATTGTTATTTGTGATTTATAAGCAAATACACAATTCATAAGGTCCTTATCACTTTGAACAAGTGGAGAGTGGACCTTGCATGCCGGTCTTATTCTTCTTGTTGGGTCAACAACCTCACATGAGTCCTTGGGTAGGCCTACGTGTAATCAAGAATCAAGATTCCAATTGAATTTGTTTTTCATATTCAAAAGGAATTGGAGTAAACGTTGGGTTTTTTATTTATTTTTATTTTGAAGTACAACAAATTTATTAATTAAAAAAAAATTACCATGACCACTAAATCAATTAATTTACAAGATCAACAACCACTTCAAGAAACACCCGTTTGGGCACTTGGCTTGGCTTGGCTGAATTCCTTATCACATATCCATCCTTCTAAACAACCAATCAAGGAAGCAACCAACCAACCACCCATGAATCGAAACGAAAATTCTATTATACATCTGATGTATCGGTACATCAATTATTTTGAATTTTTTATACAAGCGACATTGAAAAAATGAAGAATCGCAACTAATGACGAATCGAAACTAATGACTAATGACGAATCGAAACTAAGAACTCGAGTTTAGGCTCTTGGAAACGTGTTGAACCCTCTCTGATCCAAAAGAAAACCACTCTAACGAGTTAACAACTGCAACAAGACAGCAACCAAACACTATATAATATATTGACAAAAAATAAACAGAAAAAAAAAGACCCCAACCATAAGCCACCACCACCGCTACCAGTCAAAACTCAGGGACAGGCAGGTCCTCGTCGGAAGGAGGAGCCAACACCCACTCTCCGCTGCTCTCATCAAGCACCATCCCTTTGTTCTTCTCCACCCACCACGACGCCGGCACATAAAACTCCGTCTTCAGAAAATCGCTCGACTTGTTCACCAAAGCCACGCTCCTCTTCACTCTCAGCTCGAACTCGCCTTCTTTCCCGTTCCACCCAGCCACCACATTCAGCATCCCCTGCAAATTGTGCCAGTCGCTCGGATTATCCGACTCCTTCAAGAACTTTGACTTCCTTGTATCAATCACGAGCTCTGTTCCAATGTCACGATAACCCAGTAGATGCCCAGGGTAGTGCGGGATTAAATCAATGGTGTTCTTGATGTGCAGAATCTTCAGATTTGGGTAGCTCTGAATTCGATTTTTCAGTGCCTTGTTTCCTACTTGTGGGCAACCAAATACGAAAGCAGCAACTGGGATGTCATCAGCAACCTCATTTTCCACCAGATCAAAGGCGCTCAAGATTGACAGGCTCGCCCCTAGGCTGTGCCCTGTCATCGTTATGCTCTGCTTCTCGTCCTTGTACTTCTGCCTTAGCTCTTTGATTTTCGTCAGAAGTTGGTCTCTAGCGCTTAGTTTCGTAAATGGGGATTTTGGGTCGCTCGAGGTGTACATGCTGAGCCAACCCCTCATGACTTTGGGGTCTTTTTCGTCATCTTCATCCTTGCCGTCGTCGCTGCTGCTGCTACCACCATGCCCGCCATCTGTTTGATCATTTGTCAAGCTGGGATTAGATTCATGAGAACGTAACAGAACCGCAGCAGAGTCGAGCTCAGCTCCCAGCACATTAATCCACTCGTAGTTTCTTATGGTGCCGCGCCACGCGACGTAGATTTCGCGCCGTCCGATGGCCTTGCTGACGGAGTCGGTGGTGACGGCGATGTAGCCGATCCAGTTCGACTCGCGGTCCCACGACTCGCGGGACTGGGAGTGGAGGAGCAAGGCTTCGGGGACGCTGACTTGGGCGGTGGCGTAGAGGAAGCAGGAGACTTGGTAGCTGGAGGCGTCTTGGAGCACCACCTTGTCGAAGAAGGAGGCCTTGCCGTAGCGGCTGGAGCCGCAGTACTTGGAGTTCTGGTCGTTGTTGAAGGCGTCGTAAGTGGCCTGGCAGAAGTCGCCGCAGCGGAGGATGAGGGTTCTGAGGTTGAGGTCCAGAGGGTCCAAAAGGCCAGCCCAGTTGTTTGCGCCGAGAAGCTCTGGCCATGCTTCTTGGGTTTCGCTGGTCGCCACGGACAGAGCTGGAGGAGGAGGAGGAGGCAATGGATGGCTTATTGTTGTTGGTGGTGGTGTTGTTGTGTGTTTAGCGTTTTGGTTGCCCATTTTTGTTGTTGTATGTCTAGCAGAGGAGGAGATTTGAGCATGGTGGTCGTGGTTGAGTTTGGTTGGTGGCGGCCATGGCCAGAGCTTAGGAGACCGAAGGAGAAAGTGAGTCTCCTCTGTTGGGGATAAGAGTCTAAGAGATGTCTGGTTTGTAAATTGTAATGATGGGTGGGCTTATATTTTGCCAAGTTTTTTGTTGTCAACGTTTGACAGGTGGGGAGGCTGGAAATTAATGAACACGTGTTAAATATTTTATATAGGAAATTAGTTGGCTTTTTAGAGTCTTTAGTCTTTTTAAATTACCTTTTTTTTGTGTCTGAATTTTAAATTACCATTTGAGGCAGGTTCATTTGCCAACAAAAATAATGTACAAGGAGAAAAGAATAAAAACATGTAAAAAAGAATATTAAAAATTCCACACTAAAAAAAAAAAAAGGAAAACAAGGGGGAGAACGTGCAATTACGAAGCGCAGTGTCCGTTCAGACACTGTATTGGTTTAGATTAATTAATTAATTATTATTCTTTGTTTTGTTATTATTGATTCTTGGCAAAAGAACCAAAAAAACCTTTTACAGTGTTGATTGTCGGTTAATTTTTTAAAGAAAAGTGATTATACCTAACTGGAAGTGATTTTGGCCTTCTTATAATCACTTCTAAACGAGCTCTAAAAATTCTTATTATTGCATGTTTTAAATATTTTCAAGTGTTTGAATAAAATTTCAACTAAATAATAGGGAGTATGATTGTAGATGTTGTATCATCGTTGCAAAAGTCATCAATAAAGATGAACCTCATATAGATATAGCTCTGTTTTCATATAAAGATGAAATTAGGGCTATAATTTTAGACTGATTAACCGACAAACCAACTAAACTAGGTTAATTCGGGATTTTTCACTTAATTTTGGTTTCGGTCATTAAATTGAACCGAACCACTATGACTCGGTCCGGTCTTCGATTCACCCTTTCCCAAACCAATAGTTGAAATTAGAATTGGAATTTTAGACTGATTAACCGACAAACCGACAAAATCATATCAGATCAAACATGATGGTTCGGCTTTTTAGGCTAATTTTTTTGTTTTTATCATTAAACCTAATCGAACCGGTATGACTCAGTCCGGTCACCGATTCACCATCTCCCAACCGCCAGTTCTTTGAACCAAACTATCATACCACTAGAGCGACAAATATTATAAAAATTATGGGCCATAGAACTCAAACACCTGACCTGCTAGCTGGAATGAAGAGTCTTTACCACTGTACTAATTACTCTCTTGCGAAATACAAGCATAATCATGATTTTTTTTTAAACCCTAAAATAATTTACAAATATATATTATAAAAATGTTAGGGCTCGTTTGGTACGTCGGACTATATTGATTAATTTCTGTCAGATAGTACTAATCTGTTTCAGAGAGTACTGACTATTTATCCATAATATTATAAGGCGTTTGATGTTGTTTTGGATAAATAGTCTGACTAAGTTATACAATGTTTGGTGTTGCTTTGGATAACATCGAATCAGACAATTTTTTTAAAAAAAAATCTTTTATAATTTAAGTGGAAATTGAAATTCAAATGACACAAATTTTTTTTTGGTAAGAATCATATGATTTTTTCTTTTTTTCTTTTTTTTTTTTGCCCAGATTTTTTCTTCATATAACCCATTATTATTGTAGTATCTCATAAAAATTCCAATATACCCAAATACGTTAATACAAACAATACCAAATAATGTATAATTCATAAACTAAATTGCATTGAAGAGTTAATCACAGCTCCCTCGCCCAAATAAGAGAAAAACAAATACTTTTCTCCTAGCACCATCCAATGTCAGGAATGTTCTCTCATCACCTGCTTTCTCCAAAATTAGTCGTAGTGCCTTAATTTGGTCATCAATAAACAAGTCCATCTTTGCCAATTCAACAGCATTGTCAGGTCTTGGTTATGATCCTTTCACAAAACTATTAGTTATAGTTTTCAATTGGTCAACAAACTCAGAATTCATCTCACCAAATGCTTTAGCCATTTTTTTTTAATATCAGTATTTGCATTTCGTTTGCGATTTTGATTGCTTGAGCTAGCTCAGTTTTGTTGATTTGATCTTGGCAAATAGGCAAAATGATTTGGTTCAACCTCAACTTCCTCATCATTGTCATTGACTACATGTAAAATGAGAATAATACAACAATAAGTAGAAGTATGCACATGACTAATGACAACAGAATACCATCCCACTTGCATAAACCAATTCCCTAATGAGTGCATACTTTTATTAGTGGGAATTTAAGGTCATTAAAGTCTAATTTATTATTTAGTTAATGAAAATTTAATTTCATAAGGAAATGGAGTAATTTAGTGGGAAGATAAAAGGGCTCGTGCCTTTTTTACAGCATTCACCTCTTTGGAAAACAATCCACTTTCTTTATTAGATTGAACAACCCAACCTCTTCCTCCTCTACTTCTGACCTAATTTCAGAACTCCCTTATTGTTCTATGTTTCCATGGCTCTTTCTTTTCATCTCTTTCTCTCTTTTCATGGCTCCCTCTATCGCTCTCCCATCACCCTATTAAATTGATGACTGGAACAACCAATCAAGTTTGGGCAGCAAGGTCGCTAAGGTATTGTTCTAATATTTATGAGTTTTGGTTCGCTAAATGTACGTTCCAGAACGCTAACGTACCACAATTCCACATGCGATCCAGTTGGAAATTCGTAAGGGGTTGAGCGAATTGGGTAACGATGATTCATACTTCTTGACAATTGTTTCCTTTCATTCTAATCAATATGTAATTCCCAATAGGGTGAAAAAGTGAAAAACACCAAACAAAAAGCAAAACATAGACAAATAAATAATTCTACAATGCAATCACTTTATTTGCTAAGATTCCCACAATGTCGAATTACTATATCACATACAAACAATTAAACATACAACTAAAAAAAGGTCAAAAAGGAAAAACTCGTAACATATTTCCACAAAAAATTTAATACAAGAGGAAATATATAAAGAAAGAGAAGATGAAGATAGAAGAAGAGAGAAGAAGCATATTGGGGAGAGAGGGAGAGAGAGAGAGAGATGGATACGTGGAGAAGAATGAAGAAAATAACCTGTGGAAAAAATAGCAGAGAAGAACCCTAGGGAGAAGAAGATGAAAATAACGTCTAATTTTTCACATGAACGTGTGTGTTCTTTTTCCCTAGCTGTATAATTAAGCGTGTATTATCTAAACGGAGGTGTGTTGGTTGTATTAATTAGTCAGGTAAGGAGAGTATTAAAAGCCTAACCCGTTTAAAATAGTGAGGTAATTAAATAATACAAGTTGACACCAAACAATTGACATGAACTATTTACTCCTATCTAGAGTCCAATACGGTGTACCAAACATGCCCTTAGGGTTTTAAGCATAACACTCCTTTTTATCTCCATCCACCTCCACTTATTCTTTCTCTCTCTATTTTTCTCCCATTGTTTCTTCTTCTTCTTCTTCTTCTTCTTATTCTCATCTTCTCTTCCTTACTACGTTGTTGCACATTTGCATTTAGTTTTTCTCCCAACAGTCACTTCCTCATGTTCTCCTCTTATTCTCCTCTTAATTAGGGTTGTGACAGAATGGTATCAGAGATTGGACCCAGACTGGAAGTGTGCCAACAATAATGTTAGGCCCTAAGGGGGGGGTGAATTGTAAGACCTGTAAGAACTGTGAGCCCTGAAGGATGCAAGGTGAGAAGGGGTGAGATGAGTGAGAAATCTTATATCACTCGAGGAGGGAAAGGTGAAGTGCCATATATGTGGGTACTTGACTTCTTAGCAAGAGGTCTTTTGGGAAATATGACATAAGCTTGAGCCTATAAACAAAACCGTGAGTGTCCGTGCCCAAAACAATCAGTATCTTGCTAATAAAACTGGGTTATGACAATGCAAAACAAAGAAAACATGAGATAAATAGCTTTAAAGAAAGTTTATAAATAAACTAAGGTAGCCAAATGATATGAAACCAATAGGCTTTCCATAATGTCAAGTTAACATGAACGTAAACATGACGTGTACTCATCAACTGAACTTGCCAAAAGAAGCTAAAAAATTGCAATCTAGAGGAAGCTGTAGTTTACTGAAAACTCATACTCAATATATATTCCGTCAATTATCTCAAATGAAAAATAGAGTCAACATGCTCCTCAATATCTAACTCGGAAACATACTAAAAGGCGCACAAAACTCGTACTCAAGGAATGAGCTTACCAATCTCACATGTACAGACTCGAGCAGGTTGAGGAATCGGGGATGACTTGTCCAATCACACAAGTCAGGGATAAAGTCTTTGAGCTAGTTGGTCATACATGCGTAGACGACCCCCAAAGGGTTAGGCATCCAAAGACCATCTCCAACCATCTTGGGGCTAAACTCAAATTTCCATCCTCCAAAATACAACTATTCATGTATTTTCGGGACTCAAAATTTTTTTTCCTCCAACCTTGCAGACTCATAATTTGAATCTGCAACTTTATTAAATTGTTTAAGAATGAATAACCCCCTTTTTTTTTCTTGACATTATTTTTGTTTCAATACTCGTGATTTAATTTTCTAAACATTTTAACCTAAAAAAATTAAAATTCCAAAACATAATAGAATTTCACTTAAAAATAAAAACAAGTACAACACCATACGTATGCCCGAAATAATTCAAACCCTTCATTGAAGCCATTGCCATAATTTTCTTCCATTTTTACTTTTACTTTTACTTCATTGGATTCCTTTATCCTCATTCAATAATGTTCTGAACTTTTGCCCACCTCCACTTGTGTTCTTCAATTATTTTCTGAACTCTTTCGCATCCCCTATTGTCTTGTTTCAATCATGTTCTGAACCATTGCTCAACTTTGTCCATCTCACTTTATTGGATTCCCTTATCTTTCCCTATCTTTTCCTATCTTCATTCAATTATTTTCTGAACCATTTCCCATCTTCTCTTGTTTCAATCATATTCTGAACCATTGCTCATCTTTGTTCATCTCACTTTATTGGATTCCCTTATCTTTCCCTATCTTTTCCTATCTTTATTCAATTATTTTCAAATATGGAGGTCATCTCATTCTCTTGTCTATTTAAGAAGTGTTATTCTACTGAATTGACCACACAATCACCTTCAATTCTCCTTCTTACAATGAATTCACGTGGGAAGGCTATACAAAATTTCTTCAATGATGATTCTGATAATGATGACCTTCATCAACAGAGGGTTGCAATGACTGTTCAACACCATACTTTTTGCTAGAATAATATGCTCAACAATCCAAACATGGTGGTTCTGTTGCAGGCCTTGAATACAAGAATCGGAAGAGAGAAAAACATCATAAGAGTCTCATGGAGGATTACTTCTGTGAAAGACCACTTTATCCCCTAGTGGACTTTTGCAGGTGGTTCCGCATGAGAAGAGAGCTTTTCTATCGCATCTTGAATGATGTTGTTGCACATGAGCCATACTTTACCCAGAAGATAGACGCTTGTGAACGACAAAGTCTATCCCCATAGTAGAAGCTAACAATCGTTTTTCGAATGCTCGCATATGGATGCTCGGTAGAGTCCACCGACGAGTACTGTAGACTGGGTGAATCTACAGCCCTTAAATGTTTGCGAAAGTTTTGTTCTGTTATTGAAGCCTTGTATGGTCAGTGGTACCTTCGTTCCTCAAATCCGGTCGACCTTTACAGGCTCTTGCACAAGGCTAGTCGCAGAGGATTCCCAAGCATGTTAGGTAGTCTTGACTACATACATTGGGAATGGAAGAACTGCCTCACTGCTTGGGCAAGCCAGTTTACTGGCTACAAGCATAAGCCAACTGTCGTTCTAGAAGCAGTGGCCTCGTATGACATTTGGATATGGCATGCCTTTTTTGGCGTTGCCGGATCGAACAACGATATAATCTGGGTTATTACTTGGCTGATGATATCTACCCTCGTTGGGCTACATTGGTTAAGACGATTTCCCAACCAGATACTCCAAAAAAAAGACTATTTGCCCAAAAACAAGAGGCTTATAGGAAGGATGTTGAAAGACCTTCGGAATACTTCAGGCTCAATGGGCAATTGTTAGGAGACCTACACGTATGTGGCGCAAAGAACAACTTCATTCAATCATGATGACGTGCATAATATTGCACAACATGATTGTTAAAGATGAGTATGAGGATCTAGATGCAGAATCTGATGATGAAGACAATTGTCCACGAACATCTAGAAGAGCAAAAGCAAGACTTGCTTATGAGCTTGAGCCAACTATCATGTACGATATAAACCGAGATAGACAAACTATCTCAGACTACATGGTCCGTCATAATAGAGTTCGTGCTTCACAAGTGCATCACAATCTAAGAAATGATTTGATCAACCACATTTGGAGATGCGAAGGAGAGGGGCCATGAGCTATGTTGTGTGTTTAAATTATGTTGTGTGTTTAAATTATGTAAGTGTGTTTAAATTATCTAAGTGTGTTTAAATTATGAAAGTGTGTTTAAATTATAAAAGTGGTTGTGTGATTTAATGAATTATATGGTTTATCATTGAATTAAAAAATAAACGACAATAATTATAAAAAAAAAGATAATTATAAATAAGATAAACAACAATTACAAATGAAGATAAACGATAATTAAAAATAAAGCTAAACAACAATCAGAAATAAAGTTAAACAACAATTATAAATAAAGATAAACAACAATTACAAATAAACATAAATTAATAACCACTATGTGGAGGGCTTGGATAATAGTCTCCAGAGTTGTCTTCTGGATTGTAGGGGGAACTTGTATTCATCTGGGCTTCAATAATTTCGTCTTGCTTATTCCCCCAATACTTTTTCTTTCTTGGAGTAAATTTGGATAGGTCCATGGACATTATCCTCTGTTCATTGGCCTCCTTATCTTGTTGGATTTGATATGAATGTTGCTCTTGTAGGAGCTCTAACTTTTGCCGCCTATCCTCTTTTGCCTCATTTCCTTGTTGAACCAATTCAGACATGAACTTACCACTTTGGTTGAGATAACTTTCAACACATTTCCCTTTCTTTTTTTCATCCTTCTGTTTATCTCTTCCCAATAGCCTTGGAGTGGGCATGACCACATCATCTTCATCTTCCTCCAAATTGACTGTATTGCCACTATGAGAAGAATCTTTGAATGATTGTGTGGGAGATTCACATAGGTCGTTTCATTTTGGGCAATCTTTTAAGATTTGCCAAGCATGATACAACTTGAAAGGCCTATTTGGAGGTTTATTATCATTCAAGAAAATTGTTTTTGCATTTATATCCTACCCATGAAATAAAATAAAAATCAAGTTAATAATTGAAAACAATTAAAATTATAAATTTAAGCATTGAAAAAAATGGGTACTCACCACTTTCAAGATTGGAGCCGCTCACATGCCTTGCATTGGCCTTTGTTATACATGCCTTCCAAAGAGAACATTATTGGTTGATGATCTTGAACCGAGAAACAATAGTTTGCGGTGATAGTACACCGGCTCTGCTCATGCCCGGATCATTTTCCAAAAAAATTTGGTACACATGCAACCAAAAATGAATCATTTAATTGATTCGTGCCAATAGCCCCATCTTCAGAGATAGAAACCCACCATCTACACAATGCCTCATCTTCTTGTGGTTTCCAATTCACACCTCTTTGGGGTTTTGGGGCCATTCTTAACAAGAATGAATGTAGAATGAAAAATTATAACAAAGTGAGAAAGGAAAAAAATGATTTTTGGTGGATTATTTACCAAATGAATGGCTATTTATAGAGTTTGGAATAAGTTTTGGGGTTGGATCTGACTTAGATTAATTATAAATATTCGTTGGATGTGAAATTTTACCGTTGAGATTGCCTAAATGAATCAGAATCGTTGATTTTATAGCTGTTGGAATAAATTTTTTTAAATTTTTTTTTAAAATAAAAAAACAATATAACAAAACATTTGAAAAAGTAGCCATTGCTTTTCAAAATGGAAAGGGAATCTTCATTCCCATTTGTCAAAGTGGGCCAACGACATAACCAAGCACATGGGCTGCTCATTGCATCCAATAAAAAATTATATATTAAAGCAGATTTGGGCCCCACGAGTTTATCAGTCCAGGCAGAATTCTGACTGGAATTCCAGTCCAGTTTTGAGTCATCTCAAATTTTCACCTCCCAAAATACATGGGTTGGAGAAGTTTTTTGGAGGCTAAACTCAAAATTTGAGTTTCTACCCCTTGAATTGGAGATGGTCTAACACATCGCCCATAGACCTAAATGTAACTCATTGTAGCTGTAACTGTGTTTGAGCCTAAATAAATCCACCCAAAAGAGCGAGAGATCGTAGTGAGTTGATAAGTCGCGCGAGGTTGGTGAAGTCCCAAAGCGAGGTTGATAAGCCCAAGGATGGAACTTAAGGATGGCCAAAGTCAAAATCGGGGCTTAAATCCCAAGTCTAAGTTGGGATTTATACTCCAAGTAAAGACCAAAGCCCTCTGCAGAAAACAAATAATAAACAAATGACAAAGGTAGAGTCCAAAGTGAAACGCAAAGGTGGCTAAGCAAGGACGAGGCCTCGTGGTCTGATGGGGTTAAACATCTAACAAAACATACATGTCAAATTATAATATTAATAATATATATATATATGTATGTGATCATGAGTGATTACTAAAAGGCAAAAATGGATAGACTATTAGCAACAAAGGTACTTCGTTTGGTTGGCCATGTTTTAGCTTTTGTCAAATAACCAAAGTTGATAAATGATTATTTATATTTATATATAATGGTTTGCGCGTTAGTAAAGGCCATGAAATGGCCTACATAAACATATAATTATCATATATGAAAATGCTATATGCTTGTTGATTAATACATATAAAGGATATAGTAATTTCTTAGCCAGAGCATCGGGTTCTCATGTCACCCCAACGTTGGTGGGAGTCTCAACCAAATTAGAAGCTCTAAGTGCACGGCGCATCTCGCTAGATGTCAGATCAAGTCCAAGTTCAGCCTACGAAGCTAAGTTCAGAAGTTTCAGCAGAAGTCCCCTTGCAAGTGGTGGAATTCAAAGATGGGAAGACTTGTAGCCAACCTACCAAGGCTTTTTGCATCCCATATTAAGAGAAGAGTTTCACAATCCCAATCCCATTCCATTGACCAACCATATGGGTTGGTGGTGGTTGGGAAGTTCTCATTAAATGCCTAGAGCTCTGGAAGGCATTAATTGTGTAAGGATTTTTAATGAAGCTAGGTGAGGCCATTTACAATCATATAAAGCTTAGTCATCCTTGATCCCAAGGAAGTGAAAGAACCTAGGTTAAGAGAAGGTTCTTTGCTTGACCGATCAATCATTTGATAATAAGTTAGAAGTACAAACACACTCACATAATCTTTCCATCTAAGCCATCAAGTGGCTTGGTGGTGGCACGCCTACGCATCTCAAGAGAAGAAGGACTGAAAAATCCTTCATTCGGTCTACTTGGCCAAAAAGAGGGAAACATAATTTGGCATGCCCAGTGAAACTCACTCTATGAGCAACCAAAAGGAATGGCAACATTCCTATCAACCATGAATACAACAACTGTAATGGTTATGGCTCCAGTACCCAATCTTTTAGCCAATACGGTGACCACAATCACAGTAGCCAATACAACTTCAGTCACCAAGGTGAGCCATTCAACCAATATGGCTCCAGTAGCCAATTTAGTGGCCAACACAGTTGGTCCAACTATAATGGACAATATGAAGTTATGATCCAAAATGGTTCGAATGAGCAATATGATTTTGGTGAAAAAAACCAATCAAATGACGTGGGGCAATATGGTCTGACCAATATTTGTAATGAACTTAGTTATGGCCCCTAAGAAACATACCACGGTGACCAAAATAATATCAATACGGGTGAGAGGCCATTTGGTAGCGTTAGTCGCAAAGGGGTAGAATATATATATAAGATGAGGGAAATTATCGAGAACAATAAAATGAGACTTTTAAAGATCGCAGAAGAGTTGCAAACCTCTCACGATCTTTACATTAAAAGTTTTAGAAAATTTGGCTTACACCCTTCAAATTCAATTTGTCATACCTAAAACCCTTCACTTTTTGTTCCTATAATAATACCCAAATGTATAAGTAAAAACCCATGACTAGGATCCAACTCAGCAAGTTACCTAATTAAGCATAAAATCTGATTTATTGTACTTTTCAGATTCCAAAAATACCCCCAACTAAGCCATTATTGCATTTTGTATATTAATGTATGAATCAATATGGAAACAGTTTTTAATTGGATTGTATATAATGACAGATGTTTAATTTGGAAAGATCTCCAAATGGTTGTAATGGATATAGGAATTAATTTTGGAACATTTAAAAAAAAATTTAACAATAAATTCAAATTTGGGTAATTGGTTTGTTTAATAAAATGTTTATGTTATTTTCTTTTTATGAATTATACATGACTAATAATCCACTTTATAATTGTTTATGAATAAAACTGTACATACTAATTATGTTGAAAAAATAATGTACCTATTTGTTTTATGAAAAATATAATTTACCTAGTATGAAAAGTGTACATAATTATCTATTCCAATATACCTACATTAATTTTAATGTACTTACAATTAGGATTTAGGTATTATATGTCATCCAATGTACCTACCATTTGAATAATATACCTACTACGAATAAAGTACCTATTATTTATCTAAATAATGTACCTATTTTTTTCTATAAATAATATAGCCTTTTTTCTCTGAATAAAGTACCTATTATTTGTTTTATTAAACGTAATTTTTTTAAATTAAACTATTTTCTCTCTCCAAATAACTTACCAATTTTTTTCCTCTAATAATGTACCTATCTTTCCTCTCCAAATAATGTACCTATATTTTATATAAATTATTGTGTACCTATTTTTAATTATGAAAAATATACGCAATTACAAAGTAACTGACTTTTTTTTTTGGGTAAATAATATACCTATATTTTATATGTATATATTTATATTATATTTTTCATAGGTACATTATTGGATATGTAATTTACAGATTTTTTTTTTTTTTTGCAATTTTAGGGGGCAAGATGTGAGAGGGAATGACAACTAAAAGAAATGGGGTGATTGATATGCTATTAATAGGGAGTATATTAATTACAATTATGGCAGTTAATGAAATGCTTGAAATAAATTATAAATAAAATATGAAGTTTAGTGGCAACGATGTAAAAACATAGAAATACTACGACCTCTTATATCCTACTGGTCATTTAAATTTGAAATTGGGTTTTACACATAGATTTATAGAGTGATGGGTATATGTCTAGGAAATATAAAATGTAGGGATCTATATTGGACAAGCCCTAAAAGTTTACTAGAAATTTCTTCTCGCAACTTGGACAATTGGCCGAGGGGCAAGATTTTGACCCCAATATTGGTTCTCAACCCCAAAAGGAAAATCCTCACATGGTTGTAATCCAAGTTCCAACCATGTGTTCCACCTACTCCTCTAGAGGAAAATGAGGTGGATGAGGAATGTGTTATTGACAAAGATGCGGACGAGTTGGCCATAGAGTTGAGCACTCAGGTCGATCTTCCCATTGAGAAGCTCACACTAATTGAGAGAAAGGAGTCTACCCAAAGGGATAAGACCCAAAAGGTGGTCGAGGTTGAAGATCGAAATACGATCCAATCTGAGACAGCCATCCCAAGAAATGTTGACCTACAGTCTAGCAAGAGAGGAGGTTGGAACATGAACCAATCTTATGCACTCATAATAGACATGGTTATATAGGAGACAAGACGGACACATCGAGACCACAGTTATAGGCGGTCGAGTTTGTCAAACCCCAACTCAAGGCCAAGATTGGCCAATCAAGTAGACTTGAGGGGCATGGAAGGTTGACCAAAGTAATGGCTAGAAGTTATCCAGGTTGTACTACTTATCATGGTACTTTAACCCATCGCCAACATAATATCATGAATCATGATGAGAATAAGAAGGGCTTCAAGCTTGGAGTAAAACATAGCTAGCCACCACCATGGTCTCCGTGAAAATGTTGTTCTCCGGGGCTAACTACTCAGATGGTTGTGGAGACTCTAATAAGGGTCATCGTTTTCTATGGCCACTAGTCTTAAATATATATATATATATATATATATTTCAAATATATAAAAACTAGGAAATTGGTTTATGTGAATGGTTTCCAGGCTGTGTAGATCAGCCGACTTTACGGACTAGTCTGTACTTATTCATGCTGAACCAAATGACAAGCCTTATATATTTAGAAAGCTCTAGAAGTCATCTTTCTGTAGAATTTTACATTTCGCAATTCTGAGTTTTCTAGAGGAAGTTGTGAAGGTTTTGGTAGTCGTAGCTCAAGAACACTAGCTGTGCAGATCAGCTGAATTTGCAGAATAATGTGTACTTCCTCAGAATGAACCAGGTGGTGAGCCTTATATGGCTGTGTTGGTCTGTCGCGAATCTCGCGGCCTGGTGCTCCGGGCCGAGGGGATGTGCGTCAACACGTGACGTCCTTCTTTTGGATGCGGTGCGGTTGTGCGCGGGCGTGCCAGCACGGTCTACCGTGCATCGAGATGATGATGAGGTTCGGGTAGAAGATGGTTTAAATGTTGCGCCTGTTTTGCGTTCGACTCCTAATCAAACGATCGTGGCCGAGTGAGGAACGAATCTCGGCCGTTAGGTTTACGGCCTGAGCTACAAGGCCGTTTAGTGGTGGTGTTGGTGGTGGGTTTTAGGCGGCACTCCGGCTCGTTGCTCAGAGAGCGACGGTCGTATGATATATGGGGTGAGTGAGGCGATAACAGAGATGGTGCTCCGGTGCCTTGAAAATCAAGGGTCGTATGATATATTGATGAATGAATTTTCCTTACAGTCTACCACTACTCCTAAGAAAGCAAATAAAGGTATTGAAAGTGCATTACAGGAAAATATAATTTGCTCCTTGGGAGGCTTTTGGTTTTGGTGTTTGAACCCCTTGAATGTGGTCCTGAGCTTAGTATTTATAGGAGTCCTTGAGGGACATTCGAGGCTGACAAGACCTGCGTGGTGGAGCCTGACCAGGACAAGTGGGTAGTCAAATCGGCATTTGGGATCGTGAAGCATGGTGGTTTGGGGTTGAGAAGCATGGTGGTGTGACCCCCCATAAATCTCGGCAAATCTCGGCCAGCGCCCTGATCTTGGGTTCTGCCCCCTTGGCCGGGGGAACGCATTTAATGCCCTGGTCTGGTGGTTGGTGATCTGATCCTAAGTCGTAAGATTACTTGTGAGAATGTCTGCGCCTAACCACCCTGATTCCCATCACCAAATCCTGACTTCAGTCACTTCCCTCGTGCATTGAATGTTTCTTGTGACTAGTGGGTTTTGCTGCAAAGTCAGAGGCATTACTTCATTAAATGGAGCGTGGGGCCCTGAGACCATGTGGCGATTCAACCACAGCTTCTTCAGACCGTGTCTTTTACGGCCTTCTGCCTCGGCCTTCAAAACTGCGGTCGCGAGGTCGAGGGGATTCTGCCTTTGCAGCTTTTCTTTTGCTCTTAGGAAGGCGAAATGCTTAACGAAACGGTAGGCGCCAGGGCCGAAGGGAAGTCCCTTCAATTAGTTCATGACCATGATTTATTAGGCACAAACAGGTTGAAAAGCTCTGGAAGTCACTTTCTGCAGAATATTACGGTGCAATTCTGATGTCTCTATGGGATTCGTTGAAGTATTTAGTATCCATTACTCAGTCAGTGAATTATACCCGGGAATCATTGATTCAAAATCATGCCAAGTCTCCAAGACTGCCAAACCATCATCTTGGTTATCAGAAGATGCTGAGCCAAGAGTGGAAATGAGGCTCAACCTTTCACCATTAGCCCTTGATGCACCTGCCCTTTCAACTTCCAACTTGAGAAAGGTTTTCTTGAGTCCTAACTCTAATTGGAAGGGAAATGAGTTAGATTTGAAGGAACCCACCTCAAGTAAATCCACGAGCTAAGGGAAACTAAGACCCATCATGAATATCCCGCCGATGGTGAACAACCAATATGCGACGAGCAATTAGGGATTCCAACCTTATAGTCAGTTTCGCCCACTAGCCAGCTAGGAGGCCGGGGGCAACTTCGTAGACCCAATTCGCATTATTTGGTGGATGCAGTGGCGGACCCACAGAGGCGCAAGGAGCTGCGATTGCACCTCCCCTCACCGGAAAACATTGTGGTGGTGGCGCACTCTGCCCCTCTGGTTTGTGAACCAACTGTTTGTGTTTTTGCCCGAGTGAAACTCCTTTCTATTTGATGAGCTGTTGTGTGTTTGTTTTTGTTGCGCTGCTGTGTTGCGCGCACAACGCGTGCTCTTTTTTTTTTAAGTCCTGGCCCAAAACGTTGTTGTTGGATTAGGCAAAAAAAAAAAAAAAAAAAAAAAAAAAAAAAAAAAACACACAGGCCTGCCTAGCCAATACGGAATCAGTATAGCATATTATATATATGAACCCTATTAATAAAGAGCGGAGAGGAGCAATTCAATTCAATTCAAAACTATAAGCTCTGTTTGTTGAAGTCTCTCTTGCGGCAATCAGATTCAGACCCAATCCTTTTGCAAGGTTTGGGATTTTTTTTTGCTTATGTTGTTGTTCTCTTCTATTTTTTCTTTCTTATGTTTTTTTTTCTCTCTTTTTCTTTTTATAATATGTTTTTTTTCATATATATATATATATATATTCTGATTTGGCTTTCTCTGTATTTGTATAATCATTAGCAAACTCGAGAGAAAAGAAGAGATTGCGTAGTGCACAACTCGAGGTATGATCAATTACAATTTGATTATTTAATTAATAAAGTAATATGCATTTTGTAATGTTATTTTTTTTTCCATGAATTATTAAAGACGTTAGTACTGTTTAAATTTGAAGGATATGTGATTCTCTAAATTTTGTTGTTGTTAAACTTTTAGCCTTTTAAAATTGCCCCTTCTCTGAAGGATTCCTGGATTCGCCACTGGGTGGATGGAATAAGAGGTTCACCAAGATTGGAGTTCTCAATGAACGAGAAAACCTCCGAAATTCTGAGGTCCTAGCCTCTCAAAATTATGAGGGCAAAAACCTCTGAAAATCATGCAGTCAGGAACCTCTAGAAGTTTCGAGGTGACAACATCTGGGAGTTCTGAGGTCGAGACCTTTGGAAACGTCGAGTCCCAAAGTCACCAAGTGGCCCAAAATAGCCATTTATATGAATATATAATGGCCTGGTGATGGTTTATTGCAAGAAAAATGGCCAATATCTGGCAACATTAGTTTGATTCCTCAAGATGATCCGATGGCTGAGTCTTATGGATTCCTAAAGATGATTTTGAGGTTGGTGTTACTTGAAATACAAGTGGAAGACCCTAAAGCCTGGTGTCCTGCGACAAGAATGGCCAAATAAATAATAGATAATATTATGTTATTGGAGTGGCCAAAGTTCATATATTATTATTATAATGTGATGTTAATATCATATATACGATGGTGAGAGGCTTTATGACATGGTGATGTCTAAAGGCCAGAAAGGCTATGGTTATGTATAATTGTGTGTGTATGTATATATGTATATGGTTATAATAACATCTGAAGCTGAATATACAAGTGGCATGACGCAATTTAAATGTTTTTCAACCTTAGTTCAGTGGAGTGGTACAATTAAATAAGAAGTTCAATGGAAAATGGCCAAAAGTCCAAGAAAAATGGCTAGGAGTCAAACAAATATGGCCAACTCGGGATTTATACTCCAAGTAAAGACCAAACCCTCTGCACAAAACAAATGACAAAGGGGGAGTCCAAAATGAAACTCAAAGGTGGGCTAGTGTAGCAAGCAAAGCATACATGTTGTCAAATTATGATATTAATATATATATATATATATATATATATATTGTAAAGTTGGTGGAGATCAAGCTCACATGTTGGAAAGAAGCATCATTATGATGCCTCCCTGCACCACTCACGGATGTCATTTACTTTGCCTATAAATATGCATCCTCACTACTTGCAGAGAGAGAAAACCAACGGAGAAGAGCGCCCAGGCGGAGAGGAAGAAAGAAAGAAAGAAGATTGAAAGGAGAGAAAAGAGAGCAGAGAGAAATTCTCTAACAGAGAAAAATCAGTGAGCCCTAGAGATTGTAAACACTAAAGTTGCAGCCCTATTATTTTACATAGTAGAAAAGTTAATGTTGCTGCTCTCCGACGACGTTGGCATGACCGAATCTCATTAAAAATTGTGTCTTATTTATTTTACGTGCAGCTCAATATTCCCGCATATACAATTCATTTTACAACACGTTATTAGCACGACTACTCTCGCAAACCAGTTGAGTTCCCCGAATAAAGAGATAAGTCATCCACGTTTTCTTATCTTCATCATTTATTATTATTATATCTATACTATTCAATTTCCATGCTGACCAAACAAAGCTAGTTGGAGCTCGTGATGATGTCAGAAGGAAATGAAATAGGAGGATTGGGGCCTTGCGTTCAAATATGCACAAAGACCACTTTAACTTGGTAATGATGGTCCATATTGGTTGTACTTTGATATGACCAGTGACCAATATATATGTATTGATATATATAATATGAATATGGAATGATGATTTGGTGTAATCTATATCTATATATATAAAGCAAAATGTAGAGAATGGTGAAACATCCAGAAAATGCCCTTGATTAATTCAAACATTAAGAATTGAAATTATTAATTAAATGAGGATAATATGGTAAATTCACATTTTATATATTAAAAATATTAAAATTAAAAACAAAATCAGATAATAGGTCCTACTTTTATGGAACATATCTACCCATATTATCTTTTCTTAATTCTAAAAATAAAATAAAAAATAAAAAATAAAACCAATTGGCACATGCTCACGCATGTGCCAAGGGGCTAGTATATTATGATGAGAATATAATATACTATATTTATTTACTTTCCTATTACTAACCACTAATAAAATGGACCCTTAGTAATACTAAACATATTATTAGTGGAGGCCGTTAGTAATACTAACACTTTTCTTATTTTATTGTTAGGTTGTTGTTTTATCCCCACATTTACTTTATTTACAGTATGGTGTAGGTTTATTACCCATATAATAATATTTATTTGTGGCGTGGGTTCATCGTCCAAACAACTACCTTTACTTTTTATTTAAAAATATAGAGTAGAATTAGTGCCCATACAAACACATTTACTTTATTATTTAAAGAATGGTGGGGAATTAACGTCCATACAGCAAGCAATTTACTCTATGAATTTATTACATCTACTTTTATCTAAAGTACGATGCTGGTTTATCGTCAATACCAACAATTTATTTACACGCAATTTATAGCAATTTATTTTATGAATTAATTGTGAGATATGATGAGTTTTATAGCATGTAGAAATCAGGACTAGAAGTTTGTTGATCCTCATCATGCAACTACATCATGATATGAAGATCCTTGATCCTTAACATGTAAATAAGGACCTAGACTTCCTTGATGATGTAATAGTACCGTATCAGTTAATAGTATAGTACACATGTATAGTAAATGTACTGTCAATATATGAATAGTAACCATATATGTGAATAGTGTCATACACATGAATTGTAATTATATTGACAAATGTAATGTACGAATGAATAGACACATATTTATGACTTAATGAATAGTACCGTATACATGAATAGTGATGTATGTATGAATAGTAACCATTTTGGGTAAACCGTCACTATATACAAAAGGGAACCTACAGTTCCTCAAACTCACGGATGAGCATTTAAATAAGATGCCAGAAGTTCCTCAAAACATGGACAATTATGTAAGGGCCTGAAGTCCCGAAATATGTATAAGAAATTATAAAAATGTCCATACCATGAGAATATGTGATTTTGGCATAAAGTTCAAAATCTAAAAGTATTGAATGTTCAAACCATGAAATATTTGATTTTAGCCTGAAGTTCAAAATCTAATAGTGTTTAGAACCATGAAATTCCAACAATTAAATGGACAACCCTTGAGGTATTATTGCAAATTGTGGTACACCACATATTTCCTTGGCATAAGAAAATGATGAATTTAATAAAGCTCGATTTTGTTACAATCGACACCTCAAGGAAGAAATATATTTTGTGAATTCCAGTTGTTAAGAATACAACATGAAGTGAATAATATTAAGATAAACTTCAAAGGATGAATTGAGGCTCCCTACATATTTTGTTATATTATATGATCTAGGCCGGAAGCCCATGGATCCAAATATATGAGAAATCCCGAACCTGAAGTTCTGGGCATATAATAGTTAATGCTCTTCACTACTATATTGCAAATATTATCATGGTTTTTCCTCAATTTATATTTCATGCCCATTTGAATATGACAAATTAATTATGAGGTTGTGTTTAACTTGGGCCAGAATTTCCGAGAACACATGCATTGAAATATATAATTTCAGAGATTTGATGTGGTTATTTGAATCTATAAGGTACAAGGTAACAAACCATCATTTTGAAAAGACATGCAAACCACATATGCAAGTTTAAGAATTTGCCCAATTATTATAATAGAAAAAGAGCATACAATAGATAGATTCTTTTCACCTGCAAGGAAGGAGTAGGCTTTGTAAAATCTATAAAATTCCATTATGATCTAGAAGTCTCTGGAGAAAGAGAACGGCTCCTCTTAAGCTTAGCCATGAGCCTCTCTTAGTCTTCCAGAATCTTTTCATTGGAAATCTACAACATGTTAAGCCTTCTCTGCGTCTCAATGGAGTATGAACTCATCAGTTTCAACAAAGCCTTATTTTCCTTTTTAAGGTTTCAACCTCTTGTTGAGAATCATGAAGCATTCTCCGAAGGGATGAATTTTCAGTGTTCAACTCCTGAATCTCATTTGCTCTCGCACGCAAACGATGAGCTATGTTAGAAACAGAATCAGCACTCTGAATGCAAAAAACCATTGAGTCATTAATAGCCTATTTGTCAAACCTTCCTACTAATAGTATTTCATCCATAGGAGTAAGGAAATTCCTAGTTACTATGATAGCAATCATATCATTCATCATCATAGAGTCATTAACCGTAAGATGACGATTTTGGGATACAAAGGATGGACGCCAAACTTTGGCATCACGAGTTGTTTTGGGAACAACATTTAAATCGAAGCATTTTGGGCGAAAAGAAGAGGAAGCCATTTTAAAAGGTTTCAAGGAAAGTTTTAAAAAAGCTGAATTTTCAGAAAATGGAAGGAAGTTGTGTTGAAATACAGTTACTCCAATCAGGCCTTACAAAGGCAATATCTATAGGCAGAAATGTGGCAACAGTTCCAGGATCCTAATATATTCTCGAATCCCAATATTTCCCTTTTTCTTTTTTGGATTTCAAAACTTCATGCGGAATTCATCAATGTCTGTCGGCACTTTATGGGTTTCAAGGACTATTTTTGTCAAAGCGATCTTGCTTTATGGATTTCACAGAGTCACTTTTTCAAAAGCGTCTCAAGAACCTCACAAATTTCTATAGTTAATTTGAGATTCATCGGATCAAACTATTCCTCTAATTTGTATAAATGCGTTACTAACAAAATTTCTTTGCAAAATACATCCGATTTTCTCCATATGCAATATCCACTTATTTTTCCTATAAGTGAACGCTCAATGTGCTTGAGAAGCAAGACTATCTCTGATCATCCATTCATGAAGTGAGATTATCCCTAATCATGTTTCGATGACGTCGGGGAACTGTGAAACAGACAAGAACAACCACAGAGCTCTAATCTCCTGATGTTCTCCTAGGCTAGGGAGAATGAGAGTTTGTTGTCTGTTACCTCACTAGTTTCCTTCCCTGATTACTTACCTATCTTGCAATCAATATCACAATTCTTTGTATCTTTTCTTTCTTTTTATAACTCTCTATTCATATGGGATTTGTTTCTTTTGAACCTTCATCAGAAGAACAAATCCATGTTTTGAACCTAACAATAAGGGTTATTTTTTGTCAGAGACAAAAGAATTGTGATTTTTGCTCTTGCATGATATAACTAGATCATCAAGCATTTCATTATATTTGCTAAGCCGATACAAGCTTGAATGATATTTGAGCAAAATTTCCCTCACCTAAGGATGTAAGCAATACTTGTGTTATTTCATGGTTGTACTCTTATTTTGATATTTTGTACAACATCTTTAATGGTAACCAAATTTGGAGATAAGGCCATTCCAGAATAGCGCCATGCAAAGGACCATTCTAGAAGAATGACTTGCGTTATAGATCGTTCCAGAAGAACGACTTGTATTATGACCATTCCAGAAGAATGGCTTGTATCATTCTGATATGTATTCATGAATTATTAATGCAAATTCACATATTGCAATTTGGATACATTAATAATACACTGCATAGATTAAAATCTCATAAGAACATAACATGAGTATAGTAGTGTTCTAAATAAATGCAGATTTGTGTACATATAAAACGGATTAAATACATCCAATTATAACAATCACAATTAACAATAAATAGATTAAAGGAGAAAGAAAGTCAGGCTTGTGAACCCAAGAGAGGTACAATAAACGATGTCTACAACTCCAAGATACAACCCAAAAGCCTCACGAGATGTTTGGTCCGTTATGTACGCCAACGACAGACGGGTATGCCAAATGTTAATCGATTGCCCAGGAAATAGATAGAGAGAATTGTAGGAGATGGAGAATGATGAGTGTGATTCAGATATGGAGTATGAGAGTAACTGAGAATTGTTTGTACTCTGTTATGAATGAGTTATTTTATTTATAAGACTCCACACACCCTTTTATAAAGTCACGTCTATTGGGTCAACAAATATGACTCTTAAAATAAATAATCATTACTATTAAATATAAAACATAATAATAAATTTTGAATTTTAGTAAAATAAAATAAAATAATAAATAACTAACAAGTAGTGATCAATATGATGCACTCTTGTTGCGTAGCAAATGATATGGATTGAAGTCCCGAATGGACAATCCATTAACATGTCAGTATTAATATGGTGCACGCCTAATGCATAGCAAATTATATGGTTTAAAGTCCCAAATGACAATTCATTGACATGTGAGTATTAATATGTGGCATGCATGTAACATGACAGATATATGAGTTCTAAATGTTCCAACTCCTTGAATGGAGATTATCCACGCCTACTGTAAAATAACGCTCCATTAGAGGTTATGATCCACATTCTCACATAATTCATCTTACAAGAGATGTCTATCTAGAAAGAGACAATAAAAACCCCTTAAGTGGCTTGGGTACCCAAAAGCAAATAAATGCTTATAATTGATGCATGCGCATACACATGAGAATGGTGGGATCACGAATTGATGAATGAAATTTTTTGGTTTTTGAGTAGCTACTTAAGTCATCAATGGGCTGTGGTGAACCATGTTCTATTATTAAATGTCAACAATATCATTGGCCAAAAATGGAATGAGGCAATTCCATTACTGATGAGAATGAACGTGAAAGAACAACCCCATAGTACGTACCACAAAAGGATGTTAACCATGAAGGTTATTCATGGGTGTTCGGAATAAAGAGGAATATACTCACTTTATATGACACAATGTTTTTGGTAGAAACAAAGAATGTTGAGGTTCTCCATGTTTACATATGCAATTGTGCCTTCTTATTGCACATTTACGGAGACCAACATGTTATCTTTAAGGGTTATTAAATGCACAGAGCATATCGTCAGAAGCGATTCCCTAAAGATGTATAAATAGCTAGGTTAAAGCTGTATAATGTGTCATAAAGTGTAATCCCTTAAATAAAATTCTTGAATGATTGAAATTGCATGAAGCAAGTCCCTGAAGCACAAAATCTGTACTCAATACTAATATGTATAAATTGCCTCAATGAGTACATTAATTATGACATGGTTACAACACATTACAACTGTTGAAGAGTTGATAATTGATCAAAACTCTTGAAGAGTTAATACTTGGTTAAAACTCCTGAAGAGTTCAAGAAATATTTGTCTCGGCTTGAATGCCAACGAGATTCTTGATTATACTAAGAAAGTATTGAAGCATTTTTATGTGGGTTATCCATTAGGCACTTAAATGATTTTCCGGAAGTATACTGGACCGGGCATTATATTTTCCAAATAGAGCTCAGCTCCATCACCACCACTTTGGGATGATGTGAGGCATATTTGATGCTATCTCCGCATAACGCCATATACGGGCATATTCTTCTTAAGTGAACTTACAAATAGCCCAAATTTTGTTAGATACGCGGACTCTGGAAATTTCTATGATTTACATAAAGATAGCTCACTGGAAATATATTTACTTACTCAACTAAGGAATTTTTTATGTCTACATCCTCCATTCACTCCGAAAGATTTTCCCTCCAAAAAGTTAGTCATAAAGATTTCAGGGGGAGATATTCATCAAGGGGAGCATCTAAAAGTATGCTACACTGATTTATGCAATGTTCTTCTTTCAACCAGTTTCCTACCTCACTAGATTTTCTCCTAAGCAAGACTTAATTAAGCAACCAACATGTTACTAGTGGTCTCCAAGGGGGAGTATTGTAAAGTTAGTGGAGACCAAGCCCACATGTTGGAAAGAAGCATCATGATGCCTCCCTACACACTCACGGGTGTCATTTACTTTGCCTATAAATAGGCATCCCCACTACTTGCAAAGATAGAGAAAACCAATGGAGAAGAGAGCCCAGGTAGAGAGGAAGAAAGAAAGAAAGAAAGAAGAGTGAGAGGAGAGAAAAGATAGCAGAGAGAAATTCTCCGAGAGAGAAAAATCAGTTAGCCACAAAGATTGTAAATAGTAAAGTTGTAGCCCTATTATTTTACGTAGTGGAAAAGTTACTGATGCTGCTCTTCGAGAACGTAGGCATGACCGAACCTTGTTAAATATTGTGTCATATTTACTTTACGTGCAACTCAATATTCCTACATATACCGTTCATTTTACAACAATATATATATATATATGTATGTGATCATGAGTGATTACTAAAAGGCAAAATGGCTAAACTATTAGCAACAAAGCTATTTTGTTTCGTCGGCCATGAAATGGCCTACATAACATATAATTATCATATATGTAAATGCTATCATGCTTGGTGATTAATACATATAAAGGATATAGTAATTTCTTGGTAAGAGCATCGAGTTCTCATGTTACCCCCAACGTTCGTGGAAGTCTCAACCAAGTCAGAAGCTCCAAGTGCACAACATCTTACTAGATGTCACATCAAGTCCAAATTCAGCCTTTGAAGCTAAGTTCAAAAGTTCTATTAGAAGTCTCCTTGCAAGGGGTGCAATTCAAAGATGGGAAGACTTGTAGCCAACCTACCAAGCCTTATTGCATCCCAGATCAAGAGAAGGGTTTCACAATCCCAATCCCTTTCCATTGACCAACTAGATGGGTTGGTAGTTGTTGGGAAGTTCTCATTAAATGCTTAGAGCTCCCGAAGGCATTAATTTTGTAAGGATTTTCAATGAAAGCTAGTTGAGGCCATTTAATGGCCAAACCCGTGAGCTGAAGAAAGCTCTACAAATAGCTTGAAGAGGAAAGGACCTCTGAATCAACACAAAAAAACCTATCTTTTTATCTTGCACCTTTCAATTCCTAGTCTAGAATTTTATCTTTCAAGCACTCTAGATTATCCAAGTTCTTCATTTTCCTAGTGTAAGCTTAGTTTCTTGCAATTTAATTTCAGTTGTCTTTAAATTCAAGTTTAATCAAGTCTTTATCGCTTTAATCTATTTTATCGCATTTACATTTATGGGATTTCGTTTCTTGCATTTACATTCATTGCACTTATCACCAAAATCCTAAATAGTCATACAAAGCTCAATCATCCTTGACCCTAAGGAAGTGAAAAAAACCTATGCCAAGAGGAGGTTCCTTGCTTGACCAATCAATGGTTTGATTAGACGTCACAGAGAAGAAGGACCAAAAAATCATTCCTTTAGCCTACTTGGCCAAAAAGAAGGAAACACTAGGGGAGGGATGGTAAGGTGGTTTGAAAACCACTTTCTCAAGCTCCAAATATATAGAGCCATATATAATCATAAATAGCCGTAAAGCAAATCGAGAAATCATAATGGCTCAAAGCTATTCATATATTTAAAACCACAAAATCTGAAGAAAAAAACAATTAAATCACATTGAAAATATCA